AAGAAAAAGAAAAAGAAAAAGAAAAAGAAAAAGAAAAAGAAAAAGAAAAAGAAAAAGAAAAAGAAAAAGAAAAAGAAAAAGAAAAAGAAAAAGAAGAAAAAGAATGCGGGGTCTGCCTGCTGTTGCTGTCGTCCTTTTTTTGTTGTTGTGGTCGTTGTTGTTGACTGGCCGAGTCCGCGGCAAGAATATTATTATTATTATTATTTCGGAGAGGGAGGAGAGGGGAAGTGATGATGGTACAGTATGTAACAGGAAGATGCACGAGGATGGATTGAAGTGGGTGAGGAAAGATATGAATGCAGATCCGATACGACCAAAAATATGGACAGACGGACAAATATCAACTCGATGGCGTATGAGAGCGTCCTGGACCTGTTTGCCTCTCAAACGCGAGGCGTTGTTGAACAGGTTGACTGGCAGAGAGCGAAGTTACCTCGAGTTAGTCCCAGTGCTACTACTACGATGGACTGACTCCGTCTTAGTACTTGGTAGTTAGTTGCCGGCAACAACGCGCCGAAAGGGAGCGGGACGGGATAACTAGATCAGACATTGGACTTGAAGCAGGGGGAGGGAAATTAAGAAAGCGGGAAATCTGGAACTTTACTTCTGCTTTCTTTTCCCCCTTCATCTTTTCTTTTGTTTTGCCTTGTTTCTCTTGCATTTACAAATATTAGGTCCACACTGGGTTTGATCCTAGTATCTGGATTTCTACGCCGTATATAGGTACTACGTAGGTATTGAATCTTTACGATCGGCCTAGGTCGCCTCTTCTTGTGACCTCGAAATTAATATTAGAAGGGGGGCAGTAAGAGGGGCGGAGACGAAACCATCAACCCTAGATAGCCCATATGGCATCTAATAAAGGGCCTGTAAGACAAATGGAATGGTAAAATCTTTGATTATTTTTGGTCGATTGGATGGATGGTAACAATGATACCATTTTACAGCGAATTACTGATTACTGAATGGTACATCAATACCGTACTTATGTACCTCAAAACTTTGGCTCTTCATCTGGGGTCAAGTGGGACCCAAAATAAGGGACTTGGAAAAGGGGGGGCCAATGAAATTCTCGAAATATATTTTTTGAGTGCTTCCCATCTCCAGTGTTGAAGGATTAAGTTTAGACTTTAGAATTTAGTGGACCAAACAGGCAGGTACCTGGTAAGTCATTATATTACTATCCATAGGTATCCTCTTTGGAGTGTAGATGGCCGAAGAAGCTGGATTCAATTAGACTAGTTAACGATGTACAATATGTTCTGTCAAGGCTCAATCTCTGCGGATGGGTACTGTAGAATACCAGTATATAATGCCTTCGAGTTGTAAGTCGATTGTTAATCGACTTATTTCACTATTGCAAAGATATACGCAGTACTAGTTAGTATACACATTATTCTAGCTGCACACCATGCATGGCCAAAGCCTACCAATCTCCCTCATAGCATGCCATGCATCAAACAAGACTAATCATATCTTTCTAATAACTAAACCGCAGTTTCCTCCCTTGCTTGCTTCTATCAACGGCCCATCTACTGGTTTAACCTAGGTCTTCTGTCCCTGTAAGATTTTTGCTTGCACAAGGAAGCCCATGGTCAATACCAAACAGCATGGGGCAATAAGAATTAGGAAGACGGGATAATATTGACAGATGGCTATAGAGGAAGAGTTGGATCCCATTTCCAGGACAAATATAGATATGATAGAAGGGAGGCCAGTGAAGGTGTTACGGACGATGATACAGATGAATCAAAGCTCTTCTAACGAAGACATGCTAATACCAGTGCATCATAGATTCTGATTCTTCTTCTCCCCTTCGCGAAGTCACAGGTCACAAGTTTGTGCATACAAGTGCCATGGACCTATGTTTCAAGAACATATTCTCCGAAATCCGAAGCCAGCTTGTAAATTCATAAAACATGGTAGAATCATTAAGATGGGGCCCGGAATTCCTTGCATATCTGCATTGTCCATCAGAACACAAGTTGGACATGTTGTAAACCAACGAGCATGGCAACCGAAGTGGTCAATTGAGGAGTAATCTCCTCTTCTGGTTCGTGCTATAGACAAAATGCGGCACCTGCAATGAATTTGTACACTCCATCTCACGTCCACACGGTGCTTGCTCAAATATCCACAGGCGTTCTCCCCTCCGACCTGACAGCGAGCCATTTACCTCAATGCAATAGCTGCATGCTGCGATCTTTGTGGGTATGTTGCAACCGTTGGGTAAGTAGGACCGCCATTTTTTTTTGCCAAACATTGATGAAATTGCGTGTAGGTTTACCTGGCGCCCAGATGTAGAGACTCTGTGCTTGCAATGTTCAGATTGACCTTGACTTTGTTATCTCATTTTTTCATCGCAGAAAAATCCAATTGCCGGGCAGCATTCTTGAATTGACTTTCGTCAATTTCACCACCTCGTCTAGTCAAGTCATCACCCATTTTCTTGGCACCGCCTGATTTTCTTGGAAGGTCTTCTTTACTTGTCGGTCTGGGCTCAATGAACCACCAATTGTGTTGGAGGATTTGGCATGCAGTACTTCGCTTCCTCGGATCCAACGTACACATTGACATGAGCAAATCTGCACCCACTGCTCCGGTAGTTGGAAATTGTCTTAGAAAAAAATCTCGACCCTGAAGTGGTACTGTATGGCTCTTGTCTGGAGGAATATAGTTAGGAAGTTTAGTGACGCCTGGCCAGTTCTCCTCAGTCGGTGTGCCGAAGGCTTCACATATCTTCGAAACTTGATCAAGATCTGTGTTTCCCGCAACAAAAGGCACTCTCAGGAGCAGTTCTGCGAAAACCATTCCCGTAGACCAGACGTCAACGGCGCCGGAGTATTGCCGCGCGCCATAAAGAAGCTCGGGAGGCCGATACCAACGTGTAATAACTTGATGGGTCATATTTGAATAAGGATCAGCAAATGATCTAGCTAGACCGAAATCTGCCAGCTTAACCTCTCCATCAGCAGCGATCAGAAGGTTGTTTGGTTTGATGTCTCGATGTAACACAAAGTTCTCATGGCAGAACCAAACGCCTCTGACAAGCATCCCCATCCAGGCCTTTACATCGGCAGCACCATAATGTATATCCCCGTCTTTGATAAGCATTTCAAGATCACCACGAGGTAAATATTCCAGGACCAAGTTGAGGTTCTGATCTTTGGAAGAGAAAACATCATGAAGAGCAATGACGTTAGGGTGAGATAATTCCTGCAGATACTTCACTTCGCGAATGGCGTCCATAGATAGGCCATCTTTGTATTCGGCGTTGACCTTGATTTTCTTTATAGCAACGAATGACGACGTATCAGTTCGAAGATGGCCGAGAAAAACCACAGCATATGTACCCTCACCCAGCTTCTTATCTACAGCTCTTCGTTAGCGTCGTAGCATTGAAAAGGCACCGAGCTAAGGTGAACAGAATGCATGAAATGATGATGATGATGATGATGATGATCAAGTACCTTTGATATACTTGTGCCTCACATCGTCATTCAATTGTTCCGTGAGCTCACGATCTGTATTCTGGGAGGCAAAAGGCGAAGAGACATTTTCCGGCCTGTTTCTTGGACTCTGACTAGCAGCACCCCTCAGTTTAACTGCAGCAGTAGAAGATGTTACTGAAGGAGAACCAGTAACCAAAGGTGAAACTGCCATCACTCTCGATGTGTGGAGTTATTCGTGACAAGGGAAGTCTGTCTTGGACGCCAAGACCACCGATGAAGCGGTCTTCGTGGGTTAGGAAGGGAAAGCAAATAAGTAGTTCATCTCATGGAAGTAAATTGCCCTTCTTCGGTTTTAATGAAAAAATAAAGCATTGAGCCGATTTCATTGCATCCCCGGTTTTAGTCGGGGCCACCCACCGTAGACCACGGAGTATTGTTGATCCTAAAAACACCGGCATCCTCGAAATTTCTCAAACTGCAATGAGGACATGCCGGTTATAAGAAAGAACTGACATCTCCGAAAAGAAACACCATACACACGGTATCCTCGCCCATCATACTTTTCTTCTCGCTTCGTCTTTTACTGGAGTCATCCGCAATTTTTATGGATATCCCTCTTTGAACCTTCGAAGACGGGCCCTCAAAAAACAAGGACAACCATCATGACGATGCGCAATCCACACCTCGGCTTCTTACCCTCACGCCTCATGAAACCTTTTAGTATCACAAGAAAATGCATTCGATGTCTCCACAAAAACACTGCGACGCCTTTCGTGCCGGCACCAACCCCATTCGTCCCTGATGTCCAAACCTTTCTCACTTTGATCGGCCGCGGCATGTCTAAGCATGCGAGCAAGCTTCCTTCTTGGGACAAGCTTTTCTCTCTCTCCTCTCCCGAGCTCCGAGATTTGGGCATTGAGCCTACGCGTCAGCGACGATATCTGCTTCGGAAACGCGAGAAGTTCAGGAATGGCATCTATGGCCCCGGCGGAGACCTGGAGACTGTTGTCGACGGCATGGCGCAATTGCGAGTTGTGGAGGTTCCCATGGAAATGAAGCATTTTAAAAATGGTAAAGGAGGCTCTTCAGCCCCCTTGACCTCTTCTGCTACCTTGACCCCTGGGATGAAAAAGGTTGTCGTCAATCTGTCTCCAGATGCTACTGAGTACAACCACGATCCGTCGAAGCCCCTCAAAAGATTCGCACAAATGAAGATTCATAATGGTTCTATGATCAAGGGGCCGTTTCTACAACCTATCAAGGGGAGCGATGGTGGAGCAGCCTTGATCAAGGTCCAGGAGGGCATGTGGGAGGACAAGCTCGGTCACAAGGTGGATGGTGGAGAGAGGAGGCGCGCCGAAGTCAGGGCCAAAAAGAGAAGTGAAGAAAGAAGAAAAGGGATTGCTTAAGTCTGAGTGTATATGAACACTCATCTGTCAAAGAGCGTGCTACCTGGGGGTAATTTTTCCCGTGTATAATATCTACATCACCTTTTCTGTACCATCAAGGGTGCCAATTATTGTTTTTCATGTCTGCGGTTTTAGTCTACATTGCAATCAACAAGCTGTCTTGAAGACATCCCATTTATCATCTATGGTTCATGCGTAACATAATTAAACTGATGTACCTGAAGTAAAGAATGAAAGAAAAGAAACGAACAAGCCAGGTATGCAAGCCGGCCAAAATAAAAGAACACAATAATTTACAACTGGAATTCATTCGTAGAAATAACCCGCAGAGAGACTGTGTGGAGAGCCAGGAAAAACAAAGATTCGAAATGGGCCTTTTACCACAATGACGAACGGTTTCTGTGCCTTTTCCTCCACTAGGCCAACCATTCTTTCGGGTTGCTTGCCAGGACAGAAGATTGAGCTGATAGAATAACCACAAACTCCAATTATGATTTGGTATCTGGTTGGCGTTTTTCATATTGCACGACCAATTTACCGAGAGGCTTTGAGAATAAAGACTGATTCCAAAATTAGCTTGGACACCATCAAGTCTTTGTGTCAAGATATATACTCACCGAGTAATCTGTGTCCGGGCAACCCTCAACACCGGGCAAGTTGCGGAACTTGAAAACCCTCACCATTGCAGCCAGAATTGTTCCAAGCTGCACGTAGGCAAATTGCTCACCAATGCACCGATGTCGCCCTGCGCCAAACGGAAGATAAGGGCTATTGGTACCCTTGGTAACCAGACCATATCCATAATCAATCTGCTCCTCATCATCGGCCTTGGCTTCACTTTGCTCGTCCCAGCGGTGTGGATTCCATTCCAAGGGATTGGGGAAAAATTCTTCAGACCTTGCGGTCACACCGGGGGAAGAAAGGACATTATGAGTGGTTGGGATCACGTATGGGGTGCCTTCAACAGGCATCGGGTTCTTGACGGCTCGAATAATTGAATGAATTGGAGCATGTATACGGAGGGTTTCTTTGATAACCTTGGCATGCAGATCTAATTTTTGCAGGCTGTCATATGTAAGCTCAGGGAGATCAGATCCGAGGACTTCAAGCTGTTCTTGGTAGAGTTCCTCCATGATATCGGGGCGTGCCGCGAGACGCAGAACGATCCACGAAGCAGTAGAAGAGGAAGAGTGTTGTCCAGCCATTAGCAGGGCAATCATCATATGAGCAACCTCTTCATCGGGGACCGCGATACCGTTCTTGTACTCGCATGACATGAGGTTCCAAACCATGTCTTCAGAATCCTTCTCACCACCAGCTTGTCGGCGTTCTTTGATGATCTCCATGTAAGTCTCTGTCATTTTTTTCTGGGCTGCGTCACGTTTCCGGTTGTGCGGTAAAGGGGCCCACGGGAGCATGAAATTGATAGGAGCAAAACCCTTATCCAGGTCATGGTACATCTCTGCGAATGTGGAATCGAACCTTTTCCGAACTTCTTTTCCTTGCAGCGAGCGCGACGCTGTATAGATCGTGATCTCGGCAATCGTTTTGCATACGTCGAAGACGCCATTGGGCCCCTGAAACGAAGGAGAGGTCTTAACAAAATCTTCAACCTCCTGGGTAATCAGGCGGACATAAGAACGAAGCGCATCGGAGGTCAGACCGAATTTGACAAACTGCATTACACATTAACAAGCTATATTGAACGGCGTCCTGCGGCTATTGCCTACCTTTTTCTGTTCCATGAGCTTCGAGTTTGGGCAGTCATACACGACATGGCGCCCAAATACTGGAGTTGTAAGTGGGGAGTAGACTTCTTCGGCGCAAACATCGCGAAGCTTGCCGTTAAGAATGAACTCGTTGCCCTTGGTTCCCAGGTAAACCGTAGTCTTTTTTCCTAAAAGGACGAAAGTAAAGATATCGCCGTACTTAAATTGCGATCTATGAGAAATGCGAAATGATAGCATATTATCGGGCTCGAAAACACACCTTTGCGCGGCAATTGGAAAAGAATTTGTATGGTTCCATTCCATAGCTGACAGTGCTACCGATGAAAGGGAACCAATGGAAGACCAAGGGAGGTTCATTGGGGTTCTTCAATAGGAGCTGCTGCAACACATTGATGACAACGGATATGGCCACTAAGGATAGGAAGCCAGTCGCACCGACAAGCCATATTGACTGGGTTGAGCAGTGCTCGCAGAGCTTGTCGAGAATGACTGCAAAGAGGCCCATGGCTGCGCAGTGAGAGCAGGCAACAAGCAGGAAACCCGGATTTTTATCAGACGAAGAGAAAAACCAAAGCGTCTCTCGTAGAGACACCCTCTCCAAAGCCTCGCGACAATTGATCAACTATGACCGCAACCTCGTTATGCTTTCCTACTTCTTTCTTTTTCTTTTTTTTGGGGGGGGGCAAAGGGGACGATGAAATAGATGGCATTAATGGAATTGAAGAGCCCGAGAAAAGCTAACGCGCCGGTTGGTTAGGTGGCCTCGCCTGGACCCGCTGGCTTTCGCCCCTTTGGTCATCACCTCAGACACGATACGGTACATACATTACAATACTCTGAGTTACCTGGTATGCAGGCGCCTTACCTAGAGCTTACAGCCCGGTACCTACCATACCACCTAGCCCGGTAAGTAGGTACCTACCTAAGGTACCTTGGATGTACTAAGGCACATGACCTACTAGTAAATTAGGTAGGCGACGGCCGAAGGCAAGATTGAGAGTCTGGAACGGAGCGGAAGCGACGACGAATCACAATGGCCTTAATTCATCACGCCACCTCGGGGTACCTGGTGAAGATATCCCCATTCCTAACGTACTAGATAGCCACCAAAGAAAAGTACAGAGTGGTCATGCTGTCGTGGATGTAAAATATGTTTAATCTGAATCACGAGTTGATTTATTGGATATCTCAAAACCATTGTGGGAATCATTCAATGTCTGTGTCATCTGTGTATGCTATTGTCTATTGAAATTTTGAAATTCTAGTCCCTGAATATGCATTGCCTGGTGTTAGAGAGAACACCACACTAATAGTTCTCTTGGTTGGAACCTATAAGGCAGGGGAAGCCAAAAATCATCGACATTGCTTTTGCTCTTTTTTTTTTTTTTTTTTTTTTTTTTTCTAAAGAAAGGGAAAGGAGAAAAGTGGGATATAATGATAAAACGCCAGAATTCCAGGCTCATCAGTATGAACAGTTGACCATTCCATAAGCAACCATCTAACTCCGAGTCTTCTGTATACTTGGAGCTGTATGCCTAAACTTTCCAATTCACAGGCATAATAATGACATTTCTGAGATGTTTGTCTGACATTTGGATATCAGTATTTCTAATACGAACATTCATTCAAAGAAAGAAAGAAAAGAAAGAGAAGAGAAGAGAAGAGAAGAGAAGAGAAGAGAAAAAAGGCAAGCAAGACGAGGACAGTGATCTGCCCGGAAGCAAGAAGAAACCTTGCAGTCAATGGTATGAATCCCACATCCCATGATAATCCTCGTAAGCCCTCACATTGTCCCATCATTTGTTGTGACTGGTGGGCTCTTCTTCAAATAAAACTGGATCTCCACGCTGTCCATGGTTGGCAAAATCCTTGGGACCACTGTTCTCACCGGGCAAAGCCTCCCGTTGTCGGATTACTTTGGCAGGTTGATTATGCACGCGCTTTCCGGCTTCATTCTTGTGGAGTACCCTAACGGGGGCACCGCTACCTGCCACATGCTCACTAGAAAGGATATAGTTGAGGCTACTGAGCAACGTCCGTTCGCGCTCAAGCTTGCGTTTTGAGAAATCCAGCTTTCCCAGAGCTCCAGTCAGTCCGTCCGTGCTGTCAGAGATACTATGACCCTTTCCTGTGAGCCATTGATGCTCTAGACAGCCATCTACCGTTATTCTCTTGTCGACGTCCACTGTAAGCATTTTGTCGATAAGATCCAATGCCGGATCTCCTACTGAGTCCCAGTATGGAGACGGATAGTCAAAGCGACCCAGTTTGATTTGCTGAGCCAGTGTATATGGATTTTCGGCCGTGTAAAGTTCATCAGAGAATGGAGGGAACCCACAAAGACATATGTAGAGGACCACTCCAAGTGACCAGATATCCACAGCCTTTGTGTATCTCCGACGGCGTGATTCTTGTAGAATCTCAGGGGCAACGTCTGGTAAATAAGCATTGATGGCATTGCCACTGTTCCGCTGGGTGACTTACAGCTGGGTGTCCCGCACCTGTTCAAAACTGAGTTAGTATTGCTGCCCAGGAAAGCCAAGAAATTGTAACTTACAGGGTTGTTGTGAATGAATCCTCTCCGATAATCTTGGCAAGTCCAAAGTCACCAAGTTTCACGTTCAGCGTCTTGTCTGAAACAAGGATATTTTCGGGTTTGATGTCCCGATGAACGATTCCACGATCATGCTGAGGATTTATACTTAGATCATTTGCCAAATTGAAGAGTTGGATGATACATACCAGGTATTGTAGGCCTTTAAAAAGCTGAAGAAATACATGGCGAGTTTCGTCTTCTGATAACTTCTGCTGGCGAATTATTAGGTTGAAGAGCTCACCTTCTGGGGCAAGTTCCATAATGAGATAAACACCATCACTTTCATCAAATGTATCCTTGAGACACAGCAAGTTCGGGTGGTTTACGCCCATTAAAAGGGCTATCTCTTGCTGCAAAGAGTCGACCTGGGACTTTTGGGAATCGCCAGGGCGCTTCTCGAAAACCTTGACGGCGTACCGAGTTCCAGTGGCCCTTTCAATGCAGAGGCTGACGGTTGCAAAATGCCCTTTTCCAAGCTGCTGAAGAATTCTGTATTGTTGACGGAAGCCGTTCGTATTTCTTGTCCGAGGATATCTGAAAACAAACCGTGCCTGGTCTAGGACGGTAACTTCATCGCCGTCTTCGAGTTCGCGATGCTTATTTCGACCAACAATGGCGTCATTGACAAAGCTTCCATTGATAGACAAATCTACCAGGATTGCAACAACATCACCACTCCTATTTTCGGGAAATATCACAAAGTGGCGATTGGATATTGTGGGGATATTGAGAAGCAAGTCTAAACATCCTTGTTGGCAAAATTGATAATGTATATTCCAAATTCCGGTTACTTACCACACTCTGGATGGCGACCGACCAAATAACCGCCGGGAAGTTGGCTGTATCCATTTTTATTCCCAGAGACCCTGCCCTGTCGCTGAGTTCCCTTTGTAGATTTTGGGTTGGAATTGTCATTCTTATGGTTGTCACAGCTATCACGTTTCCTCAGCACAAGTGCTTTTGGGGCCTTGTCATCAAGTGGAATCAGATATCCCCATACGCCTTCCGCAGCCTCATCTTCGACTTCGTCAGCAAATGCTCTTGGAGGATATACAAATTGTGAAAGTGCTTGGGTGTCACCAGGAGGAGACGAGAAAGTTTGAGGCAACTCCTGATCAGACGGTGTCTGGGGACGGCCCTGGCTTGAGCTGCGTTGAGGAGTAGCCATTGGTTCGTTTTGAATATCGGTGGCAGTTGATTCTTGAAGGGTCAGCGGGGTTGGCAGGTATTCTTGATCAACTGGAGTGTTCTGGGAATGAGTCTGGGATGAAATCCTTTGCGAGCGTCGCGGTTTCTTCAAGTCTTGAGAATCATGATCTGTGTTGATCTATTCAAGTCGTATTGTTAGCAGTGCCAAACGGAGAAGAAACTAATCAAACCAACAGACCCTTCCACGTTTAAGAGAGCTCTTCTCATTCTGAGACGCCATCTTGTTTGATATTTCTCATCTCCCTCTAGAACCCAGAGAAAAGAAGACAGAAGCTTGCCTCTTCCTTAAACAACTTCAGAAGTGGCTGGTAGCTTCTTTTTTCTTTGGAAATGAACAGTCTAGTTTCTGTGCATTGAGGAAGGGGCGACAAGCTTATGGTGGACCAAATTATTTCATTTTGAGCGTTGAACACGTAGGTTTCTGTTCTCAGAGCCTGAAATAAAATATGTCGTAACAGAAATAATAAGATATTTTGATAAGCTTGCTAAGAATACCTGTCAGTGAAGGCGAGGAAGAAGTTTATAATAATAACAAAGGTACTCGACGGAGTTCGGACGGGACCTGAGCTATTTACTGGATTAAATAGGTTTAGCGCCCCGAAGATAAGGAAATTAAAGTACTACTACCTACCTTAGTAGTACTCCGTATGTATCTACCTATTATCGTGCTTTTTTCTCGGTTGTAAATACTTCGTAGTTCGTACACTGCTTGGATGTTTCCTTGGAATATAAGTACATAGGCTGCATGGATAAGTCATACGTGTATATATTAGTTTGAGGTTTCTGCTTCGTCCTCCATTGTCAGAACTGCCTTAATGCACTCGCTGTGTAGGTATTTACCTCCGACTGTAAACCTCCCAAAGCGTGAGTTTTTCTCTTTTTTTCTTTTGACACACCCTCCCCAATCTGGTGGAAGAAAAACCATATAAAATGGAACTCAAATAAGGTATTCAGCATGTAAAGTAGTAATACTACGGAGTATTTAGTTAAATGTGTACTCCGTACTACGTCGATCGAATTTGATTCATATCTTACCTGAAAGTGATTTAGAGCAAAGTCAATTCAGAATGCTGGAAGTTGGTACCTACTACTTTTACTAGGTACTGACTAACTACTGAGCCTGGAATAATTGTGGATGTTCCCACCCGAGGACCTAGGTAGGTAGTATCATTTGTCTCCACGTGGCTTGGCGTACTTCATCCACCTATATCCAGGGGGCGCCCGAAGCTACTTGCTTTGAAGACATCTCAACTACAAGTTCTTTTTATTGGGTTGGAGGAAGTAATTTATAATCATGGATGAGTATGTGAGCACTGGATTTCTACAAAGGTACACTCGACTTATCAGATTGCAGCTTCCCCGGCAACATTAGGCACTCCGCATTGGAGAAGCTTGCAGCACTGGCAGTCCAAGCACCAGTCTGTGATGAGGAATCCGATATTACGCGACTCACACAGCATTATCAGCGCTCGGCATCTCATCACTCTAACGGATTGCTCAATGGAGTTTTGAAAAATCAAGCGCCAACATCGCGAGTGCCTATGGTGTGTGTTGTTCAAGTTCTTTCTTTCTATATATGGCCATGATATGGTCTGACTGCCACAGTGTACCCGCGAATTAGATGTCCTTCTCGCCTTATGCAAAGCGGCCGATTCAGTGACAGAGCCTGAGAACGCATCCAAATTAGTTACCCAACTATCTCAGTACCTTCCAGAGTCTCATAGCCAGCTTTTCCGTCCTTCACCCTTTCTGCATAGCGTCAAGCCATCTCCTTGGGAGACACTTACTCAGAGCCTTACTCTGGCTCTTCTTTCGCTTGGCTCATACTATCCATCTTTGCGTGATAAGACTTTCAATGCGGCCAATGAATATTTGTGTAATTGCGCGGAAGTCATCGATGCTGCGATACAATTTCAGAACCACGATGCTGGAGCGGATAGACACGGCACTGTCCACGAGTCCACGAGTATATTGGCAATAACAGTTTCCCTTGCCGGTTTCTTGCAGGCTTCGGCCCAGTATACTACCTTCTGGACTGCCAGCGAGAAGTTGCAGATAGTTGAGCATATGCGATCGATGCTGTCCGAAGGCTTTATGATTGCTGTTGAAACTGCCTCGTCTACAATTCGTAACGCGAGCACGACTGAAAATGCTCTCAGGGACTGGAAAAGATATGCCCGTCGCTATGCTGCAAATGGACGCCCATTAGGTGCTACTCTCCTGCAGGAGGGGTTTATGCGTTTTGTCAAATCATGTGCGGCATCTCTGGCTGGTTCACAGAATCTCTCGGAGGATGAATTGTTGGATGACTACATGAATGGGGTAGGCATCGCAAGGAGCCATGATGATGCTGATATTGCCCTCGTTGAACGTATAACAGAGATAGTCACCGATGAGGTTCGTCTTTTGGAAGATGATTCTGACTACTTGCAACTCGGGTCTCCCTGGCAACAGCGACTGGCATTTTCTGTGAAGGCTTTTGCGTTAATGGGATTCCTGCATTGTGTTATTCTAGGCGAAGACCCGGCGAAGAGTGATATTCTTCTCTCATGGCTGGAGGATACACTGATGGACCCAAACCAGATGTCATGCGTTGATCTGGCGATGGCTACTCTGAAAAGCATAGCAATTATTGCCAGAATGTCGCCAAACAGTGCATCTACTGGGAGCCGCTCCCTTCTGAGGTTCATCGTCCAAGGTAGTGTTCCCACAGGGTCTATTGTTGCCTGTGCTGCAGGGTGTCTAGCTCAAGTTCTCGGAGCCCTCTCTCAAGATGCTGTCATCACGACGCTATACTCACTGGGGAATGTGTTGAGCTCTGGCTCTGGTACTGATAGAACATACCCAACCCAGACTATAGGAGACGTGACTGGACACACAAATACTCTTTCTCCTTTGCCGCAGGCTAGGAATGGAAGCGTTGTATCTCTTCCAGTCAATGGTGGGGAAGACAGTTTGCCCCACAGAAATGTTATCCATGCCATTGTGACTATTGCAACCAGCTGCAATGACGATAAAATTAGTGCCTTAGCACAGTCGATGCTATTACAAAAGATCGGAAAGGTAAACGCTGCGGTAGATGCCCACATCATTCAGGAAACAGCAGTCCTTGCTCCAAGTACCGGACAAGCCGAGTTTCAGCTTTTGCTCAAGTTCTATGTCCGGGTTTGGCGTGAAGGTGTCTCGAAAAGCTATAAAAATATCGCCGAGGCAGTTCAAAGCGCAATGGCATATCTCTCGGTCACGTTGGAAAAAAGCTCTCCACTCTACAGGGTTTATTTGATACATCTCCTAGAGAGTATCGTAAACAAAGGAGATGCCCCTGACCTTGAGAATGACCGACAAAGAGAGGTCGCACTGGCACCTGATGATATCAGCCCTATTTTAAAGCCATTAGCACTACTTGTTTCTTCCGAAAGCGAATCTACAGAGAGTCTCTCAGGATTTCCGGACCATGACGAATATTTATCCTCGATGTTCCGAGACGCATGGTTCAATATTGCAATTCATGGGGTTTCAATCAATTCAGCATTTGCTCGGAATCACTCCAAAGAACTACATCTACTTGCGAAACATTCACCTCCCTTGGTTGCTGAAGATCGCATGGAGGTTCTTGAGAGCGATGTGGAACTTAATACGATACTCAGACGAGGGATGAATCCCCAGCGCGTTATGGAGCAGAAGAAGGCTTTAATTTCTGAATTTCCAAGTCGTGAATCCGATATCAAACGCTTGAACTACCCAAGGGTAGTCTTTCTCAACGCTGCTTTGCTGATTGAGAGTCTCCGGGCATCGTCAGGGAACTGTACTAAATTTCTCGGTTACTTTCTCGATCCAGCGCTTACTACTGCTGAAATGGCTAGCTGCATGAATGCCATTGCCGAGAAAGTTGTCAACTGCTACCTCATGGTAACTATATCCGGGAAACATGAAGATTATTCCGCTCCTTTCTTGTCGAAGGAATTGGCCAAATTCTTCGTAGCTTGCTGTCATCGTATCGATCGGGTACAGAATGTTGCAGTGCTCTGTGCAAACAAGATTATAGAAGAGTGTCCTTCCGCACTCTGTGAAAGACACTCACTTTTCGCTTTACTCGAACTGCTGACTGTTTTGTGGTCATCTTGTTTGGAGGAAGAACTTGATGAATTTGAATGGAATTCTACTTTCACGTCGCCAAGGGGTTTGGTCAAGATTGACCTGCCTGACAACTACAACTTCAGAAAGAGGACTTTGGATGTCTTACTTGAGCGCGCCAAGGTGTGGGTGAACACAGTCATGAGTATAGCTCCACTTGACATCAAGGGCCTTCTTCAGACCTACTTATCTGAGTCTGAAGACGACAGTGATTATGGCTACCTTTCGATAGGTCGTTCATTTGCACTGGATATGGGCTCAATTATTCCACAGAGCGATCAGCGCCTTGGTAAGCTCTCCTGGTGTACTGTACCTTTTGCATTAATTAATATCTTCTATCTTTAGGGTCTATCGAAGGTTATGGTACTAACCAAATCAATATCGCTTCTGAGTTTATTTCCCAGTATACCACACGCCAGAAGTACCGGTACGCAGATGACCCGTCAAACGACGAGCAAATTGAAAATAAAGGTAAGTATACGCCACAGCCTATACTCTCACCGAATCTAACACGAAGAGCCATAGGAACAAAATTTTTGAGTGCTATTGCGCCTTTGTCAGAGTCTGTCGAGAGTGTAGAGTGCGTGTTGTCCCAGCTGAGCCAGCAAATTAACAGCAATAATGTAACTGCCGCCCATGTTAAAGATGCGCTGCGTCAAGCAGCGAGTCTTCTTTGCAGCGAAAAGGACACGCCCCTATCCTTTGTTCACTATCTGGTCAACATGCCATTCCAAATATTCTCGAAAGAATCGATTAAGAACGGAGTTTCTCTTTGGCTCGGAGTGATCCACGAAAACCCAAGGGTTGAATCCAGGATTTTGGTAGAGGTGATGGAAGCTTGGGAAAAGACAATTCAGCGCAAGAAGGGACTATTCGATCCCTCTTTCGAGTGAGTGCACGTCCGCTCTCGGTAACATATTGATGTTGACAAGTAATAGTTATGTTGACCCACTTTACGCCAAAATCGAGCTCTTACCGACGGATAAAGCTTTATTGCTTAAAAAGCAGCAGAAGGCCCAAGATATTCTTTCTCCGCACTTACATGTTCTCCAGTTCTTTGAGAGTCACTTCAGCGCCATACGTTTAGGTAGTGCTCAAGATCAACGCCTATTTTGCCGCCTTGTTAGCCATACGGCGTTAGGACTTCTGAAAACCAGTGGCCACCCCTTGGCGAGAGAGATTCATTTCCGCATTGCTCTATTTGGTCTCAGGGTTTTAAAACATTTCAACTCTCAGAACAATCTCGCTTCATGGAAACTCAAGGACCAAATCTTGTCGGCCGCTCTGAGTTGGTTCAAGCACCCACCTAGGTATGCTACTTCACTTTGGTGAATGAAAGGTTTTTCCTGACCCAGATTCCTTGTAGGTGGTCTTTTGGTGGTAATCGATTGCAAATTAAAGCGGAAGAAAAAATATTGGGTGATGTTGTCTCTGCTCTAGCAGGGGTTGCCGGTATTGCTCGTCACACGCAAGGGCCGCATAAATCTTTGCAGTCAAAACAGGATCTTCTTCAGATCTTGATCGAAAACGAGAGATCCCGCCTCAAAGTTTGGCTATTTCCCTTGGAGCCAGAACGTAAACATTATATGTCCGGAGGCAAAAACTATCTGGAGGTCAGTCACCTACGTTTATCATTCTTTTGCACCTGCCCTTACGATTTTTTTTTTGTCTTAATCTAATGTCATAATTTAGGAGGCCTCTTCTCTGCTCCGACTTGCATGGACCGAAAACCCAGGATTAGCGATTCAGCTTGCAGCTCGCTTTCCATCCATGAAGATGAAAAATGACATCCGTTGGTTATTGCTGAACTTCCCAGAAAAGGCTCTTGAAGAACCCAGTGGCCTGGAAATAATGTTTGGAATAGCCTTGCCGGCGGATATCTCCTTTCAGCTTAAGGTCTGTTTCCATCCTAATTGATGCTTGCCCTTTCCTTTCATGACTAACCGCACGCAGTACTTATTGTATTGGGCGCCTGTTAACCCCACAGAAGCCCTCACTTATTTCCTGCCGGCATATGGAAACCATCCGTTTATTCTACAGTATGCAATGAAAGCTTTGGAGAGCCATCCCATCGATGTTCGCTTCTATTTTGTACCACAACTGGTGCAGGCATTGAGATACGATGCATTGGGCTATGTGGAGCGCTATATTCTCGAGACAGCCAAACAATCTCAGTTATTTGCGCATCAAGTGATCTGGAACATGAAAGCAAATTCATATAAGGATGAAGACTCTCAGATTGTGAGTAACTACCGATCTGCCCTTGTATTCATCCCCTAACATTTGGGACAGCCGGATCCGCTCAAACCTACTTTGGATAGGTTTATGGAAGTTTTGATTTCAAGTTTCTCCAACGAAGAGCGTGACTTCTATGAAAGGGAGTTCTCTTTCTTCAACGATATCACGGGCGTTTCGGGAAAGCTCCGCCCATACATTAAAAAGAGTAAGCCTGAAAAGAAAGAGAAAATCGAAGAGGAGCTCCGCAAGATCAAGGTAGAAGTTGGGGTGTATCTTCCAAGTAATCCAGATGGTGCTGTTGTTGGAATCGATCGGAAGTCCGGAAAACCTTTGCAAAGTCATGCAAAAGCGCCTTATATGGCGACCTTCAGAATCCAAAAGACAAGAGCCCGATGGGATGGTCCAGGTGCTGCTGGTACCTCAAGAGCCCATGCCTCAAGCCAAGGCCGTTTGACAACTCCTCCAGAATCCACTAAATCAGAATCTAACGAGGAGACTTACGAAGTCTGGCAATCCGCCATCTTCAAAGTCGGCGACGACTGCCGTCAAGATATGTTGGCTCTGCAGATGATTGCCGCCTTCCGAAGCATTTTCTCCAGTGTTGGTCTCGATGTATGGGTATTTCCTTACCGAGTCACCTCAACAGCACCCGGCTGTGGAGTTATTGACGTTCTTCCGAATTCAATTTCGAGAGACATGCTGGGCCGTGAGGCAGTGAATGGATTGTACGATTATTTCGTATCCAAATATGGTGGAGAAGACTCAATCAGATTCCAGGAGGCGCGTACCAACTTTGTCAAAAGTATGGCAGCTTACTCCGTCATTTCCTATCTTTTACAGTTCAAAGATCGGCACAATGGGAACATCATGGTTGATGATGCTGGCCACATCATTCATATCGATTTCGGATTTTGTTTTGACATCGCCCCCGGAGGCGTTCGTTTCGAACGTGCACCTTTCAAGCTAACATCTGAGATGGTGGCTGTCATGAGTGGGACTCATCATGCAAACCCTCATGCCCCCGGCAGCTCAGGCGGTGGTGGACTTGCTTTACCTGGAGGATCTCATAACCCAACTAGTACTCAGCCCTACCGGTGGTTTGAATCTTTAGTCGTCAAAGCATTCCTCGCATCACGTCCATACAGTACGAAGCTTTCCCACATTGTGTCCTTGATGCTCGACAGCGGCTTGCCCTGTTTCAAGCCTGATACTATGAAGAATTTCCGAGACAGGTTTGTCCTTGAGAGAAGCGAAAGGGAGGCAGCTGAGTACATGCGAGAGCTTGTTCGCAAGTCTTATATGAGCGTTTCGACCAAGGGCTACGACCAATTCCAGCTACTGACCAACGGTATTCCCTACTGATCGATTAATGATGGACGTAAGATTGGTTAATCTTGGTTTAATGAAAGAACTGTCAGACACATAGGTCAATTAACATCTGACTGTGATCCCTTTATTTTTAATTTTTTGCTTCCTTCTTTCTTTCTTTCTTTCTTTCTTTCATTCATTCATTGATTGATTGCTCATTAATTTTGTCTAAACATCTCAACACGCGAAAATAAACCTCTTCCCCCCCCTCCTTTCTCCATTTCGCTGGATGCATATATACAGGATATGCTAGTTGGGCAATAATAACAACTTTTTGGATAGTCCCATTTAACAAAAGTCGCCTACCCATTTGACATTCCTTTCCTTGGCTATTATGAGCTATTCGCCACTCAAAGGACCTTTTGAGGTTATTTAAGGCCCGCTGGGTGAAAAGCTTCATACTAATGCCTAACGCCACCCCACCCCAGGTTCGTATATTTGCTCTGAGTTGAGATCTAGAAGTGGGAAAATTAAGCACTGCGTAGGAGAAACAGACCTTTGCCATGGTTCAAGCGTGGATTTGAAGATCGTGGCAGTGGTGATGATAGCAGAGATCGATCATACATAACGGATGTTCCGGTTGACGTCACGACAGATTGGTGTTGAACCAATTCATGGCAATATCCTCCTGACAATATCACTTTCTTTTCGAATGTCATGGGAAGATGGCTAGAGAGCTGGTTTCGGTAGAGAGATTTCTGTTGCCAGTTTTTGGTGAGTTTTCCTTAACACCAGCAACCAATTATCGGTACAATCTTCCCCGGGAGTGTTGGGATATTAGCCCTGGGATTTGGGCATGCAGTTTCACCATTATTGGTAATAATACAGAGAAGTAGATGATAACATCATGGTTGGCTCTCAACCGATCCAACCATTCTTGTTTTGGTTGGGGGGCGCAATTGACTTGAAGATGACCCTAGCAATTCCCGGTCCATTTAGTTGTGTACATGCTTCGGATATCTAGATTCTTTCTTGTCACCAGGATACATTTCCTCCCACTCTCAACGGCCAGGAACTATGAGGATTTGGCGTTGAAGCTAGGGAGTCGAGGAATCCGCCAGCTGCAGGCTGAGATTGCGCCAGAGACTGTAGATCGCGAAAAGGCAACAGGCCCTCTGAATGAATCCAATGTGCCTGCTATCACATGGAGGTCTTTAGTACTGGGGACATTTGTCTCAATTGGTGGTATTATGTTTGGCTACGATACTGGCTAAATCTCTAGTTTCCTTGAGATGAACGTCTTCAAGAGGGAGTTTGGCCAGCTTCAAGGTGACGGGACCTACGCGCCTAGCAACGTGCGGTCTGGTCTTATCGTTTCCCTGGTACGTCAGGATATACTCGTTGCTATGGAGCATGTGTTAAAGATATCTTCACTACTTTTTGGTTGTAGCTGTGTATCGGGACATTGATAGGAGCTTTGCTGGCGGGCCCATTGGCAGATCGAATTAGCCGCAAGTGGTCTATTTGTTTCTGGTGTGTTATTCTCCACGTCGTTCTCATCATTCAGATTTCATCCTCCGGCACCAAAATGGTATCAACTGATGATGGGCCGCTTTGTAACCGGGTTTGGCGTGGGTGCCTGTTCGTTGCTCGTTCCTATGTATCAAGGCGAAAGCTCCCCTCGACATATTCGGGGTGCGATGGTTTGGTAAGTTGGTTGAATGATGCGTTATCCTAACATTCAGTAATGTGGAAAATGATCGCAGTTCGTACCAGCTATTTGTGACTATCGGCATCTTTGTGGCACATTGCATAAACTATGGCACCGAGAGTATCCGGAACAGTGCGTCCTGGCGTATTCCGCTCGGCATTACGTTTTTCTGGGGTCTTTTACTGGGCGTAGGGATTATCTTCTTCCCAGAAAGCCCTCGTTATGAATATCCCCACGAACGTATAGAAGAAGCAAGCAAAACAACGACGAAGCTCTACGGGGTACCTTTGAACCATCGGGTCATCATCAAAGATCTGGCCGAAATGAAGGAACAGCTGGACGCAGAGATGACTTCCCAGGGTGGCTGGCATGCGTGGGTTGAGATGTTCCAGGGCTCTCGTATGTGCTATCGCATTATGCTTGGTGTCGTACTCCGGGCATTGCAGCAGCTGACCGGCGCAAACTATTTCTTCTACTATGGCACCGTGGTATTCAACGGGGCTGGCATAAGCAACATCTATGTCACGCAAATGATTCTCGGCGGTGTAAATTTCGGCACCACCTTTGGGGACCTCTATGTTATTGAGCATTTTGGGCGACGCAAGTCCCTCATCATGGGTGGGATTTGGATGTTCGTTTGTTTCATGATGTACGCCTCGGTTGATCATTTCTCCTTAAACGTCAACGAGCCCTCTCAGACGCCCGGTGCCGGCAAGGCGATGGTGGTCTTTGCCGGCTGTATCTTTGCGGCCGTGCTGATCGTCTATTTTTTTCGTTCTGGAGGGCAAGGGCAAAACTTTGGAGATTGATATGATGTATGTGATGCATGTGCCACCATGGAAAAGCAGTAAATGGGTGCCTCCACCCCCTGAGCAACGTATCACGACTGGGCATGTTCTCGACCAAAGGACGGCAGAGGGTTACCAGGATGATGCTGACTCCAGCAAGAGAAATTAGGGGACGGATCCGGCGCATCAGCATGCAGAACACATATAGCAGTGCTATGGCTACTTCATCATGACGTGTGTCTTTGTGCTCGTCGTTGTTATCTGAAGCAGGGTTTGTCTGGGTGTTTGTAATTAATTCGTGTTCCATACACTGTTGTTGCCTTGGGTAGATTATCTAATATGTATATATAATAATTCAAGATGGACAGAAGTCCAATTTAGGGCTTGTTTAGTGACATACAAAACTGCTCAATAACAGAAACTCAAGATATGAAATAATTCATACTGAACATTGCCATATGAAAAAAAATCCGTTGTTAGGTCAATTTAGTAATAATATAATAAGAAAGATGATTGATGGTCTGTCCGGCAGCGCCCAAATGAGATAAAGAGACTGACAAGAGATGAAATGAAAAGCCCACAAATGAATAAACCATGCTGTCAATAATGTAGCACAATCAGTAAGTAATGAACCACCTCAAAGATGGTAATAGAAACAGTGGTCAAGGTTTTGTGTAAATCACTGAATGCTCCAGATAATCCATACCATATGCCTTCACGCAAAAGATCAACATGAGACCCTATAAATTGCATATTCCCATTCCCATCCATATCCCCACCATGCAAAATTGAATAAAAGAAGAAGGCAAGAAAAGCTCATAGCACCACTCATATCCATGAAAAAGAGGGGGGAAGGACACTGAGATAGAAGGATAATGAAAAACGAAACAAAAAACATCGAACCCCCGGATAATTTCGAAATGAAAGGTTAGATCAGTCAAATTGCTGGTAGATGGATATTCGACTTATTTGCAACGTTATGATAAAAAGGCATCGAGGATCATGATGACAAGTCTTTTTTCTTTTCTTTTCTTTCCTTTTCTTTTTTTTTTTCTTTGGAGTCCCCGCACTTGACAACAAATGGCTCAGGGCAAATTGTCAAAGTGATTCCTGGATATTCCTTTCCAATTTTTAGAAGTCTTTCTTTTTGTTTTCTTTAGTACCCGAAATGGCAGGTGGAGAAGCGATCAAAGACTCTTCAAGGCTCTTAATCCATAAAGTCTCCTCTCAGGATCTTCTCCTGGAAGAAATCAGGCTTATTCTGCTTGGGCTGCTTGGGCATTTCCCGAGTCGGTTGCTCCATCGAAGCGATGGAGGCAGCACGTTGATGGTAACTTTGCTGACTGGCACCAGCCGCATTCTGGCTTTGTGGTGTATTGGGGGAAACGGACCCAAGTGATGGGGCACGCTCTGCCCGGGACCGAAGAGCTTCAGACCAGTTGAAGCCTTCGCCTAATTGTCGCCACGACACGTTAGATCTTTCGTTTTGGGGGAAGACTGTATTTGTACTTGCAGAAGTAGATTTAGTGGGACTGTGGGTGGAAGGGCCGACCGACGATGAGGTTCGGCGGCCTCCCATCCCAGAAGAAGACCCAGGAGGGGGGTATCTACCATTGCTTAAGCTTCCACTTCTTGCATCACGCAGCGCCTGCGCGCCAAATGACATGCGCCGGGCAAAAGGTGTATTCGGGGTGGCATTGGAAGGGGCGCCATCTGGATCTTCCACGACCGAATCCTCGATAGTTGCAGGGGTAGACCCAACGGAGCTGGACACGCTGCCACGGTGCAAGGTCCTGCCTCCAAAGGGAGACGTCTGGGTGGGGGAACCGGAAAGTCCCAGGGTAGTGATGGACAGCCGCCGTCGCTGGTTCGACTGTGCGTTGGCAGCCGCGCTAGTCACAGAACTAGGTTGGGTAGCTGAATTCCCTCCTGGTCGGGAGTAGTAATCCGAAAAGGAAAGCCCCGAAGCCAAAGAGGCCCGTCGTTGGTGTGCGGGCGCAGGAACGGAGATGGGAGAGGTCGAGCGGCCGTTTGACATTCTCGGGGGTTATAAAAAGAAGTAGAGCACAAAGAGAAACAGACAATGTGATGTGATAAAACTCTGGACGGACAAGCCGCCCCTTTGTATTCGACAAGAGACCGAAGAGGAAAATTTTTAAATCCAAGATAGAATGTACAAGGACCCGAGGAATGTGAAAAAAAAAAAAAAAAAAAAAAAAAAAACACCGGAGACTAGCCCAGAAGTTGCAGATTGTAGTGATACGATGGTTTCAAGCTCCAGAGGCGTATGACGACAACTAGGTATTCGGCAAGGGAGAAAAGGGGGATAGTCTGCCGGCTGCCGAGAGTCAATATTGATGAATAAATAAAGATAACCAACTCAATTCATGAAGCAAGCAAAGAGATTTTTTTTTGGGGGGGTGGGGGGGAGGGGGGGCAAGAAGAACTCAAGGGGTTTGTAGTATGGTGAAGGGACAACAAGGAGATCGACAGCCAAGCAGGGTGAACACATATGACAGGCAACCCTCAAAACAGACAAACAAAAGGATAAGTCTCAAAGGTCACTCACGGTCAAGGGAAGGGAAAGAAGGGGTTCTTGAGTGGGAAGAATTTCAGGAAGCTATCGTGTAGGTAAAGAGCTAGTAATAATAAGTTGGAGATAGAGCAAGAAGATGGAAATGAAGATGAAGATGAAAGAAGGGAGAAGAAGAGATAAGAGAGAGAGGGGGGGAGGTGGAAGAAGAAGCGAGGAAGGGGTTTCTGGTGATGGGGGGCAGTGATGGGATCATGGACGATTGCTACCCCACAGTCCACCCAGTCGAGATGGATTTGCTGGACCCACGGAACAGGCCCAGCCAGACTCTCGTTTTGCTTGCTCTCTGAGGTGCCTCCAGGACGGAGCACTCTTCCCGAGGGTTTGGCTGGCTGTTTACAGTGACTTCTCACTGGATGTCTTATTGCTTCTGTTCTCCTTTTCCCATCCATCTCAGCAGATAGAAATCCACGAATCTCAAGAAGTTCCAGACCCTCCCAATCCTGAAAATTAAATCATTCTGCAATCAGCATCAGGCAATGCCGTTCCCCCGTCCTAGGATCCTGGCCAATCAGAATGCTGTGATCGACACACGGCTGGTCTGTTTCGGACTGCCGCCACAGAGCATTTCCCCGCATTTTTTTTTTTTTTTTTTTTGGCTGATTGCAGCTTTAGGGTTTCCGGTGAAGATGATGGTATCTAGTAGATCCTCTCTATACGAGGATTCTAGACAAGGAGAGTCATGGCCGGGAGGTAAAGGAACGAATAGGTACCCAGATCTGCGCCTCCCTCCCTATTCCCTATTTACCTTACTAGTAGCACTAGTGGTAAGAAGTAGGAGTAGGAGTGGCCAGTCGTCTTGTGGGGAATAGTCAGACATCCCAGCTCACCCAATGCTTAGCCACGCAATCCGATTCGTCTCTGGTTGGGGTGTAGTAGAAGCTGAGCCATGGTCTGATTTCCCCAAAAGGTCTCACGTGATATACGATCTTACCTATGTGGCTACAGGTAGGTTATATGGACTGATTGAGAAAGGTATGCTATAGTATGCTGTATCCGTCAAACCAAAGTGGAGGTCACGTCTATATGTATTCTCTAGTATATAGTAGTTGTATATACACATTCACATATGTATATAAAATCAAAGCCAAAATTCTTTATTCTATATAGTAGTCTTACCCGTTTCCCGTAAATAGACGTTCGAGATCTGCTGTAAAGGCCCTTAGGCAGTTTTCCAGTTCTTTTTCTTTTCTTTTCTTTTCTTTTCTTTTCTTTTCTTTTCTTTTCTTTTCTTTTCTTTTCTTTTCTTTTCTTTTCTTTTCTTTTCTTTTCTTTTTTTTTTTTTTGCGTTCCTGGTCCCAACTTCCAGTCATGCTTTTGCGTCACTGCGTGGCAGCTCTGCTGTTCCCATGCAGATCTACAATATCATAATCGTCCATGTGTGGTGCTAGTGTGGGTTGAGTAAAGGGTTTCTCCTTGTTTTCGATTCTAGGTTTTCATACGCTCATGGCGTTTGAAACCCGGATGGTTGGGGCTGGAAGAGTTGAAGTAGCTTCGCCCCAGCTGTAGGCTCAATCTCGGTCCCATCCCGGGCAATCTTGACCTCTCGGTTTGCATTCCAAGGATTGCGCAGGCCTCTAGTACGATGGAATGGCACTCGCCCAGTAGAGAGCCACTGAATCCGAAAAGGGTTTCCGATCGACTGGCTACCGGGCTCTGTGCTTTCTTCAACCGGTTCGCCCACGCTCTTTTCGCTCTTGTCATCATCGTCCTCCTCTTCATCCTCCTCTTCCGAATCGGCTTCCCAAAATATAGTCCCCCGCGCCGAGTCATCTATGATTCGCCCACTGGGGGCCGTGGATGTTGCCTGTGTTTGGGTGACGTTCAGTTCCTCCGTGATAACGGGGTCCAATCGCGGTGGCATCTCCAACGCTAACGCCTCATCCTCTATTATCGGCGACAGCATCCGAGCATAGCCATAATATTCACCAGACTTGTTCGCAGAAAATATCAGGTAAACATTATCCGCGGTCTAAAGGAGGTCAGTAGGAAAGTGAAATTGATACCAAGGTGTCTTAGTGGGAAAGGATGTCTCACCTCGAATGCCTGGTTCAAGTTGGCCTCGTTGTGATTTTGAGTTGCCCAGATACCGCTTTGTCTACTTAATTCCAAATCCTCCATCGTTAAGCTTTTCACAACAAAATATCGATTGGGTACCCTCGAAGAACCGGGAGTCTTATTCTCTAAGTTTCTTGTCTCGAGAGTCCCCGGTGGCTCACCATTCCCAATTGGGGTTTTGGGGTTTTCTTCCCCTTTGGGTGTATATGGAGTGGAGGAGCTCAGGGTATTCTGGTTGGACCCAGGGATTAATCCACGACGCAGTCGACATACAAGACGCACTCCTTGAAACTTGGAGTCATTAAATCTCGCCAGTGCTGCAGCACAGGCGGCCTCCGTCTTGTAATTTATAAATGCACAATTGCTCTTTGATATGAGAAAAACACTTTCGATGGCGCTAGTGGCATCACGGGAAAAGTGGTCCTTGAGGTCAACAACATTTGCCCCGGGAGGAAGATTGCCTACCCACAAGGCGTGACCAGATTGTTTCGGTTTTCTAGGAGGTCCTCTTGGCGTAGCTATTCCCGATGGCGTTGAAGGGAGAGAAAGTGCATCTAGTAGGAATTAGCCGTAAGGAACGGGGCCACATAGAATGCAATACCAGATGCGTTGCTCAATTTTCAGACTTACCTAGTGTTGGGGAATGGGCTGGTGCAGGTTTCATTGGGATTGAGCCATCAACAATCGTCTTTGATACGTCATAAACCAAACTTGGGACACTTTTCCCTCCACCCTTTCGTGTATGAGCCGAAGCGGTGGCCGGGGGAGGTTGCGTCTTGGGATTTCGAGGACCGGGCTGTGAGTAAAAATGCATATTGATAGCTGTCTGGCCATGCCCCAAGGCTGCTGGGTATGTATGCTGACTATAATAAGTCTGGCTGTATGCTGTAGTTTGGTTGGGAACAATGGCGCCATGATGAGCCGATGGATTTGGCATGAATGAGTGATAGACCGAGGCACCATGGTGCACAGTAGGTGTATGCTGAGGATGGTGCATATAAGGCGGATAAACCTGGGAAAAGGAGGCACTGTAGGCTGTTCCCCCTGGCGGCGCCCCGTGGTAGGGGGGCATGGGATGTATGGGGTACATAATGCCATGGGTTTGAGCACCGGGATAAAAATGATGTTGAATCGGATGATGGTCGAGATGAGTTTGTGATTGATAACTTGGCAAAGAAGATGTCATGTTGGTCATACTCATTACCGATGGCGCCTGACCATGGCTGCCTTGGGCCACAAAGGTGTGCGATTTTGAATAGTGGTCAAAGGCATCGTCAGATTTGGAGGACTGGGGAGCGGGTTTGGGGCCTGGAAAATGGGCGGAATTTCCTGTTAGTGTAGCACAATAGTGAACATGGTTCGGTTCTGGTCCCAACCCCATTGCTAAAGGCATTTTCGACCTACCAGATGACTGTTGGGGCTTAGCAGATCCCTGCGGTTGTTTGGAAGAAAGATTTATTTCTTCTGATGCTCCCCGTCTCGATCTGGGCTGACCCGAAGACACATCGTCCATGGGGCCTGTCATGATAGAGTAAGAAGAAGAGAATTAGGATCACACAGTACACAGACGCTCACCGCTGTCAGTAGACATTCTAGTGGCAGTTTTCGGTGTTAGAATGAATGGCCAGAACGGTACATACCTTCTTCCAAGCCCTACAATTTGCAGCCGAAATTCTACGTCTTTTGCTAAGGCCACACGTACACGCACACACTAGCAAGTGTGAAAATGCAACTAACAAAATCGCAGGGTTAGAACCGAGACCAAGGAAAAAACCAAGCTGTAAGCCAAATAAAAACCCATATGACGAGATCAATGATTTAAAAGGTCAATTTCCAAAGAAAAGGAGACCAGCAAGAATGCCAGTCATGACTGGGGGAAGGAGTGCGAGGTTGAAGCAGAGTGGAATAGTCAAAAGCGTTGCAGAGCCAGAGCCACAAAAGACGGGCTAATCTGACCATTGACGCCCAGCCCAAGAGGGTTAGGTTCACTCACTCTGCAGCTGACAGGCTGGAATGGGCGTGGACGTACACTCGCCCACCCACAGAAGTGAGTGAAGAGGGGCAGGTGGGGGAAATTTGGATGGATCGCGCAACACGACAGAAGGCAAAGAAAAGGAAGCAGTAAGATGATCGAGAGAGTGGGTTAGGTGAGACTGAAGCCATCTGCTGGGCTCGCCTGAGGCAGCCCAGCCAAAGGGCCAGTGCGAAAGAAGGGGGTTGCAGGTCGGAAAAACCAACGAGGAATGAAAAGAGGTGGTATAGGAACAAAATGGGAAACAGAAATGGGGCATGATGGCTGAGGTAGCCATGACAGGCGAGCAAAAGCCACACACTGAGCCTGGAGCATTCAAATATGACTGGGGATGGGGGCAGCACTTGGTCTGATTCAACCCAATCCGAAGGAAGATGCAGATCAGTGAATGAAAGAGACTAATGAACGTACCTTTGACGATCTAACGGACTGATCAAGGCGAGTAAAGAAAGATTATAATTTTGGTTACACCGGTGGTGATGATCCTGCAATGGATTGAATGATGGATGACTGGATGGGGTGTATGTGTATATATTAGCTAACCACCCATGGAGCACGCCAATTGGACAGAAGAAGCGAGGGAAAGAGAAGAAGGGAAGAGAGAAAGAGAAGGAGCGAAGGGAGGGAGGGGTGGTAAGACTAGAGGTCGTCGACGTGAAGACGCACGACAGACAAACTAGTAGGCCGGAGCGGTATGGAGCCAAAAAAAAAAAAAAAAGAGATAACCTCAGGCAGGACCCAGAAGATTGGCCCGACTAGGATTGGATCTCCTGAGGGAATTTTTTCCCTTTTCCTTTTCTTTTTTTCCTCACTCTTTCTTTCTTTCTTTTTATTTATTTTAATTTCTGCAAGGTGTGGGGAGCCGATAAGGCTAGAACTGAAACAGCACAGACACAAAAAATAAAAGAAGCAATAGCGGACAGACAAGATAGTCGGTGATACATACAGAGGGATGACCGTCTGTTTTAAAGTGTCTGTGGTGGCGATGAGTTTTTAATATAGAACAGCTCCTTCTTTGTCTTCACTTCTTGTCTTTCTGTTGTCGTCTTCTAATTTCAAGAAGCATCGAGAAGAGAAATAGAGCCTGGGATGAACTAGAATAGAAAAGCAGTCTTGCGGGGGGTGAAACAATCCACATAAAGGGATACCAGATCAATTACTCGCGGGTAGAGATCCGTCATGTGGCTTGAAGAGAACAGAAGAAAGAGAGAGAATAGAGACATTGGAAAGGCCCCCACGTCGTAACGCCTCAGGATCTTCCAGATGATCGATATACAAGAGGCCCGATGTTTTCCGTGGAAATATGCTGGGGAGAAATGCGTAGAAGATCGACACGTAAATGGAAGGTCCATCGATGGATAATCCCGAGCAAAGCCACAGACTCTCGCTGGAGACGGTGAGATAATGCCTTTTGCGTGGTGATTTAAGGCTTTTGATAGCATTTCCCTACTGCCCATGATTGGGTACCGCTGCTTTGTCCCTGGCCCGCTGGATGGGCCGATCCATGGATCTTTTTTTTTTTTGTCAGTCCAAAAGTACTTGAATCATGGAGTGGCGGACAGGTCGGAATGCTGTAGCAGCCCAATAATTCTTCAAAATTGAGGGCAAGTATGAAAATAACTCTAAAGGAGAGTGGCAAATGAAACAGATAGTCCTCGTAATCCAGACCCCTGAAGTAGTCCGGATGGTGAGGTTATGTATGCAACTAAGTGGCACCTACTGCATATCAACAGTACATAGTGAAAAAAAGAAGGGGGTCAAAATAATGATAATAATAATAATAATAATGACAATATAAATAATAATCAGATGGTAAAGGACTTTTGCCTGTAGATCAGTCAATACAAGGCAGTCCACTGCCTATGATGGTAGAGATCGACTACACCAGTCAATGAATTGTTGACCAGGGCTAGATTTGCCACTGTTAAAGGAACTTTTTTATTAAAAAAAATAATAAAAAATAAAAAAAAAAAATAAGAAAGTGATGGGGTGTATATAGATCAAAAAATCAAAAAATCAAAAAATCAAAAAATCAAAAAAGAAAAAAAGAAAAAAAGAAAAAAAGAAAAAAAGAAAAAAAGAAAAAAAGAAAAAAAAAAAAAGAGAACAAGAGAAAAAGAAAGAAAGAAAGAAAGAAAAGAGAAAAGAAAACAAGGGTGGGGAACTGTGGTTCAGACCCAGGGTGTACAGACTAACATAGAGTTCCAGAAGGCGAAGAGGTTAAACTGTTGTCATGCATGGTGGATACCAAAACCCAATTCATTCTGGTTGTAATCGAATGATTGGCGGGTTTGTATTGGTGGGGGAAAATGGCCAGTCATTTTATTTCCATTCAATATTTTCTTCTCTGGTCGTCCTTTTTTTTTTTTTTTTTTTCCCTGTAATAATAAGCGATTGATGGATGGGGTTGGTTGGGTACATTCCCACTAGGGCCCGATTCTCAAGCCACCAACCAAGCCAAAGGCGGTAGGCGGCAAGCAAAGGCTATTGCCGCTTGTGGCCTGGCGTGTTCAAGAATGATTGTACTTTGTAGCGGTAGAGGGAGTGATTGACTTGGCAGTCTCATGTAGGGCGCACAACTGCTAGAAAGCAAACTATCAGACTGATCCATATTATTCTTACCTATTGTTATGCTCAGACTTGAGTGAAGCCGTTCTTGTGGAGGATGGAGAGAAAGGATGGAGGGTTCGCGCAGGTGCTGTCAGAAACTGCAGTGGATAATCCCACAGTTGAGTGCCAATGGGCTACGTGCGTAGCTTTAAAGGGTGTGCATACGACGGATAGTCGGAGTCGCAGGCAGAGTCATGCTCTCCACTCTGATTTCTACACCTCTACTATTCCGACAATTAACTCCTCTTTACTCCGTGTAGAGTACCATGTTCAATTTTTTTTTTTTTTTTGCCCCTTTAAATTTGCTAATACGTTGTTTAATTCAAAAACAGCCACAGCATAAGAGCCAGGATGCCCCACCCAACGGCATGAGATACCACCAATCAGGATCTACCCAGATGGACCTCAATGGCATCAACCACAAGCAGCCTCAGGAATACACGGGGCAGTCATTTTTCTCTTCCTTCTCCAATTCCATTCCACGCCGAATCCACCCATTGAGAGGGGCCGGCAATCACAAACAGAACCAATGGTTCTTGCAGGAGGCTGCCGATGGCTTCGTGGGTGGTGGGAACGATCGTCTGTGGCTTACTTTCGTGACGAGGGAGCAGACGAAATGCTTCTTTAGCAGACTGTGTATGAGTCAATGGGCAGAAAATGGCATCATCTGATCAGACCATATTATTTCTTATTGTAGCATATATACCGAAAATTGAAACAATAGCCGACAACTGGCCCGATCAACAAGCCCCAAAATCGTCTCTACACCATGGTATCAGCATACGGTATTCCTCAACAGTCACCGACAAAACCTGCCTGAGGATTTGATTGGCTCTGAGCTCGTGTTATAATAGTGCTCATATGTACGTGCCTTACTTTATTTCTGATTCTACAATATTCCACCTCCGAGCTAAAGCCTCCAGGGTCATATGCATTGCTGGTGGCAAATATTCCCACTTGGACACTCTGATTGGCTGCTTGGCAATATACATAGTATGGATACTACATAAGACATTCCCCTTGATATCTGTTCACATTCAATTTCGTCTAAATATTCTTGCCTCGCGCTTACTAACTTTCCGGACTATGTACATACTCAAAAGTGATTGACGCTCCGTAGATAATAAACTGTACAAGAGCAAAAGTCTACCCCTGTATACACTGCATACACACTGAGGTCATGATGCATCCATCCATGCAGGGATTCAATGCTAATTATCTGCGCCAGCTCGTCATACGGATCCAAAATCCGCCTAGTGAAGGTACACCCATAAGGGCCAGAAGCAATAGTACTAGTATTTTACTATGTACCATGCAGCACTATTACTTGACATCGCACCCGTATCTATCGAAAGAGCATCCCCAATAGATATCCACTTGACTGGAGCCCAATTAATGCAACTGCGAATTCTCCATCTTTCGTGGAGTTGATGCCCATCAATTTGCCACTCGGGGCCATTCTATGCCAATCACCGCTTCTGGTCGAATCCTCGGACCTGCTTATCATTGATCGTCGAATGCCTTTGCTGTCTCTTCGTTTTGGAAGTCAGGCAGCAATATAGCATCGAATGAAATAAATCGATGTTTATTTACTAGGCACTGAGTAGAATTAGCAGACACGGGTGCACATACAGCCAATTGACCACTTCTCATCATGCAATCTGTCCGTCGCCTTTGCTGATTGCTATACCGATGATGTCATCGCCCGTATGGCTCGAGCCTGCACGTGCCACTATGACGACGGTGGTTGTTCTGCGCCGGCACTTATTCGCCCTCTGCCCTCTCCAATCTCCATACCTTGGGTTCCCTCTATCCACTTCCCAATATCCTAGTCAGTCTCAGGCACAGACGCCATTCCCTTTGATTTGACCGTGCTCAGTCTTGTCCTTTCCACTGGCCCTCGCATTCTCCACTTCTCCCCATCAGCCACCACCTCCTCGGCCTCCACCGATTCTGCTTCCTTTTTCCTCATATACATAGTACAACTGTACTATGTAGTATATAGTACGGAGTAATTGACTCTCATCCCAACAATTTCCTCCAATTCTATTAGAGCAGTAAGAGAGACTCCATCATCCGCCCCTCCCCATTCATCTTTACCCCTTTTGATTCAATCATCTGCAAAGGAGTACCCATATGTAACCTTGTCACTTCGAATCACCCTCTCCCTCCGAGCATCGATCAGCTTACATCTCCACTGTCCGTGTCCGTCTTTGGAGATGGTTACGTGTCACTTTCTCTCATGATCCTTTCATGTTGAATTTTTTTCTGTTGTGACTGACTAACGGGGTTGGTTCGTCACTTAGTCAGCATTCTGCATAGACACAGTACAGTAGACGTCCAGGGGAGAGAGCTCGATCGTAGAGTTTCTGTATAGGATTGTTGAATCGCTTCATTGTGGTCATATTGGTTATCTTGAGAATAGCCTGCCTCTGCTCGATCAACTCCATATTCAACCATGCAAAACATGTCGTATCTTGTCTACAGTACAAGAGAATGAGAAAAGAAATTGAAAAAAGAAAAAAGAACGTCCACCAGAGCAAAAAATAAAAAACAATCATCAGAACATCAAGGGATAAAATGAAAGTCCTCAAGTCCTGGTATAAAATAATGCACAAACCCAACTCTCCTGTGTCATGTCATACAAGAGAGCTCCGGGAGTAGATATAGACAAAAGAAAAGAAAACATTAAAGGCATTACATTAAGCATGAAAACCCAACTCATGTATATCCCTCCCAAACCTGGATATGTGTGTGTGCGTGTATCACTTTCGATTATTCCGAGCCCCAACAACAATGTCATCATGTTCACGGAGCCTCATTAGATATAATAATTACTGATTATGGGCGGTTCTGTCGCCCTTATCGATCAATACCAAGAGAGGCGACCTTCCCCGCAAATCGGGCGCCGGCACTTCCTCTCTTATGCAATTTTTCCCGTTCCTTGTTGTCCAAGGAGCTCGGTGCGTTGGACAATGACCCGGGGTTGTCGTTCCCGGCTCCCCGGATTGAGGGGAGTGATCCTAATGTGTCCAATGTGGCTTTGCCCGACACTGGTGCTGCTGGCGGCGAGCCAAACGCTACCACTCTAGCCGTCCGCTGACTGAGGTACAACTGAGCTGCCGGCGAAAGAGGGATAGGCGGTGGTTGCGAAGGAATCTCGGCCCCGTTCTGCACAAGTAGTTCAGCAACCGGGAAAGGGATCGCCTTCACAGATGTGGCTGTAGTGGGTCGAGAGGGCAGGCTGGTTGGGGTCGATCCCGGTGATGCAGGATCCGCCGCTGCCAGAGCAAGGAAAATCGCGTGCGTGTTCCGAGAACGGTCAGTTACATTGACATTGGCTCGCAGCGCAATGCCGTAAAGAACGCCTTGGATGTCATTCTTCTTAATTGAGGCAAGAAGAGTTTCGTCGGATGTCCCGAAGCGTGACTGTGATGAAGGCAGTTGCTGCACATAGGCCCTTTCACTGTACTTGGCGCTGATGAATTTCAGCCGCTGCTCCCGAGTAGAGTTGGCTGATGGTTTCTGCGTTTGGTCTAGAGTGGCCTCCCAGATCATGTTGCTGACGCGGTTGCCAATCTGCAGCAGTATCTCGACAATATCGTTTGAGAAGGAGTTCACATCGAGTGTGAGAGACCGGATTTTAGATATGTGTGTTCCAAGGGACCGATGAATACCGCTGCACTCGATGCACAGCACAATCCCCAAGTTGATAGACACCCACTCGACTTTGGATGCTGATCCGCAATCTGCACACCAATTGTTACCCTGGTCCGCATCGCGAACGGCTTGAAGCAATTTGGACGGGTTTTCTTCGTAGTTGTTGCTATCATTGCGCACGTAGCTTGGCCGTGCACCAACTGTTGTCCGGCGGCTCACAGTATTGTTCGAGTTTGTGGAATGGGAGTGCTGGCCTGAATATGAAGAACTCTTCCCAGTCAACACAGAGCCAATATCGCGCCCAAACGAGGGGTTATCGTTCTTAGAGGATACTGGGGGCGGGGACATGCCTCGACCTTCCACAGCACTCTGCAAGGCATTATTGATAGCCCGGATCCAGTTACCCATATCGTCTTCCGATGTTGCCTGGTAAATTCGCTTGTACTGGGGCGTTATGACTTCAAAGCAGAACCGGCGCTCGGCATTTCGTGCCTCTCGCACAGACGCCATTCGTAAGTCGATGGGGTCCATATGTAAATCCAGCTTTTGTTTCCAATTGCTGTATTCCGAAAGTTTGCCTTGATCCAACACAATCCAGAATCTGCCAGGGGGGTTAGTTGTGCAGTATATGAGAGGAAGAGGGATTCTCAACTTACTTATGCCACGCCTGTTTATTGATCCCTTTCGGATCGATATGAGACCCCGGTCTCGAAAGTGCCCAGAGAAGTCCCTCTTTTCTTTGCTGGCCTGCAGCATTGTCAGAACCTAGGGAATCTCGCTCCTCAAGATCCCGGATGCCCTTGAAGCGGTTTTGAGCAGACGTACCAGTCGAACCTATGCTCGAGGTAACATTGGGCGCCCCACCCGATGTGTTGAGCCCTACGGGATTCGCCTGAGATGACAGGGAGGAACTGTTGCTAATAACGCTTCGTAGTTGGGATCCAGTGCTATCCGCGCGGCCCAGTTCGCTCTCGGGGTTTTGGTTTCCATTAGCATTTCCGGTCGTGGTTGACGGTGGGCCAGGATTGGATAGAGAATCAGGCTCGAGATAGGTATTGCTATTTTTCTCCAATGCTCTTCGCTTTTCTTCTCTCTCTGTCCTCAGAAACTGAAACTCCTTGTCGGCCTGGCTGACTTCATGTATGAGAGCGTCAAGTTGAGGGACCATTTCTTCAATCTTTTTGGATGCTGACAAAAAGCTCTTGGCCTGGGTATCCGCATATTTGGTCAAGTGAGACAGAACTTCCTGTTCTTTTCGGCCGCCATGGAGATCCTGCATGAACGAGGAATAATCGAAACGCCTTAACTCGAAATTTCTCCGCTTAGCCTGGTATTTGGAGTCACTTTCTGCCCGCTTTTTCTCTTTTAATGAGTCCTGTCGCTGTCCGAGATAGCGGCTGACATATGCATAGTAGTCCCTGCTCTCTTCATCAAATTCTTTCTTCTTGGCCTCGGCTTGTTTGATGTCATTATGGTAGAGTTTGACCAGGGGTTCAATAATGAGTTTCTGAAGCTGAACCGTATTCAGTTGCTCGTAACTCAAAATCTGCCGCGCGATTTTTTCGAAATAGTGGTCTAATGCTGGCTGGATTGCATTTGCATTTGACGTTGAGGCGTCGTTCAGTGCAGTGAGGAATGCCTCTACGGCATCATTGCAAGCCGCCTGGGCTTGTTGGGCAGCTTCGGCTTTCTTGAGCACTTTCTTGATTTTGCTGCGCATATTACCTGTTTTCTGCTCCAAAGCCTTCATCGTCGCGCGGAACAACGGTCCATCTTCAACCACACTCATGTCTTCTCCTGGTCGGGAATGTGGAAGATCAACTTTGACGGGAGGCGGGGGAGCGGAGGCTTGGTTATCGTTCACTTCTGGTGGCGTACTTGGGGGTATATGAGGGTTGGGCGGTGCGTCTACATCGCTGGAATGCGAAAGAACGGACTGTGAGGAGGGGATGCGATTGCGAACTGGGAAATTGATTTCCAAGTTGGGTGACAATATCTGCGGACTTGGAAGCAAACGAACGGTGTTATGTACCCAAAACGAAAAATGGGCGAGAGTGTTCAAGCGGTTCGTCCTTTGGTCATAATCCAAGAAACTGCAACTGTTGCGCCAACCGCCACCTCTATCCTCTATTGTCTTGGGGGGTTTCCATTTCCAGGACCAGTCAAATTGAACGGATGGGCTGCCTCCCGTTGAGTAGTCCCCGACCAACTGCACGTTCGAATTATTCTGTAGATTAGGGTTTGCATGGAACTCCCTGGTAATCAAATTATCCAGTTCCTTGGAGTTGGACGCATGCGCAAACGTGAGGCCTGTAAGTACGGTATCAGACACCTCTGGAAGAGAGGTTGAGACGCCATTGACCTTGGAACTCGCAACATTGCCGGTTTGAGTCTGTCTTAATATGAAGGTGAATTTAAAATTAAGTTCTTCCTCGTTGTTTAAACGTAATAGGAACGAGGGTACGGGCGCGGAGGACGAGAGATCGGGGTCCTGCGAAGCAAAAGAAAAAAGTCAGTAAACAGAACAGCACATATCGCCCATTTCCGAGGATAACCCGCTCAATCGCCCACCTGTATATACTCAATCGGACTATCATCACCACTGTCGCGCCTGGCTGTATATCTAGTGGCGGGAAATGAATTTGGAACAAGGTTCAATAACACCCGTTGTCTAGAATTGCTTATCGTAACGGAAGCGATCGTAACTATTACAGGGTGGAAGTTAGCACATCATTATCGGACAAATCGAAAGCAATCCCACGAGAAAAAAGAAGAAAACATACACCTTGCCTGGTCCTTGAAGAACAAGCTCCCGGAGTCATCTAGACGGCTTCCAATATTCCCCATGGTGCAGCTGCTGGTAAATAACTCAAGTCACCGCTCGAGAGGGAGTCCGGAGAGGTACCGGGCCAGTTGAAGGTAACCATCGACAGCCTGCGCGCGCACAGTCCGACGAAGGCTGGAATGGCGTCGAAGACCCGACGATAAAGAACGTGCAGCCCGGCAAATGAGCCGTCATCCAGCCAGGAATTCAGCTGTCTAACGTTGTCTCGCGGTCGGAATTTGGAAGAAGGGACGGTCGGAGAACAGGAGGGGGACTGTGGGAGAGGAAGTGATTGTTGTTATTTTTCCCCCTTTATCTTTCTTTTGCGTCTGGGCGTGTTAAGCTGTACCTGCAGAGAAAAAGCTAAGAAAGAAGAAGAAGAAGAAGACCAGGAACTAAAAGGAGGAAGGGGGGTGTGGTGTGCGTGAGTGGGCGAAGCTTCTCAGATGTAGCGAGTGATGTGATGGGGAGGAATGTTTGATGGGCGAAGCGCCTTGGACGGCGATTAGGATTAGTAGCAGATCTCGGGGGGCTTAGACTCCAAGGCACACTGTGCCGCGGGTTACCCCTCGATTCTTATATTATTTATTATTATTGTCATTTTCATCAAGGCATTTAAGTTGCTGAAAGGAAAAAAGAAATATATATTTATATTTGTTACATTAGTCTCGCATGTCTCAACCCATCCACGTTCTTTGGTCAGCAGCCCCATATCCCGAGACAAAGTAAAACACGATGTGATATATATCCAGACATACATCCCCAGGTCATAAACGACCACAATGTGGGCATTCCGCCCGTGGAAGGATCTATTATTATCATTTAACTAGTGGTTTAATTACTTTCTATTGCTTTATTACCATATATCTACGAGAGTTGATGCAACGGGTGATCCAGTTGCCTGCTGGTCATCGTATCTGGTCATCTGCCAGGACTTGGCATCAATTGTATCAAGGCACATTAAATTGAGAAAACGACAAGAAGAGTTTGATGTGATAGCACTGAATATTCGCTGCTCTCAAGGGATCCATGCTCAGAATCCCTGCGGATGAGCATTATGCATGAAGTAGCTGCTTCGCCGTTGTCTCCAGTCAGTCCAGTGTTACAGAGTATGCAAGGAATTTGGCGGCTAAATCTCACACAGCCACTGCAGACTAAGAAACCTGCAGCTGTAAGGCCGTGTGAGGTTTTTTTTTTTTTTTAAAAAAAAAGTAAAAAGTAGCATAAGAAAACCAAGTAATAATAATCATGATCATAATAATAATAACAATAGCTCCAAGTGATCATGATGGAGTTCTAGGGTATGTAAAAATGACCCTTGGATCTAGGGTTGTAGACCGGGGTAGTTAATTAGATCAGCAATGGCCGTGACTGAAAGGTATAAATAACTCGAAGAAGAAAGAGAGAAAGAAACAGAGAGTATAATCAGGATAAAGAACTATGAAAGTCCAACTTGTCAAAAACCCAAAATACGTATGCATTGGGGTTTCAATTTGATTGTTGGGGGTGGCTGGGCTCTTCGGCGCACTTGGATGAATTTGGGTCCTTAGAGGCTGGATGTTTTCTTGGATGCAGGTGGGTTTTCAAATTGCCGTGGTGCCCATCGTGGTGTCCATCTTGCGCCCACCTCATTACCTGACCTTTCACGTCGCGCATCTCATGTACCCTTTGAGCGAATTCTCCTCGATGTTTGGTCCTCCGGCCGCTCCGTTCATCAAGTTCTTCCTCATCGGAGCTGGAGATGGACAGAGAAAGAGAGGAGGTGCTGCTCTGCTGAAGATATGTCATTTGGCGGCCCTCACTCGTCTTACACTCTCTTTGCTCGTCTTTCAATGTTCCCATCCGTTCAGCATCCTCTTGAGAATCCAATGTGGTAACGTGGAGACCGGGAAGGTTTACCGCAATGAACTCCTTCAGCAAATGCAAATATTGACCATTAGGGCGATAAGTTCCGCTATCATTGTCGATAAAAAGTTCGTAATCAGAAGGGTCAGTGGAGGCTTCAGGCATTATATCCTCGGCAGGCTCCTCGACAGGAATCTCATTCTCCGACTGTTCTGTAACATGGGAACGGCGTCGATGACGGTGCTTGCGCCGACGAAGGAAAAACTCGCCAGAATATGCTATGTATATTGAGACATTACTATGCATCGTGTGCTTGCTCAGTAGGTCAATGCCAAACTCCTTGCCCGTCTCCGTGAAGCGGAACTGTCCATCAAGAGTCAGAACATAGGTGAATATCCGCCCGCCTTCGCCGTAATGAACAAATTCCAGGAATTTCTGAGTAAGTTCAACACAGGGGCAAGAAAATTGGCCGTCCAAGGTTGTTCGGTCAAAATTGTAGATCCGGTCATGCTGATGATGTAGGGCACGGTTGAGAATCCGCCCCCGCAAACTCTTCGAGGTGAACATTCCCGCCACGAATGGTTTGAACTCGACATAACGATGGTAGAGCTTTGCCGGAACGGGTCCTGTCAGCTGTATCTGAATGGCTTGGAAACTAAGACAGGGAAAGATGTGAGCATCGGCATGGAAATCGCAAACATATGGTCCCAGGGGGAAATGAAGAGAACATACTTGTAACGGCTCACTGCCTTTTTGCCATTTTGAGTCTGGATCTCATCTTTCGTCCCGGCCAGTCGACCGATCAGAGGCGAAAAGTGTTTGAACCAGTAGTTGGGCCCAAGAGTGTACATGCGTCCACCCTCATTACCGGGGGTCTTCCCCAGACATTCAACACTGACAATAATATACGCGCCGGGATCGTGACGTCGCGAGGCTAAGGCAGCGAGGTTCCCAAAGACATAGACGCGCTTGCTAGCCTTTCGCTTCTTGACTTTGAACCGCTGCTCTTTAATCCCAGGCCAGCCTTCCGAAATCGAACCGACCTCCACATATGCATTTCCCAGCCTATCATCATGGTCCGCTGCGTCCTCGTCATACACGCAGCATTTCAGCTCGAACCCGGAGGCTGGGACGTTGGCGACAATCCACTCGCTGTTCCATGTCGGGTTCGTGTCTTTGCGCACCGTTGGCGTTCGAAAGCACAGCTCCGGGTTCTGTTTGTGCCGTTTTGGGAGGTCGACTAGCAGCTGTGCCCACACATATGGGTCCGAGGAAAATGTGCCAAAGTCAGCAACTGGAAGATTGTCGCCTCGGTGAAAGGAAAATTTGAGGGTGTACCCAGGCGGCGCGTGGGGAATCGGAGTGGTGTCGAAACCCCCCGCGGGCTGGTCGTCGCTCTCTGCAGCGACCTTCATGCTAGTGACTGCGCGATGATGAAGCTCCTCCGTTTTGTCGACCAATTTTGGACCATACTTGTTGACATTATGTCGGGGTCGCGCCTGCGGCTGATTATTTTCTTCATGGTCCATCTTCTTCCCCAATAATCAAATTTATTGTTGCTGCCTGCGACAGGATCGATCGGACTCCGAGAGATGCAGGATAGTGGAGCCCTGTGGTGTCATCACAAGACCACGTACAGCCGTGGTTGTATGTATGTATGTATGATGTAGTAAGTAGTACAGAAGGAGGGGAAAGTTGGAAAGGGGGAAGATATCAAAAGAGGGAAGATCACAATAATCATATCCACCCGTAAGGCGACCTTCAGGGATCGCCTTCTCGCCCCCATCTGTCCGTCTTTTATTATTATTATTATTATTATTATATATATATATATTAAAAAAAATAGAAAATAAAAAATAAAAAATTCTGGCCGTGCACGGAACTGGAAGGCGTTCCTCGGCTCCTGGTAGGGCTGGCGAAACAAGGCCAAGCTTTGCCAATGACGATCGATGGGATTCTTGTTCATGATGAATTCTGGAATTCTGGAAGATGTAATGGAATGTAAGACGGATCAATGTAATGTTTGAAGGAGGAGAAATGGGCCGATTACTCGGTTTTTCGCATGGCATAGTTTAAATGGCTAAAGTTGGTTTGCTACAAGCAGTCAAGCTTCATTTGCGCTCTAATAGCTATGTCTGTTTATTAAATAGGTCTTTGGATGGTCATTATCATATTTTTCTTTTCTTTCTTGTTTTTTGCCCCTTCCCTTTCTCTCGCATTTATTCTATTTCATGGCCAACGGTATTGGCTTGAGTGGACCCATACCGGCTTGCATGGAACAAAATGAGCAAAAGTAATTCATATCATGTCGTCCCAGGCAATTCGCCGTGGAAAATTGATCTTTCTGACCGGATCGTATGAAACAGCTTGAGCCTGCAAGTGGTAGTTACTAATGTACAAGGGTAGCGCCTGATCCTCGAGGGTTCTGGCTTCCCATATTGTAATCACGATCCCCGGAACAAGAATTGCATGTCTTCGGGAGTAAGCTTCTCCAGTGCTTCTCCTTGGTCCTTGTTGATCGTGCCGTTGATCAGATTGGCCTTCTTTTCTTGGAGAAGAACGATACGAGATTCCACCGAATCCTCAATACATAACCGGGTGATGACGCAGGGTCTTCGTTGACCGATACGATGGCATCGATCGGCACTCTGCCATTCCGCGGCGGGATTCCACCACCTAGCGATGATCGTTAGCATAGGAAATAGAGCTACTTGACTATCTAGGAAGAAACTCACGGATCAACGATAAATACCCGGGATGCCTCAGTCAGGTTTAGAGCGACACCTCCGGCTTTGAGGGACACAAGGAAAACTTCGACATCCACATTCTTCATGAAATAGTCAATTGACTTCTGACGCTGCGCTGGTGTCATGGTGCCGTCAAGCATGACAGTGTTGAAGCCAGCTCGGCGCAGACGCCACTCGACGAGCTGGAGCATTGATGTGAACTGAGAGAAAACGATTGATTTGTGAGTTTGTTTCTTGCTTCGCAGTTTGTACAGCTCGTAGACAAGCATCTCAATTTTCGTTGAGGATGTCCAATCTTCCATCCGAATACGGTTGATGATCGAGTTCTTTTTGATGTGCTCTTCCTCCTGCTCGATATCCGGTTGTTCAAAATCGATCGAAAGAGGAATATGGCATCGTGGACAATCAACGACGGAGTCAGCATCAAATGACCGTATATAGTCTTTGGCGCATCGGCGACAGAATTCATGGTGGCAACGAGATCGAATGGCTTCCTCGGCAGGTTCATCGCAAATACTGCAGACGAGAACATTTTGTCCGTTTTCGGCATGTTTCTTCAAAATGAGATCTGGATGATTTGCAACTTGGCGCATCTGCATGATAAGACCGAAAATGTTGGCATAGTTGTTCAACATGACTCCTCGGCTCACGTATGTATCGAATTGTCTTGAAGAGTTAGTCATAATGCTCCTGGAGAAATCACGTTCAATTTCGCCAAAAAATTCATTATGCAAAATAACCCGTTTTGGTGGAAGTTCCATTGAGGCAGTGTGATCGCGCTTCACCCGCCTGAGCATGATCCTATCTGTTACAAGACGCAACTTGGATAATGCCTCCTTTCGAGCCTCGGTATTATTTCTTTCAGTGACTAGCAGGACTTAGAAAGAGCGTGTGTGGTAAAGCTGTGCGTAAACCTACTAGGATTAAGGATCTCCTGGTTGAAGACAGAAACGTGACTGAACCCGCTGCAGAAACCATTAGATCAAGCATTCAAAGGCAATTTCCAAAGCATCTTACCTGTGTTTGCAAGAAGTGCATCGTTTCTCTGCATCTTGGGACCAGTGAAGTTGTTGACACTTGCACTGCTTACAGAAGTAGCAAGCAAATGGACGAACCTCCAAGAAGCGCAAAAGAGAGAAGAACTCTCCAATACGGTTTTGTACAGGCGTCCCAGAAAGACACCACTTATAGGTAGATTTCAGAGCAAAACAAGCACGTGCAACACTTGTAGTGCGTTGCTGGTAATGTCAGCAAAGCTGATTAAGAACCAAACAAAAATTCAAGAAGTCCGTACTTTGATACTATGTGCTTCGTCGAGAATGAGCCGATGGTAGTGAATGGAGTGGATAACACCTTGTCGAAGTTAATATGTACTAGACTTGGTATGTATTGACACCATGTACTCACTGTCTTCTTTCACAATCCCATCGTTGCGATTCCACCCTTTCCATTCCTTCCGATGCAATGACTCGAGGCCAGAATCTAAACCGGAAGTTAGGACAACCCACACGATCCCAGTGATTTAACTTACAGGATATCATTATCACATCATAGGAATTTAGATCTTTTTTCGTAAGATGTTTGACTTTGGAATTTGAATTGTGATAAACGAGAACCTTTAGTTGGCCATTTGTATATTCCTGAAAACCATTAGAATCGTGTCGATTACAATGCACTTGATTTAAAAACCTGGATCTCAGATTGCCATTGCATTAGAGCAACTGGAGGTACGATGACAAGTGACGGTTTTCCAACAGGATAATCGGACATGAGCAGAGAGACAGCCTGAATAGTCTTGCCCATACCCATCTCATCACCCAGCAGACCACCCTTGTAGTGTGTTTGTTCTTGCCGCACCATCCAATCCAAACCCTCCAGCTGGAATGGCTTCAACTGTCTCGATATACCTGCAGGCTGTTCTGCTGGCACCGGTGTGATTGGAGGGGTGTTCCTCAAATCATCCCACATCTTGATGATAGTTGGATGCTGCTTTTCAAGCTTCTGTCGCTCTTTGAATGCCTGTGAAACAATATTAATAATAGTGTCTATGGGCATAAAAGAGCTCATGCTTACACGATAGCTCATCCATGTATTCCCAGAAGTTACCCTACTAAATTCAGAAAGCCGGGAGGCTTGTGTCCGTCCTCGTCCTCGACCTCTCCCACCTCGCCCACGTCCACTAGCATTGTTTCCGGCTCTGGACCTGCGAGAGATGAGTGTTTCGTCCTCAACGGCCGAAGCCGAGTCTTTGGAGCTGCTAGACTCAGAGTCACTTTGATAGTCATCTTCAAATTCCTCATCAAGGGCGTTTTGATCATCATTATCCAGAGAGGCAATGTTTCCCGCTGACCGAAGGGAGTTTCTAGTCTTGCGAGGTGGCTGCCATTGCTGGAAGTCATCATCATTATCCACATCCAGATCGGAAAGCATACTCTCATCATCGGTAGAGTCTTCGACACCAATTTCATCAAGACCTCTACCAGTCAAAGTTTTCTGTCTCTTTGGGAGGGGCTTTTGATATTCTTTGAGCTGAAGGTCACGGGCTAAAGCAGCATCCGAATTCTCAGCGGTAGAGCTGTCGACCGATATTGCAGCAGCAGACCTTTTGACACCTCGTGTGCTGTTGAGTGACATTGTGCTTGAGCGTAGTTCTCGGGCACGAGCAGCAGCATTGACTCTTTTTTTGGGGTTGCCAACGTCGGACTCAGCAGGAGTAACAGCAACACTAGTTGCCGGGGTATTGGATCCGTTCGATCCATTTCTCGACACATCCTCAATCGAAGCGGAAGAGGAGGGTGACTCTTTCTTTATCGGAATGGCAACTTCCAAAGATCGTAAGCTGCAGCCTGGAAGAGATCCGACAGTGTTTAGATCGCTCATCTCCTCGTCGTTATCTGCTCCCTGGACATTATCCTTTCTAGTGTTGACAACGGAAGACTGGGCTAGTCTCATGGAGGTGCGTCTGGCCGGAGGGTTATTCGAAGGCATTTCTACCGACTGAGGGGTATCTGTATGTAGAAAGTCCATTAATATCGAGGCAATTTAAAAAAAAAAGAAAAGAAAAGAAATAAAATGACTGGGAAGGGAGGCCGAGCAACGACTCAAAGCTTACCAGGACGGGACATGGCTGCCCTCGCTGTAGATGTTCTTCTCACCATGACTATTGTATATTCCCCTTCCGACTTATGATTCCACCAAGTGAATGTAGGATGGTTTGCCGGACATTGACCTGCGACTGTTCTGCGTGCAGTTTGATGGACGCTATGTAGATCACGGTGGCGTTGAAAGTACGAGGGTGTGCGGGTATCGGAAAAAGGAGCTGAGGCAACAAGTTTGGAAAAGGAGGAAAACTCTTCATTCACCAGGGCAGCTGCCTAATCCCTCCCGCCCTGAAAAAAATTAAATTATATACCAGACCACAAATCTGAGGCGATTTGTCCTCCCTTTCCCCGAACGAGAGACGTCTTTGTTATCGCAGTCCCCAGAACACGAAGCGATAAGCCGAGCGCCGAGTCGCGTTAAGTGGAACGCGAAATCATCACGGATCCTGTGACTTCAGACTACCTTCTTGACCTCGAATTTACAACCCAGGTTTGAGCTTCTATCCCATCAACCAAGCCTGAGGCGGCTTAATTCGGCAGGATGTAAGCGGGTGATGATTGAGTCATTGGGAACTATGGTGTTAACTGCTACAGGACACGGACAAGAAACCAAATCAGGGGACCGTATGCTTATTCCCAAACAAGTACGAGATATGAACCTTGAACTGACAGGAAATTACAGGCACTCAGCATTAACTGATTTTCTGGCCGTAAGCCTCTTCACTTTTGGTATTGAAAATCCTTCCTAATACCCATTGTCTAGTCCAACAACATATCCGCTGCCCAGATCCAAGAAGATCACCAACGACGTCTCAGAGAGGCCGAGCAACAGGCGGCTACTGAAGGGGCCGGAAATACTGCTGAAGAAGAATACGAAGATGATACCAATGAGACACCAGAGCAAAAGAAAAAGCGCAAGCGACAGGAGACGGTCGCACTGGCGAAAATCAAGCAGAGCAAGGAGTTTGCCCGCCGCAAATCGAGGCGTGTCGGAGAGCCCGATGACGATGAAGATCACATTGCCAGAGAGATGATGCATGAAAAATCTCGACCGATGCCAGGTCAACTAGAGAACTGCGAGGTTTGCAGCAAGCGCTTTACGGTTACACCTTATAGCAAAACGGGCCCGAACGGGGGACTTCTCTGCGCCAAGTGCTCGAAGGAAGTGGCAGATGGCGAAAAGAAAAACAAAGCTAAGAAGCGTGGACCGAGGACTGGCCGCCGTCAGAACCAAAGCAATTTGCTCGATGGGATTGCTCAACATGGTGCTCTGAGTCTAGTTGAATTGTGTACTAGAGTAAACCTACCATTCCCTACCAAATTAGCGGACTGACATGCTAACTTTTTGCAGAAAGTTGCAGACAACATCAACGATATCGAAGAATTCGGAGACTTGCCGTCGTCGTTGCTACATCGTCTCAGTCAGATCTTGTCCAAGAGACGCGTTCTGACCCCAAGGACTCTGAACTTGTTTCTTCGCCCCGATTTGAGATCCATTGACATCTATGACTGTGGGAGTATGTGCGAAATAAATTATTGCAGCTATTTAGTATGCTAACTAAACGTACAGAGCTCGAAACTGATGATTTTCAGAAGATATTCGCTTTCATGCCTTCACTGACGCACGTCAATCTCCGCTTTGCCGGACAGATGAAAGACAAGGTCTTTGAATACATGGTGGATCGCGACTTGAAGATCAAGCATCTACAATTGGATGCTGCTAACCTTGTATCCGACGCCTCCTGGAAACAGCTATTTCAGAAAGTCGAATCACAGTTGGAGAGTCTCAAGTTATCTAATCTTGATTTTTCATTTGATGACAACACCGTTGAGGAGATGTGCAAATATTGCTCGGGGCTTCAACGACTTAAACTAAAGCAATGCTGGAAAACAGGCGACAACTCCCTTCGGGCCATCTCGACCTTGAACTCGCTAGAACACCTGTCTTTGAATTTTGTTCAAGAAACGAACGGCGACAACCTTGTCGAAATCATTGCACGCCTTGGTCCAAATCTGCGAACATTGTCATTGGAAGGTTTTTGCGACGCCGATGACCGCCTTTTGGAAAATATTCATCATCAATGCCGTTCCCTATCTAAACTGCGATTGTCGGACAATGCTGTGTGCAGTGATAGGGGATTTGTCGGTCTTTTCCAAGGTTGGCTCAACTCTCCCCTGGAATATGTGGACCTCTCATCAACCCGAGATGTGGATAACTCAAACCCGGATGGACCAACCGATGCAATCGGGCTTGCATCGCAAGGATTTATAGCTCTGATGAACCACTCTGGCTCTAAGATACATACATTAAAAATCCCATCTTGCCGTCACATATCTCACGACGCGTTTGAGGAAGTATTCTCCGAGGGGAAGAGCTACCCCCACTTGAAGGAGCTGGATGTGTCCTTCCAAACGGTCATGGACGACTATCTGGTTGGGTGTATCTTTCGATGTTGTCCAGCGATTAAGAAACTGGTGGCCTTTGCATGCTTCAATGTGCGGGGGGTCCGGGTTCCTATGGGAGTGGCATTAATCGGAGGCTTGAAAGCACAGGATCCGATGATTGTCGAAGGTGAATTCTAGGAACCGCACAATTGAAACGAGGCCGACTCATTCGCCGAGCTTAATGATAACTATTTCCTCCCCATCTCTGAGCAGGAATGATGATTTATGAAATAATAGATTTGATCTTAATGATCGCCTTTACAGGTACTAGTGATGCTAGTTAAAAGCAGCCTAGAAAGAAGAATTGTAATCATATGATCTAAAATCCAATGGTGTGTCAGACGATGTACATTGCTAAATAACTAGTGAAAGATTATCACCTGTCTTCCAATACAATAGCTCCACCCATCATCACCGCCTATCGACTACTACAATAGCAGAGGACGCAGTATTCCGATGATAAAGAATTCAGAAACACAGCTTCGTCAAGATTGAAGAAAGGTTTGTTCTGTAAATCAAACGAGATGGAATAACAACCCCAAGTCGCACACACAGCCGATTCCTACCAAACTCCAATCTGTCCTGATCTCCCGAAACTCCAATGGTTAGTGCATCTCACTTTTAGTGTTTCGGGCTTCGGGCCATCACTAGCGCCTCTGACCCAAAAGGTTTTGCACCAGTCTGTGGGTTAGTATTTGTATTAGTATGTATTATTATTGAGCTACCGATCAAGGGAGAAAAAAAAAGAAAAGAAAAGAAGAAAGGAGATTGATGAAACAAACTGGGAACATGCTAGCCTTACCGGTTGAAAATGATGATGATGGGATGATGCGATGTAGTGGTGTTTCACTGCGCAAATGATCAGACTCGCCTGTCTCAGCAGTGCCTCTGATAGCGAAGGGCCACTGGGAGCTCCTGATTCGCCCGACTAAGAATAACCCCTGGCCCCTCCATTGAGTGAGTCGCTTTTCAGCTTTGCTCCAAACAGGTCGATTTTTATCATTCTTGAGTCTTTCTTTTTTCCATCTCTTTTTCTCCTCTTTCGCCCCTCTCTATCTATCATCTCTCTGTCCCTCTTTCTCTTCCTTCTCACCTCCATTCTATCTCACTGATAACCTGTCCTGCTGGTCGGCTATATTTGGCATTTTATTGATCGTTGCTGCACATCCAAAACTAGCGCCCTTAAAAGCTCCACTTTCCTCCACATCCAAAAGTGACCGGGTCGGTTTGTTGATTGTTCTACTGCTTCTAAGGTACGTTCGATACTGGATACTGCGGCGACTTGTCAAGTATCATTTTTCTCTTTTTTTTTTCTCTCGTTTTTTGCTCTCGGCTTTTCGTCGCCTCTTTTTTTTTTTTTTTTTTCCACGCTCAATCTACTGCTCTGTCATCAAACCGAAATTTCTGTCCTTGGTCATATCTGACTCCAACAAAGTGGCTCTTTTTGGCCCGCCCATTCATCCCATACACATAGACTTCCCTCTGGCCGAGGCACTGAATGGTTCTGATCAGACGCTATCGGCTGCTCCGTGTACCAGAAGATTCCCTCTGGCTAGCTCGCTCGCTCACATTCTCCTACCAACCTTTTCCCCTAATAATTCAAATTTGATCCAATTCCCATCTGCAAATTTCAATCATACATCTGTGACGGTCTGATTCTCATTCTTCGGCGTCGCCTTGACACAAAAAAGCCCCACCTCGGAATTCAACTGCTTTGGAACTGGTCCAGACTCCAATCCTCCGTACCGGTCCAAAACATAACTTCCTCTCCGAGCCTAGCCACAGGCACTTGTTTATGAGAAACGAGTAGTACGACCGAAAAGGAAATAAATTGGGCGGCGACATACTGCAGGTGCTGGTATAGCTTGTCGGTCTCTTCCGTGAAAAAGTGGTTCCGGGTTTACCAGTCAGGTTCAGCTCAGATGCCAATAAAGCTGCCCAAAGGCTTTACCCGGCGGAAATCGTCTGGGAATGTGTTAGATGAGGTTGAAAATCCTCCTCAGTCTTCTTTCCGTGTCTTTGACCGCACGTCGGGAGACAGGAAATCTTTCAGTGATGTCAATCTAATAAGGAGATCGATGACTGAAGGGCACCCATACTCGCCTACGGAGGATTCGGACAACATTTTTGCTCCATCGGAAAAGCCACAGTCCAAAAATCGGTATGGTCATACTCCCCCGCAGTGTCTGGCTTCGCATGGAAGCAACTGACATGTCACAGTGGTGGTGACGAGAATTCACCGTCAGTACGATTCAGCACCTCCTCAGACGCACCGAGACAAGGCGACGCCCAATCGACGCATTCGAGAAATTTGCACGATATACCGATTCCCCCACTCACTGGTGCTTTACGAGCAGCAACTCGAACGTTCTCCCTGGGTGGAAGACTGTCCAGGACGTCGACGAACACTCCACCGCCTCAGAAATCAGCAGCCAACTCAAAGAACAGTCCTATGGAAGCGAGCACCGCGAGCACTCCAACTCCCCCCAAGCTGTTGGATGCAGATTTGAACCTGGGGAAAATAGACAACGATTTTCAAAATATGCTGAACGATTTCGGGCAGCGAGAAAACATGGTACGGCAGATACTGATGGCTGCATTCATTGTTAACCCCTCTAGGTCATTGCTGACAACAAATTATAGCATGCGCCCTCCACACCAGACGACTCAACCATGAGTTTTCGAAAAGATGACAAGGCATCACGGCCGGCACCTATTAATACCGACCGGTCCAGGGAAGTGGAGCCTTCACCGTATTCCTGGGATAGTCGCCATTCAGAAGAAGGATTGCTTAATACATACGACTCGATGCCGACAGCTACCACCGCCCATCGTTCTCTAGAGAAACCCAAGATTGGGAACGATCGAGGATTGAGAAGAAGCGTTATGTACTCGGGAAAACGAGCATCCACAACCTTTGAAGACGACGATTCTAAATTGATTATGGAGTCCCTGTATTCGAAGGGTGGCTCCCAGTTACACTTGGCATTGGACCACGACGCCTCGGACGCAGAAAACGAGACCCCTCTCTTCGGAAATGGGAAATTGTCGGCCCCAGGCCATTCTGACCGCCGTGTGCCCGTTCCCATACGGGCTCACAAGTCACCTGGTCCAACCGAGTTACGACCAGACCCTTCAATTGCAGCACACGCTAGATTAGCTGCACGGTACGAACAGAGTCTGCCGAAGACCAATTCATCAAATAAAATCATGACACCTTCTCAATTTGAACACTATAGACAACAACAAGAATTGAGGCGGTCGAACAGCAATGCATCGAAGAGTGAAGACTCCGCGGAAAGTGAATTCGATGAGGAAGATGAGACGGAGAAGAACCGCGAAGCTGAAAGACAGAGGCGGAAACAAGAAGCCCATTTGTCGGTGTACAGACAACAGATGATGAAGGTGACTGGACAAAAATCTCCAGCGCCCTCGCTTCGTCCAGAAATGGACCGGGCCAGCAGTAGCACGCCTAATCTGACAACCCGCTCATCCAATCCCGAATATCATGTTGAAAGTGGAAAGAGCAGCGATGGAGGAGACGAAGATGAAGAGATCCCATTGGGTATCTTGGCAGCACATGGGTTCCCGAACAGGAACCGCCCCCCAACCCGCCTGACCTCTTCCACCTCTATTCCGAATCTCCGGGCCTCATACCAGCCGTACGTATCGTCCCCGGGTTCCGGTGGATCTGCAGAGAATGACATGGGTAACCGCGGCAGCTTGCCTGCATTTGCGCGGAACTTACCGCGGGACCCCTACTATGGCGCTAGTTTAGTCAACCCCTCCAACCGAGAACCTCTGGCTCTGGGTGCAGGCGCCGGAGGCGGAGGTGGGGGTGGAACTGGATCAGTGCACGGAGCTCCAGCGTCTTCATTGCCACCTGGGGGACTAGTGGGAGTCATCGCTACGGAAGAGCGGGCCAGGGCGATGAGGAGAGGCAGCCCAAACACTCAGGCGGTCTACGACTATCAAGGAGCCATGCCTGGTGTGGCTCCCCATGGCAGCGGCAACGGTATTCCCAGACCTTACACAATGATGAATCTAAACCCTCCGAACACACCAAGTCCCCAGCCAGCATTATCCGCCACCGAGCACGCACAAATACAACTGTCGCAACAGATGGCGCATATGATGCAGATGCAGATGCAATGGATGCAGCAAATAGTTCAAATCCAGGGCGGACAGGGCCCACCCCAACCACATATGCCAAAAGCTTTCCCCACTGGACTGGCAGCCAATACCAACTCGAGACCAGCATCCATGCCTTCCGCTGCAGTATTCAACAATACCCCTGGCGGTCATTATGGTGACCAGAGAACGCTCAGCATGCTTGATCCGAACGCTTCTTCCCGATTGAATGGGGCCCCCATGCCATACCTTTCCGCGGGTGATAACCGGCCGGGAACACCAGCCGGACAGGGCTATGCTCCATCCATCGCACCATCTGAGCGAAGTAACGTTGGAATGGCGCCTCGGTACCGGCCTGTTTCGACGCTACACGCAGAGCAGGGACATTCTTTTACTCCATCCATGTCAGGGCCATGGAACGACGAAAATCAGAAACCGACCATCTCAGTTGTTTCACCGTCTCCATCACATCTGTCAAAGACACCGCCAATGTCAACTGGGGCGGCTCGTCCGATTTCCAGTGGTGGAAGGTCAACGATGGTTGGCAAGCAAAAAAACCGTGCCGTGTCGGATGACGAAGATGACGATGAGGCTTGGGCTGAGATGATGAAGAGACGAGAGAAGAAAAAAAATGACTGGAAAACCAAAAAGGAAACATCCAACTTTGGAGATCTGTTGAATGTGGTGCATTGACAGAATCAGTAGGGGGTGGGGTGTTCTTTTTATATCGCCTTGGTTTTTTTAAGCCTTTCGTGACGTGGGATTTGTATTTCGCATTGACATTTTGGATATCATTTGTTCTTGAAGTTTCACCCTCGTTTTTTACATTTTTTGACACGGAAGTCGCATTCGCATTACGATAATAATCTTATTGGGACTGGGATGCAGAATGGTGTTTGGGTGTTTGATGATATGTGATTATACTTAATTTGGGCTGTTAATTTTCTGTATTAAAGTCACTGGCATGTTATCATTATGCTCAGTGTTCAAATAATATACACGGCCTTTTGGCCGCCATATATTTCTTTGTGACATATTTGCACCTTATAGTATGTTTATTAACAGGGATATATTTTGTGCAAGATGTGGACTTATTCAATGTTTTATTCCACATCAAGACATTTCCATAATGACCTTATTTGCTTCCAGAAGAACCCCCTCAATAATAGCTGCTGCAGACAAATTTTCCTTGACCAATCCGACACCTGTTCCGGCATATGTCGTCAGTCTGCCACTGGGTCCCCATCCGGAGTCCCCCTTTGTCAGCTCTTCCTCATACCGTCGTTTATTTTCCTCGTCACTCAACCCCCTTTCTACCGCGTCAACATAGCTATCATTGATGACCCCACGCCCATCATATCGAGTTGGCCAGCCACCAATTCCCCTCACCCGATCGTAGACCGTGGACCGAACAGTGCTGATGCCGCCATCGGAAACGCGCAAAATCTCCGCCTGATAGCCACGAGCAATATTCGCCTCCAAGGAAGCAAGGAAACGAGTGCCCATAACTACACCTTCAGACCCCAAGGCAAGAGACGCAGCAACGCCCCGTCCATCAACAATTCCACCAGCCGCCAGAATGGGAATACGACGATGGTGTAACGCGTCTCGCACCTCAGGTACCAAGGTGAGAACAGAGGCTGAGCGGGCTAACCCGTGTCCACCAGCATCTGAGCCCTGGACGACGAGTACGTCCGGATCCAGCGCCTTGGTCACAGTGGTGGCTTCGGCCACAGAGCCAACCTGTACCCAAATCTGGGTCTTACCCGACGTCACAGTCCGCACTCGCTCTACCCACGACACCAGATCATCGGGCTGGGACTCGGGGCCAAAGAGCCACACAGCACATGGCTTGTATTTCTCAACAGCAGCCACTGACAGTGAGAGGTCGGCTCCCCAGATCAAAAACCCAACACCAACAGGGAGAATGCCCAGGTCATCGGAAAATTTGTGCATAGGAGATCCTGATTGCTCTCTTACGAGGCGGGCGGTTTCTTCCAGATTGAGCTCGAGGTTCGAAACGTCGAATCCGGCAGCCAGGAAGCCAAGTCCTCCGGCAGATGAAACAGACACTGCGAGTGAGGGCATGGCAATGTTGAGCATTGGGGCAGATGCTATAAAGGGGCTCTTGGTCCAGGGATAGGCAGAGCGCAAGATAGACTTGAGTGACATGGCTGTTCTTATGGCACTCGAGCCAGTCATTGACTTTTAGTGCTTTTGTTGGGTGGGAGAAACTGCTCCAAGAGGAGGTGCAGGTTTATATATAGTAGACTTTCAAATATATTGGCACGATGTGATGTCTCTGGAGATTAAGTGGGGGATAGTCATGACTGAAGGTTCAGGGACTATTTATTGTGTCAACACCCCAGTAAAAAAGTATTGATCACGCTCTCAAACAGCATCCATGCCTTGTTCACTGTTCCTGCCTTGGATATAATGTTATTCCACTCTGCCTCGGGTATTGCCGGAGTTAAGATAGACAGCCACCTGTGATTGTCACGTGCCACAAAGTCACGGGATAGGAAGACCCTCATGGCGATAAAGCAACTGATAGACTGATATGGAATTTATCTCCAGCTCACACCTGCAGTCTTCCAGGAGAAAAACAAAAACCACCATCTTATCCTTCATTTCTCCAGCTTTATCTCTTCCTTTCATTGTGTCTATTTCCTTTGGCTGTTCAGTCATTGCAAAAGTTTTCTTTCTGGTGTTTTCTTGATCGTTCTTGATATCCTCTTTCGTTAGCATCTGATTTCTGGATAAAGAGTTGCGTCGTTGAAGAAAAGTGTTTGTTTGCTATTGCAACCGTTGTCTCTCTTATTAATACACGCCAATTTGGTCTCGATATTGTCCTCACCGTCTCCTTGTTTGTGGAGGCTTTCTTGGATATCAAACATACCAGCTTGGACAAAAAACAGACTTGCAAGAACGACTCCCTTATCTTGTCAAAATGAACGCGCCTGATCGGTAAGGATTACATTTCTTTGAATTCTCTATATTGAGAAGTGCTTTTTCATTGTGTGAGTCGCCAGAGCCAAAAGCGATGGGGGGCTGCCTTCTTCCCAAGAGGAAATGGGGGGTTCTTGCCCTCTGGGATGCCTGGGGTGGAATCACTGAGCTGGTCTTGCTGTGTCCTGTTTGGGAAGGGCCTCCAACACTTGGGCTTCCATTCGCTTCCTGGAATTTGCTATTCACTTTTCCCTGTTTAAACAGTGTCCATCATTTGCTTCTGTTCAAGTCGTCTTTTGGCCGGCTGCTTTTCATACTACCAAGCTATAGCATGTCTTTTTTCTCTTACAATATTCCCATACCCATACCCATCCCTATTTCCACTCAACCATTGCCCTATTCGGCTCAAAATGGACTCCGATTCCAACAACAAGGAGTTCATCGTCCCCACCGAAATGGCGTATGCCCGCTGGAGGAACCCAAATGGTGGCTCTCGCCATGGTTGCCAGTCTACCATCAACGTTGCGCATGATCAGCAGCCCAGGTTCGCTTGTTTGATGTTTACTTGCAGCTTTAATGATATTTCCTGCGTGTTTTGAGATATGATTTTCTGGAAACTCAACTTGTTGACTGTCTTTAAACGATTACAGCTATGAATCTTTCGTCCTTGCCAATGGTGAGAGCAAAGTTGAAGTGGAAGTCGACACCCGTAAGTGTCTTTTGCTCCAAAGTACTAGTCATTAATGTTTTTCTAAGGCATATTCTTTCCAACTCTTCTAGGTATCCCTTCCTCTGCTATCTTTACCTTTAACAAAGAAGACCACACGCTTGGCAACCTGATCCGCTCTCGTCTCCTCCACAGCTCTCACGTCCTTTTTGCGGGATACAAGGTACGCCTTCTCTATGATATAATTTCTTTTTGTGCCTCCATGCCCTCTAGTTGCTCTGTCAAAGATCTTAATTGGATATCTCTAACATGATACCTCTAGGTGCCCCACCCTCTGGTCCCCAAGTTTGAACTCCGTGTTCAAACCGACGGAGAGGTCACACCTAAGGACGCTGTCATTAGTGCCTGCCACGACCTGGTCAAGGACCTGGGTATTCTCTCCCGTGAATTTACCAAGGAGTATGAGCTGCGCAAGATGGTAGGAGCTTCTCAGCAGAATGGCACCATGGATGGATAGATGGCAGCTGCCTTATCGACGGACGTGAGCTGGTGCGTGCCTGCTGAATGTTTCTTCATTTCGAATCTGCGCAGCTGGCTATGCGACTTTGTTACTATGCTCATACCCCCCTTTTCATTTTGTTTCATCTTTTACGAGGTCTACGTCTTTAATTTTCCAATCTTCCAATCTCAGTCTCCTGTGCAAAGTGGCTTTGACACAGAGCAACGGTGATGATACAGATGGTTCTCTTGCATGTATGCAGCTACGTGACCTGCCACATCTGGCTTTAATGTTAGGGGCTTAATCCTGTGCATTGCATTTTCTAGTAATTTGACAGTAACCGTCAATTGTGGCATAGTTAACTACCTACCCAGCATTGCAGTATGCTGACTAACCATAGATTGGGGGGCAAAGCAGCTTCCGTTTAGGTTTAGCGCGACCGCTCTCCGCGTCGTCCCTGAGTTCTGCCAGCGTCACTGGCTCCTCCTGATTCCCCCCCATAATCCCATCGTGGCCTGCCCATCTTTCTGCCGGATTGGCTTGCTTCGATTTTTTTGCTTTGTTTCTCTCTCTTCTTCTTTTCTGTTTATCCCTCATGCAAACTTTAATTCTGTAATGTACTCTTCGTCGAATTCTTTCCTGGGCGGCGCCAACAGCGCTCGTCCAGGGCAGCAGCCGCCTTACTTGCAGCAGCCTACGTACTCGCAGTTCACTCCTGGTCAGCAGCAGCCGCAACCTGGATTTGCCCCTCAACCTACTGGATATGCGCCTCAATTGTCAGGATTGGGAGCTTCCCAGTTACAACCTCAAGCAACGGGATTTCCAGCTAGCCAGCTACAGCCCCAGTTCACAGGCTTTCCTGGCGCTACGCCGGTGCCGCAACAGCAGCCGACAGGCTTCCAGACATCCGTTCAACAACCCCAATTTACAGGATATCCTCCCCAGAGCCAGCCCCCGCAGCTCCAGGTCCCTTCGAGTACTGGACTCCCCGTTCGACCGGTTCCAAAGACATCGTCCGCGATAGCAGACTCGTTCAACGATGGCCCGGCCCCTCAACCTCCGCCCAAGTCCTCTTCGGGCAACAAGATTCCCAATATTCGGTTGTCCTTCATCACTGCGCAAGATCAAGCCAAATTTGAACAGCTTTTCAAGTCTGCAGTTGGCGATAACAAGACCATGGACGGTTAGTAGGATTGATTATATACCTGGGACAGGGGGCCTAACATTGTTGTATAGGAGAAAAGGCGAAAGAGCTCCTTTTGCGATCGAATCTTTCAGGAGGCGATTTGTCGAGAGTTTGGTAAGTTCATGGTGGTAAATACTTCGTCAGGATGCAACTAACTGTCATAGGGTTTTGTCGGATTCCACGAAATCTGGGCAGTTGTTCTTTCCGGAGTTCGCTTTGGCGATGTATCTATGTAACTTGAGGATTACAGGCAGAGATCTCCCCCACGCTCTCCCTGAGACCATTAAAAACGAGGTTTCAAGCATGGTAGACATCATTTCTTTCCAGGTTCCCGACACTCAGCCGGAGCCTGCTTTCAGAACGAATGTCCCCAACTTTGATGCCCCGTTGTTGGAGAATAAAGCTACACCCCCTGCTCCTCAACAACCGCAGCCGCAGCAACCAACAAACACGCATCTCCTCACACAGCTCACCGCACAGCCTACTGGTTTCATTCCCCAAGCAACTGGTTTTCAACCAAACCAGCAGCCAGGCCAGAACTCGAGCCTCGCCCCGCAAGCTACAGGATTTCCCGGCCAGTCGCAGCAGTTTCTACAGCCACAACCGACAGGATTCATGACAAATCCCCAGCCAACTGGTTACAGTGGGCCTCGACCCCCACTCCCGCCCATGCCCACGGGCTTTGGATCGAATCTGAGCCCGGCCCAGACAGGTGGACTGGTCGCACAGCCTACTGGTATTCCAGGCCAATGGGGCTTTGTCAATGCTCCAGCGACAGGGCTGCCCAATATCGAGGCTTTGAAGCAGCAGCTTATGCCTCAGCCCGGTCGGGAGGGTGGTTTCTCAACTGCCGGTCTTTCTGGAAATGCCACCATTCCTTGGGCAATCACCAAAGAGGAGAAGAAGATTTACGATGACCTTTTTCGGGTATGGGATGGTTTTCACAAAGGTTTCATTGGTGGCGACACTGCCATTGAGATCATGGGCCAGAGTGGCCTGAACCAGAAGGACTTAGAACGTATCTGGACCTTGGCAGATCCAAACAACAGGGGCAGACTCAACATGGATGAATTTGCTGTGGCTATGCATTTGATCTATAGAACCCTCAATGGGTATCCGGTCCCGAGCCGATTGCCACCAGAGCTTGTTCCGCCATCCACGAAGAACCTCAACGACTCTATAGGTACGGTGAAGTCGCTTCTTTCGCGAGACGCCGAGAGCCGGAAGGCCTCCGGTGCGTTCTTGCAGCCTCAGAAGACTGGCGTTAGTTACCTCAAAGAGCATTCCTTCCGTGGTGGTGCGGCATCGCCAGGATTTGGCCGCAAAGATGCCACGATGTTCAAGAACAACGATGATGCTTCTGCGGGTTATCGGTCAAGTGCTCGCCGTCGTGTTGGAAATAGTGGTAGGGCTTCGCCTGCCACCGCGCAAGCATCTGAAGATGAACTGTCTGTCGAGCAATTGAAGAAGAAGATTCGTGAAACTAAGGTTATGCTGGATGCAGTCGACTTCCAGGATGAAAATCGGGCAGAGGAAGAGGATGAATTGGACCGCAGAGATCGTCGGGAAGCAGAAAGTTTGATGGATCGGATCCGACGTGTGCAGGATGATCTTGACACGCACCCCAACGCATCATTCCGGAATCTTGATAGCGGCGCCGACCGGCGATCCTTGCGTCGTCAGTTGCAGGCCTACGAGGATCAAGTTCCGCAGGTGGCGTCAGATGTACGGAGAATTGAACGTGACATTGCTGAGGCTAAGCTTGAGCTTTTCCGTCTGAAAGACGCAAAAGCGCACCCGAACAGTGCCTCAAACATTGTCGGTACAGGACCTGGGGGTACAATTACAGAGGCAGACCGCATCAAGGCACGTGCTCGTGCCAGGATGCAAGCCCGTGCTGCTGAGCTTGCTGGAAGACCTCCACCTGCAACCCAAGACGACGACGGCGCTGCAGCTCGTCGCCTTGAGGCGGAAAACGCTAACATCAAAGCGGACAGAGAAAGAAACGATACCATGACCCGCGATGTAGAAGATAGCGTGAAAGATTTTGCTCGGAGTCTTGAGGACAGTCTCAAAGACGAAGGTGAGAGTTCAACACGTGAGCATGAAAAGAGACGATGGGAGGATGCCTTGGGTGTTGAGGACACGATTCGAGATTTCATCTACGATCTCAAGCGCAACAGCCGGACTGCCCATATTCGCAAAGAAGAGTAAGTTCATAATTGGTAGTGCTCTATTCGGTGCCTGAAACTGACAATTATTATAGGTCATCGCGGCCATCATTTACTCAGGAAGAGCAGCCGCAATATGGTACATTGTCTACAGAAAGCCCTGTGGGTGCTGCTCGGGCTTCTCCTGCGCCATCCACCGGATCTACAGGCACACATGAAGACCGTGTGGCTGCTGCCAGAGAACGGGCTCAAAAACGTATCGCTGAACGCATGGCAGCTGCTGGCCTCAAACCACACAGTGATGCGGGAGAAACCCTTCTCCAACGCCAAGAACGAGAGAAGAAAGAGCGTGAAGAACGGTTGAGGCGCGCAGAGGAGGACGATGCTAAAAGGGAGCAAGAAAGACAACGTCGTCTTGCTGCAGAACAAGGTGGACCAGCAAAACCAGCTGTTAAGCCCGTGGGCAAGAAGCCCCCGCCAGCACCACCTTCCCGGAGGGGTGGAGCAGAGAGTGTCGGCCAGGCCGATACTAAGAAGGCAGAAGACGCTGCTAAAGCAGAGCAAGCTGCACGAGAACAAGCTCTCAGGGGGGAACAGCAAGCACAGGAACAGGAAACGTCACGTCTTGAGTATGTCACCCATTCTTGCGTCTCCGTTTGATCTCTTTCTTTTCTGTTATAATTGCTAACAGAATTTCCTAGGAATGAGGCTAGAGAACGAGAAGATGAGCTCAGGAAAGACCAGGAAGCGCAGCAAGCTCGTCTTCGTGCCCTTGAAGAGCAGGTCCGGCAAGGAAAAATCAAGAAACAGGAAGAAAGGCGCCGTAAAGAGGAGGCCAGCAAGTCAGCTAAGGAACAAGAAGATAAGCTTGCCGCTCAACGAGCTGAACTGGAAATGGCGAGAGAGCGGGAGCGACAGCTTCAGTTGGAGTTGGAAGGCCTCGACGAAGAGAGTTCCTCGGATGATGAAGGCCCCGAAAACATCACTCCCCAGGATAGCACACCCACGCAAAGCCAGGTCCTCCCACCAACAAATGAACCGGAAGCTCCTCCTGCTCCCGCCCCCGAACCAGAAAAGGCGGCAAGTCCTGAGCCCAGCTCGCCCGCTCCTGCTAGTTTTAGCCCAGAGACAGAATCCAGGAATCCTTACTTCAGGAGAATAAGTCAGCATGCTGATTCTCCGGCGACTCCACCTGTGCCCCAAACTTCCGTTACTTCGCCCAAGTCTGATGCCCAGTCTACCAATCCTTTCCATCGTTTGGCACAGCAGGAAAGCTCCAAGCCCACTTTTACCGCAGCAGTGCCCTTGGAACGCAAATCCCGTGCTCGTCCAGAAGAGGACGACTGGTCCGCAGCAGGATCGGAGTTTGATTCGTCTGAGGACGAGGATGATGATCGGCCTGGTGGTGGTAGCGCAAAGCAGCTTGCCAGTATTCTTTTTGGTACCATGGCGCCCCCGCGACCTTTGAGCGCCATGGATGACAAGTCCCAGTCAGCTACACCCGTGCAGGACACTCCAACATCTCCTCCGGCAGCTCCTGAGTCCAATGAAGAACCTTCAGCGCCTTCCGCTGCTCCTCCACCGCCACCTCCGCCACCGGCTCCTCCCGCTGCTCCGGGCTCCGCTCCGCCACCACCACCCGCCCCTCCAATGGCACCACCTGCACCTCCCGCTCCGCCAGCACCTCCAGCACCACCAGGGATGGCTCCCCCACCGGCTCCAACCGCAGCAGCAGGTTCAGGCGATCGAGGTGCACTCTTAGCCTCTATCCAAGCCGGCAAGGGTCTTCGCAAGGTTCAGACAAATGACCGCAGTACCAGTTCTTCTGCGGGCCGCATACTTTAGCTGCAGTGATATTCTTGGGTGTTTTTATTTTATGTTTTTGTTAAATTGTTTTTAATGGATAGGCAAGATGTATAGGGAGAGTGAATTGATATCGCGTAAGGTCAGGGGAATTGAAGGAGCATTTGCTATGCCTTGCTATGCCTAACTAAGCATTATCTTTGCAGCTCTTGTATCAGCCTATAGTAAACTGTTGGAATTTTCTGTATCGATATGCTTATATATAATATATACTATAAAATCTTGACCCAGCTTACGGAGTAGATGGGCATTATGCAAGCAATCATCCCAAATCCAATCTTCGTCAAGTACATGAGTTGTTCATTCAAACTGTATACTTAAACCATGTGGCATCATTCGGACTCGTATCCGTTTTTTGGAAATGTGTCAAAAAAATAAAAAAAAAAATGAAAAGCCACGAATACTTACGTATCGTGTGAAAGAAGAAAATATGGGAAGCGCACTTAGGTGGTAAGCTCAGCAATGACATTACCCACGGTGCTGATGGCCCAGAGGATAACCAGTCCCCAGCCAATTTTCCGATCCATCCTCCATTTATTGAGTGGAATGACAATTAACAACCCAACCAAGGTAATTAATAATGTGGCGCCACTGATGACAAGGACCTTGGAGATGGCAATTTCATACAAGCCTGTTGACCCATGAGATGTTGTATTCATAGTCATGTATAGACCGCCTAAGCCGATTCCAAGTAGAATATTCAGCATGGGTCCTCCAAAACAGGCACTCAAGGCCATGACAGGGTAGCCTAGACGGGCCACAGTTATGTCTGCGACGAGATCGCCTAGCGAGTTCCCGACAGCAAACACAGTGAGTCCAAGGAGGGAATCGCTAATGTTCAAGATGACTCCCAAGGTCTTCAGAAGATTCACGACCTCGGTGGCAATGGTTGCGATCCAAGCAATCGCGACCATAAAACCAAGCAGGGCAAGAAAAGGTCGCCAGAGATCGGGAAGTTGCGAGCCATGCCTGTTCCGTGTGCTTACCATGAGACAGCCAAAGCACAGTATTGAGAAGAGGAGACAGCATAGTGTCGGCAGTATGAGATTTCGAGCGTTTAGGTCTGGGTCTATGGTTGTCCATGCAATCAAAGCAACGAAGAAAGGCCCTGTGACAAGCTGCAATGACACAAGCCATCGACACCATTCCTTTGATGGGGTTGCAGCTGGAGGTGGTTGAATGGGAGGCAACTCAGAGTCGAAGCGCTGTCTCCCTTTTATAGGTTGGAAGTGATCCTTGTTGTTCGCGTCTAGCGTTCTTTCTTCCGGGACGGACTCCGGTTCAAGAGCTCGTATAAGTGGACTGTCCTCTGGCAGCCTCACACGCGGAGTGACCGAGCTCCCTCCGTCTTCCACAGAGGCTATCACAACCGGGACAGGATTGGGGACAGATTCAGCTTGTGCTGGTTCAACGACAGGAAGAGTTATAGTCAGCAGCAACACGCTGGGAGCTGCTATGACAGCTAGTAGTCGTGCCCATATGCTCTTCGTCTTCCAACCAACTAAAGTTGGGAAAAGAGTTGAGATAAGTGATTCGGGGGTAGGAAGCAGCCAATACGGCCACCACTTAACTGGCGCTGAGGGCCGGTTATCCCCATCAGAAACACTATCATGGAGCTGCAGTAAGTCCGTAATGCTAGAAGATCTAGTTATACGGATACTTGGTGGCCTGGAAGACCCAGGGCTGGGCACATCCGGAAATGGAGGAAATGGGCTTAATGGACTCTCTAATGCAGCATCGGAAAAGCTCGGGGCCGTACCACGTGGGGATACCTGGAGCGGAGAACGTGGGTGGGATGTCTCTGCCTGGTAGTTGGGAGACAGGAAAGTATCTGGAGGCGCAAGAAAATCGGAAGACTGAAGACGTGGTGTTCCTGGGCTTGGACTTCGCGAAGGAAACCCTATTGACGATGGAGACACCGTCAACATTGCGTCTGGTTCGATTCGAGAGATTTGGGGCGGTGTCGAAGCCTCATTTTCAGGCTCTCCAGAAGGTCGACTAATAGTCAGGACAGGCCGTTGGGGCGCTTGGTGGTTGAACATGCTGGTATCCAGTCTGAGTCCCATAGCGTCGTTGGCGGAGACAGCTCGGACTCGGGAGGCCCCAGTCCCCAAGTGAGGGGATAAAGAGTCGTCGACAGTCCTCCCAGTTCGCGGGTGGGATGCAATAGAACGATTGTCCCGTTGGCGCGATGTTGGCGCGCTGGGGTCATCCGAGTATCTGTTCAAATTGATTTCAAGATCTTGATGGATGTTCCTCGCTTTCTGGAGCGAAGATAGAACAGACTGGAACTCCAACGCACCGACCAAGCTTGGTCTAATGGGGTTCAACGTGTTCCGTCTCCTAGATGGACGGTATACATGCATATTATCTCGTATCTCGGCCAGATACCGATTGCGAGTCTCCTCATCCTCCTCCCCTTCTTTCCAAGCTGGCGCATCGGACCTCTCCAAGTTTTCGAAATCTTCCGTTGACGCACGAAGAAGACTCCTGGACTCTGTAGCCACTCCCGGATCATCATCTTCAGCCTCCTCAATATCCAGCTCTTGGTTGTCCGGGATATGAAAATGGGATCGTGCTGCGAGATTTCTTTCGTATGCTCGGCGTTGTCGCACGAGATGCCAGTGCCAGCTCACAACCATTAAAACATAGAAGCCATACAGACCAACCATGGCGGCAGATTCCCAGACATGAAGGCGGCCATCCGCTAACATTACCATGCTGAAGCTTACGGCAACGATGAAATAACCCACGTCGCGAACGAAGCTTCTCCGAGCTACCCGGAAAGGTCGGACAAGTGCCATAGAGCCTGCGACCACTGAGGTTATAAAGCTTGCAGCCCCTATCAGCTCACCAATTGCCAGACTGCCACTGTTGGACCGCATGGCGGCAAATGTTGAGAAGACATCAGGGCTGCCATTTCCGAACGCAAGGAAAGTGACGCCGGTCAAGCTCTCACTCAATCCTAGAACGCTGGCCAAAGTGCTCAAGTTGATGCACAAAAAGTCACTAGCAGCAATTCCGATGGTACTGAAGAGCAAAGATAACCAGAGAATGATTATTATGAACGCAAGGGGTTTGGCATCGGCGAGGGTGCAATAATAGAGCTGGAGGTAGGATAACAAGCCATCTTCGTGGTCGGGGCAGTTGTTATGAATAAAGGAACATTGGTCTTTCGCGTTTCGAACCAGGCGACACTTGAGAGAAAGTAGAAGATGTCAGCATGGTCCATTTGAGATGCGGAGGAAATCAATTGGAGCAATGCGTGCAATACCTCTGGTGCGCCGTTCCGTTGCAGTAGATGAGCACCGGGCCCTGTCTGTCGCTGAACTTGGTAAGGGAGGGAAATACCAGACCTAACCCCCACGTCGCCCCAGATCCAGCTGGCCGTGGTAAGGACTGTGAATATGAGGATAGTCAAGTAGAAAGGTCGGGCAGAATATCGACGCTTTCGATGGCCCGAGGTCCGGCTCAGGTTCGACGTCAGTATACCGGACATGATGAAAGATGCAGCATCCTGGACAAACAGAAATTAACCACACCACGGATCGTCTGGAGGAAGAAGCACCAAAAGAAAAGGAGGGATGATAAATAAGGACCGACTATCTTTTTCAAGGCAGCAGAAATCGAATAGACGAATGCGGTGAATTTATGAATGTCACACAAACAACGAACCACCAGCGCAGTGATGTCAGTAAGGTGGGAGATAATACGGCGTAATGTGGCTTTATTGATTGGGACTCGGAGACCAGCCACAAATGAGGCTGGGCTTGCATCCACGTTGCTGAAACTTGGGATCGAAGAGCTAAACTGGGACAAACTCAACAATTGCTTTTGAAGAATGAGGTTCCAAGTGGCAACTCACACTATGATTATTTACTAAGATAGACAATCACCAGTCGGAAGGAGTCAAGAACAACCAGTCTAGAGGAGTCTTACAACACCGTCTGTTGGACACAATACCATACACCGTTCGAACCATACAATACTTGACCACTAGAAAAGTCAGATGACCGCACCTTACTTTAAAGGGCTAGTGTCTGCATATATGGTCTCTCTGGCGTGTCGTATATTTTGTTGACGCTTCCCAAACCATCCGTTGTTTGCTCCCTCCGCCGCAGCAAAGCAGAATCCGAGTGTATCGCAACAGCAGAATCGTTAACAACCCGACTCGAGATTCCCAGGCAATGAGTCTTCGCGTCTAGCGCTTGTTGACCTTACCTCTTTTTCTTTTCGAATTCCTGAAGTTCCTTACTTTTTTCTTTGTTTCCTTCGAGGTACCCCTTACAGCTGGAGGGGGGTTGATAATTCGCAATGCCCCGCGTAGCGAACTCCAAGGTTCACCGCCGCTCAAATGGCGCCTCAACCCCTCACAAGAATTCTCCCATCAAGTACGTACAATTATGGGGTTTGAGATGAAACAGAAATGAAATTAATGATGTCAGGATCCCGCTTAATGATGACATGGGAGAGAAGGCGGCCCGTATGGAGGCCCGACAAGCCCGTCATGACCTTCAGATGAACCAAATCAAGGCCGCCGTCAAGACGCCGATGCCGGGTCGAAGATATACCGATTACGATTATGCGGCGGATCTCAGCCCTGGTGACCGACGGCGTTCAAGGGGACGAGGACGGGACAGCGACGTCCATGGGCAGAGGGCCGTGACCCCAATGAAACGAGTCCCTATTCTGGCCAACTTTGAGGAATGGATGAAAATGGCGACAGACAACAAAATCAACGCGAACAACTCTTGGAACTTTGCGCTTATCGACTATTTCCATGATATGTCCCTACTTAAGGAAGGAGACGGGGTGAACTTTCAGAAGGCCAGTTGTACGCTGGATGGCTGTGTTAAGATCTATACTAGCAGAGTCGATAGTGTTGCGACAGAGACTGGAAAGCTTCTCAGTGGTTTGGCCGACAGTCGCGACAAGAGATCTCGTGAAGCTGGTGCGGATGATGAAGGGGACGAGGACGAGGACGAGGAAGGAGAAGATGGGGCAACTAGAAAGGGGCGCAAAAAGGTATACTATCGCAAAGGCACAGACGAAATCCCAAGCCGTAAGACTGACTGTATATCTAGCAACGATCCCATGAGGCTACTCTTGCCCCGTCTTTCGCGTCCCTGCAACTTAAAAAGTTCGAGCTTGAATTTTCGGTAGATCCATTGTTCAAGAAGGCGTCAGCAGATTTCGATGAAGGCGGCGCCAAGGGATTGCTTCTGAACCACCTAGCAATCGATGGACAAGGACGAATTGTATTCGACAGCAGCGATGATGCTAGTGAAGAAATTCCAAAGGAGGCAGAGAATGAGCGACAGGAGTCGACGGACCCTGAACAGCCAGATTCGCCGTCAGCAGCCCCCAAGCAAACCGATGACGATGTTTTTGAAAACACAGAAATCGATGTAACATCATTGGCTAGGCAATTCTTTCCGGACTTGGAACGTATGGAAGAACAGGATATCTGTCCCTCACTGAAGAACTTCGATCTCGGAGATCCCAGCGGATCGTTGGATATTCCCTTCCTGAAGGCTCCTGATGATTGGCGAAATGACAAAGCCAACGACGAAGGACGTGGTGCAAATGATACTTCGGGTATCATGCTTGATGACGACAATGCTGTTGGCTTTGATGATGATGATGCTACTCTGGCCGGTTTCGACCTCAGCGGCGATGCTGGCTTTGGTGACGGTGGTGAGGTTTGGGCCCGTGAGGCCGCCCTGGAGCCAATGCTCAAGGTGCACCGCGTAGACCGAGATGGCGACGAGAATCCCGATGGTGAAGAATATGACAATGAAGATGCATACGCCATATCTCTTTCCCACCAGCCCAAGACCCAAGACCATGAAAATATCCTCAGCTATTTCGATAATGCACTACAAAAGAACTGGGCAGGTCCAGAACACTGGAAAATCAGGCGAATCAAGGAACATGCGGCCGCAAGTACCAGCACTGCACCAAAACAGCGAAAAGAAAAAGAACCCTTCGAGATCGATTTCGGAGCACCTCTAGATTCTTCCATTGCAGAATTGATATATACCCCAGCCAGTTCTAACTCCACTATCTCCTTGCCCAAGACTCAGTGGAAGACCAAAGGACGCAATCTTCTTCCCGATGACAAGCATTTCAACTCCCGGCAATTGCTTCGTCTTTTCCTCAAACCCAAAGCTCGATTGGGCTCGAAGAAGCTTACTGGGACAAGAAATTTCAACAACCGCCGACAAGACCAGATGGCTGGAAATGGCGAGATGGACGAGGCATTCTGGGCCAATCATAAACAAGAAGGTAATGCTGGAGATGAAGAGGGCGCACCTGGCACGTACGACGCCGACTTTTTCGCAGATGACGACGGGCATGCGTTCCCCAACGGAATTGGTTTGGATGACGACGATGACAACTTGCCATTTGCAGACGCGAGGGAGATGCTTTCCCCTCCATCTGATGCTGCTCCTGGTGCTGCCGCAGGGGAAGCAGGCGGGCCTAGTGGACTTTCCGCGCTGCTCGGCATGGTGGGTGGTCCAGCTCCTGCCGGTGGATTCGGGTCTCAATTAGTGACCCAAGGCGGCCGAAGAGCACGTCCAGACTATGTCGCCTATGCACGAGTCGCCAAGAAGGTTGATGTTCGGCGACTCAAGCTGGAAATGTGGAAGGGAATGGGCGAGCGGTTGATCGCAACGACAGACTTCAATTCCGCACCCCAATCAAGCGCTGCTCCAGTCGCAGAATCCGATGAGAACGACGAAGATGGCCCGCCTACTCCCACACAGCCAAAGGCCTCTGACTCCACAGAACCGAAGGATAACAGTCAGCTACGGTTCACGAATATTATGAACGATCTTAAATCTGTTTACGCCCCGGAGACACTGCGTGACATCAGTACTTCGTATGGCTTCATCTGCTTGCTCCATTTGGCCAACGAGCAGGGTCTTGTTCTGCAAAGTGATGGCCCCTCCAAGGGCACTTCAGCAGGCACTTTGGAGGAGATTTTTGTCACCAGAGATCCCAACGCTGTGATCGAAGAGGGCTCTTTCTAAATGATTCATGATCGATTTTCCTTGGTAATGTAGGAGTGGATTAATGTACGTACAGTCAGTTTTCGGTTTTGTTGCGTTTTTGGTATGGGAGGGAGGTATGTGAGGGAGAGCCGCATGGCTCAGGGTTAGGATGAACGTTTTATTGCAAAGGAGTTGGTGGAATTGGACGGCGTGCCGTGTTTTTCTGGTTTTATTCATGACAATATTTTACGATCAGTGCTTGGAATCTTACATATAGTAGATATCACATATTCTTCATTTCCAATTATCCGCGTCGTCTGGGTGAAGAACAAGTCTCAAATCCCCAAAGCAAATTGGTATCGTACGTTTTTGACCATGATTACTATCACGATGTATCAAGGAGACAAGAAGCTAAATGCCTATACTCCGTAAGGCAGCTTGAGGGTAGAACAACTCAAGGTATTGAATGATTTTATGAATAGTCCAAAATGACCAAAACAAACAGGAGCTGCGAATTCTTGTCGCGCACAATGGTATAATGATATAACGAGAAAATGAGGGATCAAAAACAAGGGATATAAAAAAGTCATAAGTCAAGAGAGAATAAGCCCGCAAAACATCATCTCAAAATCGACGCCAGTCGCCCATTAAACCCAACTCGATCAAAGCCAAAAGTTGAAAGAGAAAGAGGAAGAGCAGTTAAAATAAACAAATTTGGTGATTTGAACTTGAAAACAAGAATTAGTCTACTACACAAGTTTTTGGCTGGTTGGGTTGTTCCATGTTCCACTGCGCGTCGACAAGACACATTCATGAATGAACGTATCAGCCAGTCCTTTTAGCTAGCGTGTCTTCGTCTCAGCAGGTGGTCGTCTTTTAGTGATGAGTTCCTGGAGGAAAGTTAGGGCTCATTGGACTGGCGTAGGCAACGGGGATGGGGACAGCGTCATAAGTGCGCTCGCCAGGTGCAGCGCCCACGTGCTGGTTGGCCTCGGTATGGGCTGGTGGAGGAGGAGCCGGGAATCCCTCCTGCTCTTGCTTGGGGGTTGGGTGCTGAACGCGGATGGGGGGCGGTTGGAGCTGGAATGATGGCTGCGGCTTGGCCGGGGATTGCGGAGTAGCGTACTGGGTCGAGTACATCTCGCCATTCTCCGCAGCAGAGTAGGGGTCATGTGACTGCGAGGTGGAAATAAAAGGCGTCTTGGGGGTTTGTGGGAATCCAGGGGTGTTGGGGGCTGATTGGAAGCGGAGCTGGGCAAGGTAGAGGTCCGACCTGGCCTTGTCACGGCGGTTCATCGTCTTGATAAGTCGTCTCTTGGTGTAAAATCGGTAAAAGACGACCGCATAGATGAGAATGACCAAGACCTCAATCACGACTTCGATGATGGCACATACAAGGCCCCAATCCTAAGGGCACACATTAGTGCATGGGGGAACTGAGGTGAACTAAGATCAACTCACTTGTAGACGGCAGACAAGGGCATAATCAATGTCATTGTCGAATAACTTTTCTCTGGTGTTCTGATTGCATGACCAGCCCCAGAGATCTTTTGAATTTCCATTGGCCTTGGAGTGTTCGTAGATGGCAGCTCCAACGATCCACATGATAAGACTGAAGACGAAGAAACCAACGGAGATAATCGAGTAGTAGATGGCGACCTTTTCGGCACGCTTATGACCACCCTTCCAATAGCCCCAGAACACTATCAGACAAGCAAACAGTGACACACATGAGATGCTAAGCAGCAAGTATTGTGGCCATGGGTTGGTGCCTTCGGCCCAGGCGGGAAGGTTATTGCGAGCAGGAAGGGACTTGGTCGTGAGAAAAACGTTCAAAGTTGTGCCCAGAATGGCCAGCACGATAAGACTGCAGCCGAAGTTCACGAATCGAAGGAAAATCTTGGCTATCCGGACTCGCAATTTGATTCTCTGTTTTCCGAGAGTTAGCACCGCGGGCAAAAACTGATTGCTCTTTGATAACTACTTACCAGATCCTTAGCATTATCCTTACCCGCATCTCTTTCCTGTTTCTCCACATAGAATTCTTCCCGGAAGGTTGGACTGAGTGGATTCAAAGCACGTCCCGGTGTCCCGGGAACCTTCATAGCGCTTTTGAGAGGCGATGCTGGAGGAGGTTGGAAATGGGACGCATGCTGGGCCGGATCATTTGCGGCGACGTATCCAAATCCTACATCTGACACATCGGGGGGTGTCTGGGACTTTGGGGGGTCTGCAAATGGAGATCTCCCGGTTTCAGTTGCACCAATGGGGGATTGAACCGAAGTTTCCTCGGCAAATCGAGGTGTGCGGGGGCTCTTGAGCGACGAAACGCCCGATTCGGACGAATTGCGGGCTTCGGAGGCTCCGGCGGGAGGTGGCGTGGTGCTTGCCATTGTAGGGTAATTATAGCCAGAGACGATATCGGCTGGAGTGGCTGCTTGATACATATGAGGGGAGTCGTTGTGACTTGCGCTTGACACAGACATGGGGATTGAACAGAGATTCGTAAAAGTAGTTGTTGCAGTAATGTTCGAATCAAGTCAAGAGAACCAGCTCTCGAACTTATTTTTAACAAGAGTGCAAAGGTCGAGCAAGCTGGCTTGTATGATCAAAGCTGAGATACCCCGGTATGGCAGACTAGGTCCATATACTATGTAGACAGGCAGATCAAGAGTTAATCGCTGTTTCCCACGCGAAGAGTAACAACCCAACAAGTATTGGCAGGAAAAGTAGAAAGCAAAGGGCTTACCTTGCACTGTGATCAGTGAGGATGGAAAGCCCAAGAGCCGCAGTCTGTAGAGAACCAGAGTCAGGATTTGAAACAAGAACAAGGCTGATTATCACGGCATTGCATGATCTTGGCCATGGACAGGGGATGTGCATCAGCAACTAACCTTTGATGTGATATTGCTGGAGTTCTTTTCCTGCGAAACCCGCGCTGTCTCAAGCAAGAAGTCCAGACAAGCAAGTGTCACTACACAGGAGACGAAGATGAAGCTCAAAAAGCAAGAGATGGGAGGACGACTCTGGGCGGCGTGACCACCTTGAATATCAATGTTGGGCGCTTCCCTGAACATTATTTTTCCCTCTTCGAAGCGGGGGGTTTCGAGGAGCATCGAATGAAGCGTGAAGGTTGACAGGAAATAAGCGCTGGGCTAGAAGCAGCGCAACAGCGATAAGGAAGATGATTGGGGGATGGGCAGAGCAGGACAGGGCCCTGGAGGTGTTGCGTCGGGGGAAAATGGCAAGCCGTGATGGTGAGTGGATGACAGCGAGCATGACTAGGGAGACGGTGCCGGTTGATCACAGATTCACAGTGGGGAGGAGAAGAAGGAGAGCCTGTCACTGGAGACACCATTTGGTGTGCGATGCAAGCCAGATCACATTTTAGTGTTATTTCTGCAATCCATCCCAGCGCCAACGGAGAGTGACGATCGGCGAGCAGCCAACCAGAAGGCGAGCAGAAGCGCTGCCCAGAAGGGGGAGGGTTGACCAACCAATGAGGATTTACAACATAATGGTAATCATAGTGATGGTGATGAGGTGTGGTAATAATAATTTATAGAAAAAAAATTAATCCAAAAGAAAGACATAAGCTATGTGGTTGAGAATTGATAAGATAGGTGACATGTCTGGTTCTAGATGCTGTATGTGGGGTTATGCCGAGTATATAACTGGCTGGACAGACTGCAGGGCCATCACAGTCACAGCCCTGTCCATCACAGTCCCAATATTGGATATTTACTTAGATAATCTGTGCTATTCCAATTCCTTGTTCTCATAAAGTACAGTTGCATACTGTAGTAGAAGACTGGCATTTTAGTAGATAGACAGTCAATATGAGCCTATATGCAGGATGTTTAGCTATTGTATCACAAGACAAACATACCAAGTAATGCTAAGACTGCCAATGCTTACTTAATTCATAACAAACTCATCTTGTCCATCTATCTTAGCACTCCTCTGTTCTATCACATGACTAGAAGAATGAACGGAGTACGGAGTAGATATCCATGGTCAAATGCTCTGTAGAGAATGATGTGAATGGAATAATGTTGGATGTTTGACTCAGCGGTGGCTGAGATGATAGAATTAGCAACCATGGATGGAGGTTCTGCAGGACAACTGCCTTGCCGTGCATGGAATATAATTATGCAGTATTCCACTAATCTGTATATAGCACAGGTAGGTACGGAGAAGTCCTAGGGACTACTACTAGAATAGTATGGATTGTACTAAGTAATGGGAGCGCCACAGAGTCATGTTGATTGTGTGGCTGTCTGAGAAAGTGGAGATGCACAAATAGCAAGCAATAGCAAGCTTGATCAAGCTGATCTGATGCAGGTAATTATTAGATTCTGTATGGTATGTCCAATAAGATGGCAGAAGTGCATACCTCCTAGTGGTAGTAGCAGTGCTACTGTAGACCGATGATATCAGACTATTTAAAGTACACACAGGTGGCCTTTAAGTGGCCATTGCATGATATCAGATCTTATCCAGCGGACTTTCTCGATCAGTCCATCCAATCCGGCTTACCTAGTACCGAGGACCTACACAAACTGACAGTGCCTACATGGACTGGTAATCCATGGATCGCCAGACACAAAGCCCGACTTAGCCTCCCCGCTGGTGCCAGCAAATCAGTGCTCGTGCCCAGAGCCAGCCACTAGTCATCCAGCCATTGCACAGCCTCTGATCAGACAGCTACACCACACTTGTACTCCATCTCGACTGGACTCAGAGTACTGATAGTACGGTCTGCTCTACCACCTAGTTATACTCTATCCTCTCTTCCGTCTCTGTCATGGTTGTACAGAGAGCACTGTAGTACGAGGCTGTGCTCTTCCCAACAGGGTAAAAAGTCAGTTACTCCATAGTTCCGACTTAGCCTCTGCTTCTTTTTTTGGCCTGTCGCCCCCCTCATTTATTTCCCTTTCGACGAGAGAGAGAAAAATCTGCCAAAGCCTCAAGAGTTGAAACTCTTCAATCATGGCAAATAACATTCCTGGTGGATCTCATCGGATTCATCGCTCTCTCTCTCTCTGGCTTCTTGACTGGTCAACTCCCTAAACACCGGTGTAGTTACACTGTTCCCCCACAGGGCATTCGGAGCCCCATTTTATCTATCCCTGAACTCTGAAGGCTTCAGCCTTCCAGCCAGTCTTCTGAATAAATAAAAGAGTAATTTCAATACTCTGTAAACCAACTGGAATAAAAATACAGCATAAATCCGATCTTGCTGCGCCACCTGGTGCCTGGTAATCGGATTACAATACAGCCCGGAACAGAGCCGCGTGTAACACTGTGCCGGCCCGGAACACCAGCCACTGGCCTCGTGTTGGCGGTATTGTCGTATCCGTATTACCATGTTCTCTCTCCAGTTCATCTTGTTGATTGAGGCTTTTCAGCCTGCCCGGACGCTGTCCATCTCCTCTTTCTCTTTCTCTCTCTCTCCCTCTCTCCCTCTTTCTTTTCTCTCTCTTTCTGTCTCTCCAACTTTTCTCTCTCCACTTTTCCTCCGGTTCTTCAGTCATCTTGTAATCCTTCCTTGCCCTGTTTGCCCCCTCTTCTTCATCTCCCTTTTTTTTTTGTTTTTTTTACCAACTCTTTTTTCCCTCTCCAGGTTTCACTTTGGGCGGTACTTGGACCTACTAGTATCTTCTCCCGCCGCTTGTTTCTCTTTCCAGAAGGAAAAATTACAGAGGCGGAAAAAAAAAGAAAAAGACAAAGGACAGACAGACAAAAAACCTGTTTCTGCATTGTTATAGACCATATTGCTGCATGTCGATGATTGACGGCGTGGCTACGATCCTGATTCGAATTAATTTCCTCGTCTCGTCGTTCCCCCGACAATCGCGGTTTCTAGCTTCCACTGCAGCCTCATCCATAGCTTTCCGGTTCCGCCGTCCATTTTATCCGCCACTTTCTTCCAGGCCATTCTTTCTGCCTTCTTGCCCAGATGGCCCGTTGCAGTGAACCAGCCCAGATATAGCGCCATCGTACAACTAACTACTACACTACTTCTCCTTCTTTCCCCTCCTGCAACTCGACTTTCCCCTAGGCAAGGCTGACCGCTATTTTTATTTTTCCCTTGATGAGCCCCAATTTTATTTTATTTTTTACCCTTTTCCTTTTTTTTCGCCTTTTTTACCCGTGGGACCTGATCGTCTGACGAGACGTTGCAAAAGCTGAACCCCCCGTCAGCTTGCGCCACACTCGGTTCCAGGTGAGCGCCCCACGCGACAGTGCCCTTGATCTTACTTGTTCCTTTTCCCTCTGAGCGTCTTCTTGCTTCTCTCCCGTCTCCTCTAGGAGTGCATATCACACAGTCGGCTCCCCTTTTATCTTGTTTGGTTCGCCCCGACGATCATGTTTCCAATCTGTTACCCTATCGCACCTACCACCACTTTCGATGCTCTCGACTGACATGACTTCCGACATAGCTTCTCCGTTCTTTCGTCAACCCTTCCAGGCTGGCGAGAAGCACCCATTATCCATGGCTGCGTTGATGCAATCCAATAACGAGCCTGTCACTATCTCAAATTCCCTGTCCGGTGCCATCTCGAGTCCTCCGGATTCCATCGCGTTCTTGAAACAATCCAAACCAGAGTCGAGCTTGAGCTCAATCGCCAGCGCGGGGCTGCACGTATCACGGTCCAGAGACCCTTTACCACAAATGGCAACGACCGCAACCACAGCTGCTCCAATGGACCGGTCATTGGAGCAAGAGAAGGAGTCGGAGCAGAGCAGTTCCCAGGTCGCGAGGGAGGCCCTCGGTGCCAGCGAGAAATCGCAGGTCAGCTCGCTCAATGACTCGATACACATGTCCGACCAGATGCAGGTCGATTCACACCCGAATTCCGGAAATGTACATGATACCTTTGGTTCCGTCGACAATGGGCCAACCCTCATGAACTCCTCCACCGTAGCTAGTCCCGGCCCGATCGAAGACTCGGCCTCTCAGGATGGCGACCGCCCGCGCCATCGTGATGAAGCAGAATTATCACAGGAGACTAGCAACAAAGCCTTTTCGTACCCTATGCCCACCGGTGGCCTTAGTGACCCCCGTCGTGGCTTAAGCCTACCGAATGCCGGCTATCACAAGGGCGGCCAGCGATCCCCATCGGCCAAGAAGCACCGATGCCCGTATTGCTCTACAGAATTCACCCGCCATCACAACCTCAAAAGCCATCTTCTCACGCACAGCCAGGAAAAGCCGTTTGTATGTCAGACCTGCCAGTCCCGCTTTCGAAGGCTTCACGATCTGAAACGACACACGAAACTTCATACTGGAGAGCGGCCGCACATTTGCCCCAAATGTGGACGCAGGTTTGCCCGTGGGGATGCCCTGGCTCGCCATAACAAGGGCCAAGGCGGATGTGCTGGTCGAAGAGCGAGCATGGGAAGTTATGCTGCGGAAGATGAATACGGCGACGGGGCGGCTCCTCCGGACGACACGATGGATGGGCTAGTATACGCGGAGCCGGAGCGAATGGACGAGGAAGAGGAAAGGCGACTTAACATGCCTAGCATCAAGAAACACGACGCCCCATCAGACCCTGTCGCACGTTCCAACACTGGTACCTTCCAGTCGCGTGGGCCGAGCACCTACCCCCCTATCGCTGCAGGCAGACCCTCTCCCGGAGGTCTGTTCCCTCCTCCTACCAGCCACGGCGGCTCCAGTGCGTCAACCTCGCCGATCTCGCAGTCTGGCAACTTGACATTTCCGCCCCCGGGACAACCTTCTGGTGCATCGGTATTTGCTCCCACAAACATGACGGAAAGCCCTAAACCGCTTTCACCGAATGCTTTATCCTCGCACCAAATAAACCACGGACCAGATAATAATATACAACTACATCGCGCACATTCTCCCGGGATGGCACAGTCCTTCCAGCAACAACCGTTTGGCAGAACCGCGCCCGCACCAACACAAACCTCCGTTCCAAATCACTCTGCCTCTAGCTTGGGTCTTCCTCCGCCCCAGCCCGGGGCTCCTCAGCTCCCCCCACCGCCTGGATTGAATTCACCAGACTCTCGATTTCAGCTTCATGGCCAACCGGCAGCAGCAAAACACACTCCATCACATAGTCATTCCAGTAACCACAGCGGGCCGCTGCCTTCCATGGCCGGCCCGGAGACATCTCCAAATAACGGCAATCATTATCCTGTACCGCATGACCCGAATCACATCGACCAAAGCCGAGAAGACAAGCTCTGGGCGTATATCCGCTCAGTCCATGAGGAGCTGACGGGGCTGCGAACTGAAGTGGCCGCATTGAGAGCCCAGATCGCATCGTCCAACGCTAACACCCCCACGCCGTCCAATGCAAACATCCCACAGCCACCAATTGAGGCGAATAATGTGGGCTCTGGACAACGATGAATGACCTTTGCTTTTCTTTTTCAATCCCTACCTAATATTAGAGAGTCGCTGTGCCCCGTTTAATACCCCCGCCCTTGTTTTTACTACTCGCATACTTTCTCCCCTCCACAACGGCCAATTTCCTTTTCTATTTCCACCCGATCATTCTTCCAATCTCTGTTTCTCCTTTGTGTTACCTTCTTGATGTCCTTATGAGACTTTTTATACGAAAACCCCCAGGCCAGGTTATAAGTGGTCTTCCACTATCGTGCCTTTTAGACACCCATTTACCTTTCTTCACTCTCCACCCTTTCATTCTTCTAACATACGAGGCTGGCGGTTATTGACATTTTGGGCTACTTTCACCTTCATCTTCATTTCACCTTCTCTTCCATGGTATTCTTTTTTCTTTAGTTCTGGAATTGTTTTTTTACCTACATTTTATGTACGCATCAGCATTATATTCCTGGAAATGGGGAGTCTGGAGTGCAAAATGGATTGTTGTAATCAAATTCTTGTGGCGGGGTGGATGCTTGATCGAATTGATTGAGTGATATTTGGATATGAGGCTATTTTTCTCCCTTTGCATATAAGAATCCGAATTGTCTAAAACATTTGAACTTGCTTTGTAACATCTACCCTCGCTGATCAGGATTAGTCTTGCCTAAATACTTGGCCTTTCCTTCTCTTCCCCATCCATCCGATAAACAAACCCACGTCTGCCACAACCGCCTTGGGCACTCCGCCCATTGTCCAACTGCGCTGTATCCACTGGGGTATTGATCCGCCCGCATCCGACGTAGTAGCCATTATCCACTCCACCTGCTTTGAAGGCTTGTCCAACGAGAGCAGACGCTCGACACTGGCATACGTAGCAAAGATGGAATTTCCCGGAACAGATTGGGTGATTTTATCCCGCAAAGGTTTGGGAACATGATCAACTGGATTGCAAATAAGTGGGATTTGCACGGTGACGAAACCGGGGGCGGCGGTTGTCGGAAGCTCGGCGGAGATGATGAGATTGATAAACGTGCGGGGGGAGATTAAGAAGGTGGGATGAAAAGTATGAGTGATTATGTTGACTGGCACAGCATTAGTACCACCATTTATGCATGCATGTTGTCTACACCTGTAGTCAAGGTATGTAAAGGGGGGAGTAAAGTAAGTCAGCTCACCATGCATATCCACCCCCTTCCAACCCCCTTCAATCGACTCCAAAGAGGACCATTCGAGCAGCGTTTCCACACTCGTCACACTGGGTGTGTACTCCTTTTCCTTCTCGGAATGATCGACTCTCAGCCCATCTTGAAATTCCGCGAAAGAGGCCGTCCCATCAACAGCCTCATCGGAGTGTGTACTGCGACGACAGACCCAGAATTCCTTCCCTTGTCCGCGTGCGCCGGGGAGGAGAGAAGCGGTAGATAAATACACGGGACTAGTTGAGGGGTGGGAAGGACGGGGTTTGGGATCTTGGTGGAAGTGGTCGGGGATGGAGGTGGTGAGAAAGAAGTGGGCTTCCGAAAGGATGGAGTGGATAAAGTCGAGGTGGGAAGGACGCGTGGAGAGGGCGTTGAGGGATGGGTGAGAGGGGAGAGAGGAGAAAGGGAGGGGGTGGAGATGGATGAGGGAGGGCATTGTTGGATCGTGAGGAGATGGTTGTACAGAGTACTCCTGTCAACACAGAAGGTAATTGAGATAACCTTAGATAGCGTATGTTGTTGGTATGACATCATTGCTTCATCTGCATGACATTAATTAAACATTCATCTCTATTGTAAATTAAAATCTATCCAGTATAATACATTAAAGAAGTTATATCTCTATTCTACCTCACAGACCACTACCATTTAAGCGTAGGAATCGATCGCCTTTGTGAGGTTGTCACCCAAAGACTTGAGCAGCTTGGTAGCGTCAGAGCAAGTAGGAGCGGCATTAATGGCCTTGTTGGCATAGGTCTATCCACAGCATTAACACGGACAAACTTCAAGGCAAAATGCAAAACACTTACGTCGAAAACACCCTCGTAGGTACGAAGAACAGCACCGATGGGCGCGGTGAAGGGAATATTCTTCAGAAGGTCGGCTTTGTCGGTGATGGCCTTGGTCAGGTCCTCGTTGGACTTGACGTACTGTAGATGGATTATCAGCCAAGGTTCAAACATTCCATGGGATACAAACTCACAGTCTCAAGAGCATCACAGACTTTCTTCTGATCCTCGGTGCGGAGGCCGGGGCAGTCTCCACTACCATGAGCGTCTCCAACAGTCCTAATCTGACCGCTGAGAGGCGTGACGGTTTGCTAAGATGAGAAGTTAGCTCTCATGTCCTTCGCCTAAACCGAAAATATTGAGTCTTACAGGAACATCGGTGAAAATGTTGACCAGCTTGATCGCGTCAACAGCTTTGCTGGTCTTTTCAGCCTCCTCAAAGAGACTGTTGAGAGTCTTCACCAGATCGTCTGCACACTTAGTAGAGACAACTGGAGTGGCAGCAGCCAGAAGGGCGACGACGGCGGTCAACTTGAACTGCATTTTGATGGATATATAATTATGTAATGTAAATTCCCCTGGAAGCTGAAAGATGAGACTGGATTGTTTAACAGTGGGTATCGAGAACAGTCTTTATATGTTGTTTTTCAAACGACCCTGGTTTTTCATTTGGTTTCTTTGCGGGGTATTGTTGCCAGCTGAATGGAAATCTTCGTGTATGGGGACAGGATTCCACTCGTGATTGCGGAGCGGTCAATCAGACCAAACACCATTGCATTTTCTCTGCATTGTTGGAGGTGATTAATCGTGAGATTCCTCTGTAGACACCTGAGGATATCGAAAAAATATTACTGGCAAGTGCATTCATGCCGTGCTGACAGGTTCGATCGATCGAACACGAGGCAAAGCAAAACTTGGCCCCGAAGGACAAACTAAAGGCTGCTTCCACGGTTCATTCACTCAAAGACTCGTTGCAGTTCCCCATTGTGGCTGATATAGCTCATTGCTTTAACCAAATATAAATTACCTCGTAGCTTGCTGGTTCTCCTGGCAAGTCTCCAGGGGCACAGCACACTGGCTCGGCTCTGAGTTTCCCATCCTGAGTCCCCACGGTAGGCTCAATCACTCTGACGAGCGAGGAAGATGTTCCCGACTAGTACTAAAGCCAGCAACAAGGTTTATTAGTCGGGAGCATCGACTGTCTGATATCGTCTATACGGATAGCACAACCGCATAACTAGACGACCACAATTGATGAGTAGAATAACATGAGGTTATGCAGATTAGTCACTCGTATGGTTTCAATAGGGTACTGTTGCTTGGCTGGGTGCAATTTCACTAGGTTGTCGCTCCGTAGTCTGTCTGTTGATTATCAAAGACAGCGAATCCCAGGGCCAACGCTGCCGGTATCGAAAATCTCAACCAAACCTGCCCCAAGAGCTTCTTCAAGGGCCCAGCGAAAATTCATTCCATATAGGTCTTTCCACTTTTTCGTTCTGCCCGGCAGAATACCGGCATATTCACCCCTTGCTCTTTTGGCCATGTTAAAGCTTTTGTCTGTTTCGACCGCGCCATCCCACCGGTCACAGAGAAGATAGAGAGGGACCTCGGTCGAGCTTGACTTTTTGAGGAGGGAAATCAAGTGTGTTCGGCCAGTGCCTAGGAGACGGAGATATGGTCCAATATTGGGAAGCGAGAGGAACAATGTTGCAGTGTGGAATTGGAAACGACTAACGAGGATGTCATCCTGCGACCAGCCATTAGTATCGCCCCGACTGGCCGATGTAGCCGATGACGAAGATGGAAGACTGGGGAGCGATGCAACACCCAAAGAGCCTTTGGCCAGTGATGACGATGAGACCAAAAAGCCCGCGCGCACAAGTGCCATATATTCTTCCGGGGAAAACGTTCCCCCAGGAATAGCAGAGGATGTGCCGATTTGACCAAGGACTTCGAGAAATCTGTCTACAACGCAGTCAGTTCAAGAAATCCCCACCAGAAAGAGAGCAGGAAACTAAATACCTTTTACCGACGATTCCAAGGCATTGCTCCCTCGCACAAGTCCTTCCCAGTCCTCCGCCAGAACGAGACAATCCCCTAACCCAGCTGCATCATTTCCTCTTCCTGGGACGATCAAACGACGGACACGACCAGTATTTACCAAGTCTACAATCTCCCTTTCAACCATTGTAGGTGCATCAAGCAATGTATGCACATGAGCTACTGAGACCAAAGGGGGCAGCGACCGTCGTAGGTTGAGTACCTCGGCGATGCGCGTGCTATTCATACCGGCTCGCGTAGGAACATCCTCAAACATACTCTTCTGTATATACTTAAGAGCCTGCGTCACATTCCCCACCGGAGCTGTCTCAGAAATGTATCTTGAGACTCCGATGTCCGGTAATTGGTCTGAATCATCCTCCTGGTATACAGCGCTTAATTTATCCGACTTGGATGATTGGGTTGGTTTTCGACGAGCATGTCCGGCAAAGGGTGAGGGTTGTGATTTCAAGGTGGTAGACTTTCTGTTTTTCCTGATACCGGAAACAGGGGCAGACGTAATTCGTAAGGGCATGGCCTGGATCAACAAGAGTGCTGATGATTCCTCGATAGGTTTGTGTTACTTGATCGTCTTCGTCTCATGTCTTCATTTTGATAAGCGGCGATAGTATCACGTGATGGATAGCCCCTCATCGATGTGACCAATCAGAGATAAGGATGCATGTACAGAAAGATTTCCCCTCTATCTTGCCAAGTAGAATACCTAATAAGAAACGATTCAAAATGAGATAATAAGGAAGCACAGAATTGAATTGTATTCATGAATCACCAGTGGAATGCTTGGCCTCTGATGTTGCAAAACTGGTTTGCTGAGTCTCCGCTATCTCTTCACATGACGTAGCCATGAGGACGAGATCGTTCTTTTCTTTCGACTTCACCACCACAGATTTCTGGCTGAATGATTGTCTAGCAGTTTGCCCTGTAGCTCGATGCTCATTTTAAGACTGTTGAACCGTCTTCTAGTCTAGTTATTTCTTGCTGGTCTTTTCATCAGCAGTCGGGTTTATTCCCTCGATTCTTTTTTTCTGCTTTCATTTTCCTCAGACCGTCAGCTGGCCACCATGACCATCTTCATCGCCTCGCTGTGAGTAGGCCCACTCTTGAATTCCGTCTGATTTTCTTGTTGATCATTGGAAATCGTCATTAGCTTTTTGCCCCATACTGTGAATTTTCATGTCGAGGAACCGCGAAATCGTCGCTCAACCAGCTCTCGAGCGTCGAAAGCTGTCATCGAATCTGCCGCTGAATCCGTACCCCCCGCACCCAATGGAGTGAGTTTGTTTGAAAAGCAAAATGGCACCAAGAATGCTGGTCTCACGCCAGGTGCTACCACGGGACATGAGTGTATCTTCTCGTCGGATATCCCAAAGGACGAACATAATAATACTGGCTATCCGTTCCCCTCCACGGGGGAGGTGAATCTTCTGACGGGAAGTGAAGCCCACTCGCCTGCATGGGGCTCAACTAAGGCTCTACTTCAGCCCAAGCCTCAGACTGCCTTCTCGCCGTCCCCGTCTATTCTTAAGCATCAGGATCCCATTGTTCCAACGAAGGATTCAGGGCGCGAGAAAACGCTCGGGGAGCCAGACCCAACACACCTCCTTCCTGTGGATGTACGGATCGATCATAGTCGAAAGGTTTCTTTTTCGAGAGCGGAATGGACTATTGAGACAGCTGAGCAGGGCAACGGGGGCTTGCGCAACGCCGTACGATCTGCGACAGACGCAGGCCATATGGAGGACAAAATCTGGGTGGGCACGCTGGGAATGCCAACAGATGCGTTGGCTCCTCAGACCAGGACCATAATTGCGGAGAGGCTACGAGACGAGTACGGGTCGCTGACTGTCTACGTAAGCGACGGCGATTTCGACGGGCATTACACGCATTTTTGCAAGACGATACTGTGGCCGGTCTTCCACTACCAGATCCCCGACAACCCTAAAAGCAAGGCGTACGAAGACCATTCATGGATATACTATGTCAAGATCAACCAGGCATTTGCGGAGAAGATCGCCAAGAACTGGAAACGCGGGGATTCTATCTGGGTCCAGGACTACCATCTGCTGCTAGTTCCAGCCATGCTGCGAAAACTGCTCCCTGATGCCCAGATCGGCTTCTTCCTGCACATTGCGTTTCCATCATCAGAGGTGTTTAGATGCCTGGCGCCTCGTAAGGAGCTACTGGAAGGCATCCTGGGGGCTAACCTAATCGGGTTCCAGACCGACGAGTACTGCCGGCATTTTCTTCAGACATGTAGCCGTATTCTAAGTGTGGAGGCCACCAATGAGGGTCTCCAACTAGAGGATCGATTTGTCAATGTGGCTACATTCCCCATAGGTATTGATCCTACGTCCTGGGATAAACGACGGAAAGCCGCCGATGTTGAACAGTGGATCAAGACAATATCCGAACGATACGAAGGGAAACGGCTTATTGTATCTCGCGATAAGATTGATCAAGTTCGAGGAATCCGGCAGAAGCTGCTCAGCTATGAATTGTTCCTCAACACGTACCCTGAATGGAGAGACCAAGTATGTCCAGATTTAAATTTACAAACACATGAAAAAGAAGCATTACTAATTATCATCCAGGTTGTCCTGATTCAAGTGGCGACTAGTACGACGGAACAGCCCGAACTTGAAGCCACAATTTCCGACATCGCGATGCGTATTAACTCCACCCATTCAACCCTCGCTCATCAGCCACTAGTTTTCCTCAAACAGGACCTGGCTTTTCCCCAATATCTTGCTCTGATCTCTGTTGCGGATGCTCTAATGATCACCAGTCTCCGTGAAGGCATGAACTTGACCAGCCACGAGTTTGTTTATTGCCAGGATGGGAAGTACGGCCCTAAGAATTACGGATCTCTGATCCTTAGCGAGTTCACAGGAAGTGCGTCAGTGTTTGGCAACCATGCTCTCTTGGTCAACCCCTGGGACTACCGGCAATGCGCGGAAGCGATATATACAGCACTTTCACGGAGCGAGGATGAACGCCAGCAAGTATGGACAGAGCTGCACCGGGCGGTCTTGCAGAACTCAACGGCCAACTGGGTGAAGTCATTCAGTGAGACGTTGTCTCGGGTATGGAATGAACAATCGTCGCGTGAGATCATGGCTGTCCCCCGTCTTTCAGTAACCAGACTGGAGGAAAAATATCATCAGTCTAATCGTCGCCTGATTATTGTGGACTACGAGGGTACCCTGGCATCGTGGGGCTCCCCGAAGAGCATTATCATCACCACACCACAGCGGGCTATCACCGCACTGTCTGAACTGACAGAAGACCCGAAGAACATAGTTTACGTGATGAGCTCAAGAATGCCAGAGGAGATGGAACGGCTGTTCCGAAGGGTGGCCGGGCTAGGTCTGATTGCTGAGAACGGATGTTTTGTGCGCGAGCCACATGCAGAGGAATGGCTCAAGTTGACCGACCAGGCACACACAGACGCCTGGAAGGACGGGGTGAGCCATATACTTGAATACTTTCAGCAGCGAGCGGAGGGCAGCTGGGTGGAGCAGCGGCATTGCTCCCTCATGTTCCACTACGGATCGGCAGAAGATCGAGGGGCAGCTGCGCGACTGGCGTCTGAGTGTGCTGGGCATATCAACGATGCATGCGCGAACCAAGGCATTCACGCACTACTTATTGAGGGGGCACTGGTGGTGGAGCCGGTGGACACGAACAAGGCATCGGCTGCCGAATTGGTATGGCGGTACTGTCTGGAACGGAGCCAAAAAGAGGAAGAGTTAGCCCCACCGGACTTTTTGTTGGTTATTGGTGATAGTCGAGACGATGAGCCAGTATTCCGTTGGGCGAACAAACTGCAGGGTGCGGAGGCAGTTGACTACTCCATGACAGTAACGCTGGGATCACGAAGCACAGAAGCCAAGGCGACAGTGACACAGGGAGTAACGAGTAAGGATCCTTATCCCCTTCTTCCTATTGAGCAGACTAACGGTTAATACAGGTGTCCTTTCATGCCTAGAGAAGTTGGTCGTGCCGCCATCATGATTACAAAGTTAAGAGATATATATATTTCGGACTAATTGACGAGGATATGATTTGGATTTTGGGCAATGCATCTATCTATACACAACAAAATACTAGACCTTTGATAGTATTTATTTCATCTATATCTTATATCTCATTATTCCTTATCTACTCTTAATTTTGAAGACACACATACACATGAATGTTAGTCAGCTCTCGGCTGTGGGGGTTGCGGAAGCCGAGGTTCGTTGGGATACTTAAGATAAACTTACCCCGATCTAGGATGAATGCTTTTCGGATGCATTCTCGGTTAGCAATTTATTCATATAGAAATTATAGACAGAATGGGTTCAGCACCACTGAATCAAACGTTTGAAGAGGCGATCGCAGTGACACCTATCAGCTCACATCGTTATTCCGCCAATCTGCGGAACGACTGGTGTATCGGGACAGGTATGTCGTGCCTTCGACTGATACAATGACAGCGATTAACAAACAAGAGCAGTCCCCCATGGAGGATATACAACCGCCGTGCTGTATCGATTGGCAACAACACATTTTGCTCACACCCATCCCACACGTTACAATGAAACCGCCACTCCGATCTCTATCCAGTTGGCCTTCATCCGTCGCACGGCCGTTGGCCCGGCCATCCTGACCGTGGAGGATACAAAGCTTGGAGCACGAACGAGTACGATCCATGTCAAGCTATCGCAGCCACGCGAGAAAAAACAGAAATTCGGCTCTTCCTCAGAGGAAGAAGAGCTTGAAGTCAAAGTAGCTGGTTACATCACCGTCACACCGTCTACCGCGGAAGTGGGCGTTTCAACCAACACTGGCTGGGCGGTTTATCCGCCCACTCATCCTGGGACCGGTCCCGAAGGCAAGGTGAACCTTGGCAATCTGAGCAGCACCGGTCAAGATGGGGAATGGACGCGACAGGTGGCGCCGTTCCCTGACTTTCGGCGGGCGACACAACAGCTCGAACTGTTTGGACCTGATTCTAAGGCGAAGAAATCGCAGGTGGTGGATCAGTGGGCGCGTTTTCGACCGGGAGGAGATCAAGGAGGAAGATGGAGTAATGAGGCGGTGGTGTTTTTGACGGACATGTTCCCGATGGCATTGGATGGGCTGGACTCCATGTCTGCAGCTGCGTCGGGGGTGTATGCCCAAGACACTACGGATAAGAAGCAGTTGGCCAAGTTCTGGTATCCGACAGTGACGTTGAATATCGACCTGACAAAGCGGATGCCGGTTGAAGGGGTGGAATGGCTGTATAGCAGGGTACAGATCAAGGTGGTGCGTAATGGACGCACGGAGATTGAAGTGGCAATATTGGATGAAGCTGGAGAAACGGTAGCGTTCAGCACACAAGTGGGATTGGTGGTAAGCGCGAGCCGAAACGTTGGGAAGCGCTCGATGTTGTGATTTAGATCTAGATGAGACTTCTATATACCCCTGGACGGGCGTACTGTATCTACCATCATATATACTCTATATATACATGTCACAATTTGGGAATTGTTTCCAACCAAAACGCCATGGCATCCGTCATGACTAATTTCCTCTTGGCCCATTCTAAATGTCCCCCGGTCGATTGGGCGTCTTCCTCTTGAACGACTTGCGCCCTCACCCAGAACTTTCTCCCAACACGAGCCACGACCCTCGCCTTCACCATCACCAAGCCTGGCACCTGTAACGGTTTCCGATACCTTACATCTAATTGAGACGTATATATTTGGCCACGGGGATGACCCCCTGAGGCGGTATGCAATGCAACGGCCAACGACATGGTTTCGTCAAGCAAGGTTGCAATGACACCTCCATGGGCGGTAGATGGATGGCCACAGACACCCGGATTCTCTAATGATAGTAGCATCATCGCATCGGGTGGATTAGGCGAGGGGGGAGACGAGGGCGAGGCGGTTGGAGCCGGCCACGCTGGAGCTTCTGGAGATGGAGGGATGAGGTCACGACGGCGGATGGTCAGGCAATGGGGGATGGTAGAAGAGGATGCGAGGGTACCAGAGAAGAAGCCATCCTCGCCGGTGGAGGGCTTGGGAAGACGCGACCAAGTGTGAATGGGATAGTAATCGGGGGAGGCGAGGAGAGAAGAAGCCCAGGGGAGAGAACGGAAGTGGTCGAGAGAGAGCGAGGAGGAGAGGGGTTGGGTCATGACGGAGTCGGGGGGAGGGGCGGAAGGGGGGTGGTCATTTGTCATTATGATGATGGTGGATAGATGGATAATAAACTGAAAGATGAGATGAACGAGTTAATAATAATAATGATAGAGAGAATGGTGAAGATGGATTGGGATGAAGGTGGTCAAGGAACTCAATAGTGTATAATAATAAAGTCGTGGATCGACAACCTCGGTAGAGCAAACCCGAGGATCAATGTTCTTCAGAAGGATCTACAAACCGGTGATCGTATTTATGATAGATGATATGAGTTCTATCTCTCTGACTCCTTTTCCTCAATCCTCAATAATTGGATGCTGGTTATTATGGAGAATTTTCGATGTGATCGCCCCAGCCGGGACTCCTGTGAGGATCTTCTGCAACGCAAGGAGTGGATTCCAACCAGGCTGGCATTCGTTGATCTCCCGTTGGTATGTATAGCTTCATGAACTGCTCTGATGAAAGCAATAGACAGAGATGATGATGCTGGCTACGAGGCTATAGTCTGTCTACGTATTGGAAGCGACTGCTTGTGATATACATGAGAGGCATCGATGCAGCTCGCATCCTTGTATAGCCTTATCAGTCTCAATCCAAGACAGTCAATACTCCGGCTGCAACAAACTCCACCACGCCATGCCATTCCTCTCTGTTGTTATGGCAGGACAAACATAGGGATGTCCTTTAATAACAGATCGATGTCCCTATCGTTTCCTCTTCTCTCTTCGCACGAAACTAACACTTAGTGGCAATTGCCTTGTTTTTTTCCCTTCCTCTTCCCCGCCCGGACTTAAAATCGCCTGCAAAACACAAAACACTTTTCTAGTCTTAGTCTCTGTTTCCTCGTTTAAAGCCCAATTTTCTCTTTCTCCTCTTTTCCCCCCTTCTTCTTCTCTTTTCCTTCTCTTCCCATCGTCGCTTTCATCTCTCTTCTCAGTATCCAATTCTCTATATATACTCTACTCAATTGGTTTACTTGCCTATCTACTACTCAAAGAAGAAATCATCACAATGCTCCCCTCTGTTGTCCTCCTTTCCACTCTAGCTGCCTCGGTTGCGGCAAGCTCCGGCAACTACTCTTTGCCTGATAGCTTCAATGTTGGAGAGGTTGAGTTGAGCACTCGAAGTACGTTGAGATCTCTTGCAATTGGACCCTCTTGAAGGATCGCAGATAAACTAATGATCGTCAGACTCCTGGTGTACTGCCGAGCGGAACTCTTGCCCAAAGATCTGCGGTGGAGTCGCGTATGGCAACACATGTGACCCGGTATGTCTAAACGTTTGCGAGAGCAAACAGCACCATCGAGTAACGATCATGAAACTGACTGGTTGTAGGAAACTCTTGACTTCACTTGTACCTGCGTGAATGGTACTGCCGCAGACACTGAACCTTACACAAACACTATCCCCTACTTTGTCTGCCAGGCCAACTATGCGCAATGCATTAACGCGCATCCCGACGATGCCGATGGCCAGCAGGAGTGCAAAGACAACGCCAAGTGTGGCAGCAAGGATCCTTCGGATGCCACCTCTTCGTCTACTACTACATCTTCTTCGTCCTCTGCCACTTCGGCCACTTCCACCGCCTCTGTTACCAACAAGGATGCTGTAACTGGTTCCACCACCGCCAGCAGCGAGACTGCTTCTAGCACTACCAATGCTGCTGGTACTCTTCGCGACCACTCGACTGGTCTCTTGGCCACTGCTCTTTTCCTGGCCGTTCGTCTCGTTCTGTAGATGATGTGGTGATAAACCGCTGTAACGCGACCATGGGATACCAAAACAAAAAGTTCCACCGGTTCAATATCCCTATATAATACCTTGTTTCGATTTCTTGCTGCACTGCTTGTTTGACTTTTTTTTTTTTTTGGCTTGCTGCATGTTTGCTGATTGATTGTCGGTGAATTTTTACGCCTTGCATCCATACGTAGTACTATTCCCCCAATTACCGAGTTGTCTCATCGCTGAGCCATTTGACCTATGTGGTCGCTGCATACGAAATTATGTCTGTCTTTAATTAATTAATTACTTGGATCCTAGATAGAGTGGATTCTTGACTTCTGTGAATTAATCTCTTAATCCGATGGTACGGAGTCCTTTACCGTAGCACTCATGGGGAATCATTTTGAGACCTCGCCACCATGCTCAGAACAAATAATTAGAATTAATTAAATTATCTCGCGTTGGAATATACCTGGTATATCTGAATTGAACGCTAATCTTTATCCCTCTTGGCCTCTGTCGTGGAGGCCATCATAATCATCATCACCATCGGCTGCTCCTCGCCAAGACTTTTTGCACACACTGAAATTTCTCCCAACTTATCGATAGTTACGGCTTCTCCTCCTCCACCGCCATCCACCTTTTTCACCCTCCTCCCTCCATTTCCCCCTTGTGATCTTGCTCTACTTTCTCTTCCCATTTTCATCGCCATGCCCGCTCCTACTACCACCCTCCTCATCGAGGGGAGCTTCACCGAGCTCGCCGACGAGTTCGCCCAGTACGTCGACGCTCTCCGCAAGAATGAGGGCGCCAGCCTTCAGGCCGAAATTTCCCCGCTCCTCGAGCCCCTCCGCCAGCAGGAACAAAATGAAGAACAGGCCGATCTGAAGCAGCGCGATGAGGTTCTCAAGAAGTTGGTGTCGGCTGCCGCCGTCTTGAACTCGGCTCCGGAGAAGGGTGAGTTGTGTGATTGATGGACCCGGTGGAAGAATGGACAAAGAAGAAGAGGACGAAAAAAGAAGCAAAAAGAAAATAAAACTGACGAATGGATAGAAATTACCCCTTCGTACAACCTCCTTGTTCACCTCGTCCAACAGGCTTCGGATGCGGACATGTTCCTGTCGCGAATCTGCACCTACCTCGCCAAACCCATCACCACCTCGCCGCAGTTCGGCCCCACGCTGGCCATCTCCATCCTTACCACCATCTTCAACACTCTCTCTTCCACCGACTCTAGCCGCTTCCACGTTCTGTTGGCCATAATCGCCGTCATCCGTCAGTCGGCCTCCGCCTACGCCTTCGAGGCCCTCAAGCCCCAATTGACTGCTCAGTTGCCCACCTGGTTGGCTTCTTGGGAGCTGGACGAGGAGGAAGCCCAGAAGCTGCACCTGGCTGTTGCTGAGGCCGCCCAGGTAGCTGGTGACACTGAGTTGGCCCAGACGCACACCATCCAGGCGTTGCAGACCATCCCCGCCAACAATGCCGCCAGCAAGGAGGCCCGCGACCTGGCCGTCCGGGCCTTGAGCTCCGCCTTGCAGCACCCAACCGTGTTCGATTTCACCCCGCTGACCGCTTCTGACGCCGTCCAGGCCCTCCGCACCAGCGACAGCACCCTGTTTGAACTCCTCGAGATTTTCACTTCGGACACCCTTGATGCCTACGAGGACTTCGTCGCCGCCACCCCGTTGACCTCCATCTCCGAGGGTGTGCTCGCCAATGCTGGAGAGGCCCTGCAGAACAAGATGCGCCTTTTGACCCTGGCCTCGCTTGCTGCCTCTACCCCGTCCCGTTCGCTCCCTTACTCCACTATCGCCTCGTCTCTGCGCGTGCCCTCGGAGGATGTTGAGAAGTGGGTGATTGACACTATCCGTGCTGGTCTTGTTGAGGGCAAGCTGTCGCAGCTGCGCTCGGAGTTCTTGGTTCACCGCGCCACCTACCGTGTCTTTGGTGAGAAGCAGTGGGCTGAGGTTCAGGGCCGCCTGATGGTGTGGCGCCGCTCTCTGGAGAGCGTCCTGGGCGTTGTCCGTAGCGAACGTGAGCGATTCATCCGCGAGGGACAGCAGGCTGCTGCTGAGGAAGCCAAGACAGGCGAGAAGGGAGGCAAGTCCGGAGACCGGAGACGGAATCAGAACCAGAGCCAGCAGCAGAGTGCACCGCAACAGCAACCCCGGGAGGTTGAGGCCGTTGGTGGTGCTGAATAGAGAGATATAACATAAAAAAGACCAAAAGTGTTAATGACTTGGGGAATTGGCTTGGGGTGTTTCTTCTTGTCGAATTTTTATTTTACATGTGTTCATCTTTTTTTTTTTTTTCCCCTTTATTTCCCCCCTAAACCCGGGCAACCCATTTATGTTTCTATTTGATGAGTAGCTATTTTGTTTTCTAGACGTCCAGCCTGGTGATGCATGTTTGTTATTAGGATTGGACCCGATCAAATCGATCACGAATCATGTCTTAAGACAACTCAAATATAAGATGTGAATGACAAAACCGCTAGATTAATGAAATGCATATGACATTGTACGCAGGCAATCGAACTATATCCAATTCTTCGTCTATGTGCCTCAATCATACAAGAGACTTGTAACAAATTAAACCCGAGTAATCCCTCTCTTCTCGATACCCTCCTGGATTCTAGCATAAACATCTTCCACACCTCCTGTGGCCTCAACCGAAACAACCTTATCTTGCTCCCTGAAGGCCGTAACGACAGGCATACTGGTCTCGACAAACACGCGGAAGCGCTTGCGAATCGATTCGGCATTATCGTCCTCCCGACCAGAAGTCTCACCACGCTTAATCAGTCTCTTCTCCATCACCTCCTCGGGGCAGTCGAGGAAAAGCGTCAGCTGCGACGGACAGACGGTCTTCTCAAAGAAAACAGCCTGGTCGAGCTTGCGGGGGAATCCATCAATCAAGAAACGGCTCTTTTTCTCGGACTCGGAAGCGGCAGTCAACGAATCGGCCATGGCGTTGGACAGCAAAGCGACTGTGATCTCCATGGGAACGATCTTGCCCTCCCGGATATAAGTCTTGATCAGGTCACCGTACTGGCTTCCCTCGCGGACTTGCTCAGCGCGCAGCAAATCACCGGCAGAGAGGTGGACGAACCCATAGTCGCGGACGAGGTTGGAGGATTGGGTACCCTTTCCGCTACCGGGGCCGCCGAGGAGGAAAACCACGGTGACTTGTTCGGGGGAGAAGCGAGGCGCACTGGTTTCGGCCATGGTGATGATTGTTGTTTTTGTTGATGCGGTGTTGGTTTGAAGGTGGGGGTGTTTTGGTGGATGGCTTTTATTGTTGGGGCTTGGTGACACCGGTGCGGGATTTGACGAGGAAGACGTAGGAGCCGGAGCCGAGGGCGAGGATAATCACAAAGGGGAGGATTTTGAATTGAGAACGGCTGTATTGGGAGGATGGAGGTGAAGGAGAAGAAGAGGAGGAGGGGTTGGGAGAGTTGGAAGAAGACGAATAGGGGCGATGCTGTCGGAGAGGGTGGTGGGGTCGCAATGATGATCTGGCGGGAGGTAATAAGAATAAGGATCGAGCTGGGATATTGGAGGAACGGAGAACACCAGGGAAAAGAGACATTGATAAGGACGGAGGAGGAGATGGGATGGGGAAGGGGAATTGAGGATATTAGAGGCGAAGAGGAAAAATGATGGAAACAGGGAAGAGAAGAAGAAGAGAAGAAAGAGAAAAAAGGTTCAAGTGAGGTTGCCGTATATCCGGATAGGGAATAGTCTGTATAGAACAGTATGAGAATGAATACTATAAAAAAATAAAAAAAGACAACCAGATTGACTGAATATTAATTTGAATATAAAAGATATCAATATCTGATGAATACTGCATTGTACTATTCTAAGCCTGCCAGTGAATGGTTCATCCAGACAAACACTCTAGCCCTAGGCATCCTCTCTCTTCCTCTTCCACCGACCCATCCCTCCTCACTCTTTCTTCCACCTCGCCACCTTCATCTTACAGGAGCTCAGTCAATCTATTCTCAGAGGTCATGGCAGATCCAAGGCCTCAACAAGGTAGTGCCAATACCTCTGCCAACCGAGGCCATCGTGGAGGACGTGGTTGGCGATTTGGTCGAGGTGGACGAGGACGAGGATCGCGAGGTCGTTTCTCCAAGGTCTGTCTTGCATTCTTGTCTCATTATATTTAGCATGCTGACATCCCTCAGAATGGACAATCAGTTCCACCTGAGAATCCTGATAATGAATCCCCAGACGTTGTCTCAAACAAGGTAGGTTGACTGTTCTCTTTGCCTGGCAATATCCTCATGATGATAGAATCCAAACCACCCCAACAGACACAGTCAGACGGCCTCTCGGGGGAATCTTCATGTTGAGGTTTGTCCAGCCACTGCTCATGCTCATGCTCATTGCTTCCAAATGCTGAATCCACCACAGAACAAAAACTCCAAGGCGCCTTCGAGAGGGTCGAAAGTTTCATCCTCCCGTGACAGAGGAAGCAAACGTGCTCACAATGTAGCGAAGAAGACTGATATCCCTTCTATTCCTTCGCAGCAAGCGACAGACAACGACAACAGTCCTCTTTCGATTACCTACTCCGCCAAAGCAGACAATGATCAATTCGTGGACAAGCCATCCAGCTCAATTAGGGCAGACAAGCACACAGAGCAGAGACTGGGCAAAGAACTTCCGATCATCAAACCGCGTCCATTTATCCAGAAAACAAAGCCCGCCCCCTTTCAGCGGCTGCCTGCTGAAATTCGATGGAAAATATACCAATATCTCTTCGGCACGTACAGAGTCGACATCCTCCGTCAAAAGAACAAGGACAAGTCTAAACCCGCTTACCGTCTTTACCACCGCCAGTTGTATCCTCGAAATCCTAAAAACCAAGGCACGCCTCCCCCATTAGCCGCTTCGGCTAGACTCCTTCCGCCCCCGTTCAGTCTCGTCTTCACCTGCAAGAGTATCTACTGCGATACCCTTCTTCTGCTGTACTCGAAGACTCAATTCGTATTTCACTCCACCCGGGCCGTTACCAGGTTCCTGCAAACAACAAGTAAAGACGCTCAGGCTTCGATCCACCATATCGAGCTCAACCACATCATGTATCACGAACCGCATCTGACGGAGTTCCGTCCCTTCAAACTTCGCAGCGACATAGCCTGGTACTTGGCCTGTGAGGATTTGTCTCTCTGTCTCACATCCCTGCGTGTGTTGCACATCAACCAGACCATCTGGGACTGGCCCATCCGGTTGCTGATTGGAGAGCTCTGGTCGCTGCCGCTGTTATTCTTCCGCGGACTAGAATACGCCGATGTCAAGCTGTGCATGTCTATGTTCAAAGAAGACAAATTGAAGCAGGTGGCCAAATTGTTAGAGGAAAGGATCATGAACGCCGAGGCGTATCAGAGTCGAGAAGATGAGAGGCTGGCGAAGGAATTGAGGGGACCGGTTAGAGCAAACGTTTTGAAGTTGGTTTTTTGAGTCTTTTCTGTTTATGATTTTATGATTTCGCAGGACTGTCACGAGATAAGATGAAAATATGGGATCTCTAGTTTGGGTTAACATAGATAGTAATACTTGAAGAAAGGAAGTTTTCAGCTAAATCGAATCATCGTTCGTTGGGATATATGACTGAGTCTGTCCAGATAAATAGTACAAAATTAAGATGACCTGCCAAAATGTACGTAAATCATAATACGCGAAGAGAATACCACTCAACGCCCAGAAGTATGCAAGAGTTCTTTTGTTTCACAGATACGTCTGTGTTCTTAGTTGGATCGGCTCTCCTCCAGGGCATGTCCCTCCTCCGAGGGAACTTCGGTGTATGCCTGCATACGACGGCGATAAAGGTACCAGTAAATGCCCGCCAGGAGCCCGCCCACGGAGCAAATAATGAGGATGAAGACCAAGAGACCGCCCACTGCGCGAATCACTTCATACGCCTTGAACACGGCATTGGCCATTTCCTGGGCCTTATCGACCGGCTCAGGGACGTCTTCATGTTCATCTGCTATCTTGTGGGCGTACAGCACGGATGGGTCATTGGGGGATGGACGCTCCTCGCCCTGGAAGCCAGCCAATTTCCAGTTCTGAGGGGTGGTAACCCGCAGTGGCTCTGATTTGCCCAGAACGTTTCCGTCCTGGTCAACGGCCTCAACGGACACAAAATCCAGGTACCCCTTGGCAATGTACATGGTCTCAAATTCGGTCTTGGTAGTGTTGCCAACCAGCACGGGGATGCCATACTGATCCGACCGCGCGTAGAAGTTCCATGTTTTGATATCTGTAGCGCCGTTCCAGCTGACGTAGAAGATGGTGCTGAGGTCCGTCTCGTCTGTTCCATACACAGATGCCACCACATCCGGGGGGGCGTTGGGACGGCCAGTGAAGGGGAATTTATAGGACCGGTACGAGGAAAATCGCTCAGACACAAACCTGGCCTGCATCAGCAACTTGCCGTCCGGCCCGTGCTCGCTTTGGTAGCCCCATTCACTCCATCCGCAGAAGGTGTTGCCATTCGGCAGGAACTGGGCACTTCCACGGAGCCGGGTGAGACTGTTATCCGGTCGGTTGATACGCTTGATCACCCGTGCAATTTTCGGGCTCGAGTTAGCGTCTATCTCAATGAGCAGAGCGGACGAAACATTTTCTTCGTTTTCAAGCTCATCCGAACCGTTGTTGAGCATCGAGATGATGGTACGGTTCTCGTTGGACTCGTAGAATTGCACGTCGTGCTGCCTGGAGAAAGTAAAGTCCTGCACAAAGTCCGTATATTTTCCGCCCAGGCGCCAGATGATGTGTCCGTCCTCGCCAGAGATTAAGTAGACAGTGTTGGTGAAACGGCAGGACAAGATGTAATCGCCAGCGTCGTTTTTGTCGACTGCGTTGACGTGGATATAATCCCATCCGGGATGGTCCGACGGGCCATCCCACGGGTTCACTCTGAAGGATTCGTGGATAGGGATGTGACCAAGCGAGTTCCATTCATACAAGACTTCGCCCGTGGTGATATCCAACTCGACGAAACCACCCGTCGTGAGCCAACCAAACTCATCTGGGCGGCCAAGGTCGCCCAGGTCCACGTACTGGGGTCGGTAGAGGTTGGCCACAGCCGTCTTTCCACCAGCGAGGACATGAAACTCGTGCATGTTGAAGTTGCCCAAGTCGTTGGTGACAGGAACCGTATATTCCGGCTCGAGGTGCTCGTTCAGGATATGGCCAGATCCTTTGTCCGAGGCATCGTCGTACATGTGGGCACGAATGAACGAGACGTGGGATTTACCATCGTCCATGGTAGTGACCGCTCTGAAATCGAACGCATTCTGGTTGTTATACAGACAAGATCCAGCCCAAACGAGAATCTAGCATTGTGTAAGCTTTCGCTCCTTTTGTTCCTATTCGCTTTCCATAATTGACTGCTTGGGTCGGACGCAGAGAAGTACATACACCATCGTCGTCAAAAATATACGGGCCGACCTGGCAAGGCTTGTATTGTTTCGTTGTAGGTTCCGGATCGATTTGGGCATACGGTGCGACAAACCAGTAGCCAGGACTAGCGGCTTCGCGATCATACCAGGCGAGGTCGAATTTCAAAGCTCGCACTCCGGGGAGCTGCAACTAAATCAGCCCTCCGAATCACGCAATTACCCCAGATTCTGACGCCCTTACTTACCGAGACATACGAGGTGAAATCATCGTCAGAGTCCGCAACTATGCTGCGAAAGCAAAGCAGAAAAGCAACCCAAAAGAACAGCATTTTTTAAGAAAAAAAGTATTATTCAAGGAGTGGCTAGGAGAAGAAATCTCCTTGAAGGAATAAAACGACGTAGAAAAAGGCGACGACCAGCGGAGAAAAGGGAAAGAAAAAGGGAAGGGGAAAAAACTCCGCCCGGAGGTATTAGACAAAGGTCATTAAGACGGCCGTTGTCTTGTCTAGGCCGGTGGATAAGGAGGGAGGATTTTGGGCTGAGCAACGAAGGAACCAACGGTTGACAGTCACTGATGACCAAGAGAGAGAGGAGTCTTACGGAGTGTGAACCTCCATAATTCCGGCTGGGTTGCGGCAAGACGACGTAAGTGCTGAGATGGAATCTGACGATCCGTCCAGGCGGTCATTCTTGGCGGTGTTTCGCGCGGTGGAGCAGCGGAGCAGCGACGAGGGCTTGCATTTGCTGGACTTGCGTATGCCACGCCCACGACTCGTCACCCACAGCATCATGGCGAATGGCAATGACATTTATTCACGGGGCTGAACGCTAGGGCTGGCCGGGTTTCCGGACTGCACGCTGCAAATGCATAATCTGTGGTCAAATCTGGGTGTTCAGTCCGAGAGTCGCCGCTTCGGGGGTTACAGAAAGTACGGAGTCGTTTATATCAATCACTTTCATTGTCGTTTCGCTATACCATTGATATTTCCCGGTGTGTATGCCTATCTACTCAGGTGTATCAGCAGCGTGGAGAGAGAAAGAGAGATAACGCGGTCAATGCTACCCACATGGTAGTTCAGTTGGACATGGTCCCCTCCCCGAAGACCTGAACACGACCAAAAAAGAAAACGCCCTATGCGATATGCCAATTTCCAACCGCCAAGGGATCATTAGGATTGACTGGGATGATAATCGCATATTATTGCCGACAGTGCCGTCTGGGGTTGATTGTCTTGGGGTTGGGTGGTGGATAATATCCTAACCGTCTCCATATCCCACGCCTTTAGTGGTTCGACGCATTGACGAGCCCAAAATAAATTCAAGCCAGTGGATTCGCAGCCATACTGATCATCCAGGACTGTCGTCTTATCCTAAGTGTTTCTTTTCGCCTTCTCTTGGTAGGGCTTTTGACGTGTTGACGATCTTCCCTCGTGGGCAATGGGCGCTGATGGAAGGGGAAAATTGAACAGTCGATCCCCCTCGGAACTACCGTGGATGCTTCCTTTTTAAACAGTGAAGAAAATCCGTCGAAAAAGAAAAGAAAGAAAGAAAAAATTGAATTCGATGCTTTTGGGTGTTTGAAACTTGTTGGACGTGTCGAACATACCAAAAGCACGTGATTCTATCACCAGCTGTTTTCTGAAATGGGGTTTATTCTTATTTTTATTTTTATTTTATTTTTTCTCTCATAGACAGGAAGTGAATTGATTCATCTTTATTATTATTATTGCTATCATCATTAGGGAGTAGCCATGTACTCGATATTGATTACTACTATTATCACCGTCGTCTCTCCCCAGTTTCGATTAAATAATGTGAATCCTGTCAGTCTCTCCACCCTCCTGGTTTCAATTGTTGCCCCTGCTCATCCATATTCTAGCACGGAAAAGATCCGCCCAGCCAAGCATGATTTCCCTGAAAATCCCTTCAGTTCAACCCATCAAGCTCAGATGAACGGGACGGGAAACCCTGTGGATATCCATACCAAACAGTGGCCCGCTTTCATCATCCCAACCATGAGAATTCGACAGCACACCGTTTATTTCAGAGCAGCATAACTCGCAATGGGAGGTTCCCCGTGAGACTTGGATGAATATGTAAAGGCCTCGGCCACTGCAACCAACAGCAATCCCTCGGTTCCCAGAACTTGATCCAGTCCTAATCCGAACTGCTCGGGAACCGACTGCTCACATACCTTGTCTAGGTCGAGTCGCGATGGGTTGCCAGGTCCATCGTGCTTGAGTGCATCAACGGCCAATGCCCACGCGAGAGGGTTGTATAACACACCCTCGTGCGTATAAATGCCTCCTGCAGGCTTCTTCGAACAGATGGTCTGGAGATGGTTGTTGGTCACGCCAACTTTCCGGGTGTCGGCGAGGATGGCCGATGCGTTTCCCTCATCCATTGGCGCGACGATCTCATCCCATGAGGAGAAGATATTGGTCGTGGGGACATAAGCCGAGTTGCCTCCATTGTCTCTCAGGGTTTCCACGAAGCTGGCGTTGTTGCCTTGCTGCCAGAATGCTGGGGTGCAGACCAAGTCTTCCAGGGTGGGACAGAGAATCGGGAGCAGTTCGGAACCGTGATAGTCGGGACTGATGGCGATGAAATCTTCTACCGCAGACCGGGTGGACGGCCAGTACTTGAGTGCCCATTGGGTATTCAGGCCACCCTGTGACCATGAGAGGACCGAGACCTTGGAATCTGACATGGCAGAGATGTAGTTGATGGCATAGGCGACATATTCAGAATTGACCTGTGCATCCCCCAGCGATGCATTGGGGACATTGACCCAGACGACATCGACGTCTGCGACACTTCCCAACTTGCCAAAGTTGAAATAATAAGTGAGGCCGGCTGGAACAGCAGTCCCCGGCACCAGGATCATGGGCTTCTTCCCATCTTTCCCATACCCAAAGTCCTTGGGGATATAGATTGCCTCCCGGAGGCTGTTCTCTGCCACGGAGTAGGGGGTGTCGCCTAGAGCTTTGGTTGGGTACAAGTTGCGGCCCCAGGGTGCCGGGTTCTTGTTCTTATCCGAGTTGAGTTCAAGGTCGATATAACCGTTGAGGAGTGACAAGAGGTCTGCTGGCACCAATGCCAAATCGCACACAAGACCTGCGACAGCACCGATCAAGTCCGATATGCCATTCCCGAAGAGGCTGCCCACCTTTTTACAGGCCGCCTCGACAGACATATTCACTGTCGCATGAGTGTCCTGAATCTTTTTAAGTTCCGAAGCGACCGCAGCCGCATCGGATGCCCCTTTCTTGGGAGTTGAGGAGTCGTTGGCCATGTTAGACCATGTCGTGAGAAGATCCACGTTGGCGGCGCTTGTGGCATTGTGGCGGATGCTTGAAGCTGACACCGCGGACACCAGGCCCAGGGCACTTATGAGGGAGTTCAATCTCATCTCGGCGTGGTTGCTATATACAGTGCAGGGAAAGAATAAAAGGAGCCTGGCCGCTGCTGTTCTCCACGGACTGTCGACGGTTTTTATACATACAGGTTTGTTGGTGTCTTGGTACAAAGACCCCTATATGCAGACGGGGTTTGCATTTCTCATTTTTGAGGCGACATAGAGAACATAAAAATGTACATCTGGGTGAGGAAGGGAATAGTTTATGGACCCAGCCTTATATTACAGCAATTAACAGCAACATTGTTGTGATATATCACCTTCAATCCAATCATTGCTGCAGTATGCATCTCCGATTCAATCTTTGATATACATCGACTTGACGAAATGAGAGTCATAGACAATCCTAAGGTGACTTTTCGTCGTATATATTCTAACCCTGCCGTTCATCGAGCTGTATACGTCGTGGATACCAAGGGGACCCCCTCATCAAGTAACTTTGCACTTTCAATAGTTTGTAGATTGCAGGAATATCCATGCTATTAAACGGTATTCGATTGATCAATCTTATTCTCTTGTCAATCATAATTGAACATATCAGTCCAGGGGTATAAGAAATGGTCATAGGATGTTATAAGATGTTGCGTAGTTGGAGTAGACTAATGAACAACACCATGGCGAGATGATATGGCATCATATATTACATCGTATCATTGTGATATATTGGAGATAACAGACCATAAATACCGCAATAACCGAAGAGATAATACCGTTGAAGTGGGGAATGCCGGAGTGAACCTGCGGGGAAGAAGGGGGATTCTGGTTCTCTCAAAGTTGGAAGTCTGAAAATTGGGCGTTGCAGTCGTTTGATCTTGGATCCTGATATCGACAGGGTATACGTCTGATTCTTGGGTGAACATCCTTTTTTTTTTTTTTTTAAGGGGAAAAAAAAAAAAAAAAAAAAAGTTACTCCGTACTATTCTTCCCAACTTCTACCCAACTTCATTTTATCCTTTCTAGGGTACTGGGATTATGCGCCACCCGATGGCCATGTTGATCTGTATAGATGACCTGCACTCATCAACATGGTGAACATCTCAGACGGCGTGGACTACCTTGGGAGGATTGGCGACTCCTTCTTCTCTGGCCTCGGCTTGATCTTTGACGATCCTTTCAACCTGCAGTTTGATCAGTTAGCCGATCAGAAGAGGAGAGCAACGGACTACCTCGCCCTCGTGAGATCCTCCGCGGTACTTGGTATAGACCGTATCGCCTTCTTGGATGGTTTCACTTTTTTTATCTTGAGCTCGTTCGAAAGGCATGATGGGTTCTATACCTAGGAAAGTTAGTAGAGTGTGATGAGTATATATTACTCCATATATTGCGTAAATGATGTTATAATTCTGTTGTTGTGATGTCATCCACAATCCATTATACTCTAATGTAACATGATCTGACATGCAGACACGATCAGTTGTCAAGATGGCACTATCCACGGTTACATGATTATGACTACTATAGTGCAATATATCAAGTGTAACCTCCATGTGGGGATTCTTCAATGGACCGAGTGTAACAACCGATCCAGTCCACGTGGCCATATATCTATGAAGAAATTCGTGATCAAGATGATGACAGTCGACTGTCATCGCCATCCGAGTGCACTAAGGGGGCTGACGTGGTTTAAAAGTAAGTTATCCCAGCCTCCTGCAGTCATGAAAGATGAAACGGAGATAAATATAGACGGGTACGTGTAGTGTGTCATTCTTTGCTGGGAATGTAGGACACGGTATGGATCACCATCTTGATCGATCCATCAAAGTATCATGATTCAGGATTGAGAGTCGCCATGTAACAGTTTCTTGGACGGACTACCACCGTTGCACCCATGAGGTGTCACATACCACACCCAGTCGATATCGGACAAGACACAACAACAACTTTCAAAGTGGGTGAAAAAGATGTCGAGTACCGGGTATTCGAGCAGCAAACATTTGCAGTTCTCTTCGAGTATTCGAGAGAGAAAAGAAAAGAGAAGAAAAAAGAAAAAAAGAGCTGACAATATCCCCGATCAGACAGGTCAGATGGTATGGGGGATACACATACCGTATTATACAGTATTGCCATTTACCACCATCGTGGATGTAACTCTAATGGCGATCACACACTCAGCTCCACTTGATAGACTACATCTACAGCAGTCAACAGTCAACAAGTCTACTTACTTGATACTACTACTTGATCTATCATATTGATAAACAAATACAGATACATGTCACATCATACTTAATACCATACCTACTCTATGATATGGATATTATCATAATAATTATACTATGATATGACTTTAGATAAGGTATCAGATGCAAGCCAAGGTAGTACCTGCTTTACCACCTTATCCTAGCCCCGGAGCTGCACCGCCGTAATTACCATACCTGACTGAGGTAGGTGGTTCGCCCAACGGTCTGGAACTGCCTCTGCCATAACTTACATACCGTATATACCATACCATACCTGTATCGTACGCCCTCTCCGCCAATCCTCTTTTTCTCATCCTCGCCGGTTTTCCCCAAATCCTTCGTTTCTTCCTGTTTGTTTCTTTTCTTTCGCACCGCTTTTTTAAAATTTTTTTAATTTTTAATTTTTTTTTTCTCTTCTCTCTCTTTCCCTTTCCTTGCTTCCTATCTTTTTCGTGTTAGACTTCGTTCTTACCAGATGCGGTGATCGCTTATCCTTTACTTTGCCCTGCGACCTTGAGGAATGGACCGCTGTTGATCCATGCTTCAACCGTCCGTTTCCCTCCGCCGGTGATATCTTCTAGCCTTCCATCAGCATCATCCATCCTTCCATTCCCGCCTTCTTCTTCCCCATTGCGACTGCGACAACACCGATTGCTACGCCGACTACTAAGATTCTTCTTCCCCTCCTCCTGCTCTTCCTTTCCCTCTTCTCTTTCTCTCTTCCTCCGTCCTTCTCTGCCGTTCTCCATCTCGGTGGAGTAAGACTAGAAACCCTCTATCAACACTATCAACAACATCTACTACCGTCGACCCAAGTTTCATCTCCCTTGCCCTTCCTGTCTTGTTTCCCCAGTCTCCACTGGCGGCTGAGGAAGCTACTAATACGGTCTTGTCTTGTCGGTGTCACCTCACCTTTCTTACATACTACTTGACTCCATCTCTTCTTTCTTCCGTTACTCTCGACTGCTATTTATGATATCCCTTCTCTCCCCCTCCATGTCCTTTGTCCATTGCGGGTAAATGTCCCTATGAGCTCATTGCCTCAACTGTGATATCAACATATCGACTATTCTCCCTCAGTTCCTATCTGTACTTGTCGGTAATTAAACAACTCGATATATACACCCCACTCTAGTGAACCATGACTGCCTCTCTAGTCAAGGTCCTACACAGGATGCAGGAGCTCTTCTCTAATATAGTCGCCGCGCTGGAAACCATGGTCTTGTTCCCGTCGCTGTTCCGTGACCTCTCCAAGAGACGACGAAAGACCTTTCATGGCGCTCATTGGCACCGCCGGACTCTGGACAATTTTGCCGATGAGATTGACCAGCTGTTCACCGCGCCATTGTCCATGCAGAACATGATCTCCATGTCGGACAAGATTCGCAACCAATTTAAATCCTGCTTACAGTCCAGCCCGGTTTGCATGTTGCCGTCCTACACCCATGCCCTACCTTCGGGTTCCGAGAAAGGAACTTACCTGGCGCTCGATGTTGGAGGATCGACGTTTCGAGTGGCATTGATTGAGCTGCGGGGAGGAGAGGATATGAAAATTCTTCGAGTTTCATCCTCGCCTATCGACAATGAAGTGAAGCTGCTGGAAGGCACACTGTTCTTCGATTGGATGGCAGAAAAAATCGATATTGTGCTGAGAGAAGTAGGCGCTAATTACGGTAGAACCGACGTGCCCCTTTCGTTGGGTCTCTCGTGGTCTTTCCCAATTGAGCAGACCTCTACCAAGAGTGGACTGGTGATTCACATGGGCAAAGGGTTTATGTGTTCCAATGGCACTGTTGGACAGGAACTTGGTGGTCTGATCGTCGAATCCTGTCGAAAACGAGACCTCAACGTGGAAGTGGACGCCATCGTGAATGACAGTTCGGCTACCTTGCTTTCTCGAGCCTATGTTGAACCTAAGACTAGGATGTCCCTGATCCTGGGGACAGGAACAAATGTTGCCATTCATTTCCCTGTACATGAAATTGGGTTGACCAAGTTTGGCACCAGACCCCCTGGCTGGTTCGACCATGCCAAACACGTCATAATCAACAGTGAAATGAGCATGTTTGGAGGCGGTGTTTTGCCCATGACCCGGTGGGATGATATTCTCAACCGTACTCACCTTCGGCCAGACTACCAGCCGCTGGAGTACATGATCACCGGGCGTTATCTGGGTGAGATTGTCCGACTGATTATTGTCGAAGCCATTGAGACTGCCCGTCTTTTTGGAGGTGAACTGCCTCATTCGATGCGCGAGCCCTATTCCCTCGACACCAGTCTCGTCGCGTTCATCGAGGCTGACACATCACCGTCCTTGGCATCTTCCGCTGCTCTTCTCCAGAAGGAGCATACTTTCCCTGTTTCTCCGTCCGCAGAGGACCTGCAATTCTTGCGACGGATTTGTCAGACGGTCTCTAAGAGAGCAGCCGGATATTTAGCTACCGCAATTCACAGCATGTGGTGTCTACGAAATGACGCCGAGTTTCCCCACACCACTTCCGCAGCCTCCATCAAGGAGGCCCATGAAGTCACTGTTGTGGAGAGCGAGGAAAATTCCCGAAGCTTGTCGATAGCGTGTGATGGCAGCGTCATCAACAAATATCCTGGATTCCAGGACCGCTGCCAAGGATACCTCAATCAACTTTCTCAACAAACCAACACATCTATCGGATCCTTAGACGCAACCGAAGGTCCTTCAATCAGCCTGGAGCCTGCTCCTGAGAGCGGCATCTTAGGAGCTGCGGTTGCTGTTGCTGTGGCCGTAGCTGAGAAGCGGCCGGAGTAATATTTGCCTTGTCTACAAAAGCCTGGTTTAGAAACCGGAGAAATCCTTGGGTCATTTGGCCATTCTTGTTATAGGACGTGAAGTCTAATTTTGCATTGTCGGGCGTTTTGCGTATGGATTGGTCCAAACTCGCTACGCCTTTGGGCTTTTCCCCCTTCGTTTTCTTTGGTGTTCGGTTTGATTCATTTTGGTTTGTCTCTTCTGGTTCAATCCATTGCATTGTATCCGCAGGGAGGTCTTGTTATTGCATATAGGGGAGGAGCAGAGCGTTCAGATGATTCTTGGGCGAACGGAATAGACGGCTTGGTTCCAGGGGTTGGAATAGAAACGTTCCGTGTACATAATTCATAATCATGACATTGCCTTTTTCCATTGTATTGAAGTAATATAATCGGTTTCAATGCTAACCCAGAAACAATAGCTCTGATATGCTTCATGGTGTTTAGCTATTAATCGGGTATCACATCTTGGCCAAGTGCCGATGCTGGCCTGGGAGATGTTGTCATTTATACCAGCAGATATTCGTAATCTGGACATCCTTCACGAAATGCCACGTCTAGTGGCCAGAACAATCCAAATCATTCCCGGCAAAGATCTTGGAGTAACTCCAACATCCGTATCTGAAGAACAGATAATTCATCTCTGGAGAGAGTCTGTTGGCTATGAGGGTCGCTAATAGATCGTTTGGATTCTACACTGTTGGTGCTGGTCGTTTCAATAAAGGTTGATTTGATGGCGAAGAAGGGGATTTTCAGGGCTCGGAGTTCCATCATCATGGCATCAGCCATTTGTCTGGATGCTTTGTATACTTTGCAATCGTAGTTTGTTATTTCTGCTTGGTTTTCTTCGGCTGTCTGGTGAGCAAGGTATTCGGTTAGTCTGCTGTTTGAGTGCTAGGTATTATTGTGCGAGTCGGACAACCTAGGTTGCATTTGACAGTCAGTGCAGTGAGTTAAACATACGGATACTTCTTTTTCATCTACCGGAGCTCCAACAGAGCGCCTTGAGAGAGGTCAGAAGATACGTTCCGTAAGTATATGTATATACCCGTTAACAACTCACAGAACCTCGTCCAATTCCTTTTTCTTCTCGACTCTTGCACTCTGTTTCTTGAGGAGAGCTTCCCGGCCCTGCCACCATTGTTTCTCATGGTCGTGTTGGCTTTGGATTAACCGTCGGATTCGACGTTGGATTTCTTCGCTTTGCGATACGGTTCGCATCACGTATCGCAGGGCTGCAGGCCATGCAGTTATTGTAGATGGGTCGATTGTGATTGTGTTTCCTGTAGGTTGTGTTGCGGGAGTGTTTAACTGGGAATTGGTCTGGGGTATAGCACTGGTGGCAGGATTCCGTTGAGCTACAGAAGGAACGGTGTTTGGAGGTATGATATCGGATGGCTCGTATGAGTCTTCTTCGGGCTTGTCTTCTTGGTGATGAGAATTCTGGATAGATTCGACTTGATTTTGAGAAGCTGGATTGGACAAGGCGGATAGTGTTTTCAAGATGGACGTCAAGTCCGACGAGTTGTATTCCTCTGAAGCCATTGGGTCAAAGCTGCAACTGGGGCAGGTTAGAGTGAGTGTTTTTTTTAATAAATAAAAGGTATCTGATCAAAGCACCAATTAACAGCTCATCTGCTGTTAAAAAAAGGGTGCCGAGCAGAGTTGTGAAAGAAAGGAATGAGAGAGCTCAGTAGATCGAGCTAGTTGAGGTGCATCGCGGGTCTTGGCTCTGCCCATCCCGATTAGTTATTCTTCCCCCTCTGAAAATTTACCGGAAGATCCTCTCCATCACCGCTCGCGTCGTCTCACGATCCGCCAAACTCGTTATCCTTGATTCATCCTCGACGAATCATAGGGATCAATTAATTGATACCCGTCTAGGTCGTGGTATTAATATCATCTGTCTATTTATTCAAGGGCTCCATCCATCCATCCCAGGCTGTCCTTTGGGAAAAACCTCACACCATGTCCCGATCCGCCGCAGACGCAACGAGATTCACGGCCACCGGCCCCTACGCCAGCTCCAAGCCCGCGGGGTCGGGCACGCCCTACAAACTCCCCAGTTTCATGTCAAGCGGACAGAATGCCTCTCCACAGGGACCGGGAGGCCACCAAGAGACTCCGAAGGAAAAGGTTGAGCGGTTGCGAGCGCAGGCACGGGCGGCCCGGATGGCACAGTCGACATCACGCGTGGATACGATGATTGATTCGGGAAGAAAAATTGCCAATAAGGCTCACAAGGCCATGGTTTACACGCTTATTGCTGCGTCGGGTATGTCATGTCCTTTATCATACATTCTACATGGCCCGTGACCTGGGGTTCATGAAATGTACTTTGGGAATCATCATGCTGATGGGAGGGTCCTTGCTTTTACTTCATAGGTATCTGTGGTGCTTTGACTGTTTACTCCGCGATCTCCCTAACGCTATACAACCGTCGCCAAAAGGCACTGTGGCTCGACAATGAACTCCAGAAGCTGCGGGATGCACAGGCAGCGTATGCCAACGGCACCGCCACCCCCGAACAAGCCGAGATTGTGAAGAACGAAACTATCGGGGAGATTTACAAGCAAAAGAAGGAGGAGGAGAAGGAGCAGCGACCCTGGAACAAAGCAAAGCGGTATCTACTCGGAGGATTGAAGACGGATGAAGCCGCCCCCAAGGCTCAGGGTGGTGACAAGCCCGGTGTGCTGCGGGCCCTGGAAGAGTCCAAATCGAATGATGCAGCAACAGCAGCAGCAGCATCCCAATCACAGCCACAGGGACAACTCGATGTCCTGGCTGAGAATGCCGAATCGGCCACCAAACAAACAACACGAAGCTGGACGAGCTGGATCACTGGACGATAGACAGGATGGAAATGGGATCTATGTTTTATTATTATCATTTGTCTTGTGATTGTTTTTGCGCTGTTATGCATGGCATAATCTTCCTTTTCTTTTTCCCATCCATCTCCCTTCTAAAGTCCACTGGGGTTGCGGCGTCTGTCTATCTATCTATTTAGGGGTGTGTTCTGTTGTTTTCTTCAAGGAAGACTGTATATTTGTGTACATATACTTTTTTGGACGCCTTGGTTACAGGGTCTTTGCTTTCTGCTCAAGAATAAAAAGTGTACGTGTGATAGGAATGGTTATACAACTTGACAATTGTTATGATGATACTGCTCATTTTGATTGGTTAACCTGCTATATATGCTTCATTGGTATCTTTTCTGGAAACAAACATCAGATGTCCTCGCGAAATTAACTCCATATCCCAGTTTTCATAGCAAGGTGGTCATTACCCCCCATTAACCCAGACGCCATAAGATCAAAAAAAAAAAAAAAAAAAAAAAAAAAAAAAAAAAAAAAAGTACCACTAAAATACATGTGTGAGGGTCATTATGAGTGTAAGTGTATGCAAAAGCTATGCACGTATGATGTGGCTGTAATGGCCAGGTACCTTGCGACGGCACTTATCACAATCAGCGCGATATCCCATGGAAAATGTTATCTTTTTCTTGCCAGGAGAGTTGTTGGCCGGTTGCTTTGTTTGTTCAATAGACATGGACGACGGCTCAGTCTCCATCCAAGGACCTGTTAGGGGCTGATCTTTGGGGGAATCGTTCCTTTGCTCGTGATGGTGGAATAGAGGGGGTGACGCAGGACGGGATGAGTTGTATGCCATCTCAGCATCCGTTGGAGAGGCTTTATCGCTGCTCACTGGGGCATTCCCGTCTTCGCTGATTGGACTCGGGAGACGTTGACGGCACCACCAAGCCGTCTCATGGTTCTTTCCGAGGCTTGCATTTTTTGAAACCATTTCATCAGTAGATACCATCGTATCAGATCCCACGAGATCTGCAGGCGGCCCGTTTTCTAGAGGATATCCGTATGTGGGGGTAGTAGCGTTCGTGATTGGTGTACGTCCTCCATTGATGTTCAGTGACTGGTTGACGAGATTGTGTGGGATGGGCGACGGTTGAACACTGCCATTACCATATACACTCGGCGGCCAGTGCGACAAGTTTCCGCCGATCATGGGTGGTATCTCTCTTCCAGCATCGACGTCCATTGCCGTTTCTATCGCGAGGGAAGAGGGGGGAAGGCCGTGCTGAGGTGGATGCACACAGGACGCAGCATCTGCCGTTCCGTTACTCGGGAACTTATGATCACCATCATTATCGTCGTCGTCTGATGATTCCACGGGAGTCAAAGCTGAAGGGCGAAATTGAGGAGCAAGCTGAGCGTTAGGAGTGACCGAGGGTAGATCGAACGTATTGGGAGAAGTGTGTAAGGCTAGAGGGCGAAGTTTCTACACAGATGTCAGTGATGAGAAGGTAGGAAAGAAAAACTCATTGGTTCGACATACCTTCCTGTCATGAATGGCGCTCTCGTCGAGATCGAGCAGTCCATCGTGCTCTCTCTGACGTTTGGCTGAGAAGCCAAACATGACCCTGAACTGCTGAGAGACACAGAAGAAAACAAAACCAGATTGATTAGATTCCAATACTGGGGATGGGTGATTGAAACAGATGCTTCGAAGTGGAGGCAACTAAAGGACAGGGTGATCGGTGGGGATCATAAACGATAGGTGGTGAAGAGGCCGGGCCGGAGAAAAAACGATAGCTCCAAGTCCAATGAAAGGCGGAACCGGCTGCTGTTGGTGATTTCACATTAAATAAAGGACGGCAAGGGATGGCAACAAAGGCAAGATACCTCCGAAGCAACGTGCATGCCTACAAGAAAACGAGGCGTGGTGTTGCAAGTCAACAAGTACACAAGCTACAGACTCGGAGAGTTGAAGCTGTACCTTGCCGGAGATGAATGCCTCAGGCGCCAAGGCCACCTGCGATCTACTTTTAGCCTACATTTTTTCCTCGCGTCAGACGGCGGAGTCTCGATGTGGGGATGAGAGGGAAAAAACACGAAGGATTTATGAATTACTGAAATCATATGGGATCTCTGCCACATGTTTAGCACACTAACACAAACTCCAGCCTGCATATTACAGTATAAACGCATGGATGCCACTCCGTTTGCAGTGTGGATTGTAAACGAGCAATAGTACGAGACAAGACCAATAAATGGCGAGAGATATTGGCGGTGAATATGCCCCGAGACGACAGTGCATACGATAGACTGATCTAGTACCAAAGGCAGATCAACCACGTAGTCTGACAGTTTGGTGGTTTGCAAGGACCAGGTGGTGATGCCCTCATAGTCAGACTGACGGATGAGTGGAAAACCTAAGATTGAGTCCGTATATCCGATGCGTTCGGTCCAGAAAGATGGAGCAATGGCCATAAGTGCGGCTGAGGCTAAGGTATAGTATTGTTTAATGTTTATTACGCCTGCTTATTGAGACATTCAGCTCTGGACCCGACTGTAGTGTGACCATCAGATGCATTCTTATTCGCCGGCTCTGTTATAGTAGCAGAAAATATCCTCGGGATAACTGGCTGATACATCTTCATGACCTCTGAGCGATGCTCCCCAACAGCTCCCAGCTCAGCTGGCTTGAATTGCTTTTTCTCTCTCTTTTCTTTTTCCTATACTCAATGATCATCGTCAATTTCAAATAAATAAAAGACTTTTTCGTCTTGCGGTAAAAGCAGGACACTAGTGATCAGCTGGATTTTACTGTGTGTGAATCATTCCTAATACGTCGATTACATAGATTACATCCCGTAATTTTCCTTGTCCCACCATCCCGCCTTTTTTTTCCTTTCCATTGTTCGCCTTTACAGCATAGAATTTCTATCCTGCAGCTTCTCTCTCCTTCTGCATTGTACTTCTGCATCTTCTGCATTCCCTTTCTTCTTCTCTTCTGGAATTCCTATAAAGCCCTCCTCTTCCTCCCCCTCCCCACAGACACATCATACGACTGTGTTATTACCGCTTTCGCAATACTTTGATTTCTCCGATCTTCACACAAAATGCCTCTCGTCAACACCACAGAAATCAACGAGGACACTCGTGGTATGTGATCGCGCACTTCAATTTCGCTGGTCTCCTACCTGAATTGTTCACTAATTGCCCTTCCACCTATTAGTCCTGGGTTATGACCCTTTGCTCTCTCCTCAGTTCCTTCAGACCGAGATCCCCGCGGTGAGTCATCGCAAACGCTCACTCAAGGGTAAAAAAACCTGAGGAATGTATAAACTGACGACAATAAATAGCCCCCCCATGCCATTGAGGCCGTGCGATCCGGCCGTGCCCAGGCCGTTGAAATCATCGAGGAGCGCGATGACCGTCTCTTGGTGGTTGTCGGTCCTTGCTCCATCCACGACCCTGCCACAGCCCTCGAGTACGCTGCACGTTTGAAGGAACTCTCGGAGAAGCTCTCCGGTGATCTCTGCATCATCATGCGGGCCTACCTGGAGAAGCCCCGTACCACCGTCGGCTGGAAGGGATTGATCAACGACCCTGACCTGGACGAATCCTACAACATCAACAAGGGTCTGCGTATCTCTCGTAAGCTTTACGCCGACTTGACCGGCTTGGGCATGCCCATTGCCAGCGAGATGCTCGACACAATCTCCCCCCAGTACTTGGCCGATCTCATCTCCCTCGGTGCCATTGGTGCCCGTACCACTGAGTCGCAATTGCACCGTGAACTTGCCTCCGGTCTGAGTTTCCCCATCGGATACAAGAACGGCACTGATGGTAACTTGACCGTTGCCATTGATGCCATTGGCTCTGCTGCTCACCCTCACCGTTTCTTGGGTGTCACCAAGCAGGGTCTGGCCTCCATCACCAAGACCTCTGGTAACGAGCACGGTTTTGTCATCCTCCGTGGAGGTGCCAAGGGAACCAACTACGACCGCGACAACATCAAGGCTGCCCGTGAGGCTCTCAGAGCTAAGAAGCAGCGTGAGATCCTCATGGTCGACTGCTCCCACGGTAACTCCAACAAGAACCACCGTAACCAGCCCCTCGTAGCCGCAGAGCTGGCTGATCAGCTCCGTGAGGGTGAGACCGCCGTTGTCGGTGTCATGATCGAGTCCAACATCAACGAGGGCAACCAGAAGGTTCCGGCCGAGGGTGCCTCCGGCCTGAAGAAGGGTGTCAGTATCACCGATGCCTGTATTAGCTGGGAATCCACTGTCGAGGTTCTCGAGAACCTTGCCGATGGTGTTCGCGCCAGACGTGCCGTTATTGCCTCCAAGGCCAACGGTACCCACTAAGTCATTTTTTTTTTCGAATGAATGACCCGAAAGAATTTCTTCCTTTTTTTCGTCATTTCAAACTTCAAAAGTGGTTCGATGTTGATACCAAGCCATAATTCTTGTTTATTATTTTTTTCATTTTTTTCCATTTCTTGTTTCATTTTTTGGCTTTATTCGGCGACGAAGGTTTAATGATATGTCTGTTCACGATCGGTGTCTGGTGATTAGAATCTGGTTCTGTCAAAAGTCCAGTTAGAATTCGAAATTCACTTGAATAACCCTTGCCAGCTTATATCAATGTAGAACAAGTATTGATCGTAAAACCCATACATACCTCATTGGCGAAGCCTACAAAGGCAAAATCCATAATTCCATAAATCCATCTTCCGATGCTCAGATCCGACACGGCTGACATAAGCCATCCGTATCCGATCTGCGGGAGGCTTTTTTTTCTCCATCGCGTTTTGATGCGAAAGTCAGAAGAAAGCAGGGAAGAGACGGAGAGAACAGGGCGCAAACCGGTCCAAAAGGATATTAAAGATTGCGCAGGAGGGACAGACATTTTTTAAATCATTCTGCGGGTGATCGTTTCTCTCACGATAAGATTCTGCGCCTTAAGCGTTTCTCCAGACCCATCTCCACAACACCATCGGGCAGAGTCCTTAGCCGATCTTCGTTGCCGGCATTCGTCGAGTGCTGCTGTTGAAGCGCTCTTGAGAAGCATTCGGATCCCGAACCCCGGAATCCATGCCGGCAATGCTTTATTTAAAGTAACCTGGGGAATCCCCTCGACATCCGTTCTTTCCCCTCTCTTTTTGATTCGATGGGTTGACAGTGACCATCTTCATCTTCAATATCTTTTCACTTGCTGGACTATAGCCGAGGTTGGCCTCCAGCGTGCATACAACAGCTGTTCAGCTTCTAGGAAGATAATTCAATTGAAAGACGAGATTTTTTATATATCCACTAATATGGCTTCTCCAATTCCTCGAGGCCTCCGTCAGGTCCTCCAGAAGTCGCCTTCGGACATTGTCATTCTCTCCTCCCTTCGTACCCCAGTGACCCGTGCCAAAAAGGGTGGTTTCAAGGACGCATACCCCGAAGAGCTCCTCTCCAGTGTCCTCAAGGCTACTTTGGAAGCCAACCCGAACCTCGACCCGGCTGCGATCGATGAGGTGGCAATTGGTTCCGTGCTTCAAGAACTCGGCGGTGCCAAAGCAGGCCGCATGGCCCAGATCCACGCCGGTTTCCCCCACTCGGTCCCCTTCCACACTATCAACAGACAATGTTCGTCGGGTTTGGCCGCCATCACGGCTGTCGCTAATGGCATCCGTGCCGGTGCTTTGAATGTCGGTGTTGGTGGTGGAATGGAGTCCATGACCCGGAACTATGGATCCCGCGCCATCCCTACCGTCCTCTGGCCTGAGTTGAAGGGATCGCCATCCCAGGATGCTCAGGACTGCATCATGCCCATGGGTATTACCTCTGAAAACGTCGCTTCGCGGTACGGCGTCTCCAGAGTCGATCAAGATTTCTTTGCTGCTGAGTCGCACAAGAAGGCCTCTGCTGCTCAAGCCGCTGGCCTGTTTGACGCCGAAATCACCCCCGTCAAGACTCTCACTCTCGACCCCGAGAACCCCGATGCACCCCCCAAGGAGATTACCGTGTCTCAGGATGACGGTATTCGTCACAACATCTCCGCCGAGAAGATGGCAACCCTGAAGCCTGCCTTCTCCTCCACCGGTGCCAGTACCGCCGGTAACAGCTCGCAGGTCAGCGATGGTGCTGCTGCTACCTTGCTGATGCGCCGTTCTACCGCAACTGAGCTTGGTCTGACTTCTTCTATCAAGGGTCGCTGGGTTGGCACCGCCGTTGCTGGCTGTGCTCCCGACGAGATGGGTGTCGGGCCGGCAGTTGCGATCCCCAAGCTCCTTGAGATGGTCGGCATGGACGTTGCTGATGTTGGTATCTGGGAGATCAACGAGGCTTTCGCCTCCCAGGCCCTTTACTCCATCCGCAAGTTGGGAATTGACCAGGCCAAGGTTAACCCCAAGGGTGGTGCTATTGCTCTTGGTCACCCTCTGGGTGCTACCGGTGCCCGCCAGCTCGCTACCCTATTGCCCGAGCTTGAGCGCGCCAGCCAGGAGGTTGGTGTTGTGAGCATGTGCATTGGAACCGGTATGGGAATGGCTGGTATGTTTGTCCGGGAGTAAAGAAGAGAGTAAGCATCTTTTCTTGGTTATTTTTTTTTTTTTTGGTTCAAAAGCAAATAGTATGATATCAGCGTAAATAAATGTATATACAAGGATAGACGAAAAGCGTCAACTCATGAAAAGAATGTAATGTATTTCATGAATATGCAATATAAAAATAACAAAAATGATAAATAAATAGCCATAAATGATCATCTTAAGCGGAGTGTATGGAATAAACGCCAAGCCGTCGATGGTGGATACCACGTGACCAACTCCTGCCGGAAGATTGTCCGGCTGGGGAATCTCGAAAGTTTTCGAAGACTGACCGTGTCTGCCATCCTCGCAACGCCGCAATCATGCGTCCATCTATGCGATTCCCATCCCTTCAGGGATCACGATCCCTCTATGTCTGTTCGACCTGCAGACAAGAGGTGCGTCCCCGGCCACAGTTCGCCCGTCAATTCCTACGCAATGCGTCGTCAACCCCGATCACCGAACGAGTGCGGCGTAAGATCTGGGGCACGGAGAACCCGCCCGGTTTGAAGGATCCGTACGGAGGAGAGGGTGTCATTGAGCGGAGGTTCAAACAGAATCAGCCCGAGGGCCAGGAGTCCGAACAACCAGCGCTGGAGCAGCAACCGGAGTTTGAGGGTGATATCGCGCCTGGTGATGAGTATGTCCCAGCCACTACATGGGATGGACTTGAACGAATTGGTCACTTGGGAGGGTGGTCGGATTATCCTTCCACTGCAACCGACTCATACAGCCCGTAAGTCTTTGGTGTTGTGTTGAAAAGCGGAGTCGTGCTGATTGAGTCGCAGGTTCATGTCTAAGACCAAACTCACCAAAAAGGAACACTTGGCTCTCGCTGCTCACCAGACCGCAGTGGAAGTTTGCCTGCTACACACTTTAAAGAAGCCCTTGACGAATGTTTGCAGCGTCGGTGAACACGAGAAGGCGGTTTTCAAATTGATCTGGAGGTCCCAGATCAAGCCCAGTGAAAATGGTCAGTGGGATGGTGTACTGACCTTCCCCAACAAAGAAGCCGAGAAGTCTCTCCTTTACATTTTCGAGCAGATTGGAGGCCAGCCCCAAGCTGCCGTCGCTGAACAGGCCACCGGCAAGACTCAAGAGAGCGTCGAGGGATCGGAAATTGAAGCGGCAATGGAGAGTGCGTCCAATCCTCCTCGGGAGCACTTTTTCGGATACCAAAATGTTCGGGACAAGGGCTTCCTCGCCCTTCCATTGAACGATATCGCTATCAAGTTTGCCGTTCGTCTCTCCCTTTGCCCACAATCATAACTGCGTACTGACTACTTGTTTGCTCTATAGTTCTTGAAGAGATTCTCCCAGCTGACCGGTCACTACTTCCCTGATCCCGCCATTCACTCGATTACCACTGTTAAACAGGCCATGCAATACGTCCAGAAAGCGCTTACCCCGAAGCCCAAGAAGTTGGCCGAGCACTTGGTCAACAACCCGACTCTCCAGGCCCTGCCCAACGTCAAGATCTTTGCAAAGAGACAGAAGCCCTCGAACAAGGATGAAGAATACGGCCGGAAGAAGATCATCGAAGCCGAGCTTCGTGCAAGAAATCTTATTGAATGATCTGCTGGGTCCAGCAGACATAAACCACACAATGTTCAATTGAAATGTTTCATTTAGGGGCATCTTTGTCATATAGTATTTACTTTTAGCATGTTTTAAGGAAGAGATGCTTTGTACAATAGAACAAATTATTGTTTGAATCCATCTACTGCTAGGGTTGTGGGAATCAATTAACGTGATCATCTTCGTCTATACAGAAATAACGTCGCCGGTCCCGTAGCCGATATGTAAAGCAAACCAAATACGCCTTGTTAAGGAATCACACAGAAAGAAGCATCACCTCTTCGCCCCGGAAGGAATACTAAACCCTCTCGTCATAAAATCACCACTCGATTTGGTGTCTTTCGAGTTCTTGGTGTACAGACTATTGATATTATCATTCCCACCCATCTTCCGACGCTTCTTCTTTTCGTTTTCCTCCTCCAGCACGCGAGCGGTGAGCATGGCTGTGGCGGCATTTTTGATCCCGTTTGATGGCGCATTAGGTGTTGGAGTGGACGTGGCGCTTCGGCTTGAAGCAGTGGTCTTTGACACAAAAGAGGCCTGTTTGGATTCTTCCTTGGCGGGTTCGGTTTCGACGGAGGCAGAGTCGCCGTTAGTGGCGTTCTTCTTGCGCTTCTTGGAACCAGGCGCTTTCTTGAGCGAGTGAGTAAGACCATGTTCGGCTAGTTTTTGCCCTCTAGCGATTAGGCGGTGCTTGTCGTCGTCTTTGGGGGGGAGGATAGGGATGATGTTTTCTTCGGTGTAGGATTCGTTGCACTATAATTAATGGTTAGGGCGAGCACAAGATAAATCAAGTGCAGAAAGCAGAAGCCCACCTGCAAGCACTTGTCACCCTTGAGTTGACGAACGGCTTCTTCGGAAAACACATGTCCGCAGGGAACAAGATAGACAGACTTGACATTCGGCCCCAGCTGCTTGGCCGTGATCGGGCAGATCCATCCTTCCCGCTTCTCATGCTTGTCTGTCACGGGGACTTCGCGCTCGGTGTCAACCTCGAATTTCAGCTCGACTACATCGCGAAGACCTTTCACCCGACCACTCAAGATTTCCTCGCAGTCGGCCTTGGAGCTGATGCCTTCTGCGTCGTCGCCGGGAAGGAGAAATTGCAGGATGGCGTCTTTGTTGTAGAGATTTCCGACGCAGTCAGAAACGATCGGTCGGGTCAGAGGCTTATGGGATATCGGGCAGGTCGTCCAGAAGTGTTCCTGTAACTCGCGCTGGGCTTCTTTCACTTGCGCCGTACTGGGACTCCGCGCGGCCTCTTTGACGAGCTCGCGGCGGGTTGGGATACTGAGAGAAGACGGGTCGGTTTAGAATAAATTCAGGCATATCAGCAATTAAAACTCACCTGCCACCATCATTACCCATTTTTGCTCCCTATTTTATTGAAGAAAATGTTGTCAAGATGATCTCGCCGCTTGCCACCAAATCTGGCGATGATAGATAGCGGGATGACTAAGGCGTCTGGCCTTCTCCGCCCCAGATTAGATCCGGCTGTTTATCAACATCTGGCCAGAAAGCTCTCTCCACATTAACTATTGTCATTGAATGAACTCAATGCTATCATCATGATACTTCCTCAGGGCTCGCTTTTGTTTGTGAGCCTGGCAGCTTGCTCTACGGCGGTAGTTGCTACAAATGATGGCGCGGAACGACCTCGGGGAGTTGGTCCGGAATGTAAGTAAACGGTGATCTCAATGGCTCTATGGCAATTGCTTGCAAGTTGGTCGTGCAATTTGGTTTTATATACCTACGTCATATGCCTCAGCTTCATTGCGCAAGCGCAGGCTGCTAACGAGCTGGTTAGTTGCAAAGTTCTACAAGGACACGACAACGTTTAGCTGCATTTCCCATCCCGCAGTTCAAATCCCCTTCTCGTCTGTGAACGATGACTATTGCGATTGCCCTGATGGCAGTGATGAACCTGGGACTTCTGCCTGTTCTCATCTCTCTCGCCACTCCCCGCTGACAGTCGCTGATCGCCCGGGAAATAACGACCTCGAGCTCACTCTGGCGCTTCCAGGGTTCTACTGCAAGAATAAGGGTCACAAGCCCTCTTACGTTCCCTTCCAGCGCATCAACGATGGTGTCTGTGACTACGAACTATGCTGCGATGGAAGCGACGAATGGGCCCGTGTTGGAGGCACGAAATGTCAAGACAAGTGCAAGGAGATCGGTAAAGAGTGGCGGAAGCAGGAGGAAAAGCGACACAAATCTTTGAGTTCCGCACTGAAGAAGAAGAAGGAGCTCCTTGTGGATTCAGGCAGACAGCAGAAGGAGATTGAGGATCACATCAAAAGGCTGGAAGTAGAGATTCAGGCCCAGGAGATCAAGGTGATCAACCTGGAAGCCGATCTAGAAGAGATCCAAAAGCAGGAAGCGAGCAAAGTGGTCAAGGGACCAAAGAAGGGAAAGGTGAACGTTCTGGCTGCGTTGGCCAAGGGCCGGGTCGAGGAACTCCGGAATGCGTTGGTTGACGTTCGCACGGAGAGGGATGAGGCCCGCTCGCGAGTGAAGGAGCTCGAGGAGATCCTGTCCAAGTTCAAGGTTGAGTACAACCCTAACTTTAATGACGAGGGTGTCAAGCGTGCTGTGCGCAGTTGGGAGGAATACGCTGCTCGGGAGTCCACAGACGATAATGGAAACGCTGCCCGGGACCGGGACTTGGAGGAAATTGCCAAGCCTGACAGCGAGAACACTGGTGTGAACTGGGAGCAATGGGAAAATGAGGAGGATGGATGTGAGGCGGATGCTAGTAAGTGTTCATTCTGTTCTTACGTTTTGGTCGCCGACTGCCTGCTAACTGATTTCTAGTTTACCAGCTTGCTGCCTACCTACCTCCTTCTCTGGTTAGTTTCATTGAGGACAAGGTTATCTCTGTCAGGGGTTTCCTGGAAGAAAATGGCTTTCTCTCCAAGAAAGAGGACAGTTCCTCTTCCGAATCCAAGGCTGTGACAGAAGCTCGTGATGCGCTCAAATCGTCCGAGAAGTCTCGCGACGAGCTTCACAAACAAATGAGAGAGCACAAGGCGGATCTTGAAACCGACTACGGTACTGGTTCTGTCTTCCGCGCCCTCAAGGGCCTTTGCATTACCAAGGATGCCGGAGAATATCAATACGAGCACTGCTTCCTTGATAAAACCAAGCAAAATTCTAAGAAGGGCGGTGCATCTGCACGGATGGGTCAGTTTGTCCGCATTGGAACCGTCAGCATCGACGAACTCAACGAATCGGCCGAGATGGTTCCGGTTGAACGAACGTCTTTGGAGTATGCGAATGGGCAGACATGCTGGAACGGTCCCGCACGGTCAACCACCGTCATCCTGGAATGTGGTGAGCAGAATGAGATTCTGAAGATCATGGAGGATGAGAAGTGCGTGTACTCGATGATTGTCACCACCCCGGCTGTGTGCCCTGGTGGAGAGGGGGAGGGTAATGTTGCACCAAGAAGCAAGGATGAGCTGTGATGGATTGTTCTCTTGTGATTATGTCTAAAGTTGATAGCACTTGATTTATAGTCTTGCTTCCAAGCATCAGCGTTGTGCATTCCGGCATTCTCATGTAATGTGTCAAGTAGCATCAGTAAGCCCTATGACCCCATCTAACCTGTGCTTCGCTAACTGGATGCAACGATTGCTAGTCTTCTACAATACCATGCATGGTATAGGCAGTTACAAGGAGAAACGGGTGTATAATGACCGGATGATATTGGTATATATAAATCAAAACAAAACTAGGTGTCAACCTCCTCTAGCCCCATCATCATATCTCACAACATGAATACCCAACTCCCTGCCCCGATACAAAGATATTCAGTCGTATCATCGGGAGTCCAAGGTCAAAAGGCAAGAGTCGAGCACGCCAGCATCACTATTAACAGGCATGGCGGAGGAACGGCATGTTAACATCGAGGAGGGATCAAGCCACCCGAGAGGGCATATTTAGTGCTGTATACACTGTTAGCATACATGCCTTTTGCATAAGAGGCCTTGGGGGAGACTGACGGTGCAGCTGTTGCAAGAGCAAGAGTTGCAGTTGCCGGAGCAGCAGTTGCAGGAGCAGGGAGACATGGTTGATTTGGTGGTGAAGATGAACTTCGAAAAAGATAGATAAATAGTTTTGTTTGTAGATTGGATGATTGAGTCGTGGATGAAGAAGAAAGAGGACCTTGAGGGGTGGAATTGAAGCCAGCTTTATACCTTTCTCGGGGCACCTAGATAGGGCACGTCCTACGAGGTCCGGTGGGCAGGTCAACTGAACACATCCACCTCCAGGCACTCATTTGCTTTTTTGGCCCTCCACGTCTCCCTTCCGATTTGTTTTCTTTTTCTTTTTTTTTTCTTTTTTGCTACTGCGGTTTTTCTGACAGTTTGAAGCGGCTTCAGAGTTTCTCTAGTTTTTAGTGACCTTCCTCTAAGAATGGATATCGCTGGGGTTCTGGCGCCTACTGCTATTCCCACCTAGGAAGCTGTCCGACCTGAGAACTGGATTTGATTTCCTCCACCAGCCTGGATAGTGATGACGATGGGTCTCTCCGTCATGCCACGTTCCTCCGACTGTTGATCCCCTCGGGCAGCTGTGGGGACAGGTTACATATGGTCCAGCAAGAGAACGGCCCTACTATCGTCTACTAGCTAGGTGAGGCAACAAGTGAGGAAAGACTTATGCATGTCATGCTAACTTGCTGTCTGCCTTGGCTCCACTGGCGGGGTTCCCGGTCAAGATGCATGCAATCAGATGGGATCAAGAGATACGCAGCGCTATAAACGACGAGGCCCTCTTCGCACAGGCCGTTTTTTGCCTGGCTGTTTGGGTGTTGGACTGTTGGACTGTTGGTGGTGTGACACGAGATTGAAGGCTGGGAGGTGGAGAGAGAAAGAGGGCCCTAGGCAAAAATGCCGCTGTTGTCGATGCATCCGTTTATTATTACGATGGCCAGCTAAGTCATTATTATTATTCCTGCCGTTGTTATTCGGTCCTATGATTCATGATGGTCATGTCTTATACTGACGACTCGTATTATTATGATGTTCCACGCTGAAATGAAGGTTTAATCGCTCACTTTTTCCCTCTATCCGACACAAGGGGAAAAAAAGACGCACTGGATAACCGCGAAACCCGACGTTTAATCCCAGCCCACTACGACGGTAACAAAGGATCTTAATGGATATCTTAGCCGACTAGCCATCTAGCTGCTTCTCACTAATCAGCAGCCTGCGACTTGCGAGCAAAAACTCCACTTGGAGCCTTCATCAAAGTTTTCTCGAGACATCCCATCTGTCGATCGCAGAGATTCAGCACGAGGTCATGGACTACCAAGAGAGTTCACAGGATAATTTGAAATCTTCGACGTCGTCTTTACGTAAATGGATGACTTAGATTATGTGTTTGCTTGTTCGGTGTAGTTGTTGAGCCGAGGATAGTGAGGTCATATGGGGGCCATGCATTCCTGCTCTCATACAGCCAAGGACAAGGATGAGCATCGTGAATACACGATAGACGTCGATTGCATGAAGAAGCCAATCTCTCACCGTGCGCCCATTCCCGGGTATCTGCTCCCATTGATGAGATTCAACCTGCGTGCGGCTGCTACTACCCGTGCCACAAGGTACGCAATAATGGAGCAATCGACGTGCTAAGAGCTACAAACTCCCAATAGTCGTCGGTGATCAGACTGAGAGGTCTTTAAAGTGATTCGTGTTCCCAGGAACGAGGAAATAATATATACCTGAGGATTATTGATTCATCTTTGTATACATGAAAGTCCGAATCACCCTCCTGCCTTGAGATGCCTGTCGTTCCAAGTCTTCCGAACAGCAAGCCTAATACGCTTCAACAAGAGATGAGACATCATGGCTGCATACTCAGGTTTATTTCTTAACGGGGATTTCCCAAATCAGCAACTATCATCATAATAATATATTTAAGGGTTTGAGGGACAAACATACAGGGCACTTGCAGCCACCGGCAGGGCACTGGCAAGAAGCACCGCAGCTGCATCCGTGGTCACCTACATGTTTTATCAAGTTAGCCCGGTTCATTCCGGATCTCGATTGATTCGTTCAAGAAATGATGGATGGTGGGATAATAACAGCGATAATAACCCAGATAATGACCAGAGGTGATGATACCCCGCTATTACCCCGCTACCCAGTCGGGTTGACCATCACTCAATCAAAGAGAGAGAGAGAGAGAGAGAGAGAGAGAGAGTAAGACAATAAAAGACATCGACTTACCCATGATGAATGATAGATAAATGGATTATTTTCCTTGGATTTGGAAGAAAAGACGTGGTTTGTTGGTATGTGCGAGAGTCGTGGTTGAGAGAAGAGGTCGGGACGGGATGGAGGGGTAAGCGGCGGCTTTATATAGCCGCCGCCTCTTACGACTGCCATATCAGGTTATTAGCATTATTATCTCCTGCCTACGACTGACTACTGGCTAGTGTTCAACGCGAGCATGTTTCTGCACGCTGGCCACCCCGCCCCACGAAATGAGGCCAAAACGCCAATCTGAGTGAGATATTAAATGTGCATATTTGCGCAAAACAGAGCAGATGCGAGTTGCGTTGTTTCGGGAGAAATCGCTCAACTTGTTACTCGAAGGGGTATGCCACGGAGAGATATATGCCAGGAAAATCATCTTACGAGTTGTTTTTGCCTCCTGAGCTAACGTCAACGCAAGAGCAAAGAGAATCGGGCTTTGGTCTTCTGGCTGTAGTTATTATTGGTTGATTCTCATCTGGACAGGGATCAAGATGACTGGTTCTATCTCGTGCCTGTGCGGACGTGCAGCCCAGGACATTGTGCTGGAGCCATCGACAGATCACTCTATCATCCATTTATGTCACTGCGACAGTTGTCGAGCCATAACGGGGTTGCTTTGCTCCTCGTATCGCCTCTTACACACTCGTCCACAGAAACTTGAGAGTCTTGGTGAATACAACCAATCAGAGGGTATCTGCCGCTATTTCTGTAGAACGTGCGGTGCCCATGTCTTTGTTCATCTGGAGCACTCAGACCAGTTCTTGGTCGCATCGGGATTGCTTGTAACAAAACCCCCTCAACTCCTATCAATCCAGCATTGGCAGATCGGCGACACTCACGACGGAGGACTGAGCTCTTTTCTTCCTGGTGAATCAGTGGCCACGAGACCAGGATATTGTCGGCTTCATGCAGAAATACGTGCCCAAAGTCCAGCAGAAGCTATACCAGAATACCTCGAGAGTCCTGATACGGCATCAGATTCGGAGCACTATCGCATATTACAAGCACAATGCTACTGTGGGGGAGTCGAATTCCATATCACTCCACCAGATTCATCGTCCAAAGATGCATATTCGCCGTGGCCAGACCTGTTGGTGCCTTATCATTCAACATCTTCGGTGAATACCGAAGACGTGAAATGGTGGCTGCAAACAGGAAACACCAAGTATCTCGCTGGAACCTGTGCCTGCGATTCATGTCGTCTGGCCAGTGGGTTCCCCATTCAGACATGGGCGTTTGTCCCAAGGTCGAATATTTCCAACATAGACCGGTCACTCACAATGCAGCAATACGAAAGTTCACCAGGTGTGTACCGAGAATTCTGCAGTCGCTGTGGAGCAACCGTCTTTTGGCATTGTCAAGAAAGACCACGGATCATTGATGTAAGCGTGGGCTTGCTTCATGCGAAGAGCGGCGCCCGAGCTGAAGAGTGGTTAGAATGGGCTACGGGACGGGTGAGCTTCGCAGAGATGGCGCTGGAAAAGAAATTGATCCAGATGCTAGAGAAAGGCCTGAGAAACTGGAAGCAGGAAAAAGGGCCCCAGACCATCGGATCCAAATATCCTGGTGCTCTATAGCAGTGAAACATTTATTCACTGGATAGTCGGAGTAGAGAATGCCTTGAACTTAGTCAAGTTTACGGCAGGTCGAGTCAAACCATACGACCACTCTGCAGAGTGCGCGAGGAACTTAAAAGTGAATATTATGGGTTCAACCCGTATAATTCCATCATTAAATCATTGCTCTAATCTTGATAATTTCATCATCTTCACTGTATCAAAAAGTATCGCTCACCGCCTTCCTCTTCCACCGCCAAAAGCCCTGAAATTTCTCGCGTCTCCCACGGCATTTTGCTAAACTCGCCGACATCCACCATTCTTCGTTGATTTCCTTCCCTTTCCTAACCATATTTTAGCTTTTTCTTCATCGTAGCGGTGTTTTTTAAAATGCCGCCAGCCTTCGAATTTCGAGGGAATCGTGGAAACGACCGACGATCGCACCCAAGACATGAATTCACTTTTCGCTATGCGCGACCTGGGACTGCGGAGCGGCCGCTGCTAAGGACCAAGAGGGAAACCACGCCTGAAAAACTCATGCCCGAAGTCGAGGAGAAGCCCGGATTGAAGTTTGCGCCCGTGGCAAATCTTAGTGACAGTGAAGAGGCAGATATGGACGTTTCCACCGATGACGAAGACAATGAAGCATCACATCCTCGCAAAAAGCGCGCGCTAGGGCCCAACGACGCGAATAAGCCTGCTGCTCCCGCGCCCACACCAAAATGGTCCAACCCTGACCCATACACCGCTTTACCACCTCCACCTCCCGATGAATCGCAGTCGAAGAAGGTGGATGTGGTCAAGTTGATTCGCAAGGCTAGGGTTGCGGAGAACGCTCAACCGGCCAAGACCGATGCCGTGGCGACCAACGAGGACTTTATATCGCTTGGTGCTCTCGGTGATGAAGACCAAGGCAATTCGAATGCCCCAGAGAACGCGCCCAAGGGGCCTTCACGGCATCTGCAGGGGAATGACCCTGCTCTGGGGAGTCGCAAGCGAACATACGATGACGAGATTAAGAGCTATCCCAAGAAACCCGGGAAGCCGATGAGCAGGTTCTACGCGGATGGTTCGATTATTGAGGAATGGATGGTGCGGCCCTATGAATCTGGATCGCCATGGTTGAGTCTTATGGAGCCAGCGTTGCACATGGGCACAAGGTCAGTTTTCGCGAAGTCTTAGCTAAAATGGGGTTTACCTTCTAACCGGGTGGATAGATTGCACAATGAGATCCTGAGTTTCTATCATTGGGTTAAACCACAGGCTTATGAGCAGATCGTTCGAGCAGACTTAGTGTCAAGGTTGCAGTCTGCGTTCCAAACCAGATACTATGGAGTCCAGCTGCGTTCATTTGGTTCATTTGCGTCGGGGTTGTATCTTCCCACTGCCGATATAGACCTGGTTCTTCTTTCAAGCAATTTCATGCGCAATGGAATCAAAACTTTTGGTGAACGGAAAGGTCAAATCTATGCATTCTCGGCTTTTCTTAGGAACCTCGACATTGCTGTTCCCGGTTCCATAGAGACTATCGCACATGCTCGAGTTCCCATCCTGAAATTTGTGGACAGATTGACCGGTCTGAAGGTGGATCTGTCATTTGACAATGACAGCGGACTTGTTGCCAACAATACTTTCCAGCAGTGGAAGTCTGAATTTCCGTCAATGCCTGTGGTCGTTTCTGTGATCAAACAATTCCTGCTGCTTCGAGGCCTCAATGAAGTCCCAACTGGTGGCTTGGGCGGATTTTCCATCACCTGTCTCGTCACCAGTCTTCTCCAGCACTTACCGCATGGACACACAGAGTCGAATCTGGGCAGTCTTCTCATGGATTTCTTTGATTTCTATGGTAATCATTTTGACTTTGAAGCTGTTGGCATACGATTGTCACCACCAGGCTACTTTAACAAGGTGCGTTACAACCCAGGTGAATCCAGATGAGTTGATCTGACCAAATCGTAGAGAGTATACCGAGTCTACAGAGAGAACAACAACGCTCGCTTGTCGATAGAGGATCCAAACAACCCTGATAATGATATTTCCGGTGGAACGCGAGAAATTGAACTGATCTTCAAATCGTTTTCCAAGGCACATCAACTTCTCAAGGGTCGCATGATCTCCACTGCCATGTCAGGATCGAACGGAAGCAGCATCTTAGATACCATCATCGCTGCGAATTATGATGAGTACACAGAGCAACGGTGGCAGTTGCGAGAGGTGTTTGAGACCCATCCCAGATTCGCTCAATACCATCAAGCGCCTACACCACCTCCGCCCCCTGGTCCTCCACCAGCGGACCCTGCTCCCCCGCCGCCTCCATTGCCCAATTCCCCACCGCCGCAAGAACCAAAGGAGAAGCTATCCAAGTTGCAGAGAAAACAACAGGCATCTCGTGAGCGCGCTGCTCGTCTGAAGAAACTGCGCCCCGACATAGCCTCTGTGCCGAAATCCATAAGCAACGAGCAGGCTATAAGTCTTGGGGGCTACGGGACACAGTCTGAGATGGACAAAGACCTTATGCTCCGCGAGAAAGGGCTTAAATCGGCCGCATGAGACTACTAACTTGCATATCTAGTGAAATCGAATCGGTCTAGGTGTGACTTCTCTACCGACGGTCACTCCTTGTTCCCCTGTTTTGTATTCTATGTGTTACTACACGATTCTCCATGATGATGTATACCCTCACTGGTGGTGTTTTTTGTTTTACTCTCTTCTGCGTGAGATACCCATATTCGTGGAACATGTGAGACTTGCAGAGCAAGTCGGGTTTTGCTCCGATTACTCCGTACTGCATGGGTACTGAAGCAATACCAAATCTGTACAGCGCCGGAGCCTTTGTTTATGACTTATGTTTTTTGTTTTTGTTTTCCACTTTCTATATATTGTTCTCTTTTACTGCGCTACTCATTGGTGCCAGTTCCGTGACAGTTGAGCTGAGCGATTGTCTTTTGACAACTGAATTATTTAGGGGCGATTTAACGGTGCTATCCACCTATGGATAACTTTCCTGGCTAGGTCTATCTCCCGCAGCATCGAACGGTTATGGTTCAAATATTCAGGCTGACTACAGACAAACTCTGCTACGGGATGTCTCGTTTGTTGGATGGGTCGGTTGAACCCTTGCTTACCTGTTCGCCCATTACTTGGCTTGAACAAACAGACAGAGTTGAGTTAGAAGAAAGAAAAACAAATCGAATTGGTACAATCCCGGGGGACCGCATCCTCTATTCCTTCCTGCTTATTTTCCTACCTTCCACATCCTTCTCACCAAGGGAGCACTAGATGTGATTGCTTGGAGAGGATGAGTGGATCGGAAGCAGGCATGGACATTCTTTTAAGAGGACTGGGCTGCTATATCAGGGCTGGGAGTACTTTTCTGGGGGTTTCCATGTACTAACAGTGCCATTTTCATTGTCATCTGCCCGACGAAGCTATTGATACTGATTGCATGTGAAGATAAAGCGGCTGTTGGTAAGTCGAATATTGTATTCAAGACAGGTGCAATCAATCCAGTTCATCAGACGGTATACTGTTTTGGAACTATATATGCAGTAGATATTGGTCTATTTGAATTTTAGTTTTACTGTGTGGGAAGCCACAATATAAGGAGAGGATGAGGTTATACTAAGATCTACCAGTTGAGGATGTTCTGTTGCTGCTGGGAATTGTCCACTCCGTCAGAGTGTAATTAAGTATATGGACAGATAGGAAATAGCAGTTTGTAACAGGTTACTTGACAGTGCTGAATAGGTAATATATTTGTTTGTATTGTCCTTGGTTGATCGTCTCCGCTTGCTGTTTTCAGCCCTAATGCCTGGATAGTATGTCACGATGTCGTAGGCTACAGAGTCAAATCCAGGTGTGCTTTTATTCTCGGGGCATGGGGATTTGAAATTCACAGGGGCTTTAGATTATTAAAAAGGAGATACTCTCAGTCGGGTAGATCCTGAGATATCTTTGAAATGGCTGGTCTTTTTCACCCTCTGTAAAGCTGTTGGAAATGAGGGCTATGTATATGGTATATTTGGCAGAATAAAAGGATAAGAAAAGGAGCTTCGTTTGATTCGAACTCCCGGTCTTCCAGTTTTATCAGGTAGCAAAAAACAATCAGCTTCTCGATGAATGCGTGTCTAAAATAGGACCTTCCCAACCCGGGCACTGTGGTCTAAAGGGGCGAGATGCATTCCTTTAATACTTTGGGCGGATTTCTTGACTAAGACGAGGGGGGCTGCTTATTTGGAATGGACATCAAACATGAAATGCATTACTATATATGTCTATGGGCATCTGCTATTGACTGAATGGTGTTATATATCGGTGCTGGGTCATCTGTTATAGTTGATTCGATACACACATAGGAGACAACCACCTCCGCCCCACATAATAGTACCGATGACCCAAGGCCTAAGTAGTGACAGCATATACTTGAGCTCTGTGGCCTGCCATTACTATGACATCCAGCGAAGATGTATCTGTGTATTCTTTGTTCCTGTTCCCGGTCATGAAAATCGTGCATAGTTAGCTAGCTTTATAAAGAAAAAAAAATTGCTTTTGAGTACGCAACTGAAGAGTTCCAGTAGCTCAATGGTAGGGCGCCAGACTTCTAATCTGGAGATTGCGGGTGAGTCCCGTCTGGAGTAGTATCAGATCCAAGGCATACCTTGGAGCAATGGTTCTCTTTTTGGGGTTATCTTTTTTAACCTGCCGGTTTTTCCCAATAACCTTCTTCTCAACTCCTCTCTATTGCGGGGTGTAGTGGGGGATTTTTATGTTGTTTTTTGGTTGAACATACCTGCCTACTTGCAACCTACCAACAATAGACCATTACAGCACTAGCTATCGGGTTGCTTTTCGTCTCCCCAGAACGATGCGGAGAACTAGGGCCTCTAGCTATGGATATGTATACTTCTAGGTATCCAATCGGGATAAATGAGGCCTATAATAAGCATATTTGCAATTTCAGGTACAAAAGATTGGTCAAAAATGACATACTAAGGCGTCGTTGGGATAAGTGTTCTATATCATTTCAACCTGAGGCAGACAGGCATCTTTCCTGGTACGTATGCCAAGGTAGGTTGCCTGGCCAGCGTTTACTGCTAGATCTTGTTTGCTCTTGCAGAACGAACATAGACCCAGTCTACATCACCCACTGCTCTTGAATCTCTCCTCTCTGTCTCGCTTCCTCTTCTACTTCCCATCCCCCCCTTTGAACCACCTGCCAATTCTCCCTGCTGTGAGTCCCAGCTCTTTTCTACTCTCCAAGTTTTTTATTTACCTCAGGAACTTATAACTCGGGAGTCTATCGCTTTCAAATAATATAGACTCCTACTAAAATCGCGCCCAAATGACACAAAAAACAGGCCATTCCTGCCCAGTGGCTGTGGAATGACTGGTGCTGCACCGAAAACAATACAAAATGCCACAAATATGTGTACTGTATAGCAGACGGTCATACTTTCATGAAGAGCCCGAAGCAAAGCCTTTCAAAACTACGGCAAAAAGGCCTTCCAAGTGATCGCTGTTCTTGAAAAGTGGTTCTTTTGCCAAAAAGAAAGTTATATGTAAGAGCCTTGATTCTGTTTATTACTCAGATACAGAAACATCCCTAACATTCCCCAAAAAGCTACAGGAAAGCATAACACTCCCTGACTTGGAACAGCTGTGCAAATCTACCCAGACGGAAATAATACAAGGACTTTTACCAGGATCTGATGCATTATCTTGCAGAGAGATCGAAATACATGCCGGCATTTCTGCTGTTGCCAAAGGCCTCCTTGATCTTGTGTGCTCTGAGATAAAACCCCTTTAAGGTCATCAACTCTCTTGAAAAGAGCTTGATGAAATCAGACTTTAACAATATAATGATGCGCCATAGCTGGATCATATGGGGTATATAGTTTATATGACAGATATCTGAATTAGAAAATTTCTGAGACTTTAAATCGGCCAATGCGATAAGGCTTATCGATGGATAATTTGCTAACATGCCTAATCCATGATGCAGGGTTTATATGTATTGCTGCACTATTGTACACCATGGCTAGGAAATAGGAAATGGATGGTAAATTTTATCCAGCTATGGTTATTCCTAGAGGATGAGGAAAAAGATGATGACTGGTACTGGATAAGATGTAATATCCTTAAAGCTCTCTTCTGTGGACCCTTTTCTACCTATTATGGCATGTTAGAATGCACAGACATTGCAGAAAACTAACTAAATACCAGGTGAATTTGGGCTTAATGCCGTGTCTCTATTACTTCAAAGTGTGATGCTTATATCATCCTCAAGAGTGCATGCTACTATAGGACCAAGCAACTCCCCAGATGTGCAAATTTGACATTGGGCGACTTTAAATCCAGCACAGAAGCACGAGATTATAAAAATGAGCGCGCTTTTTTTCAATGCAGCCTTGATTATGGCACTGGGAAATGAAAATGAGTTATGGCCTATCAAAAACGCTTTGTTCCTGAACACAAAAGACAACAGGGACAATCACCCCTCGAAGCCCCTTTCCGATAAACTGTCTATTGCATCAATTTGACTATAGCATAATATTTGCTCTCCTGACTATCAAACGCAGTGTACCATGAAGTAGCTGTGTTTATCTCTTCTTCGAATCCCAATTCCTTGGCTCTCCCCAAATCGAACGGTCTATCAAAACCCATCAACCGCAAAATGACCATCCTTCCCCCTGTATTATGCATGCCCTTGTAAATGACATCCTCCTTCAGCTTCTTCTCACGGCACAATTTCCGAAACTTCTCCCAGTGTCTGCCAATATACGCGGTGGGATGCAAACTGGAATCGTCGGGACTAGCGCCTTCTAGGCTAAAGTATGACGCCAGAATCGGCCAGCGCTGTGACCAGGAAGCGGGCGTTGCGCCATCTGCAATGTTAAAGGCTTGGGTGTGAACCTTGTCCCGTAGCTGAAATGAAGCATGGATGCAGAACCGGGCAATGATGTCTTGGTTGGAGTCGGTGAAGAGGCGGCAGGTAGTTTCATTGCCTGGGAATGGGACGCGAGCTCCATCACCCTCAAGAGCGCGGTATAGTCCCTGGTAGATGCCCATGGTTTGGGCCATGCAATTGGCGTTGCCTAAGGGAGTGATACCGACCTGGTGGGATGTCAGCCAAAATTTTATGTACAAAAAGGAGACAGGGCGGCATACAATCACATCAGGACGGACTTCGCACCATGCCCATGATTTGCCTGCCGATAGCTCATGGAGGAGATCGACTTGGTGGTAGTAAAAGAGGTCTTTGGCATATTCTGCCGACAATCGAGGGAGGTCTTCTTTCAAAGGCACTTGTCCACGGAAGGGGAACTTGCCGAGAAGATGCACGCCATATGCCTATGGATGATCCAGTTAGCAGACGGCCAGAAGACGGGTGAAAGCAGAAGCAACCTTTGTTCCTGTAATTAGTGTAACAAAAGATAGCTTGGGAGAGAAAGTTTCGAGTGTTTGTACGGCCTTACAAAGCATCTCCTTGTTCATACGACATTCATCCACGGGGTCGTCGCTCGCGCGATATTCTGTTCAATTCAGGGTCAGCGTATTGACCAGCGGCAACATGCAGAGATAATCTTACCAGCATAGTGAACATGACTGACTGTCTCTACAGAGGAGACCTTTTCTGTCAAAGACTTGGCTAGAGCAACATCGTCCTCTGTCAAGAGATCAATGCCAGAGATGACTTGCAAGCGACCATCGACCGGCTACGGAGACTCGTCGGCCGTGAAAGTCCCATTTGCAACCGCGGTGACCTTGATGAAAGTGTCATTCGAGGGATATCCAGAGAGTAGTTGGTTGACCAAGGACCAACCGTTGATTCCTGAGCAGCCAAAAACTACGGCGTGGTGGCCGCCGTCCTGACTCTGGGCTGTTGCATTCTCGTGGAGGGCTATCCAATGAATTATGATTGACTAGCAGTTGCAGTGGCAATGAAGTAATGACGCTTAGGTTTCTTCTCCAGTGACCAGCTAAGGCTATGTCCAGCACATCGAGATCTTCCAGAGTTCGTCCCAGAGCGAGTGATGCAGGTTATGCGGTGCAGGGGAAATGCCTCCTATCACTGGCCAGAGACATTGCCCGATCGTGCCCCTGTACGGCATCCTGGAGATACCTAGGTACCCTCTCATCCCACCTTCTTTTAGTTTTCTTTCCCTTTCTTTTCTTCACTCATTATCTCCTCCGCACATGCATGCAGACGCAGAAACACGTGTTGGAATCACCTGAATGTAATCGAAAGGCCTAGTTATGGGCATTCGGTGCGTACGCACTGCGGTCTGCGTATCCATATCAAATATCGTGCCTTTCCCTCTCCCGTTGGGTCACGGCTCTCTCTCCACCCTCCACCGCGAAGGAATGGACAGTTCAAAGTGGTTCAAACCAGCCCCGTTCATAGGTTAGCACCGAGTCAATATAAACGATAGCCGAGATCATCAACCTCAGTGACTCGAATTGGACTACCACGGCTCAGGATCACGCGTCGGAGCACAATCACACCCTTCACGGTTCTGACGCCCAACCTACACGCCAACAACCTGGTAGTGGCTTGCCAGAGACACTCGGAACGCACCAGCAAGGGTTTAATTATTTGACTGGATTATTTGACAAGTATGTTGGTCTGCCACGTGGCCTACGAATCGTGATCAGGCTGGCTACGATCCCAATCCCCATTGATCGCCCATGGCCCTTAGCGACCTGTCCTTGGCTTCGTGGTGAGTGAAGCAGTATAAAAGCGTGTAACAGGATTTACTGAATATATGATTGAGGTTTCCAGAGCAGAGATTATCCTTATCAACTTCGTGGAACAGGGCGGATATGCATGCAATATCATTCTCCTAGATCCCAGACAGCTCTGAGGCTGGCCTGGTGTATTGATATTAACTGGAAATAGTATTCTGATTCTCTGCTGTTCTTCCTAAAGAGCAGAGTGAAAAAGAATAAGAACTTCCCTGCGGCAACTGAGGCTGCTGCTACTGAGCCTTTGAATCCCTCCTTATCGACCCAGCAATTAATAGTCGATCTCGATGAGCTGCCGACTGGATATTATTACAGTAAGAACTTCATTGGCTCGCTGGTTGCTGTCTGTTTGATGGCAATTAGTCTGTACCTGGGTTATACTTTGCTATAAATGCCGACTTGGGTATGGTAATCATGATAATTGAAAAAAGACTGCATGTCCCATACTAATCGCATCTAACCCCTTTCAGGGCCGGATCCAAACTACACCTTGATTACAACAGTTTTTTGGGGTATGAACCTAGTTCTTCTAATAGCCCTCTTGCTATCCATACTCACCTGGATCCTCTAGGTTGCTATTCTTCTTGTTGGTCGCTTGGGTGACATATTTGGTCGTAGATACTTCCTCATCGGTGGACAGCTCTTCAACAACGCGCGCCCGAATGTGAATGCAGGCGTCTTCGTTACTATATTTCCTTTTGCCGCATTTGGGGTAGCCATTGCCCGGCTGTTTATTACTAATACACAACAGTCATGGCGTTGGAACTACTACTTGGACATCATCAGTTGTGGTCTTTCAGTCATTCTGCTAGTGCTGTTTTACTTCCCTCCTGGATGGGATCTAAAGCATGAGGGCGTGGTCCGGACGGTCGAAGTGAAGAGATTCGATTATACCGGATCCATCTTGTACACTACTGGGTTGATTCTGCTTCTGCTTGGACTTTGTGAGTCTCCATGGTATAGTGAGTTCAATGCAGCAGACACTGAGATATTTTTTCTAAGCCTGGGGTGGTACCACCTACCAATGGCAGTCTATACATGGAATCGCTACGCTCGTCATTGGGTTCATTTTACTAACTTTTTGATGAAGGTTATCGGGCACACAAAGTATCAGCTCATCATCTCAACAGTAGGCATTATGGCATTCTCCGGGGGTTTGGCTGCGATTAGCCACAAGCACACGGTGTTGCGGTATGAACCACTTTTACCCTGCATTATTCCAATAGCCCTAACCTTCTATCTTCCAGTTCAACGCAATTGGTGGCTTTGCCGTCGGCTATCTTGAAATAATCACAATAATCATGTGCTCTCTCTACTGTAAGCCCGAGGACATTGGCCTCGCCAGTGGTTTTCTCGGGTCTGCAAAACAGATTGCCGGAACAATTGCAAGTATGCCGTTAACTTCTCTGGTACAAACACATTCATCAAGCTATCCTGATACTTCAGCCAGCTGCCATCTATATTGCCATTCTCAACAACCAAATCGCCGCCAATCTTCCTAGAGATGTCTCTGCAGCAGCACTAGACGCCGGCCTTCCCGAATCCTCTCTCACAGATCTCGTGGAGGCTGCCTCGGCTGGAAACGACTCCACCATGGAAGCCGTCCCCGGTATCACAAATGATATCATTGCTGCTGTCTCCGACGTTATAAAAACCGCATATTCGCAGTCAGTTAGTACCATTTCTCTGGCTAGTATTGCGTTTGGTGGCGCATCTTTCATCACGGCGCTGTTTTCTGTCTCTGTGGATGACAAGCTTGATGACATTGTTGCGGCTAAGCTCTCGCATACTGGAGATAGTACCCAGGCCATTATTGACAGTGAAAAGGGCTAACGGTGAGGGGCTTGATGTCCACGCGTAGAATGAACATGCATGGTATAATATAGTTAAACCTGGTTACGGTTGAAAACAAGCCCTAGGGTAACAAGCTGGTTTGGTATATATCCAACAAGCATAAAATTAACCAAGAGAGACAGAAATGTCAAGGGGAAAGTGAAATCTTTATGTTCTATTGAATACCCATAGTAGTCGATGTAATCAATTGAGAAACGTATAGTCCAGGTGACTGAGATTGTTAGGTAATTGATCACCCTACTATCAGGTGGAAAAATAAAATATATGTACAATCAAGAAACCTATTCAAATATGCACGACTTTCTGTCAAGTCTTTGTTCAATGAAAATTCATAACAAACGTCATTCGCATCGTAAACCTTGGCTCCATATCAAATCATAGAGCAACCTCAGCCGGAGCTGCAGAGTCTCCGTCCACTGCATCCAAAGGCGGAGTGGGAATGTAACCGTTGCCTTTCTCAAAATCCTCACTATTTCCAGCCAGTGCTTTCAAAGTTGCCATGTGCTCCGCTGAGAGTGAGTTGACGAAATCTGGGCCAGGGCTGGGCCAGGTGAAGTCAACCCAATCAGGTCCTAGAATGGACTGGATCTTCTGGAAGTGGGCTAAAATGCGACTGCATCTAGCCTGGGACCAGGCGCGGTCTGTGATAATCCCCTCCGAGGGGGTGAGGATGGCTGGGGTTTGGTTGGTGGTTGGAACAGTAGGTGCGAGGGTATTGTTGAATTTATCATCGTTATCATCTTCGCGATTCTCCAATCCGTCAATTACACTGCGCCAGACCCGCAAGGTCTCGTTCAGCTCGTCTTCATTGCTCACACCCATGACACTGACACCCAACCGTTCGCCAGTGCCTAGATTGATGGCGGAGAGAAGGCCCGGATCGGTCTGGGCAGAGGGTGCAAGAGGCGGACCCAAAGCTCCAGCCTTTGCGCCTTGGTGCAGCCAGGACTCGAGCGCGAAGCGAATGGCAACGCCCTCCAGTTTTTCGTCTTGTTCGTCGACCCACTGGCCCGCGCGCTGGATGGCGGCGCGGAGACCCTCTGGCGCTGGGTGGAAATCTCCCATGCCTCCAATTGGGACACCCACGCGTCGGAGAAGTCCCATGCCCAGCGGCGAGGCATTGGGGATAACGTCCACTCCAGCCGCCAACAATCGGGGCAGGCCTTGGGTCAGCAGGCGGGTATTCTGCAGCGTGAAGTTGGCGTAGGACATGACCACATCGAGCGGTTCACCTGTTTCGTGAAGGACCATCTCTGCCATATCACATAGCACATCAACCGGGTAACCAGAGATACCCACGTAGTGGATTGTGCCTTCGGAGTCGCGAATGCGTCGCAGCTCGCGAACGGCCTCCAGCACCTGTGCGGGGCTCACAAACTCGACGTCATGACAGTAGACCACATCCAGGTAGTCAGTGTGAAGCCGTCGTAGACTACGACCGATACTGTATCGCACCCATTCCGGCGAGTAGTCAAACGATGCCCCTCCCTCTCGACCGACCTTGGTGAGCAATCGGTATGTGAAGCGGGGGAAGTTGGATTGGACGAAATCGGTGGCCAGGGCCCGACCCAGGAGTTCCTCCGCGGGGCCGTAATAGGGCGAGGTATCAAAGGCACGGACACCGCTAGAGAGGGCGCGCTGGACGAGTTCGTTGGTAGGAAGGGAGTAGGGATCTTTGTTAAACTGCGAATTGAATGTTGCCGTGCCCATGATGAGCGGGGGGAGATCGGCCGATAGCGGCACGGAAGGACGACCCATTGTGAGGGGAGGTTTGTAAGGTAATTCAAGAAAAAAGGAAGAAGAAAAAAAAGAGCAACACAGAACAAGTCTATACGAAGCAAGAAAAGAATGAAAGAATGAGTGGATGGATGAGAGTGAGAGGAGTTGGCTGGATGAAAATTGCGACGGGCGATGGCGAGGCCTTTGGATTTCTAACCACCGGACGAGGTTCCACTCCGAATGGCGCCATGGCCAGCAAATTACATAGTTCTGGTCTGAATGAAGATAAGGATTGTTCGAAAAATATCCAGAAGTGATATATCCTACTGTCTGGTAATCTAGACAATAGATGATGATGGTGACTGTTTGGATGCTTCGGTTGTTTGTTGATCAAAAGGCGGTAGTTAGTGGCAAAGGCAAAAAAAAAAAAAATCTACAGCCAGGAACCAGGGGCATTCCGGAGAGCCATGTCGCCAGGGTCTAGAAAGAAAAGATGCTGCATTTGTACAGGAATTCAAGATATCTCATCTCCGTTATCACCAAAGCAGGAGACAAGAGAAATAAGGACAGGTCATCACATATGGTACTTATGATACACGAATCAATCCTTTCGATGAGAAAAAGGACCAAGAGTGGAGAAGAGATCATGTAAATAATCAAGACGACTAAAGAAAAGAAAATAATAGAAAAGACACGCGGAGGAGAGAAATGAATTTCCATCTCCATCCTCCCATTGCCCCATGCCATTATCCGCCCGTCCGGAGTTCACTCCTTCTCCCAAGTAATGTACAGAGGGAATCTCACCCAGATTAGATCGATAGAGATAGGTCGAACCGGACGGACGTAGTCGAGGATATCAGGTTCGGAGAGGTATCCAGACACTCGAAAGTTGAGGCAGGGGGCAAAAAGTAAAGAAATCTATGATTCTCTCCGTCTCAAATGTTGGGAAATACCAAAAACGCCATGCTATGCTGCGAAAACCGAGGGGAGGTAACGAGGAAGGTCGAAGATGTTGTGTTCTGTTTTCGTTCTTTGTATCTGACGGAGTGGCTCCGATCGTGTAGGTTCGATTCGAATCGGGTCGTTGGCCAGGGTCTCGACAGCTTCGGATAGAGGGAAAGAAGGCGAATCACCGGTCCTTGTACACCTTGGGCTTCCATCCCTCCTGTAGCTCCTTGTCATGGGCGACCTTTCGTTCCGCTTGTCGAACTTCCATTTCTATCCGTTCCCGAGCCCGCAAAATTTTGCTTTGGAGGTAGAAACTACCCCCTTTCTGGGGGTCGTTCAAATCGAACAGCTTCTTGAATCGTTCCATGACCTGCTCGACATTGGCCTCACCACCCTGTGGGGGCTTGACATTCAAAATCTTGCAAGCCTCATCGAGAGTCAAGCCAGAGGCGAAGGCGTTTCCGCCCGAACCCTTGCCCTTGTTCTGGGAGGCGTACTTGGAGGAAGCAGAGGCCTGCTTGTAAGCCTCTGTAAAGGCGCGACCGAACACACGGGCGCCAGTAACGACGACTTGGGTGACAATACGATGGGCCTATAGCGAGAAAAAGACAAGTCGGTCAGTTTTCAAAGCGATCTGGTGATATATGTCTTCAGGGACTTCCTTACCATCCTGAGTCGATTAAAGAAACCACTGACAACTAGATTGTCGGAAGAAGAAGGAGACAAGAAAGAAAAGGATGAGAGAATAGAAAAAGGAGGATGGGTAGCCCCAAGACGGGTTGGTCTGCAGTGGTGATGCTTTGGATGGCGATGGAAGCAGACGGAGAAGCCCAAACCCAATGACAGCGGCGAAAAATTTCGGCTGCGGGTTTTTTAGTCGCTTTTCGGGTGGCCTCAACAAGAAGAGTATGGGTGTTGTGAGAACTACCTGCTATTTATTTATTATTGTGAGGATTAGGCTTCTGATGAATAAACATCTACATACTTGATTCACATATAGAGTATATATCAACAGTACGACACCTATGCGCAGTATTTGTTGGAGTACAGCCTGTCGTGGTCGAGTCACATGTTGAATCACGAGAGCTTCATTCCTCCGCGGTTCTTCCCCCGCAGGCGATCTCTTCTTTTCCAGTCCGATGCTGTCGGTTCCTGGAATGACTGAAGTCTGAAGGGCTCCTCCTGTTCGTCTCTTTTTCTAGTTCTTCTCCTCCTCTTCTGCTTCTTCCTTTTGTTCTTTCTTTCTCCTCTCCGTCACACCGCCCGCAATGACCTTGCTGGATGTCTATGACGTTTCTGTTGGATGGCAGCACTCGGTACGTTCTTCCCAGTTCGGTTCTCCTTGTTTCTATCCCCAACTTGCCAGCAACCACGACCGGGGATTATTAATGCTCATACCCAAGTGAAGAAGAAGAAGAACGTCTCTGGTGCTGATGCTGGGACAGAAGATATTCCGTGGATAGATTCCATGGCCCCCTCATCATTATCCCAGGACCATGGCTTTCAGCCTGACAGCCAACCGCCAACGGTCGCCGCTTTCTCTCCCACCACCATCTCGGGCTCATCGTTGACCTCTAGGCAACGCTCTAGTATCATCGTACATCGCAAGTCGCCTCTGTTGGTCGCTACGCCGCCGCCCGTCACCCGTGCTCTCGCCTACTCCCATCCGTTCATCTTACCCTTGAACAAGCTGCTTGGCTTGTTGACATGGACCTCGGGCGACCCATGGCAGAGCTTCCTCTTTCTAGCAGGGTTTTGGACTGTGGTTCTGTATAGCGATGCCATTATCCTCTGGACAGGGCCAATTCTGTTGGTGCTTGGTCTAATTCTGGGCATGTACTGGAGGCGCTACTCCCCCTTATCCTCCAGGGCTGTCGATAAAAGCCACCAGAGAGCGGCTTCCGATACAACTCCTCATCATAAGAGCTTGGATGAGATAGTTGATACTTTGAGGACTTTTACTACCCGATGTAACATTCTACTGGAGCCACTGGTCGATCTAACCGATTTCTTATCGACTCAGAGGACGGCCACGTCTGCAACCACCAGGCCTGCTCTTACTGCTTTGTTCTTCCGAATTCTCTTTGTGACTCCATTATGGATTCTCTTAACATTCCCCCCAATCTATCTTATAACTACACGGCGTGTCATCATGATCATAGGCACCCTCATGCTCACCTATCATTCCCGACCGGTCAGAGTGTCGCGTGTCATTCTGTGGCGATCATTGATTGTCCGCCGGATCTTCTCCGTTATAACAGGACTTTCTTTCTCGACTAACGTTGGTGGGGACGATAAGGTGCGAGCATCCAAGACGCAGGGTCCTGGTCATGCTGTAGACATCGCAACCAGGCGGCGCGGAGGCTCGTCTGGCGTCCGATTTACGTTCATCATATATGAAAATCAGCGCCGATGGCTTGGAATCGGATGGACCTACTCCCTATTCCCGTCTGAACGTGGTTCATGGACCGATGAACATTTGAATATGGTACCGCCCAAAGATGAATTTGAATTGCCCGATGTACAAAGTGGAAATGCGGAGTGGCGCTGGATCGATGGCGGTGACTGGCGTATTGATGGTGCCGATGATTCGAGTATGAAATCCGATCCCAAATCGTCAGATGGCGGCGGATGGATATACTATGACAACAAGGTAAGTATTTCTGCAACGCAGTGGCTAAGATGAAATATCTAACTGATCCGCCAGTGGAATGACGGCCGTCGTGGCCAGGATGGTTGGGACCGGTATACCCGCCGCAGAAAATGGTATCGTGATGCCGAGCTGGTGGAGATAATACCAGAGACCGAGGATCCGCCCACAGAGACGGCCTCCAATCTGACCCAAGCTCTGCAAAACGAAAAAGCATCAAGCAGCGGTGCGGATGCATCCACAGTGGATGCAGATGCCCAAAGTCTCGCCCCGTCTTCCAAGGCACGGAAAAGACGTTGGTTTGGCGGTTCGAAGAGTGTAAGCGACAAAAATAGCAGCAATTCTGCACCTCCGACCTCAAACAATTCCTCCGTGGACCTCGGGAAGATAACCTCTGCCACCAGGGACGACCCCAAATCCGGACCAACCGCGTCCAGGCCGATTAACATCCAACACGCCCGCAAATCATCCAACATCCCCGGCGCCGCCAGTCACAGCAGCAGTGCAGGTCGAGAAGGAAGTCTGCATGGCAGCGGGACGAATAGTGACAGCGTAAGCGTTCGAAATAAAGAGATTCATCAAGCGCAGGATCGTCTCGACCGATGGGGTACTCGAGCCACGGGCGGAACCGAGAGGGCAGAACGTGAGATGGGACTGGGTGACGAGGTTAATATGGGTTTGAGTTGATATACCAAAGCACAAGCGTGGAGTACAGAATATAATTGGAGTTTGCATTTGTTCTTTGTTTCCCTCGACATCAGCCAACCAGGCTTTGAATGATATTTTTACTTAAAAATTATTAATGCATCATCGTTAAACATGTTTATGTTACAGTATCTTCAAGTTTATCCAGAGAATGAAAGTCTAGTCCAACTGCCATGTGAATCATCATGCCAGTATCAAATCCCATTGCAATTGCTCTAGCACATCTAGCCAGTGCATCCCACTCCCCTTCCACAAAACAGTCAATAGCTCCTTAGCTCGTTTGACATTCCCAATGCCAAAATTTCTCTCCAGACTACTCAGTGACCGAATGACCAGATCTCTCTCCGCAGAAGTCTCACTTTCACAGCCTGCTATGAAGAGCGGGAATGTCAGAGCAGAGTATTCACAGTGAGCGTCTAGTGGAAACGATTCAACCCGCGCCAAGCAACGCTGCAGGGCCTCAGTCTTGGACAGCGAAACAAACCTCGACCATGTCGAGGGTAGTTTCTGGCTGCAGTCTTGATTCATCTTTTCCAGGGTGGAATGGAGATAAATGTACGCGGCGTCGCGGAAGCAATCCGCCACCATGCGGAGGCGAAGAAGGCATGCCTGTGTGATTCCCTTGGGTAGGATGTACTGAGTTGTTGTATGTGTCCAGTTTCGAAGGGCCTCGTCTCTGATGGTAGTGTTAGCTCCATCGGCTTATTTTTGATGACTTTCAGGATACTCACATCATATTAACTTCCAATCCCACGGAAAGGGAGTCACTGCCTAGGAAAGGTAAATCTGCGATTTTCGCGCAGATCTTGATAATTTCCTCGGTATATCCGACATAGGTATCCAGTTTCGTGATGCTGACGGTGTCGGAACTGGATATGGTGCCATTGATTTGTCCGCGGTTAGTGATCTTGGCCACATTGTGCGCATACATACAACTATCACGAGTCATCAGCTTGCAGGATCTAGATATTCTAATTTGGGTTGGACTACATACAGCCCCCATAGAAACTCTGCCGTGTCTCGATCCAGCGAGGCAAGTCCTCCGCGAGCGGTTACCAGTTTTTGTAAAGCATTTAGGTGCACTGCCCACTGCTTCACACTTCCGCGCACGATTTCGTATTTGCAGAGAAGAGCAACTGTTAGAATAGCTTCGTCGGGGAAGACACCAGCGGAACACCCTGCCATTGATGTCCGAAGCCCTTTGATGGTTCGAATATAGTAGTCGGCTGCTGTTGTCTGGGCATCCATGCTGTTGTAAGAGCGATTTGCCAAGTGTATTGCAGAGACAGCACAAACGGCCTTCATGAGCAGCGGCGATGACAGGGCCCTGGGGATTAACAATGCTCGTAAAGGATTCTCGTCGCTCTCCAGGTTGGCTAGCAACTTGGAGCCTTGCTCCATGTGATACTGGAGGTAATGTGTTTCGATATTGGACAGGTGACTGATATGTTTGGCGGGTTTGGGGATAACGGATAGGTAATCCAGGTGCGTAGTTTTCGTAGATTCATCATGTTCATCATATTGGCGGTTTGTATTGCTTGGGGAGTATATCTCAATAGCACCGTCATACTCGGACGGAACTGGAGAGGGAGTGGAAAGACAGGTGGATAGAGTGAAGCTGGGAGAGGGCAACGACTCTGAAAATCCTCCCGAGTAAGCAGGCGATGATGGCGATGGACTTATCCTCCGTCGCTTCGGTGCTGGACTGTGTTTGAAGACTTGCGCAGATGGGTTTAGGGGTTCTGCCCACATTGAGCTATACCCTTCACAGGTTCGCCCTAGCCTGTCGCAATTGCGACAGCTGTTTCAACTCGGTTAATGGTGATCACTGAATACACTGAAAGCACCATACCTAGGCTTAGTTTCATCGCATCTCTTTCGACGCTTTTTGCAAGTCAAGCAACCTGATCGAGTCCACCTCGAGCCCTCTTTCTTGCATCTTTTTCTTGTTTGAGCGGAAGAGGTGTCTGAGAAGTCGATGATTTGACTCATGTTGATAACATATTATACTATCACATTATATGTACTCAATCCTGTGACATAATGGGAGATAAGATAGGCGAAAGGGCGATAGTGACTGGGAAACGACATGGTCAGCATAGACGAACAAGTGGAGTGGTATGGGGATACTGTACTTAGTCTAAGCCGAGGTGCGTCACGACAGCTAAACAACGTCAACAAGACACTCAAACCGCAGCTAGCAGGTAGTCTGATACTCCCAAAACATCCTAGAGAAAATCATGAAACTGCTGGTTTGGCCCTGATCGAGAAATTTCCTTTGTCGAAGCAGTCGACCGGTTGGAGTCACGAGGGGAGAAACACGCTAGTTCCTTTACGGCAAGAGATACGCCCTCTTATCAACGGAATTTCTTCTTCCCCTCATTTTTCCCCACGTCTGGAGGGAATCGAAGGCAGAAAGGCTCGAAGAGAGAGGGACTTTTTTGCTTTGAGATGAAGATATCGCTGGTATACGATTGAGGATTTTGGGGATAATCCAATTGCTTTGAGGTATCAATTATAATCAATTATATCCCCTATCTCCTTCACAGCAGTCTAGTCCACTGCTCAACCCATGAAACTGCAACCCACACTACATTCAATGATGTTTCTGAACTCTTCGATTGAGATACCTGGGATCGGCTAACTTGACGAGATTGAACCACATTTGATCTTTGTCTTTCTGATGCCTGGTCTGATAGACGACGAGGCTCACGAGAATGCGACATTTGGTCGATCCACCATCGCATGCCGACCCACACGTGGCGGTAACTTGTCCCAAAATGGCATGTCCATCCAGACGGTGCTTGTATAGAGAAGACAGCACCACAGCTGCCGTGGATCACAGTATGGTAGCTATCTTTCGATGGACTCAAGATGGATCTATTTAAACATGACCTTTGCCCCTTGAATCTCGTTTGGGTATTCAACCTAATCAGTTTCTTTCTCTTCAATATACCCAATTGCACGTTGCAATCTTTTCCGATACACATCTCTTCTCCCTTCTCATAACCCATCACAATGGCATTCTCAACAACCCTCCATCCTTTCGACCCAATTACCCCTGGCGAGATTCAATTGGCGGTTCGGATTCTAGAGGCAGCTTTCCCAGGTGTTCCTCTACGACAAAAGCGCATTGATGTCCAAGAGCCTATCAAGAGCGAAGTCGTTCCTTATATAGAGGCGGAGAGGTTGCGAAAACCTCTTCCAGCAAAGCCAACTCGCCTTCTTTTTGCTTTATTCCACCGCCTCGATAGTGGTGCTTTCTACAAAGCATTAATAAATGCCGACAGCAAGTCAATTGTTTATGCGAAAGAGCTTCCCAGAGAAGTGCAGGTGAGAATCTTATCAGCTTGTCTTAATTCTTTTCATAGCTGACCATTTGTGACAGGGACCCGTTGATATAGATGAAATGATCGATATTGAAAAGCTCTGTATGGAGCATCCGGCAGTCAAGGCAGAAATTGAGAAGTTGAAGCTTCCCCCGGGCATGGCTGTCTGCAACGATCCATGGATGTATGGATCAGATGACCCAACCGAAACTCGACGACTATTCCAATGCTTCATGTACATGGTTGCGGTTGATCACCCTCAGAACAACCACTACTCTCTACCCTGCAAGTTCTCTCCTGTGTTCAATGGTCTTACACATGAATTGGTCCGCATGGACTATCTTCCCGGTGGATCAGACGCCCAAGTGATGGAAACACGGCCGTGGAAACCTGTGAATACAGTCCAATACGCCCATGATCTACTAGATGAACCACTCAGACAAGATCTTAAGCCCTACATTGCTCAGCAACCTGAGGGACCCTCGTTCTCGGCAGACGGCAACTCGATTTATTGGCAAAAGTGGCGATTCAGGGTGGGATTTAACAACCGCGAAGGTATGGTGATTTACAACGTGACATATGATAATCGCAATATATTCTACCGTCTTTCAGTCTCGGAGATGACGGTTCCATATGGAGGTGAGTGTTTTTTTTACACAGACAGCTTGTTATTGTTTTTTGCTGACACACTCATCTAGATCCTCGGGCGCCTTACCACCGAAAACAGGCTTTCGATGTTGGTGATGTCGGATTCGGTCTCAATGCCAATCAGTTGTCTCTGGGATGCGACTGCCTGGGTCACATCAAGTATTTCGATGGCTACAGAACAGATGCCAAGGGCCAACCGGTGCTTTTGAAGAATGTCATTTGCATGCACGAGCAAGATAATGGTATCCAACACAAGCACACCAACTACCGTTCAGGCGCCGCAACTGTTGTGCGCAACCGCCAGCTTGTTCTTCAGATGATTTGCACTGTTGCAAACTATGAGTATATTTTTGCATACATCTTCGACCAGGCCGCCAACGTCGAACTTGAAGTCCGTGCTACTGGAATTCTGTCAACGGTTCCCTTTGACAATGAGAATGGAGCCACTGTTTCTTGGGGCACCAATGTTGGCCCTGGAGTGATGGCACCTTTCCACCAGCACATGTTCTCTCTGCGGATTGACCCAGCCATTGATGGGTTCAAGAATACTGTCTACTATGAGGACAGCGTTCCACTCCCCGAAAATGAGAATAACCCCTGGCTCGTTGGGTATACAACAGAACAGACTGTCCTAGATAAGTCTGGAACCGCAAACACAAGTGTTGACCGCCACCGTGTGTTTAAGATTCGCAATGATAAAATTACCAACCCGATTACATACAAACCAGTGGCATACAAGCTTCAGACTGCCCCCAGCCAAATGCTACTGGTCAACAAGAAGGCAATGGGTTACCAGCGTGCAGAATTCGCCAGTAAGCCCATCTGGGTCACCAAGTACCAGGACGACGAGCTATACGCAGCAGGCGAATTCACCAACCAGAGCAGACGCGCAAATGGCGTTGAGACATGGGTCCAAAGGAACGACACCACCGAAAACGAAGACGTCGTTTTATGGCACAGTAAGTACTATTGGACATTCGCTTTTGAAACTTAAATACAGCATAACTAACATGACTGGCAGCATTCGGTCTTACCCACAACCCCCGCATTGAGGACTTCCCAGTAATGCCAATGGAGCGAATCAGCGTTATGCTCAAGCCTGACGGTTTCTTCACCAAGAACCCAGCCTTGGACGTGCCGCAGTCAACACAAGCTTTCAACAAATCTACGCTTCACCCCGAAGCTGTAGCCGTGGATAGCTGCTGCTCTAGTGCTGGGGGAAGTAGAGCTAAGCTTTACAGGCGTGTTGAATAGATTATGTTAGATGCCCATACTGTTCATAGATACCACTGTTACCAACATATATGAAACCATCTTCAAATCTAAGTTCCTGTGAGATATATTTGAAATATATTATTTGCAATAATGATATGAGCCTGGGGAATTATTGTGTGCCGAGCTTTTTTAGTTATCCGAAAATGGAAGTGTTGAATGCCTAATTCGACCAAAAAGGCCACGACACGCCCACTTATACCCATTGATATCAGATAAAAATATATCTCGACAGAAAGGACAACCATAGACCCATAATCACACATCAGATTTCTATTTCATTACGACATATCTTCTGATATAGACACACAGCTTTCCTGTTCAACTAGGAACAAGTAGGCTACACAAATCAAACGATCATAAGGGACAGACAGGGAAATAAACATGGCGAAAATCCACCATCCTTGTGCTGAGATCCATCTCCCCAATCCATAATCCATTAATCTTCGCCATCCATCCGGATGACATCCATTATATTTGTTTTCTTGGCTTGTCTTTCCATTCTACTTCTCTCAAAAGGACCTGCCTGGATTTCACCGGACTACACTGGATGTGCAATCGTAACTCACATGCAACAGACTAGACAAACGTTTGCCAAAGGCGAGTTTAGGCCTTCTTGGGGACGAAGGCGCTAGGGACAGCACCGTGGCCAACGTTGTCGATGGCAGTCTGACGGGCTCCGGTGAGACCGTATTGCGAATTGATGCCCTCAACACGGTGAGTGGAGTTGATGTTCTTGACGAGGGTGAGCTGCCAGCAGGTAGCACCACCCTGGCGAGAGGTGATGGTGGAGGAGGCGAGGAAGTATTCCCAAATCTAAGGTGAAACAATGTTAGCTTACCAGAGCATGTTAACTTGTGAAACGTGGATACTCACTCTGAACCATCTCTTGCCGTACTTGGCCTCAACCTTCTCGCGGTTGCCCATCCAGTTACGGTACCAGCGCCAGAGAGTGGCGGAATAGTGAACACCAATGGTGTCAACACCCTTGATCTCGAAACCAGCGGCCTCAAGTCGGTCGACAACGAATCCAAGGGGAGTACTGGCGTCAGCTCCGGGGAAGATGTACTTGTTCATGAAAAGACCCCAGATGAGGTCCTCATACTGCCAGGACTTGCGGATACCAGCAATCTGCAAGAAGAAAACACCGTCCTCGTCGAGCATATCGTAAACCTGAGACAAGAAGGTAGTGAAGTGACGGACACCGACGTGCTCAGCCATCTCAAGACAGGTGATCTTCTTGTATCCGCCAGAGATACGGGGAGCATCACGGTAGTCCAAGCAAAGAATACGGCTCTGGTCCTCCTCGACACCAGCGTCACGGAGGCCCTTGTTACCCCAAGCAGTCTGGTTACGGCCAAGAGTGATACCGGTAACCTGAGCGCCATAGTGGACGGAAGCGTATTTGGCAAGAGTACCCCAGCCACATCCGAGATCGAGGATAGTGTCACCAGGCTTGACACCAATCTTCTCGCAAACAACAGCCAGCTTGTTATCCTGGAGCTCCTCAAGAGTCTCCTCCTTATTGATGTCACCAATCAGACCAGAGGTGTAGATCATACGGGGACCCAAGAACCAAGCGTAGAAGTCATCACCTCGGTCGTAGTGGTCACGGACCTGCTCCTCATCTAAGAAAAGAATTAGCTTGGAACAATTTTCAATTGCTTCAATCCGGTGGGAAGAAATTACCCTGAGAGCGAGTGTGCATCAGCAACTCGGGGATGAAACCAAAGAGGAAGTGCTTGTAGAGACCCATGGTGAAGCGGAAGCTAGCCCAGTCGTGGCGGAACTCGAGAATTTCAAGCGCATCGCCCTTCAAGTCGACCTCGCCATTGAAGTACTTCTCATAGAAAATCTCCATGGGGATCTTGCTCTTGCCGCGGTAGGTGGCACGGTCGTGCTCGCTGTGGAATTCAAGGTAGTGCTCGACGGGACGGCCGGCATACTTGGCCTTTTCATTCTTGCGGGGAGAGATCGATGAAGCGATAGACCAGAAGGCCATCAGGATGGGAATGGTGGTAAAGATGGCGAAGAAGATGGTGGTGTAGAATCCACCACCAACCTGGCGGGCCAGATACCATGGGATCAGGAAGAGCAGGGAGAAGAGCAGAATGTTGGAGAAGCTGTCACTTCCCGCAGAGTCTGCTGGAACGGGAGCATTTTTGATGGCAGGGTACTGCAAGAGAAAGTGCCATTAGCTTTGCTTGTCACAGTTGCAAGACCTAGCTACAGCTAGGCCAGGTCCGGATGGTCCAATGATGTTCTGGAACTTACCGATGTCGTCCTCACGCCACAGTCGTCCGCGGGAGTAGTCGCGGAAGCAGCAGGAGTCTCGATGAACTCGAAGTCCTCAGGGGACTCGGGATGGACACTCGTCATGACAAGCAAGACGAACTGAGGGGGATGAAGGGGAAAGGGGGAGGAGGGGAAGGGGAAGAAGCTGTGCCAGAGGAATTGAGAGAGCTGACACGGTGTTGTTGAGAACAGAAAGAAAGAAGAGGAGGAGAGGCGGACGTTGATTGTTATTTCCAGGCCTGTAGCCAATTGGGGACTAGCTCAGGACGGAGTACATAATAGGGGCGGTGAGAGAAAAAAGAGCGAGAGAAAAAGAGGGCCCAGCCTCTTCTTCAACGCAGACAGAACAGGTTATGATGATCATCGATCGGTACCGGGAGCTCGATGTGTCGATACAGAGCAGTGGACAGAGCTGGTCCTGGACATATTACTGAGTATTCCGGTGCCATTCACATTCCAACTGTATACACAGCTCTGCAACAGCTCTGCTTTGTCTCTGTACAGATGGCCTGAAATCATGTGCGTGTACCTCTCACGTCCCGAGGGTTCCTCGGGCCCCAAAAATGACGGATCCAAGGTTGCAGAAGGCCCTGAAACAGGGCGATCTGCATCTCCCAATCTCCCTCTTCGCAGGTCCATCATGTAACTATGATGTATGATGTACAGACTACAGAGTGCCTTACATCGTGCTTGGAGCTATTTAGAACTATATCCCACCATCGTGCATAGGGGAGCTGGATCTGTTCCTTTCATAAGTGTTGATTTGGTTACTCCATACTATAATAATCAGTAGTCATGTTGGTTGTCAAATAATACAAGATGTCCGTGGTCCATCATGGAAATCCATCAAGTAATTCAAGAAGAAAAAGATACGAACGCCCTGTAAGACCTGCTTGTTTGCCTTCCTTGCACCGACCAATCCTCAATGCATATCCGCCGTTCCAATTCATAAAAGTAATAATCAAGAAATATCAAACAAAACACCAACCCAAAATACATTCCGTAGCCTACAAAGTCAGCTGGAAGTCCTGTGCCTCAGCATCTTCCTCGTATGTGGGAAGTTCCATTTCTGCTTGAGCCTCTTGTCGCTCCTCTTCACTGTCGAAGCAGCCCGCCGCCTTACAGCGAAGCCACATTTCGGTTCCAAGGGGCGGGGGGCCATAGAGCTGTATGTAAGTCTCGGGTGACTGGATTCCCTTTGCCGGTTCCTTTGGCGTGGTGGATATCTTTCCGTGCAGTTTAGACGACATGGTGCGACCCTTGGAGTACCCAACTGTTGTTCTCGCATTTGCCGTAGCGGCTGTTTGACGCATGGAGGAAGGGTTGCTTGGGACTCTGGGTTTTCTAGACCCAAGAAGTGATGATGCCACTCTGGGTTTTGGCAGAGGCGCCGGTTTGCGTGGAGCAGTGGGTTCTGCCCCAGAAAGTGCTGTTGCTGCATCTTTAGCTCTCACGGTTGAGATGTTACTGGAGTATTTGGTCCTGCTGGGAATCACTCTTGCACGACGTGCCTCGGTGCGTCGTTTGGGGAGCTCTTCCGCCTGGGGAGCATCGAGAGACTCGTTGCCATTCGACTCTTCAAAGCCCATGCCTTCAACCTGCTTCAGAATCATGTCGTCCACCATCTTATCGCATGCGATCGAATTCTCTTGAAACTTCCGCTGCTTCTTGGTGAGCCCATCTTTTCCAACTTCATTGTCCCCATAGACACTCTCTAGCCCGAGTGCCAGGTTTTGGGGCTTGAATTGCGGGAATGTGGTGTCATAGGTGATATCTTCAGGATAATCCGGAAGTTCTGCGTTCTGTTAGATGCAGACCTTTTAGAAGCGAAAACTCTGCGGTAAACCCACCTTTTGGCTTGGGTGGCATGTATTCAATGTCAGGAACATCATCCTGAGGCGCTTGCTCCTGAACCTCTGCTTGGTTCTGCTCTACAAGAGGGGCGAATTTCTTGATCCTCTGGGTCGAAGCTCTCTTGTTCGTCTTCTCTGGCTTGATGGCCCTTGGTGCTGGTGTCTGTATACCTTTTGCCTTGGCATTTGTCGTTTTCATTCCTAACGGGGCACGATGACGAGGATCTGCTATAGTATTCCGTCAATTTCATATCCATAGAAGGGAAACAGAACACCTCATCCTTCCCCAATATTGTTGTTCCCTTACCCAGTGGCGTGACAAACGCATCCTTGGCTGGTTTGGCATTTTCCGTCCGTTTACCATTTCCTTTCACAGTCTTCTTTCCAAATGCCAACGGATCATTTTCATCATTCAACGGGACTTTGAAGGGCGTTTTGGGAGCTCGGGCTCCTGGGGTTTTCGGTTGCAATTGCTTGACGCCTTGATTCAGTGGTTTGGACGCGGCGACGGTCTGGTGGGCGTGCACCAGGTTCTCCTGGTCTCGGACGGCCAACATGGCGGGTGATCGATGCCAGCAAGGGTCATTCAACGTGCAAAGTCCAACTATCTCGAGTCTAGTCGCAAATCGTTCGGGTCAGAAAAGGTGAAGGAGGAGTCGTGATGCGTCCCTAGACAGGTCTAGATGCGTGCACCGTGTTTTTCGGCGGTTGCCCGTGGAGACGGGACGATCCTCTCAAGACGCATCCTTGGGTTGGGGCGATCCACCGCCTTGTGGCCGCGCCTCAGTGGCTTAAAGGAGTAAGCACAGTAGTAAGCAGCGGCTGACCGCCTCACTGCTCCTCCTGTCCTCCACTTCTTTCCCCCCCAAAACCAAACCCATCAATAATCCTCCACGTTGACAGCTTCCAACCACATCATCTCATCTGGTTTCTCGCTGAGCGAAAGCCTCCTACTGCAGCCTTTTTTCTTGCATACATATTTGAACCTCTTCGTTGCAGATAACTTTGTTTCGTCGCCCAAAATGGATAAGATTAAGGAGGTAAGTTTGTTGGCACCCCTGTTTGGCGGGGTAGCTTGAAAGCTGCCTTAAAAAACGCACATGCACACCCCCTTACGACCACCAATATATTATGCACCCGAAGGACTGGGGGATGGTTGGAGAATTGTGGAAAATAGGACCGGACCAAAACCAAGGACAAGAAGCTAATATGGGACGTCTAGAGAATGAACGCCCTCCGTCAGGAGGCCGAAATTGCCCAGGAGCAAGTGGAGGAGCTTAAGGCCAAGGTGAAGACCTTGGAGCAGGAGAACCTGTCGAAGGAGCAGGAGATCACATCTCTCACCCACCGCAACCAGCTCCTGGAGGGTGAAGTCGAGAAACTCGAGTCCTCCGTCAAGGACCACAAGGATGCTGCCAACCAGAGTGCTCAGCACGATACTCAGAACGAGTCTCTTCAGAGACGTGTGCAGCTGTTGGAAGAGGAGGCTGAAGAGGCCGATCGGAATTTGCGTGAGACAAACGAAAAGTATGATTCACATTCACTCCACAAGATTCAGTTGACTGACATTGTTTACCCTCAAGGCTCCGCCAAACCGATGTCAAGGCTGGTCACTATGAACGCAAGGTGCAGGCTCTCGAGGCGTCCCGTGACCAGTGGGAGAGCAAGTACGAGGACATGGCAAAGAAGCATGCCGAGCTAGAGAAGGATCTCCACGAGCTAGAGGTCTCCATCAGCAATGTTTAAGCCGGAATGGATACGGTCGTAGATTGACAGGACATGTTGGGTGCAGCGTTTTCCTCCCACATATTTACTTTGCACATTGCAGCCTTCTTTGTTATTATTCTCTTGGCAGGAAACAGATTTGTAATATCTCTGGTCTATGCCACCCAGCTGGCTTTATCCTTCTCATCCACCTGTCTCTGTTACATCCTCGCAACCTGTCCCTTCTTGTCTTGTGCTTAACTATATTATATCATTTGTTCAAAGGTACATAGAAGCATATTTAATCAGAGTATCCCTGTGGTACTGAACTTGAAACTAAATGGTATCCTCAGAATGGATGGATGTGACAGTAGAATAAACATGGTATCATCGCTCGCGTCGGGCATCCGCCTTCCTCTTCTTCGACATGCGCTGTTTCGTCCTAGTGAGCTGACGCTCTTCCTTGCTCTCGTATCGGAACTTCTTTTTCTTCTTCTTGGGTTTGTCGGTCTTTGGAGGTTTCTTCTTCTCCGCCACAGCATTTGATTTGGTATCAACCTCGGGCGATTCTTTTGCTTGATCCTCTTCTTCCTCCGAATCGTCATTTTTTGCCGACCGAAGCAAGCCCTCTCTGGATGGGTCCATCTCCTCTACTGTGACGGTGGTATATTTGTCTTCGTCGATGTATTCGGCTTCGTAGTCCACGGCCGGAGGTTCTGTGAACCCTTCCCATTCTTGGTCTTCACCTCCATCGCCGTCACCACCAGCATTGGAATCATCGCTATCATCGTCGCTGTCATTATTCATTCTTCTGAGTTGTTTCTGATGTTGCTCAATTGCCTGTTGAAATTCCGCGGCTCGCTCTTCACGCATCTGTATACCATTAAAGGTTATTTAATGCTCTTTCTTCCCGAGATAGACCTATTGAAGGGCTCGCAAACCTTTCGCCTTTCCTCTCTCTTGTCCTCCTTTGCCCTTTTGATTGCATAATCTTGTGCATGCTTCGCTCGTTGTACTTTGCGCTTATGAAAGCCTGTGAGGAATTCATGGCGGGCGGCGGGGTCGAAATTAACCTCTTCGACAGAACTGGCTACCTTTCTTCTCTTTGCTCCTGGGCCCATATTGTAAGACTGTGTTGCTGTATTTCTTCAATCGTAGTTCCAATGAACGTTTGGTGGAATTGGGGGTTCGGACTTCTGATGGAAGAGAAGAAAAAAAAAGTACATACAGAGCTTAGCCCCGGTCGGCGATTGGCTCGACCGCCTCCGAGCCGGCGGTCCATCTACCTGGCTCAAACATCATTGCCCCCGTCTAGCTAGACAAGCAAGCACTGCGCTGGTCGGACAGCTTCATTCTACCATCACCATGCATCTGAGCGGTTTCTCGCTGCTCGCTCTTGGAGCAGCAACAGTCAACGCTTTCCGGGATACATCACCCTTTTTCCTTGCATCCACTTCTGAGTACGTTCGGACCGGCCCCTTCAGTACTTCAACGGTGTTGGTGAACTAGACTAACGTGCTCATTTAGGATCCTCGCTACTCCAGCAAGCATTAAGACCGCCACCTCATTACTGGACGACCTGTCTTCAACCCTCAGCACTTGCCCGTCCGACTACTATGTGGTCGCTTTCCAGCCCGGCGTGCACAGCACGGATTTCGCTACCAGCCACTCCGCTCCCCGCCTCGGTGCGAAGATGACGGGACAGGACAAGGCAATCCGGTCGAGTGCGATAGTCCATGAAGTCGCAGGCATGTTGGATGCGAAACAGGTCCAGAGCATGATTGAGAAGAGTTGCGGGGCGGGCTCCACTGTCGTTGACGGCGCCTGTGAGTTGGTTCTTATCCGATAAAGAGGAGAAAGAATGACTGGCTAACACATTTCGTACAGCTGGCTCCTACCCTTCATCATTTGGCGAAGAGCCTCAAGTTATTGCCGTCAACTTTCCCATTCTCTCTTTGGGATCTGACCGGGCACAGCAACTTTCCGACAACGGTTCGTGGCTGTGTTACATCGAAGTCAATTCTAGAAACTATACTAACTGTCAATAGATGGCCTTCTTGCCGATATCGTTGACCGAATCCCGTCGTCAAAGAAATACACTATTCTCTACGTGACCTCGCCGAGAGAATTCCAGGACTCCGAGTCTCCTGTCTACCATTCTGACGACAACACCTACCAAGACCCTGTCCACATGGAGTTGAAACGTGACTACTCGGCCCACGGCTACCGAGTCGACTCTGCTTCCAACAAATCTCTTTTCCAAGAATACCAGTATTTTACACCAGGTTTGCTTGCCCTATCGTGGACAAATATCTCGGCACACCGTCTCTAACTACGTATAGGCATTTTCATGGGACTCATTGCCTCCTTCTTCTTCGTGGCTGTCCTGTACGTTGGATTCAGCGCTCTTACTAGCCTACAGGTCCCTTATGCTGCTTTTGAGAAAGACACCTCGCCCAATGCGCAGAAGAAGCAGCAGTAATTGATTGTCATAGTTTTGTTTATTGAATATACAACTGTTGTTCCTGGATTGCTATATTGATGATTATTGTTATACTGGGTGGAATCCCACATTGTATGATATGATAAACCTCCATATCTAAAGCTGTTTTAGATAAAGCGACAGTGCAGAGCCAATCTGTCACATGAATCGACGTTATGCATCTCAATATGAATTTTTAATAGTCTGCGAAGCCTGGCGTTTCAGATTGTAGTCCACCAGCTCGAGGTCGACAATGTTCTGATAGATGCTTACCTTCCGTATTCCATGTATACCATTAAGCTATTTTATAATAAATCTAGCAGCAGAGTAAGATAGAAGGAAATAGAAAAGGGAATTGAACAAGATCACAAGACCAGCATTGATATCACATGATGGACTCCGCCTCCACCGTGTTTCAGCCTGAGGCACCCAGGGCCAGGCACGGGGCAACCAGCGAGATCAATTTAGCAACCGTCTTCCAGCACACAGGGCTTTTTTTTATCGATTCTTCGAGTTTGGGACGACAGTTTGGGGCTCTGCAGTCTCGATCTTTCGTATTCAGATCTCATTCGTTCTCGAATATCGATCATCGTCATCACAACTCTCGTTGCTTATTGACCCACTCTCTGTTTTGGGCTGAGATCATTGATCTCATATCGCAAACACACCGCTAGAGACTGGGCAAGCACGCATGTTTAACATCAACTATTGGATATAGACGGACTTTTTTGTCTTTTCTTTTTTCCCCTCATCAAGCTATTCAACTATACGAGTACAATTATCTCCGAGATTGTTGGAAACTTGGAATTGATATTGCGAATCGTCAAAAAAGATCCTTTGCCTCCAGTGGACCCTGGTGCGACTACAGCGATGATATTTATACCGATTGGGCGTAAAACGGTCCATAAGCCCTCTTTGATGCTGCTATTGGTTCTCACGCTTCTTGCGATAGTTCAAATATCAGTTGCCCAGGATACTGCCACGGCGACAGACGGTGCTACCTCTGCCACTGATGCAACTGCTACCGATACAACAGCGGCAACGACCGCTCAAACCACCGACACATCAGCGACATCAACAGATACTTCGACGACATCATCATCTACTTCTTCCTCCTCAACCTCATCATCTACGACCAGCTATCCCGTGGTAACCGTCCCGCCGACTGCCGATGCACCGTACATGCAAAAATCGAGTACCCCCGAAGGAACGCTCTTCATCGCAGTGGGTGCAGTGCTTGGGTTCATTGGGCTTGCGTTGCTAGCATGGCGTGGACTTGTTGCATGGTCCGTGAACCGCTCCGTCCGCCAGGCTGCTCTGGTGCACTCCTCCGAGACAAAGGGACTGCTTCGCTCCAAGAAGAGGAGGTCGACAGTATACTCCCAGCGACCACCTGCACCTGTTTCTCTCGAAAAAATGGGAAGTAGCAATCGCACCACCTACAAACCTCCCGCCAAGGCAGCCAAAGTTCCTAGTTCAAATAGCGGCTTGTTCTTTTCTCCGACTGCAGGAGCTGGTATGCACGGTACCGGCAATAGAGGCTCGACATATCTTCCTGCTGGATATTACGCTGCTTCCACAGCCGGCCAGAATGCGCAGTACAACTCGCAAGGATATACCCGCACCAGAACAGCACCTAGTCCGCCTGGCTCGCCTACTCTGCCGCCTACTGGCCTTTACGACACGAACTATCACAATCGCCAGTCGTCGACTAGTAGTTTGAATCTCACCTCTCCTCCGCAAGGACGAGCGCCCAGCGCATATCTCGAGGATCTGTTTGAGAGTCACGCTCCAAAACCAGATCGAAACCACAGATGATGGTGATAAGATGCTACGAAGACTTACGCGATTTTTAACGTTATCTACGCCAACTGAGCATTTCTCACTTCAGCGCTGATTTCTTTTTTTCTATCTGATTGATTTCATTTTATGTATGTCATGTTGCAGGCGCATTCCCACGATTTACGTTATGATATATTTCCAATTCTTATTTGGCTTCGATGAGCTTGACATTCTGGCAACAGAATCCATCGACGGATAATAGAGTATTCTTCATTATCTCCATATGTTATATCTTTTTTGGATGGTTTCATTGCCATATTGTCCATAGCCCTTGTTAATACGCCCCTCCCGTGTTCTTAGATAGCAAAAGACTAATGGCGAAGGAAAGATAAAAAGCAAAAAGCAAAAACAAAGACAGCTCTTTATGTGCAAAACGCAGCCCCGCCACGCTCTGGCTCATATGCAAATGACGCAGTGTAGATACAGTACAAAACAAATCAGCCAAAATTTTCAAAACAGGTATATAGAACACATCATCGATAGGGTGTAATGAACAGTAGCAGAATACAAACAGTGAAGAAAAAGAACGAAAAGCAACATACGTGGACCACACACGTTGGGTTTGTAATCATGTCAAGTATAAAAACAGAGAACTGATCGAAAACATTGAACAGACATGGACCTCTTTTGTTTAGTCCGCATCCAGTTTGCCGTTGAGCTCGCCGAGGAGAATATCGTGGGGGGCCGGACCACGGGTATTTCGAACTATAGTAGATACACGTCAGCACTATACAGATGCTCAAGCCAAAGTGACCGAAAATTTACCCCATTCCGTCTCAACTCGGAAGAAGATCCACATCCATCGCCGCGCAACTTCAAGAGACATGAGGATAAAAATGCCACTCTCTCGCTCAGTCAGCCAAACAAGACTTGGTACAAACTTGGATAGCCACGAGAAACGAAGAACTAGGTCAACAAGGACGGCAACGTAGTATATTCGATCTGAAGAAAAGTATCGGATACGACGCAAGCCATAAGGGTGATCTTTATCACCCCGGGAGGATGTGAAGAAAGTCAAATCCCAATCCTTGGTAAGGTCCCAGTAGAAAGTGTAGGTAGAGTTGATTAAGGTAAAGATGACCCTGATTATGTTAGCCAAAAAAAAAAAAAAAAACCTCTTTTATGTAAAATCAAACCGCAAAACATACAGTAACTGGCCTAGAGTCATCTCACTGAACCCATAGAAGTCCAGAGGGTTGTAGTTTCTCATTTTGGCCGAGAGGATTATGACCGGGAATGCCGTAGCATATTTCAGGGCGTTGGCCAAGTGCTGGCCGCCCCCTTTGGAACCTGTTCGGCGAACACGAAAGTACTCAATCAGACACTGTCGAAGTCGGATGATACTAGGCGTAGCGACGATGAGTGGCACGACGTAATCGTTGCCGCAGTGGCGGTTCGGCTTGGATGTGCTCGAGATGCCTGGGGCGAAAAACATGCAGAACGAGACATAGACATCTCCCAAGACTTTGGCGTAACTCGTCAATGCATCCGCGAGCAAAACATCTCCAAACTTGCCATCTTGTGCCTCCGCCAGTCCACCAACACTAACACGTTTCAACGAGGAGAGGAATCGGCGGCGTCCTGAGCGCGACAGACGATTGAACGGCCAGATGATAATGACCAGGAAGATGATGAGGTATGATTGTGGGATAAAGTCCACCGATTCCACACGTTCATAAGAGCCATGGGTGACGACCCAGAAGACGAGGAGGGATATCAGGAGGGGGATGGTCAAGAGGGTCGCTAGGCGGTACGCAGAAGAATGATGCGGTCGTTGGTTCGGAGATTGACGTGCAGGATATCGGATTAGAGCAGGAACATCCTGCAAAATTGTTAGTGACGATGATGGATCATAATCCGAATGTAGAGAGTGGGCAACCCACAATTTTTGCTTTGCGCAGATAATCAAGATTAACCCCCCAACCCCAGAAACCTAATCACCCCAAAAAGTCAATAGGAGGTTAAAAAAAAAAAAAAGACGAGGAGATAGATAGCCGATCATCTATCGGCACATTCCATACCGGCAACTAAGATAACCGCTATCCTATAGGGAAAGGGGAGGACGAGACTGAAGTCATCCAATTGAGCATGCTGATCAGGGCCCATATTCCATTGGAATCTACCAGAGACAGACGGAATATAGTAATTGAAAGCGGAGGAGAAGAAAGGAGAAAAGACGTAAGAAAAAGGGAATTAAAAAAGAGAACAAGAAACAAAAAGTCAAGTCCACAGAAGGGCAAACGAGTGACTAGGGGTGAGAGTCGTGCAGACCAAAAACCAGCGTCCTTTTTTCATTAATCGAAGTGGATGAAGCTCAGGGTCGGTTTCAGCTCTCGATGTGCCTTTCGGCCTGGAACTGGCGGACGCCGGCCGCTAGCCCGCATGCAGCCTAGCGCCTTTCCATTTTTGGGACCGGTGATCACACGTGATTTGGGGTAACGTGATTGGGTCACGTGGGAAAGGACCGAGGCATCTCCGCATCTTCTGGGGCATCTCGGGTAGTCATGATGATGGCGACGGCGATGATAACGATTATGATGACAGTCTGAACGGTCTTGACACTGTGACAATTACCTCGACCCCCCCTCGCCGTGTACTACATATGAAAATCGTTCGAAATGGCCGACAATGACCTCCAGCTCCCCCTCTCCTCTCCAAGTCCCTCCGCTCTCTTCTACCCTTTCGCGACATCTCCGGATATCATTCGTTCCCATGAGAAAGACATCTTCCTCACCGGCAGTCTGATAAATCAGGCCCAATCCATTACCCGTGCTCTTCGTGGAGCTCGTTTTGCCCATACACACACCGATGCTATCAAGCATGTGACGGAGATTCTCTATTTCTCCCTGACCACCTTGATCGGCAACCGAACATTAGGGGAGGAATATTGTGATCTCGTTCAGCTCGAGGATGATACACTTCAGCTACCGTCCATCTCCCGAAGAGTGGGATATATTCTGAGCACCATCCTGGTGCCCTGGGCTCTGCAGAAGATCTTGCCCGCTTTTCGACATCGGCTGCGTGCCAAATTGGAACGCAGCATCGCCCGGCAACAGCTCAAAGCCCAGCAGCAGGCTTTGAATGTGCCGAAATTCCCCAAAAAGAAACCAGAGAATAAACAGCCCCTCTTCACCAAACTGCGCATTCAGAAGTATATCCTAGAGCACCTGGATTCTATCACATCCGTCTCCCCGGTTTACGCGCTCAGCATCGCAACCTTCTACTTCACCGGCTCGTACTATCACCTCGCTAAACGATTCTGGGGCCTGCGATACGTCTTCACAAAGAAGTTGGAAGAGAATGAACAACGGATAGGCTATGAGGTCCTGGGAGTCCTCCTGGTTCTGCAGATTGCCGTGCAGGGAATACTCCACGTCCAGAAGGTCGGAGTGAGCATACAGCAGGAGGATGAGCAGGCAATTGAATCCGAGACCACAGGACCAAAGCGTGATGAAGATGCTCTGATCACATCTATTGAACACCCTTCAAACATCCCTCTTCTCCCGGCATCTAGTGCTCGATATGATCTTGAACAAGACTCCAACGCCCTCCCCTGGATTCCCACAGAACAACAGCGCAAATGTACCCTTTGCCTTGAATCGTTCAAGGACCCGAGTGTCACAACATGCGGTCATGTTTTCTGCTGGATCTGTGTTCGTGACTGGGTGCGTGAAAAACCAGAATGTCCTCTCTGTCGGCAAGAGGTTCTTTTGTCCAAGGTCCTGCCGCTCAGAGGTTAGCCTGTCTGCTGACCGGAAGCATTTCCCAAACTCTCTGGCTTATGCCTCTTTTACATTGACATCCGACAATGTAAACATTTTCAATTGCTCTTCTTGGATTCAACTTGATACCTATACCCCTTTCAGTGGATCAAGGACCAACTACAACTGGTTCATGGCCCATCACTACTGTGACAAGCTCAATGACTTATATTCTTTACCTCCTGGCATGTCTATTTTGCATCGTGTATATATGAAATCCTGGGATTATGTTCAGAGGGGGGGGCCCATATTTACACTGTATACATACAATGATCTCATTTAACCAACGCCTTGGATGCAAAAGCTTTGGTGCATAAAACAGTAAATAACGAATAAATGTGCAAAACGCTAGATTTCAACATTTACCAGAGTTCCTCAACCGTAACATGAAATAATTCGTTTAAGCGCGCTCGCTGACGATTTCCGAAGTCACGGTTGTTTCGACAACTTCCACTTCCTTGGATTCCTCCACAACTACCGCTTCTGCCAGGCGGATTGGAAGGCCTAACTCGGCGAAAGCTGGTCGAGGAGGCACAGGGTCTAATGCCTCCCGCTTGGCATCCATTGTATGGAACAGGCATAAACCTGCATATGGATCTGTTGCAGCATCTGTACAGGTTATGTATTAGCTTCTTTGCCCTCAATCTGGAAAGAGAAGAGGTACTCACATTGAACTTGACGATAGTTCAATGACCGGGTCCAATCGCTGCATCGTACGTCGTTGTCCTTTTCCAATGGTAGCCCGAAATGGTGCTCAACCTGCTCGCTCAGATTAACAGCCCGTTTGTTGATTAACTTAGGACTTGTTTGGCAGTATTTGACCAATTTGAATAGATGGCTGAGCTCGAAAATGCTACGGGCAGTAATGCCGAGGTATTTCTGTAATCGAGTGCAGTCCGCCTTGATTGACACGCCAACTTTTGTGATATCTGGAGACTCGAGAACCCGTTTCAGTGAAGGCGAAACGAGGTCTTGAACATTTCTCGCCGGGTGGAAAAGGGCGATCTGGAAGAGGGCAATGCGGTCTTTGTTTGCAATTTGAATCAGCGAGACATTGTCTTGAATCCCGTCTGTACTTGATGCCTGAGCCTTCCATTCCATGTCAAACCCGATTATCTCATCCTGAAGGAAAAGTTTTGCCACCTCTTCTGTGTTTCTTAGAGACTTGCAGTAATGCACAACAATAGCCTTTTCATTCGAGCCTTTATGCAACCGGTGACTCCAAAACTTCGGCGTTGCTGGGTCCAGAGAGGGTGCTTGTTGTGAAGACATATGCGGCGTTGCTGCCAGCTTTTTCGTCAAGATAGGCGTTTGGTTGGCTTCATCTCCTTGTTTAATTGAATTTTCATATTCGCGACTTTGCACATCATCCTTGCCATCTTCATTATGCCCAGCATTTGACCGTATTGACGCAACAGTGCTGTAAGGCTTGCTTGTCTGTCCAACAGTATGATTCTTTTTATTTTTCCTAACAGATACTGCGCCTGCCCGCAAGGGAATAGTTTTAGAGCCTGGAGCCTTTCTTATGGAATTTGGGTCCGTTGACTTTCCAGATGAGGTTTCCTTAAGCTTGTGTTGAGCAGCTGTCTGTGCCCTGGGCTTTTCACCAACAGGCGCCACTTTTGGCCGTACTAACTTAGGATTGTCCGGCCCAAGACCTGGCTTGGCTTTTGTCTTTATCAAGATTGCAGGGAAACTTTTCTTGACCAAGCGCCAAAGACTTGCCCGCTTTTTGCGAATACTCTTAGCGCTCTCTTGAAGGTTCTCAGCAATGCTCTCTTGAGGGTTCCCAGCGATGCTCTCTAGGTCTTCAGTAGGCTCTGTTGGCCCAATTTCAGCTGATCCCATGATGGGAATACCAAAAGCATCAAGCTCCAGCTTGTTTGCGCGGGTTTTATTGTCGACTGCAAGTCTTCTTTCCACCTTCCTCCAATACTCAGGAGGAGCTCTGATGGCGCTCGTCAGGACCCATGATGCCCAGAGATGAGTGTCCATATTCTCGGCCCATTCAAGGAAACGACCACGACTCTGACTTAATGGCTTGCGTACAGTGAAAACTCCCTTTTCTCTGTTCATATCCGGTACCCCCAATGTGTGGAGTTTATCTTCCAGCTGAAGTCGTATCCAATTGACAGCCATGAATTCTTGGTATTGTTGCATCAACTCGGTGCGATGAGAATTGAAATCCCTAAACAATGTTTTCATACCAGTCACATGGTGTACAAGACCTTCAGTACTATTCCTCGCCCAGAGCCCATTTCGATCTTGAATCGTTCTCATCATTGAATCTAACAGGTACATCATCTCATGACGCATTGTGACTCCGGAAGCCCAAGCAATCTCGAATGGTGCGAGCACATCCAATTGTCGCCAATGTATATCTAATTCAGGGCTGCGTGGAGAACGGGTCTTTGAAGACTTCGGGATATAGAAATCTCGCAAAGTCTTTGTAAGGTCAAATAATTCTCGTGGATGGCATTCGGAAATCATTTTGCCAGTTCGGCAAGCTTTAAGGTAAGTGTCTAGAATATCGACGGTTCCAGGCACATCTCGATAGTTAGAAGCCAAGAAATGCAAAGACCACGCATCTGAAAGTGGATTTTGATGCCTCTTTCTGAGCGCATAAACTCGACGAAAGCGATGTGAATATTCTGCGAAGTCTTTCGCGATGATGCCAGTGCTCTTGTGGTAATACATGAAGAAATCATAAGAACCTCTAGGGAACCCTTCATCCGTTGAAAGATTTCGGAGCATCGAACGTATTCCAATTAAACCACCACTTACTTTATTACAGGCTTTTCGCAATTCGGCATATTCATCGTTCATGTCATAGAAAGGTTTTAGCATTGTATCGATATTTCGCCTTGCAGATATTAGAGGACCGGCGATTTGTTCAAATTCACCAACAATTTGTGAGAATGATTCGTCCAAAGCTTCCGACCGCAGCACAAGATGTGCTATTCGTAGCCCATCCTCTATTTGGCGAAACTCTTGGACAAACTTGGGAATGGACTTGGCAATTCGAGAAACATCAGACCGCAGCTTTGGAAGCGCTGCAAATCTTATTCTGCAATATTCTTGTTCCAACAATTCGTTCACGGTGGCGCATCGCGATAATTTAGCCTCGAATCCCACATACTTCAGATGCAAATATTCGGATACCGAACCGTTGATGGAGGGTAGAGAGGAAACGTTCAGCTCTAACTGGTTTATTTCCTGGTTGATCTTCTTAATTTTCAGCGCAACTTGCTCTTTTGAGAGCACGGGTTTGACCCCTGCGTGTTGATTAAATCGGGATGCTGCAGCTCTTTGTCGAGCCAGCGAGGTTTTCCCCGGTAAGCCCCCCTTTCCTGTTGTTGCCCCAAGTTCCCGATTTCGAAGTAATGAATTCAAATTGTGGCCCTTGTGTCCATGGCCATCAGCTCCTTCGATGTCGTCCAAATCCTCGGTGTCATCCAAAAGAATCTGTGTCCGAGCGGAGGCACTAAATGGGCGGTTCGATTTCGAGGTGCAAGGTTTACAGCGTCCGGATGGGGCATATGAGAAACAGCTAGAGACTGGCGTGCAGGGACAGACATAGCGGTTACTTCGATTAAGAATTGTTAGCGAATTGGTAAGGCGACGAAGACAAAAACCAACCTGAACCTTCGCAAGCTATACAGAGATTTCGAATAATCCGATGCAATTGCATACGAGCGACCAGACTGTGCTGCACCCAAGGACGGGCGTTGCAAGCCCAGTGAAAGGCTCCGTTGAGTTCTCATAGTTCAAGGCAACCATACTGAATGGATGGAGCGGGGTAATTGACACCAGTATGTCAATTTCTGGGGGAAAGAGTGTATTTTGTAGGTGTATCGATCTGACTCTGTCAGAGAAAACCCAAGTATCTGCAAAAAGAAGTCATGATAATGATCAATACGGCTTTCGCTCCGTGCGGAGTAAGGTACATCTTCGGAGAACAAAGAAGCAACGGTCCACGTGACGTCGAACAAGCCGAGCGGGTCGGATAAACCTCCGCTCCAGCTTTGCTCGCCAAGATGGCTGGATGGGACAATCGTCCAACGGCTTCATTTTCTATATGCTTCAATAAAGGAGGCTCTTATTTCAGCTAGATCCCAGTCCGGTTTCAAGAGTCCGATCTGATAAGCAGTATACGTGGGTTGTTCAGCTACTCATCTAAAGCACAATGGCATCGCAACTTCTGCCCCTCGGTTAGTGTCGTCATTCGTCTACGCAGGTTGAATGGTGCTAATCAGCGCAACAGAACTGATCGACAAGTGTGTCGGATCCAGAATTTGGGTCATCATGAAGGGTGACAAAGGTTGGACATGCTGTGTATGCAAATGACAGTCAACCATATACTGACCCGCACACAGAATTCTCTGGGACACTGCTCGGATTTGATGACTACGTCAGTAAGTTGCTTCGTTCCTATGGTAAAATCGCGGATATATGCTAATGTGCTCTAGACATGGTTATGGAGGATGTGACTGAATTGTACGTGCAGTTTTGCCTCTGGCTCACCTTGTTTTATTTTTGCCCTATAAGCATATATTTTCGCGTTTCTTCTCGATTAACAGATTCCAGTGATTATTCCGGCTCCCAAGTCAAGCTGCCTAAGATCTTGCTCAACGGAAACAATATATGCATGGTATGGGCAATTGCCATCTCCTATGTGTGCCTGGCTCTAACATTACTACAGTTGATCCCTGGTGGGGAAGGTCCTGGTGGCAGTGAATAAAACTCACGATATCCCATTTTCTTTGCTAGCTATGACGAAAAAAAAAATTCTGCGAACGATGATGAAACGATATCACATAGAAACCATCTAATGCCAAACCAATTGCATTTCTTTTCTTTTTCTTTTTATTTGTTGTGGGGTGGCTCTTTTGTTTTGGCGATATTGACATTTCGTGTTGTCAAGAATTGGCTAAATTCTTGTGGCTGATATGCGCAAAAGCTTTTACTCCAACAATCGACTCAGATACCAAAAATGCCAGAAGACAAACATCAAAATTGAGGCTTAGTTCCACGACTGGTTATTATAACGTAATATTGTTAGATGGGCTGGTCGAAGGATCACTGCAATTTCTTTGACTATGACTTTATTTGGCTACAACCAAGATATCGATCAGCAGAGAAAATAAAGACAAAGGGACTGTCTAAATAAGTGGAAATGCGATATTATAATAATCAGTAAACGATTCAAACCCGCCTAGTCATTATATTGAATATTTTCACACCAGTCAGACGCTGCAATCAGCCTTATCCTCTGCATTAAAGCATACTAAGACTCGACACTAAGCAAAGCGGCTGAAAATCCGGGGTACTTGGTATCTGACCACGACCAAAACATCATAGACGACATCAGACACCTCCAATCTAATAATATGGCTGCCTTGAATAAACCCTGTCTACCTAGCTCGTCCCGGACCGGTGATAGCCCCTTTTCCCAGCCACATCCAAGAAAGAAAGGGGACAATAATATGACCAAGATGCCAATCATGAAATCACAGCCAAATGCACCCCAGAGTGCAGGGCAGAAAGATGATCAAGTGTGGAATCTGTTACATAATGGTTTCCCCGCGTTTTGTCGTAGTTTCAATAACTCTAACTTTCTTTTGATTGCTGGCGCTTTTTCTCTGCGGTGGAGAGAATCGCGGATTGCGGGGTTTAGGCATTGCACGAGAGATGAATGTTGCTGCTTTGTGTCACGCCAGATGTAAGGGCTTCCATGTGCGTTTCTTAGTTATTATTAGAAGCTAATTAGGCGGGATTGTTCGAGTTCACAAATGAAAGCAATAATGCCGAGTTGGATAAATCAGATCCAATCTATTAATTCATTAACCCGAGGCATGTCCATGTAACATCAAAGTCAGTACGGAAAGTATCCAAAGCGGTCTACACACCGCCGCCATGTGATGCTCTGCCACAGCAAACCAAGGGCCATGATTCCAGCCACGAGGCAAATACACTTTGTCCAGTTCTGGAAACCTGCCCAATCAACCGTGGTTAGGTTGGACAAGTGACCGAGCAAGATCCCTGGAATCACGATCACGGCCGATGCGATGTCACTGTGCCGTCGGACAGCAGTTCCTCGGCCAGTCAGACGGCGCGTCAAAAGTCGAGTCCTAGACAAAGAAACGGTCTGTGTGCCAGTTTTGTTTTGGCGGACTGGCGGAAACCGTGTATCCAGCAGTGGCTAACAGTGTCTCGTATTGATGATCATACGATTATTCTTACATTCTTTTTCTGGATAGTTTTGGAATACGCAATATTCTTGATTACCAAATATGCTGATATCGGGATGATAGACTGGTACAGTTGGTAAAGACAGTCTAAATGTTGGTGTTGTGATCGGCATGCGTCTTTTACCGTTGGAGTAATCTGAGGAGATGGGATCCATGCCACACAAACGGGGCCACTGTTGTACCTCCATCAATGATATCGCATCTTCATCATATACATGTCGTGGAAACAAAGTCGAAACGCACTATCAGCCTTAGAGATGCATCCTAATCCATCCCATAGATGCCTGACAGTGGAATAGAAACATGCTCGTCGTCGTCCGTCGATTGCAACATATTCGTAGCTACCCCAACGAGAAATACCCGCAAAAGAAATGAAATATATGGCCCACTTGGGATGATCAATAGTCGTATACGGAGGATGATCTGGGCGGAACCTAGAACGGTGTATAACCCCGAAATAACGCCCTGCATGAGGGAGACCGCGTTCCTAGATCGCTTTGAGATGGCGGTTCTCCCGAAATTCCATGCATTGGTCGCTCTTAGCCACCCAGTCACAGACGAGTAGGATGCGCTCCGAGCGAGTCTAAGAGTCGGACTGAGTTCAAAGAAACATTGGGAGGGAAAAACAAAGAGGCCAAAAAGAGGCAAATTTGCTTCTTGACTTGGCTTTGTGTTCTTTGGGCTTTTCCAGAAAGTGGCCAGACTTTCCCCTCTATTGCAATGGAACCGTGATGCTGATATGAGAATAGTATGATCCGTCAGGGTCTGCGACATCCAATGGCGGCCACTCCGGCAGAGATAAGGAGCGAGAGATGGCAAATCCTAGGCAAATTGGATTTCGACTTTTGACTTGTGCTTATCTCTGCTTATCTCCAAGTCCAACCCCAGCTTTATCACAGTTCGCCTGATTGGCCAATGAGGGCTGTCGCGTGGCTGCGTCAGACCCACTCCTCACGGTGGTCCCTTCCGTAAATGGCCTAGCGCGAACCTTGCCCGCGACGTCTTCAGAGTTTTGAGGCCAGAGCTTGGCCGGTGCCCCCTCTGGTCGGGCCAATCACAGCCAGCCAATGACCACCGCCTCCCGCGAACGACCACTCCCATCGAGGGCAACTGAATGGCTTTTCAAGTACGCCGTTGCCACCAGGTTACAGACAAGCCGACGGGTAGCATTTCCTTGTTCCAAGACGGGCTTACTGGAAGGGCCAAGTCGTTAGGGGCTTAGGGGGGGACTAATGGGATAATGGTGTAGGGTTGGTGATAGATGACAGCAGTCTATTATATATGCGATATTATCAACAATCAGAAACACGTTCAGGCAGATATGTAGGTATCTAGATAGAGAATGCTCGGCGCTCCACTCTGAATTCTAATCCTATGCATCCTGAACTGGCTGTTAAATTGCCCGACGGGTTGGGGGTGGAGACGGGAAGTACATACATCATGGAAGAGGTCTCCACCTTCAAGATAGCCTGCTGTGTGACATGGATGACTGCTTTTTCTATAGAATTTACCTACACAATGAGATAAATTATACATAATTTATAGCGAACAGCTCGAGTCTTATCCCTAATTCCTTTGGGCCGGTCGAGAAACCGGGCCGGGTAGGTTTGCAAAGTGACTGGCTGCATTCTGCATGGCTGTTCTCGTCCTCGCAACTTGACGGCCAGTGGCTTTATCCTCCCTCGACCCTCTGGCGAATCAACGCCCTCCATTCAGAATTAATCGCAATAGGATTATTTAATAGCCCTGGGACTTATCAGCCATTTTTCTTCCCCCGGCCAACTTAGTTACCAACTAGCTTTAGCTCTGTTCCCCCCAAACCACCGACTCCTTTCCCCTACACTCGAATCGGACATGTTTCGTATCAAGAACCCCTCTGCAGGTGAATGAGCATAAAACCACCTAATCTCGCCGGTATTTATATACCAGAGCTGGTTTCCTTTTTTCTTTCTACCTAGCTAGTAAATTCACTGCCATTTTCCAATCTTCCACCCTCCTCCACTCGAGCTCTTATCACCTCAACCTTTCCTCCCTCTCTCACCTCTACTTCTTTCCCTTTACCATTCTTTCTGTCTAGCTGGTTTAGAATAATTCGTTTCGACTCATTGGAGACGTTGATCGAGTCGTCTTCTTCGAATTCTGTCTATCCTCCCCGTTTATGCTACCGAAAACACAATCAACCCACCTCATCGGTTAAGGCTTGAGCCTACCTACCTATCCGACCATGGATAATTCGAAAACGGAAAAGGACATTATCGAGCCCCAGGCTGAGGCCACCCGCTCTGTCGATAACCCCCCTTCATACGGCGAAACAGAGGTCACCAGAGACAACATTGGTCGTCGGATATGGGACAGTTTCAAGAGAGACCCCAATGCCAGCGTGTCGCATGGAAAAGCTGGCGAGGCTGGCGAGAGCTTTGATGTTGAACACAATGCGGCGGAAAACACGGCTTCCTCGCCGCTTCAGCGTCGTCTGAAAGGCCGCCACTTGCAGATGATTGCGATCGGTGGCTCTATCGGTATGGCTTCATATATTTACGGTTGATGTTAATAGCTCGTGTGCTGACTAGGTTGCTTCATCTAGGTACTGGTCTGTTTGTTGGTTCGGGATCCGTCTTGTCCACTGGTGGTCCGGCTTCTGTTCTCATTGCGTACGCCTTGATCGGTTGCATGCTCTACTGTACCGTCCACGCACTTGGTGAAATGGCCGTTTTGTTCCCCGTTGCCGGTTCCTTCGCACACTACTCGTATCGATTCATCGACCCTGCATGGGGTTTCGCTATGGGTTGGAATTATGCTTTGCAGTGGCTTGTTGTTCTACCGCTCGAAATTGTCGCCGCCTCAATGACCATCGATTACTGGCACCCAGGCGTCTCGAATGCCGCATGGGTTGCAATCTTCTGGGCCTTGATTGTCTCGATCAACTTGTTTGGTGTCAAGGGTTACGGTGAAGCTGAATTCGTCTTTTCCCTCATCAAAGTCATTGCTGTCATTGGCTTTATGTGAGTGATATCCGACTTGAGGCCTATATTTCTCGTAATGAACCATGTCGCTAATTTTGTCCCAGTATCCTTGGTATTATCCTGAACTGCGGTGGAGGCCCGCGGGGCGGCTATATTGGTGGGAAGTACTGGCAAAGCCCTGGTGCCTTCAACAATGGTTTCAAGGGTCTTTGCAGTGTCTTTGTCAACGCCGCTTTTGCTTTTGCTGGTACTGAACTGGTTGGTCTTGCTGCAGCTGAGACTAGCAACCCCCGAAAGTCCCTTCCGACTGCCGTAAAGCAGGTGTTTTGGCGTATCACTCTCTTCTACATTGTGTCCCTCACTTTGATCGGTCTGCTCGTCCCATACGACAACGAACAGCTTCTTTCGGGATCCTCTTCCGCTGATGCTGCCGCATCCCCATTTGTGATTGCAATCCAAAACGCGGGTATCTCTGGTCTTCCCTCGGTCATGAACGTGGTCATTATGATTGCCGTTCTGTCTGTGGGTAACTCGTCTGTTTATGGCTCTTCTCGAACCCTTGCAGCTCTCGCCGAGCAAGGCCAGGCACCCAAGTTTTTGGCATACATCGATCGCAAGGGTCGCCCTATGTGGTCCATTGTTGTCGCGTCGGCCATTGGCTTGCTTTGCTTCCTGGGTGCATCTTCTAAGCAAAAGGTCGCTTTCGAATGGATGATGGCTATCTCGGGTCTTTCGTCTATTTTTACCTGGGGTTCTGTGTGTCTCGCCCACATCCGCTTCCGCCGTGCCTGGAAGGTGCAAGGTCATAGCCTGGATGAGTTGGCGTTCCGCTCCCAGCCCGGAGTTATTGGCTCGTGGATCGGGTTTGGCTTCAACTGTCTCGTCCTGGTCGCCCAATTCTGGGTTGGTTTCGCTCCTATTGGATACGCTGACATGAGCACCAGCGAACTTGTCTCTGAGTTTTTCAGTGCATACCTGGCAGCTCCTGTGGTCTTGGCCTTTTACATCCCCTACAAGATCTGGTACAAAACCCCATTCCTCCGTGCCAAGGACATGGATTTGCAGACTGGCCGCCGCGAGCTGGATATCCAGCACCTCATCGAGGAGGAAAATGCCGAAAAGGCAGCATGGCCTGTTTGGAAGAAGGTATACAAGGCTTTTTGTTAAAGACAAAGTAACCCTTTTTTTCTCTTTTCACATTTGAATTTTATTTGCCGTGTTTTATGATGAACGTTTCAAAAAGAACTCGAGTCCATAGGGGGGAGTTGCAATTCCATGTATTTATTATGCATCGGGATTGGGCAGGCTCATGCACTTTAATGACCGACTATGGATCTTAATGAAGAACCCAAATCTTAAAATAACATCTGAAATCATCGTCTCAAGATAATAATAGCCGGACTATGTAAAAGGCAATCTTCAGGAGAACTTGGCAATGGGCCGATCTTCTATGTTTATCTCCAGCCTTGGCGTGTTTGCAACCTGAAGATCCCCCGTTCGAACAGGCGTATTGCGTGTACCGAGGCTGTGGGCCGCCGTAGCCACCATACCACATCAATCTTACCACGTAAGCCCCGGGGGTATGGGAACTGGTATTTAAGCGTAATTTTTCACGGCGCACCCAAAAATAGCGATACGATGGGCCAACACGTGAGGATGAGGCGCCAACGGGCCTAGTTTCAGGTTGGTAATATTACTAGGAGCCATTGAAATGCCGGCGCCCAAGATTGAGACGGCCGCTTCTTTTGCTGGGATCTCGGCCAACAAGAAGAATCGAAAACTCCCCGTTGGACCTTTCTACCTGTCATTGATTCTTCTTCTTCTCCTTGCTGTTGTTGTTGTGTTGTTGTTGCAGAACTGCAGGACAGAAACCACCCTTTTTCCTTTTCTGTTCCCCTCCCCATCCTTCATTTGCTTTTCTATTCTCTTTCCAGTCCTTTCTTACCGCCCGTCCGGCGCTTCTGCTGCTCGCCCTGCCTGCGTCCTGTGTCTATTAGCCGCCCTCGCAGAGGTAGATCCCCCGGGGGGCCTATGCCTACTACAAGCCGATCCGTATCACAGTAGGATTCGCCAAAGGCTTGGGTCGATATAACGTTGTGAACGAGGCCGGTCGCTCATTCTTTAATATACCGGGGTTACGATTTCTCTCCCTCCTTTGACCTCGCTTGCGCGGTGTGTGGTGTACAAAGCGCCGCTCGGACTTTGCAAAGCAACTCCGGTGGCAGGCAACGCAACGAAACGCTCTCTCGCTTTCACAGCATTCCATTCCTGAAACAATCCCCCTCCCTCCGCAGTCCGCACCTACGAAAATTCCGGGCCAGTGAATCACAAAAGAAAGAAAGGAAAGAGCCTTAACGGTCAACCTCTCCCCCATTTCGAGTCAGTTTTCTGTGTGCTGTTTATATTTGGGATCGTTACGGGGTATCTTGTTTCTGTTTCCTTGTTTCATTGTTAAACCGTCACAATGGTTGGCTTTGCGGATTCGTTCTGGACACCAGATTATGCCACTGGTCTAGGGGTGCTCTATGGCAAACTCCAGCAGGGTGTGGTGGAGAATAAGCAGATCCTGACAATTGCGGGCATGCGTGCGGAAGCCGAAGATCAGTATGGGTTGAAACTTGGAGACATTGCACCGAGTGTAGATCGGATGACAACTGGATTTGCTAAGGATGATGGGGCGAGTGTGAGGAAGGTGGGTGTCTTATGTGCTAAGCTGAGTCTTATTTGAGATTGCTGACATTGAGGGGAACTTGGCAGGCATATGAGGGTGTTCGCACGGAAATGGTCGAGGCGTCTAGGAATCATCAGAAGATCGCTTCCAATATCCGGGAACTCGTTGTGTCGCCGTTTCGACGTTGGTGCGATCAGCACGAGGCTCGAATTGCAAACTCCCACGATGATCTTCAGGCCCGCATTAAGGAGCATACTAAGCAGGTGGAATTGGTCAAAAAGCTGAGGAGTCATTATTTCAACAAATGCCGTGTGGTGGAGGATCAGGAAGAGGAGAATAAGCTTGCTTTCCAGGCTCCTGAGACCAGCCCTAAGCCCAAGCCAACTCCTAAGATTGTCTTGCCGGATGAAGAGACCCCTGATGAAGAGCCGGTAGAGATTGGCGAGCGCATGTACCCTCCCGAGGAGGTTAAGAAGCTCCTGGTGCACATGCTGGAAAACATCAAGGTGGGAGAAGTCAAGGTCCCCATCATTGGAACCTACCAGAACACATCAACCGGTGCCGATATTGTCGAGTATACTCAAAAGTTCATGAATGCGAACAGCTTGACCTTGTCAGAGAACATTGGGCAAGATCTGGTCGACAATGGCTTCCTCCGTTTGGTGGGCAACATGGGCAACACATTCGCCAACAGCTCGAAGATGCGCTACCAGTGGCGTCCGAGAGTTTTCCAAATCTCTGGTATTCCCGAAAAGAAGAAGCCTCTGATGCGTGTTACCTCCATGGCCAACAGCGAGGACGGCAGCGAATCGCCCATTTCGTCTGTTTCGGAAATGTTGTCAGGCTGGAACCCTCTCAACAACCCGTATCCAAATGAGACACCGGCAGAGAAGCTGCGCAGGGAAGCACATGATGCCGATGAGCGATACAAGGCCGCTGTGCGGAGGCTTGATCAGATTCGATGCAAGCTTGAGGAGGAGGTTGTGGAGAATCTCCGCTTCATGGAACAGTGTGAGCTGGATCGTCTCAAGGCGATCAAAGCTGTTGTCCTCGACTTCTCCGGCGCAATTAGCAACGTCATTCCCAACTTGCAAAGCACCGTGGACCACATGATGCTGTACCAGGAGACAATCCAGCCTCTGGGAGATCTTAGATATCTTTTGGAAAATTACCGGACTGGCGGGTTCGTGCCTCGAGTCCAGGCTTATGAAAACTACTATGGCTCTGTTGAAGGTACGGCTTTCGTCTTGATTTTCCACTGAAATTCTATTCGCTAACCTTTGCAGATCAAAATTTTGGTGTCGACCTGGAAGCTAGAGCGCGAGCAGACCGCAAGCGAGTGCCTATCCTTGTAACTACGATTTTGACCTACCTTGACAACCGTAAGATCATCTGCCTTGAGATTGCGGTCTTCACACTGATGCTGATCGATCACAACAGGATACCCCGAACTTGAGGGCGACGAAGCACGACGTGCAATCTGGCTATTCGATGTTCCCTTGGCGGCAACGCACAGTCTTCGCAATGCGTTGAATAACAGCAAAACGGATTATCACGAAGTGTTAGAAAAATACGAGATACCCATTGTTGCAAGCGTTTTGAAATTATACCTCCTTGAATTGCCAGGTTCGTTTGAGATCAACACGGTTGGTTCATTTCAATACTAATCTTCAATCTAGATTCCCTTGTTTCTTCTCAAGTCTACGAAATTGTTAAAACCATCTATTCTACAACCGCTCATGAGACCACGGAAGAGGGACGGATCAAGGTTCTACAGAGCACACTTGGGCAACTCCGTCTCAACAATATTGCTACGCTTGATGCCATTATGACCCACTTTACACGCCTGATTGATTTAACATCTGCCGATGAAGCGTTCGTTTCTACTCTCGCCCAAGGATTGTCTCAATGCGTTCTCCGACCTCGTACGGAGAGCAGCCTCACGATGAATGAGCGTCACAGCTACCGTCTGATCCGCGACCTCTTTGCTCATAAGGATGCCATCTTTGGCGAGCTGAAGCGTCAGTCGAGTGTCCTTGGACTTTCTACGACCAGCAGCAATCGTCCTCGTGCCATCAGCACAGACGAGAGCAACCGCCGAGCGGCCATGGAGGCCCGTAACCGTGCTATTGTCGACCGCAGTCGTGCCAACAGCCCTCACCCTCCTAGAAAGCACCGTCGCGACCGCTCCAGTGGTGCATCGGAAACTAGACGATTCCCGATCAATGTCACCAGTCCGACTGAGCGACGAACCAACACAAGGAGCAGTCTGGACGTTCCCATCAACAGCGAGTCTCCAACGGGAACTGATCAGCTATCGAATGTCAACATCCATGCCGCTGAAGCTGCCACTAACGGCACATCCAGCGAGTCTCCAGTCTCTGCTGTTGAGAGTGTAAGTGTCTCATCGGGTGCATCTAGCCCACCGCCAGTGGCCACTACATCAGAGGGCTCTCCTACCCCCACGCCTACACCGGCTGCTGTTTCTGGTACTGCGGACAGCGGGAAGCGCAGCTCCATTTCTCGCCCTACTGCCCGTTATAACCGCAAGCCTGGCCTCGGTAGCATCTCCAGCTTCTCGGGTGTCGCTGGCGGAGCTGAAACAAACAGCAACCGGAACAGTCTGGCAGAAAGTGAGCCAAAAGGTGTGACATTGGAAGACAAGCCAATGGATGATGATTAAACGGCTTGACCAAAATGTCCTTTTTCAACGTCGACATGGTTTGACCGGAATCAAACCAAAATAAAAATTCAACAAGAATATACACGCACATGTGCATCCATTTCTGTGTTTCCAGAGCAGGAATGTTGTATGTTTTGTACCTCGCAAACAACTTTCAGCAGGCCTTGTTAGTTGAAAGGGTTGGTGATGAGTGGCGCGAGCCCTATCATCTTATCTTTTTTACCCCCCCCCCCCCCATACCCGATTTTCATATATCCTTTCTTCTCTTTTGTATGCATAGTCTGTTCTTACATGTTGTTCCCTACTGTTTATATCTTTGATTCCATTCAAAGCGACTTGATGGGGGTTTCTTTCTTTTGTTCTTGTTTTCGACTGTACAGCATCTCAACTTATTATGAGTTCCTTGGAATATGATAGATTCGCCATGAATGAATGGCCTTTTGTTCATTTTGTTATACATTCATTGATTTCGATTTCACTTTGCTGTAATCATGTCCTTCAAAACACTATGTTGCGCCCGTATCCAATGCTCGAGTAACGCTAGACACCAAACAAAAAACTCACATGGACAAACGCCGTACTTGATCGCTGTTTAAATCCATCCTTGAATGATTTCCAAACTCCACAAATAATGCTGTACGCTTTCAAAAACAAGGTCCCAATAGTATCAGAGTCCTTGGCCCTGAAGCAATCTTCTCAAGATACCTTCCCCTGGGCCTGCGATTTGACTCTCGATCTCCTTCTGTGTAACAAAGCAAACAAGGCCCTGTTCATCCATGCCTTTTCTCGGCGTCAATGGTCCATTACTGGACTTCGAGGGGGTGCGTCTTATATCTGAGCCACCAGCAACAGTGCCTCCTCGACCACGACCCAGAAATTCACCCACTAGGCCCATAGTCTCCAAGTTGCTGACGACATCTTTGAATTCGGTGGCTGTGAGAGGATGTAGGATATTGTCATTTCGACATAGGGCGCAGTAGGTGTCAAAAACTTGCTTGATAGTTGGTGCCGAATTTTTGGTCTTTGACGGCGTAGCCGGCACTTCACCCTCGCGGCGTTTTCTGTCGAGAGCGATCAAAGCACAGATGGCTGCTTTCTGTTGAAGATTAATGCCCTGAAGTCGTTGAACAGTGCCTTGTCCGAAGGCAGACGAAGTAATTCGTGCTACATGTGCAATACTGGCTCGTGGCGCGGTCACGGCTGTATATGTCGACGTAGAATTCTGCTTCGACGCTGGATTTTTGGCAGACGAAAGATTGTTGTTCTCCACCAATATGGTTTTAGAAGGGCTTGTCGGATCTGCGTTCTGTTTCTCCAATTTCTGTAGTATCTCGTGCTCGATGAGATCGATGGCGCGTTTGACGAGCTCGAAGGCTTTTCGTAAATCACCTGTCTGCGACGCTACCTTTTTCGAACAAAGCTGTATTGCCGCGGGTTGGATAAACGGAACAAAATTAGCTTCCACGTCTTGGTCGGAAGGGAGTAACGACCGGAGACGATTTGTGATCACAGTTGCGATTTGGCTAGCATTGTATGGTAGAAATGGAAGTAGACGGGGCTTCAAGTTCTTCGCCTTTAAACGTGGCAGGGATCGATCTGTCAGGTCGAGAGCATTGGCAATTCCGATAAGCATGAGGCTTGACTTGCTGTGTAGCGACCACTCGAACAACGACTGGAGGACTTCAGCATCTGAAGTGAGAAGATGATCTATTTCATCGAGAGTGACCAAGAAAAAATCATCGGTTTTCTCGTCTGGAATGAACATTGCCTTCAATCGATCTGCCTCGCTCTTTTTGAAAACTTGGGTGTCGTCGCAAAGATCCTCGATCAATTTGCTGTATACGTCTCGCGCACTCCGCATGCTCGCGCAGTTGACATGTGTGGCCTTGACAGATTTGAGGTCCATATCACGACACACCTCCTCGACCAATGCACTTTTCCCGGTACCCGGAGGTCCACTGACATACAAGCAGTTTCCTTCGCGTAATTGCACGCCATCTTCGATAAATGAAGCCAGCTTTTCCCTTTCTGTATCACGGCCGACTAAGCGACGGGAGTTTGCGCCACGCGCGAATAACTGCCTGGCTTGGGTGTATACCGTTTGTGTTGTGGTCGGGGTTGAGATTTGTCGAGGGGTGCGCGGAGTTAAAGACACCCCTCCAACCTGTACTCTGTGCTTCGGGGTAGTTGGAGGAGAATCCAGGGCATCTCGAAATCGGGACTTTGAAGGGGTCTTGAATTCAACAGGCTTTGTGTTTTCATCTATACACATAAATCAGCCAAGACTCAACACTATTATCCCTTCAGACCTTACCATTCACTGATTTGGAAGTCCGGAAATGACCATTTATCTTAGTGGGAGATATGGGTTGCTCATCCCGAACGGTGTGTTTCGAGCGTCCGTTCTCGGCCGGAGGACTCTTGACGTTGCCATCATTCTCTTGCTCGATCGAACTGCTGTTTCTTGTCCTTGACCGGAGTTGACGTGTGGAAGGTACAGGCGGCTGGTCCTCTTGCTTGAGGATGCGAGGTTTTTGCACTCGGCGCTTGCTCGAAGTTCGGACAGGTAGTGCTGAAGTCAAGAGCGAGTCAGCGAGATGGATAAAAACTGGGAAGCAACAACCATACCTTCTGCTTCAATTGCACCACGTTGACGCTTGCCTAGAGCCGTGGCTGCCATTACGATACGTAGACCTGAATGAGATTCTCTGTGGCAAGAACGACGTGGAGGAAGGGGGATGCCACTGCCTTTAGTTATGTTGAAAGTATCACGATGTACCTGGCTCTATCCCAACGCGGCTTAATTAATTCCTTTTTAGTCGCGACGCCGCCCGGCGCGTCTGCAAATTCCGCGTCGCGTGTTCATCTTGCCGGAACAGGCAGGTCACGCGGGGATCGAGTGGGCGCCAAATATGGGCAGCCACAGCACCAGTTGTGCATTTTCCAATAACTGCACTGTATGATCCTATGAGCCGCCGTATGGGGCCCGTATGCAACCAGTAATGATACGTTATATTACCACCTGCCATACCGCTGGATTACACACGGAGAATCTGATTATCCCACCCAATCCATGACAAGTGCGTCACTGCTGCCGGATGATCACAATAGACTCTTTCTAGCTATCGAAATACTTTATAAGCGCCCACTTCGACTGTATCAAGGTCCTTCGGACTCGACCTTGCTTGTTCTTCATTTTATAGCGATCTAATCCATCAGTTATCTCGCTGCCAGCTTTCTCTTTTCGCAACAGCCTTGTACTCGCGGTTTGCAGCTGTTTGCATCATCTCTGGAGGATTCGCTATTTGCAATAATACCTAATCGCCCACACAGTGTACTAGCATCCCACTTTACCTATCCTTCACTTTTTCAAACCAGGAAGCCTTTACCACATTGCCCACCATGGATGGCGATGTAGTAGCTCAGTTTACTGAAATCACCGGCTCCAAACCGGAGCTGGCAACTCAGTATCTACAACTGACCGATTTCAATATTGAGCAAGCAATGCAGCTTTACTTTGAGAACGGCGGCGCACCTCTAACTGAAGAACCTTTGCCGTCGACTTCTGCATCCCAGGGTGGCCCCCGCACAAGGGGATATGAGGACCAGTCGGGGGTTGTCCACGTCGATTCCGATGACGATGTCGCCATTGACGAAGCACGATCGGCACCTAGTAATCCACCGACGCATTTCGAAGATGATGCTGCTATGGCACGTCGCTTACAGGAGGAGATGTATGGTGGTGGTGGCGGAGGAGGCGGAGGTAATACCGATGATGATGGCGTGCGGGCTCCTATGGCACGTACGACGGAAACGCTGGTAGGGCCCGAGGCGGATTTCGACGACGGTGATATGCATGCCAGTATTCTCGGTCAATTGCGGGCCCGCCAGCAACGAGGAAGTTAGTATACACCGTTACGCTTTATTTCAATCCAGTACACTAAGCTGACTGCATGTGATTAGATCGACCGGGTATCTTCAACCAGAGAGATACATCGTCCATTTGGGCTGGCGGTGCTGAAGCTTCCAGCCGTGATAGGCTCTCAGCAGCTACAGGGGGTGCTTCTGATTCCTCGAATAAATCGAATATGCTTGCAGAAATGTACCGACCACCGTTCGAAATAATGTCGAGGCTGCCGTGGGATTTGGCTCGCCAAGAAGGCCGTGATAATGAAAAATGGCTTCTGGTTAACATCCAAGATTCGTCCGTATTCGACTGCCAGGTATTGAACAGAGATCTGTGGAAGGACCCTGCAATTCAGGAAACGGTGAAGGAACATTTCATCTTTTTACAATATTCCAAAGATGATCCTCGTGCTGCGCCATACCTGCAGTACTATTTCCAGGCAAGCGACATTTCTGATAACTATCCTCACATTGCTATTGTCGATCCTCGGACCGGTGAGCAGATGAAGGTCTGGTCTGGTCCACCTTTAATTAAGCCTGCCGATTTTCTCATGCAACTTCATGAGTTTCTTGATCGATACAGCTTGAAGCACAATGTGCGCAACCCTGTGGCAAAGCGCAAACCAGAGAAGAAGGAAAAGAGTATTGATGCAATGACGGAGGAAGAGATGCTGGAGATGGCCATGAAAAATAGCCTAGGCGAAGGGGCGGTGCAGCAGCAGAAGGCCGAAGACCCCGATGACCTTACTCGCAGCACCGAAGATGTCAAAGGCAAGCGCAGAGCTGTTGATGTGGAAGATGCCAGTATGACAGAAGCAGAAAAGGAGACCGAAGCAGAACCTTCCCCGTTTGCCTCTATCCCAGAGGATCGGCCACACACCGAACCCCCCGCCGACCCTGCCACAACCACACGCATCCAGTTCCGCCATCCGTCTGGAAGAGTAATCCGACGTTTTGCTGTGTCAGACCCTGTGCAACGCATCTATGAATGGTTGAAAGCCAATCCGCCGCTGGAAGATAAGTTAGGCGTGGAATTTGATCTCAACGCTATGGGCCAGAACTTGATCGGCCAACTCGGTACCAGTATCGCAGATGCTGGTTTGAAGAACGGCACCGTCATGATAGGATACATGGAAGACTAAACGATCGACTCGGTTACTTCTAATCACGGATACGATAACTATGGACTTTGCATTTGAACAGGGCGTTAAATTTAGAGACACACAGTCCAATCCTGAATGGTATGGGCTGCGTCTTTATCGATTTCTTTATTTGCCTTCTACATTGGTTCCTGCATACTATAGATCTCGATCACTGATGGCCATTGTACATTGGGCAGTATCTATGGTGGACTGAGGGCTGGAGGGGTTTAATGGAGCTGGGGTATCGGAGGGGCTTTCTGCTATGCTATCATGAAGAACTATTTAGATCTGGAAGATAGCCTCGAGTTCATAGAATACAGCGTGATTCCATTTTCCTGTCTCTACAGCCTCTCCTCCGACTTTATGTACTGTCTCACCGCCGGGAGAAACCGCCCCGTGACTGGTGCGGAGATATCGACTCACCGCCTGGCAGAATAAACCCCGCGCTGCCCCAATCACCAGGTTTCCTGGGTGCCGCTGGAGGATGCAAGGGAAACAAACACCTCTTCGTCTGCCAGATCTTCGCAGGCCCTTGCTAGCTGAATATTGATTACTTGAAACTAGCCAAAAGCAAGGATTGAAAACAAAAAGGATATCTTCCAAAAGAGAGGGCTCTGGCCCAGTGTGTCGGAACACTACTCTTTTTGTTAATGGCTTGCGGCCTCCGATCCCACCAGACGAGGGATCTCATCAAAACAATAAGTATGTGGAGCAACAAGATCGCCATCATTCCTCATAGAAATGATAGCCTAACTTATCCTTGATCAGCAGCATCCCTTGAAGTGCGACTTTTGTTTTAAGAGAGTGGAAATTCTTCATGTCTCATTTGTTGTGATTCTCAAGCTAGAAACCAGTCATCTGCTTACTCCGGTATGAGATAACCAACCGCCCTGATATGCCCTAGGGATTAATTTCTACCATCCAATCCTTATACAGTTCAACCCCTTGATGGCTAGTCGCAGATAACTGATTCTCGTTTAAGTGCGATAGTGCGACGTGACTGATTGATTCCTGCGATCCTGACAATTCGCAAACATGGACGGCCTAGTTGATCCAGAGACAATTTACATGAAACAGAACTGCATCGGTGCGTTTATTTTCGCGATTACCCATTATCGAGTATATCAAATCGCTGAAATACACATGATCGTTCAGGTGGTGGTAGTTTCGGAAAAGTTTACAAAGGGTAATTCGTTTCCTCAGCCGTTTGATTTCTTCCCAAGCTCATCGCTAACACTTCATCCATAATCTCAGTGTTGATAAGCGCTCGGGTGCATCTGTCGCCATCAAGATAATCGATGTTGAGAACGCCGAAGATGAAGTCGAAGATATTATCCAAGAAATTGCGATTTTGTCTGAGCTTAACTCTCCGTATGTTACAAGATACCACGGTTCATTTCTAAAAGGGTCGAATCTATGGATCATTATGGAATTCTGCTCTGGGGGCAGTTGCTCTGATTTGCTACGCCCTGGTCCGATTCCGGAGGAATATATCGTGATTATTCTAAAGGAGCTGCTCCGAGGTTTGGACTACTTGCACAGTGACAAGAAGCTACATAGGGACGTTAAAGGTAGCATTCTGAAAGCCCCGCACTTTAAATGATGGTGCTGACATTCGCGCTAGCTGCAAATATTCTCTTGACCTCGAATGGCCAGGTGAAGTTGGCGGATTTCGGTGTTTCCGGGCAATTGTCGGCAACGATGACCAAAAAGAACACTTTTGTAGGCACACCGTTTTGGATGGCACCAGAAGTTATCAAACAATCTGGCTATGATTACAAGGCTGACATTTGGTCTCTTGGGATTACGGCGATTGAATTGGCCTTAGGAGAGCCTCCCTACTCTGATATCCACCCCATGAAAGTCCTTTTCTTAATTCCAAAAAACCCCCCTCCTGTGTTACAGGGCGACTATAGCAAAGGATTCAAGAGCTTTGTCGATATGTGTCTACGCCGTGATCCTAAGGAACGGCCTTCGGCCAGAGAATTGCTTGAGCACCCATTTATCAAACGGGCAAAGAAAACAACTTATCTAACAGAGCTTATCGAACGCTATGAGCGCTGGCATACTGTCTATGGGAATCGCAATGGCGAGGAAGAAGATGAGGTAGTGCACGAGCCCCCTCCCGAGCCAGCAAACCCTGAAGAGGAAGACCTTTGGGACTTTGGTACAGTCCGTCCTGCAGGAAGAGGAGCTCCTATGAGGCCTATGAAAAATTCAGCAATGAACACTCGAAACCACGATACTGTGGAATGGGATTTGAGAGATGAGTCTTCGAGGGGTCCGACAAAACCCGACAACAACTCACCACCAAGGTCACCCCAGATAAAGAGCGCTCCAAATCCCACTCCCAAGACATCGCCTACAAAGGTCCCTCTGCCGCCCTCCCCGGTGAAGCATACAGCTGCAGATTTCAGGCCTCAAACACCTTCACACCTTCAAAAACCTGTTTCGCGACCCCTGAAGGAAAGCCCTGGCACCAGTGAATATGACAAAGCCTTGCAGCAGTCTTTGGCTGAAGATCTATCGTTTCTCCAGCTAGATAGTTCCCCTGGGAATCCGTCGGCTTCAAAGGAACGGGGCAACGTTCCAGGTGATCAAACACCCAGAAGATCTACACCATCTCACTCTTCGGGATCACCGTTTCAAGGACCCACGTACGCAACACCATCGCGGAATCTTTTCGATCAGGGCTCTAGGCCTGCTACGGATATGCGTCCCCCACAACAAATTCCCCAACCCTCGCATCGCCCTCCACCAACGCCCAAACATGGATTGCCGCAGCCACAGCCACAGTCACGGCCGCAACTTCAGCAGACCCCGCAGACTCCGCAGACCCCAACTCGAAGCCTACCACCGCCTCCTGGTCTCGCAGGTGGCAACCAGCAGCTTCACAGAAGCTTAGAGACTAGTGTGCAAGGCGCAGGTGGATTACCGCTTTCTAATGAGGTTACAGCGCTGAATAGTGTTATATTACCGGCACTTAGGGCAGCCATGCGTCGTCGAGCCCGTCGTCTCGAACTTCTTACACGAAATACCGCTGTGCATTCCGCTGAAAATAGAATGGATTTGCTTGAACTTCAGTCTCGTCGTGATTACGTTCATCAAATGATGGAGGCTCTTGTGGGTGATATGTGCGGGATGTTCTCTAGGATTGAGCGTTGGGATAACGAGGCGCCAATTGGGATGGGTGCGGATGTTACGTCGTTCTTAGAAGGATTTCTCGAAGAAGTGTTGGTTAGGATTGAACCGGCTGACGAAGAGAACAGTCCATCCAAGCCCTGAATTCAACCTTACACATTGTTTCTTCTTCTCATGGATGGCCATGTTTCGTTTTACTTCTTCGGATATTTGGGTTACTCGGGTTTTATTTAGCATTGTTTTCTAAATTTTCATGTCTGGGATTTGCATATTTGAAGCACAAAAGAAAATTTTCTGCATTGCGTTGTTCATATGGCTTTTGTCCTCCTATCTACTTCATGTGTGAACACTTGGGTCAAGAGGACAACAGCAACCGACGTCATTGAATGGCTACCTGGTAACAGTTCGGGTATTTCTAAACGGATGGCCGATGCAACTCATCTTCTGCAAAATGTATGTAGAATGTGGCTTTTTGTTTGTGTATCTGATACTTACATTCTAACAATCTCACTGTTCGGGCTGGATCCTACAAATCGGTTTCCCGGGAACTTGTCTTTCAAGAGTATAGAAAAGGATCATATGATCCTTGTGTTGTACAGATGCTAAGGCTTTATTCTAGCCGTCAACAACCAGTTTATAAGGACACTCCAAACACTTGACTCTAGCTAGTAAATGCCCGAGGGCATAACCATCCCCAATTTCTAAGACATCAATCACAAATTTTGATGAAATCAGGTTGCTTCAACTTAATGTGTTTTTCCCAGAACCATGTACCTCAGCGGCCTTGTAAAGCCATGATGTCTGGGATAGTATCAAATTGCTGATGAACCTAGAGAGATCAAGCCAATTCCTGCAGATTGTATCAAAAGCGGACGGTGGCGATGGGGAAATCCAATCCCACGAGCTATTAGCTCATGTCGCATCACAGGAAAACCGGATACATCTATAAAAAATCGGTAAATCCAGTATCTAATGAAGATATATAAAAAAGTATTGTCCAGTTATCACCCCCCGGGGCGGAAGAGCCAGTCTGTTTCTGGAGTTGGGATGAGATAATTTGTGATGTTGAACTCATTGGCATTTGAAGAGGTAGCGTCCACTCCGACAGAACTTGTAGGTCCGGTCGCTGTCAGCCCGTGGATTGACATTGGATTATTTACTGTCCCGCTGATGTCGAGGCCGTTCATGTCCGCCGCACGCGCAGGGGGCACGCGTGGCACGTTGAAGAAGCCAAAAACATCGAGATATTCTAGCTCATTTGGAGCCAAGTTTCTTGAAGGAATCGCAGGTGTGGTCTTCTCTGGATGGCTACCAGCGGGAGACGAGCGAGGTTGTCGAGAGATGAGAAAATCTAGGTCGAATGCGCAGCGGCGCATGTCTGCAAGGATCTTCACTGTGGAGGGCGTGATGCGCTCGCCATCGGTTGCTGCAGATTGCTGGTACTCGCCATACTCATCGAGAACACGCTGTAGGATCGTGCTGTAACGTTCCGCAACTTTCCAGTACTTGCCCATTCTGTAAAGCGTGTCAACGAAGAATATTATATCTTGGCTAACAGTACGAGCGATTGTAGAGCCATGGACAAGTAGCAAGCGGGCAGAAACCCAGAGGGTAAAGGCAAAAGGCGGGCCAAGCTTATCTAGCAAGTTATTATCCATGACAAAGCGAGTGACGGAAAGAATATTGTCGACTGCAAGTAAGCATCGTTGGCTTGCGCTATATGACGGTGTGAATATCGGGGACCGGGTTGTCGGATACGCGGCTGATGAATGGAGTCTGATAACAGCACTGCAGCAACTTAACATCCATCTCAGACTTGAAATGTCAATTAAGGGTTTTACTTACGTTTGATATGTGCAGTGAAGTTGGACCCAATCACAATGGAGACTTCGATTGTGTTTTGAACCGCTACACAGCCGGGAGGAGTTCTCATAGGCGTATTCAGTTGGAAGATTGAATTCCCAGGATGTCAATTCACTGTCCAGTTTACGATATGTCGTCTGCCATTCCTCAACATCAGACAGAGCCCCTATATCCACAGGCCGTTTTAAAAATTGATGGACGCGTGAGAGAATGCCGAGTATTTCCACATAAAGGCCAAGTGATCCCACATTCTCTGCACGAGTCAGGTAATCGGCACGGTTGCTCGAACGATGGAACCACCTCGTCTCAACTGGTTGATTCCTGGTGAAGTACTCGTCCTTGCACGGAAGCTTGCGGTCGACGTCCTTGTCATCTAAAGCAAAATCGAAGGCGGTCGCTATGGTAGAATATCGGTCCAGTAAGTATACCATCCAAAACAGCCGGCGCCTACTCTCATCCTCAATCCAGGAGTCTGGCTCCGGGAGAGTGACAGCCCTTAACGTGTAGATGGAGGGATAAATAGGAGCAATGAGAGAGGACTTGGATTCGACGGCCAGTCCTAACTGGACCACAGACCGCGTGATCAAAGCAAGCAGTTTCCAACCTGGAGGGCCATTGGATGAACCCACTAGGTCAAGGGCCAAAATGACCAAGGCCTGAAGAGCTTTAACGGACGAGTTTTCTAATCCGTAAAGTAGGACCTTTTGTTTGGAGGAATCATGATATCGCTTTCGATTCTGCTCGTTAAGTCGGCTGTCGGTCGAAAAGCGGAGTGTTGTAGCAACAATTGAATATAGTAAAATGCGATCAGCCTCCTCCAGAGGAGTTGGCCCGAAGAAGGAATCCAATGTTGTCCGACGGTGGAGAATCGGGCACCATGTATTGATATGTTCGAAGTAAAGGTCCACCAGGGCATATAGCAAATCATATGGGGGCAGATCAAGCCCCGGGTCTGCAAAAGACTGTTCTTGGTTGGAGAACAAGCTCACCGGCACATTCAGCGATGATTCGTTCCCCGAATAATCATTATGGCTGGTATCTTGGACTTGTGGTAACGGAGCTGTGGGGTGAATACTTGGTATATGGTTTTTTATCGTATTTTTGGCTGATGTGTTCGACGGGCTGGTGATTGATACTTCATTGTGACAGGAAGGTGCTGGTATAGACGTCGGTTCTTGGAAATAGATGTTATTTCGGGGACTGGGGCCATTGATAGCAGAAGGCTCTGATGGAGAGCTATAGGAGAGGGGCGCGGATTGAGATAGGTCATGAGCGAAGCGAGGTTGGCTTTGGAGAATATGCGATTCTATGAGACGGGCTTGAGTCTGGATGACCGCCTCCAGCCTGTCTGTTTATTGAATGAGTAATTATTTGAATGGATAGCGCTAAGAGAAGAGAGCATCATACCAAGTCGCTGTTCCAATTCCTTGCCATAGCCTGCCCGAAGGCCAGGCTTCTTTCGCTCTTTATATTCACACAATTGACCATTGCGACTGCACCAGCCACAGCTGGGCTGGGCTCGGTCTAACAATTGTCAGAGCGCTATGGAGGGGGGGGGGTTAAATAAAAAAGACATACCGCATTTGACCTTTCTCTGTTTACACAATTCGCACCTTTGTGATACGTCAGACTTGAAATCTTCCATGGGGCCATAAGGACAAAGAGACAGGCAAAATGCAAGGCTTGGGAACTGGCAAAACCTACGACACTGTGAGGGGACGTTTTCGTTTCAGCCCCCGACCATTCTGAGCAATGGCGCGATCATTATCACTATCAGCAGCAGACCAGGATTCGTCCGCACTATTCTCTCTATCTTCATCGCCAGGATTCCTGTTTGGCGGTGGAGTCTGCTGAGCTGCAGCAACGTTCGGCATGGTGCTCTAGCGAGATCGGAGAAATCTGGACAAGCTCCATCAACAGGGCATGATCGGTTGTGGTGATGAGAATCGGCCAGGCCAAGGGAGGAAGAGAGATCTCGGGAATCGGTTACCAAGTACGGTTCGAAGGAAAGAAGAAGAACAAAAAAGAAAACAAAATCCCCGGAGAGCCGCTTGGATGCTTGCAGAGACGAAATAATCCATCCTGTTCGGATCGGACATTTGGGGGGAGTTTCTGCCTGTATGCCTGAGGCAGTCTACCGGGGTTAACCCCGCAAAACATTTCTTGGCGATACGATAGCATCTCCGCAATGCACGTCTCCTACGACAATTACAAGTGGTCGATGGTATATCTTTTGATGTGGAATTGATGCTTAAACAAACGGATCAGATACCAGCAGCCAAAGGTAGGTGTTTTATCTGAAAGATGGCCCACGGCTACTCCGGCTATTGCTCCAAATACAGCATGTTGATCTCGGGGGAGCAATGCCCCGAAGTTCCCGTCCGAGGAGAGACTGTGATTCTCTGCCCCTCGATCCTGCACTGAGATTCAGGTTTCAAATACGGCTGGATGTCCTCCTGTGAGACTGAAACTTGATCTTTCTTCATTTCTTCGCATCTGCAGTTTTACTTGTTCTCTGATCCCCGTGCTATTCGATTGCCCCTCCATTCCATCATGGGTTCGACATCAACAACCTTTCCCCGCATCAAAGAGATTCGGACATTCATCATCAATGGAGTAGGATCTGGAGGTGACTACCACAATGTATGGCTCTTACTCTTATTTCCCGGTTGTCATTTTGGACTTTCTCTGACTCCTGGTGATTTGTATAGGTCAAGGGTGGCCATTGGCTGGTGGATAGCAGTATATCTACACCCATGACACGATGGGCACAATATCGTGGCTCGCGTACATCTTGGGGAATCAACGTCTTGGGTTCCTTCTGTGTAGAGATTGAAGCCACCGATGGATCCAAGGGCTTTGCAACTGGATTTGGTGGTCCTCCGGCTTGCTGGCTGGTGCACCAGCATTTCGAGCGATTCTTGCTCGGCGAAGGTGCGATGAATACGAGTTCAATGGCTCCTACATGAAGGCCCTGTTACTAATATTGCGTGCTCTGTTATAGACCCCCGGGATACCAACAATCTGTTCGAGAAAATGTACCGCGGATCCATGTTCTACGGCCGAAAGGGGCTTCCAGTGGCTGTCATCTCGGTGATCGATTTGGCTCTCTGGGATCTTCTGGGGAAAATTCGCAATGAACCTGTCTATAAGCTCATCGGTGGAGCTACCCGTTCGCGATTGGACTTTTACTGCACAGGCCCGCAGCCTGCCTCGGCAAAATCAATGGGATTCTCGGGGGCTAAGGTTGCTCTGCCTCATGGCCCCGATGAAGGAACGGAAGGCTTGTTGAAGAATGTGCAGTACCTCCGTTCGCAGCGTGACAGTGTTGGTCCAGACTTCCCCTTGCGCGTGGACTGCTATATGTCTTTGAATGTCCCTTATACAATCGAGCTCGTAAAACGATGTGAGGCCGAGGGTATCAACATTGACTGGTGGGAGGAATGTTTGACCCCTGACGACTTTGACGGCCATGCTCTTCTCAAGAGAGCCCACCCCACAGTTAAGTTCACCACTGGTGAGCACGAATACTCCCGTTACGGATTCCGCAAACTCGTTGAGGGACGTAACCTGGACATTCTCCAGCCAGATGTGATGTGGGTTGGTGGTATGACGGAACTTCTCAAGGTCTCAGCACTCGCTGCCGCATACGATCTCCCTGTCGTGCCTCACGCCTCAGGTCCTTACTCGTACCACTTTGTGGTCTCTCAGCCCAACACACCCTTCCAGGAGTATCTTGCCAACTCTCCTGATGGAAGAAGTGTTGAGCCGGTCTTCGGAAACCTCTTCTTGAACGAGCCCATCCCCACCAAGGGATACCTCGATGTCTCAATTTTGGACAAGCCAGGATTTGGCCTCGAGCTCAACCCATCTGCACCTTTGATCAATGCTGCTTCTATCCTCACTCCAGCGCCTCAGAAGAGCTTATCATTGCCCGCGGAGAATGAGCAGAACGCCAATGGAACAGCTTAGTGATCGTTTTTTTTTTTTTTTCCTTGATATGTCCTATGTTTTTTTTACAACCATTTTTCATACATAGCCTACGATAGTTATGCATGTGCGTACTGTAACTCATTATTGTTGGATTATATTATATCATAGATGAAATGTAAGATCAATCCATTATACAGTCTACCACAACCAGAACAGAACCATAAGCCCTATCAAACGTGATTATACGGAATATTTCTTCCACGATTATAACGATCAGCATCGACACCATCGACCTCGGCAATCCGCCGACTGCGGGGAATTGCCATTGCGGCGTGTTGGCTCGGGGCATCATCCCCACGAGAACCCGAGACCAAACTCCACCAATTGCTCGCTATCTTATCGCCACTATGTCCCCTCGGCGGGGTCGAGGATTTGGGATTATTTTGACGGAAAGAGAAGGAGAAATTATCTTTTCAAGCAAAAAGGACACATTGCATTGCCATTGTTCAAGCTAATTTTTTTGCTGGGTACAAATCAATTCCACCTTGTGTCGGTGACCTATATTGTCAAAGGATTTCAAGATACCTACTTTCTTTTCTATTCAAATCTTCAAGGAAAATGCCTCTACCTCAGATTCTAGTTGGCAAGGTCACTGCCATTACAGGTGGCTTGACTGGAATTGGAAGGGTACGTGATGGAAAAAAACCAATTGATCGTGGCTGTCTAATAACAATCCTCGCTAGGCCATTGCTCTCGAATACCTCCGTCATGGTGCCAAAGTAGCAATTAACCACCTCGGGGGTCCCAATGAAGAAGCACAACTGGATGCCATGAAGAATGAAGTGGCCAGTATCACTGGCACGGAGGAGAAGAGATTCATCGCGGTTGCGGGAGACGTCACGCATCCCGAAACTGGGAAGGAGTTTGTCGCAAAGACTGTAGAAGCCTTTGGACGGCTAGACGTTTTTGTGAGCAATGCTGGTGTGTGTAAATTTGCGGAATTCCTGGAGTGAGTCTCTTTTATAACTTCCTTTCCATGCTTTCCTGCATATTTTCTAATGTCGTGCAAGGGTTGATCCTCCACTTCTCGGTCACACGGTATCAACCAACCTCTCTGGTGCTTTCTTGGCAACTCAAGCCGCAGCACGGCAGATGGCACTTGTCCAGTCCCCTCCAGGTGGATCTATCATTGGAATCAGCTCTATATCCGCTCTCGTCGGCGGTGGTGAGCAAGCACACTACACGCCCACCAAGGCCGGGGTACTCAGTCTGATGCAATCGTGTGCGGTGGCTCTGGGGAAATATGGAATCCGGTGCAATGCTCTATTGCCTGGAACAATCCGGACGCAGTTGAACGATGCCGACATGCGTGATCCAAGCAAGAGGGAGTACATGGAAGGGCGAATTCCCTTGGGAAGATTGGGACAACCGCCGGATCTTGCAGGGCCGGCAGTCTTTCTGGCGTGTGATGAGTTGAGCGGATATGTGGTGAGTTTTTATTTCCTTTTTATATTGTTTTATGAGATACTGATGGTGTATAGTCTGGGGCACAACTACTCGTGGATGGAGGTCTCTTCGTCAACCTCCAGTGATCCTGTTAATTAATGAACATAAAACCTTTTTCTACCCAGCCATTAATAGATGTATGCAAAAAGCAAAACATCATCAAAAATACTCAAATCTCTACTCCGTAGGCTTTGACTGCAACCGAACCCCAAACTCCCTTCCTTTGCTCATCGTTCAGTCCTCGTCTATCCAACACAATCTCGACCATATTTCTCCAATGCCTCCAGGACGCGTCATTTCCTCCCCCTCCCATATTACAGACAGGCCAGTCAGATCCAAACATCACTCGTTCTGGAGTAAAAGCATCAAACACGGCATCCGTCCAAGGCTGGATTCTATCGACTAGAGCAGAGATATCTGGTTCGGGAGATGCAGAAAGTGTTGGGAGCTCTGAGAACCCGCCAGAAAGCTTCATGTAAGATGTGGGGTATTGTGCCATGGCTGTGATGAGAGACTTCCATTCCAGAAACTCGGGGTGCGTGGTTACGGAGTGGGGAGAGGAATAGGGCAGTCGAAGGTTTGGTTTACAGAGATGGTCTAGATTGTCAGTGTTGATGAAATTGGAGGAAAGGAATGAAAACAATCAGAGAGAAAAAGGACAAAAAAAGAATCCGTACTTATCGCTATAACAACCCTTTCGCTCTCCTGCACCCCATCGTAAGCCCTCTTCATCATCTCGATTGTCTCTCTCAACTGCCAGAGCCCGCCCTGCCTGGCATCTACCCCGTGATCAAACACCAGCCGATTCCTCCCCAACCATTTCAACCCATCAACAAAGTCTTGCTTCAGCATCACACCAGCTGGCTTATCCTGGACCAAGTATCGCACACCGCAAACCTTTCTCCATACATCCTCCGTTCTCGTCCTCTCCTTCACCAATGCCATGAACTTTTCCAATGTCGCAGGACCCCCGGGTACAGGTGCCCACGGGATGATTCCTAGACACAGCGGCTTATCCACATCACGGTGTCCTTCTCCTGCAATAGGCTCCCCCAGAGCAATTCGAGTAAAGAAGGAGACTTCATCGAGGACATGCGTCCAACTGGCTCCGGATTCCTGGGAAGATATCCGATCTGTTTCGAGGACAATAAATCCCCGGAGATAGCTGGGCTCAGAGGTCGCAGTGCGATATTCGTCTATCGAGTATTGGGATCCCAGGGGACTTGATGGGCTATACCATGCGAACGTCGGGAGATGGGATTCTGGAAAAAGGTGGATGTGAGAATCGACTATTGGTATTGGCATGTTGATTGACTGATTCTATTCCAGCCCAGCTTCAAGCTTTCTCCTTGCGATAATCTCTTGAATCCAACGCTGATGGTTCGTCGGTTTCACTTTCGTCCTGCTGCAAACCAATGTCGCCAGTGATAAGAAAACGTGGAATAAGCCTCAATTGACTATTGTCTTACTTCAAAAGATAAGGATGAGCAGTAATAAGAAAGAAGAGACATTGCGATGGAATTTGCGACATCACTCGAATAAATTTCCATGAATCGGTGGCTATTACACCGAGATATCCGCCCATTCATCTCTGTGAATCCTATCTCATTTTTAACCCCATTTCCGACCCGGTTCCTGGTGAGTACCTTTGTGACTCTGCTCCAGATATAAATTGGCCCGGATCTACCGGGTGAAAAGATAGTTGATGTTCACTTTCTTTCTCTCCTGGCCAGGCTCTCCCGGTCGGATTCCCCGCTTACCCCTCATCGCCGAGACGATCGACATCATGAATGACCACGAGGTTGTGCTCAAACATAAGGCCGATCAAACGGATTTACGTCAGGTGCATCTACTATTCTGGGGGGGGGGGCAACCATTTGTTTGCTCAAGCCGAGTTAAACGGTGATCAACCGAGGTCTAGCGTTTGTGTACAACTCATGCTGGGTTTTATGATGCCGGCATAATTCTATCAGCCAAACCCATCACGTTTTTTCTATGGAAATTTGCTCCTTTGGGTGGATTATGTCCATGAAAGATGAACGTTCAGCATCGAAATGGATCGCTAGAGATTGCCTAGATTTCTAACATTTGTTTGGTCTTGCAGCGCCTATTTTCATGACTTTGGTCTTTGTTCTCCCCGAATCCCGTGGCTGGCAAAGTTACATCCATCTCCACTATTTCTCCTCATTCTCCTAGCTGCACAGCGACCGTGGCCAATCATGGCAGGTGGGCTTTACAGAACATCTGACTCGACAACAAAGAATAATTATAAGTAGGGGGCAAATGCATCCACGCTGATTCCCGCGTCCTCCATCGATATCCTCTTCCCAAGTTCTCTCCCAGTCGTGATTCATTCCTTATCTTCTGCGGATTAGAAGAACATACATTGCATTTCATTTAGCATACGAAACCATCTGTACGACAACATCTACAAATATGGCTGCTTCTGAGATCCCAAAGAAACAAAAGGCTGTCATCTATGACGAGCCCGGCACTGTGTCTACAAAGGTGGTGGAAATCGATGTTCCCGAACCTGGGCCAGGCGATGTGCTGATCAATCTGTACGTCCATCCGTTATACATTATGCGAGGATGATCATCCGTTGTATGCCAAGTATAGGAGGCGGTGCTAACTGATTCCCTGCAGGACGCACTCTGGTGTTTGCCACTCTGATTATGGCGTCATGACAAACAGTGTATGCAGTGTGAAAGTCCCATTTTAAGGTTATATGTCTGATAAGTTCCAGTGGAGTATACTTCCATTTCCCACACAGCCTGGACAAGTTGGCGGTCATGAGGGTGTTGGAAAGATTGTCAAGCTCGGATCTGGAACTGAATCATCTGGTTTGAAAGTTGGAGATAGAGTTGGGGTTAAATGGCTTTCCAGTGCATGTGGAAACTGCCGTATGTGCCGACTCCTTCCTTTTATCTGAGGAAAAGCTGACAGTTGGACAGAACCGTGTCAAGCCAGTTTCGATGGACTCTGTGTCAACCAGAGAGTTTCCGGATACTACACCCCTGGTACATTTCAGCAGTACACCTTGGGCCCGGCCAACTACGTGACACCAATTCCGGATGGTCTGGCTTCTGACGAGGCCGCTCCTATGCTCTGCGCAGGTGTGACTGTCTATGCTGCCCTTAAGCGAAGCAATACACGGCCAGGACAATGGATCGTAATATCTGGCGCTGGCGGTGGTCTGGGCCACCTGGCAGTCCAACTGGCAAGCAAAGGCATGGGAATGCGTGTGATTGGCGTCGACCATGGCAGCAAGGAAGAACTGGTCAAGGAATCTGGTGCGGAGCATTTCGTGGACATTACTAAATTTCCGATTGATGACAAGGGGGCCGCTATTGCTGAGCATGTCAGATCTCTGGCAGATGGGCTGGGAGCCCATGGTGTGGTTGTATGCACAGCATCCAATATCGCCTATGCCCAGGCTCTTCCCTTCCTACGGTTTAACGGTACATTGGTTTGCGTGGGTATTCCGGAACATGAGCCCCAGGCCATTGCTACCGCGTTCCCGGGATCTCTGATCGGCAAGCATTATAATATCACCGGTTCGGCTGTTGGAAATCGGAGGGAAGCCATCGAGACGCTGGAGTTTGCAGCGCGAGGTGTTATCAAGACTCATTTTCGAACAGAGAAGATGGAGGCATTGACTGGTATTTTTGAGGAGATGAGCCAGGGTAAAGTTCAGGGTAGAGTGGTTTTGGATTTGTCTTAGATTTGGCATGGCTGTCTTTTATTAATGGTGTGTATGCATGTGCATGAAATTGTTTGGGATTGATTCGAGTTGATGTATATGTATGAGGCGTGGGTTGAAATATATAGTATCAGTGCTACAATCGCAACTACCCATCACAGTAGATGTACTTCCTCAATACTGGCATAGTATTTTATATCGAAGCCTCAAAACGGTCCTTAGGGAAAAAAAAAAAAAAAAAGGTAAAAGAACAAGAAGAGAAAATGAAACATGAGCGATGCATACAGTACGTAGCAGGAAGAAAAAGTACAAAAAAGTATTGACCGACGCAGGGATCGAACCTGCAATCTTTTGATTCGTAGTCAAACGCCTTGCCATTGGGCCAGCCGGCCTTGTTGTTGAAAGAACTAGGGTATAATGTCCTTATCAGCCAAAAGAAAAACTCTGCAAAATGTGGGATTGATTGCCCCTCCGAGGATCCGAGGTCCACTATACCCAAAACGACATTGCATGAAAAAGAAATCAAGAATACTCGAGTAATATCTCGATTAAGATCACATGTATGAATTTCTATTGGTTCTCTTTTAAATTGTCCGGGTTACGTAAAGAACCCCATCCAGTGGAGCTACTGGTGTATACAAGGGGGGGTGGTATTATTGGGTGTTAAGAACTGCCGAATATCAAACACAACGGAAGCACCAAATTTCACCGTCGGTTCATATTTTCTGGGACTGTGGCTGTGCTAACTTACCGGGGGTTGTTCGGTTACTGGAATTGGCAACTGCTTTGTGCAATTCAATCTTCAACATCGTCATCTTCGTGGCAAGGTTCCGTTCCAGAGAAATAAAGTTGCGCAGAGTCCCGAGTACCAGGTAAAGTATTAGGGTTTGGTGCTGCATCCAGGGTCGTGGCTTCCAGATCGGGTGTCATGCTGCGTCACAGGGTCCGGCCATGATCTGGTACGGATCTCGCGCTTTTTTACTTTAAATTACGGCATGACGAGGGGATTCATTATTTCATACTGAACAGTTTGATTGTGTTAGAACCAGAACCAGCTGGTAACTAGCTAGGCACACATTCGCCACATATAATCAGAACGCAATAGGGCACAAAGGTAAACGGAAAGGGAAAGAAAACATCGGGGTGCAAGATGACATTCCAGGGTATTCATGAGGGCAGAAAATTCGTTAAGACATGCTTGTGAAGCTGACAGTCCATCCCATCTCGTAAATCGGAGGCTCAAGGCCAGCTTCTTCAAAAGGTGAAGTTGACTGTGTTGAGCCTGCTCATCGGGTCCGTTTGCTGTTCCCTCCAGGCGTACCTGCAGCAGGCCGTTTTTGTCCAGAACCAGTAGAAGTAGACTCGGCCAGTCGTACTAGAGCGCTCAATTTGATGATGTAGGCCTTCGGGGCGCGATTAACCTCGTTTCTGTGAAGCATTGCCCTCATCCTGGACCCGAATTGACTGAGGTCTCCAGGAGGTAGATGCTCTAGGGCATCCAAGACGAAAAACTCTTCTGTTTCTTCCGCCTTGCCGATGAGTTGTTGGTATAGATTGCGCTGGTCCTCATCTTCTCCTTGGAAGCTAGCTCGGCCCCATCGGTTGCCATCCAGTGCATCTTTGTTGCGGTTGCAAACGTCCTCCAGCAAGGTGACAAGGGCTTTCGCTGCCCCTTCCATGCCGTGGGGAGCCCGCGCAATGATATTTGCCTGCACACGATCCACATTCTGTTGCAGATGTTCAACAACATCGCCGACTTCCACGCTGGTCCCATCCGTCGGGGCTTGACCAGTCTGGCAGTACCGATCAAAATCCGCCAGCAGCCTTCGTGTTTTCTCCTGAATTTTGTCGAAGTAGATTGCTGCGCAGGCTCCGGGCGGCATAGCTTTACAAAGGCTATTGTAGACAACGTCGTCGTGAACGGCGAGCCGGAACATGGTGGCTTCGAAGTCGCCCTGAACAACGCACTGCTCCGGGGTACGGCTTTGCTCTGGGTCCTCCACCAGGTCCAGTCGAAACTCTTCAGGGAGCGTGACTGGACTGAAGGCAGACATGATGTCTCTTACATTCTGCGGACGATTCATACCGCCGTCTGCTTCACAGCGGGTATACTGACAGCCGAGTTGGTCTGCAACTGTTTCCAGTTGGCCTTCAAGTAGTTGTTCGATGCGCGTAAATTCCGGTGAACGTCCGTCATTCGTCAACGGCACATCAGAGGAAGGAGGATGAGGCGTCAAGCAACCACGAAGTTGATCAACAATCCACTGAATGATCGAAGCGAAGAAAAATCAGTACGCAGTTTCTTTTCAACTGCTCGCTTGAAGAGGGGCACTCACAAAGATATGCTGACAGGCCACATCAGGACGATTTTGAAACGTAAAACAGGTGCAAGAATAAGTGTCTGGACTGATGGTGACCTGAGGCTGTTCTGAAAGTTGAAAACTGTACCCCCTACCGGTGGTGCGGCAATTTATAACCTCGAACCGGCCAGTCAAGCCGACGAGGGCTCTCGCCACAGAATCACCATCCAGATGGGCGAGATCATAGGTGATACCAGAGGTTGCCTGTACAGTTGATGATTCAGCCGAGTCCCCTTCTTCGCTCTCGCCCTCTTCCTCGGAGCTTTCGAAGGACTCATTGTCGCTGCCGCCACTACTTGGGCCATGGGATGTTGAATGCGGCGCTCTGTCGGCTTGGGACCGCGTATCAGGCAGGTTCCCGCCAATAGAAAGCCGACGAAACTGTCTGGTAGGGGCAGACATTAAAGCATGAACGACCCGACAAGATAGACTTGGGTCGGAAAGATATGCTCCTAGGAGATGGTGGGTTCTGCGACGGCCAGCCCGAATAATATATAGAGTTTGTTCCGAACCACGGATTGGAGCGGGTACCATGAACCAAGAATCTCCAACGCGGTGTATTGGCTTGAGCCACAACGAAAGGAGGGCGTCCTAGGAAGGGGGCTGAAATCTCCCGATCCTGATCTACCCTCGCAAAAGCCCATCACAGCCCTGGGAGTGGCCAGCATCCACTGTCTGCGCCGCAAAAGGGTCGCGTAAAAAAAATTCACTAGTATTTGTGCGTAGACCGAAGAATTTTTGTCAAGTACATTTGCCAAGAGGAGGTGAGCTTTCCAGAAGTCTCATTCTTGCATCACTCGGTCAACAGCGCTTAGGAACAAATGTCGATATAAGGAAGGAGAGTAGTAAAACCACGGTACTCGCTTCGAGGCGCAGTTGAAGAACCGTAGGCTTATAGAAAGGCTGGAAGCAGATCGTCCGACAGGGTGAGGGAGATCCCGAATCATGATCTTCAATGCCCACCAAGTTCTGTCGACGGCAATGAGAGCTTGGACCCAGGGCTGTAGGGCCAATTAACGCAAGATACAAGCCCAAGGTCGCTGAATCAGATACCAAACAAGACTGACGCGCAGATACTTGATAACAAGGAAACCTCATAAGGCAGCTCGAAATTGCGGCGTAGTCTCTCCTCTGGGAGAAGCAACAGATTAATCAAAAAGGAATGGATGGGAGACGCCCATTTGTCCTCAATATTGCCGCACAAGCTGAGTATGTCTTATTTACGCTTCGCCAACACGGAGTGGCCGTGAGAATTGAATAAAAATGTTCTCGATATGCCCCTGCGCCAGTTGACGAATTCACATCATAAAATAATCATAGTTTGTAAAATAAGGAGGCATGAATACCTTGTTCTCTTCTTTCATCTTTTGGGACAGGCAAAACCTCTCAGATTCGTACTTTTTAAGATCCCAATTTTTCTCAACGGCCGTGCGGTGCGATCAGCGGCTTTGCCTGTACTTTCTGGGGGTGCAACTGGGGCCCGGGGCAGCAGGGCAGCAGCAGGGAGTGCTGGACCTTGGATAAATGCGTTCGTCTCCCGAGAACACCGCCACTATACCCGGTACTCCAATAGTGGGTGACTTGTCGTCAGCGATAGTAAGCAATAGGAAGGTAAATAGCGAAAAAGTCACGATTTCTTCCAAGGCACGGAGTAATTTCATTGATGATCCCATGACTCAAGACGCCATCTAACCCAGACTCTGTTGGTGGTGATCAATCGTTCAGGAGCATCTCTCGCGGTGGTCAAGGCGGCGTAGCCTCTGTGCCACTGGACGCCATTTGCGCGCGGCACAGCAGCACAATGATTAAACTTCTCGGACTTTGTGAGATCATATGCATCGAATGGGCAGTAGATAGCGAGAAATGTGGATGCAATCTTGTAAGCTGGAGATTGATAGGTCTGCGTTGATTCCCCAGGTTTCAACGTCTAGGCTGTGCTGCGTTGATCGGACGCGCCGTAAACGTTGCCCATCCGGCGAAGAGCAGTCTTCTGGAACCTCAGGTGGATTTCTAAAATATGCCTTTTATTCTTTTCTTTGTTTTGGTTCGAACACAATCGTTTCCGTGAATTTCTGAGCCACAATCGTCAGACAAATCGGGCCAGGCTGAATGGATAACCTCGACGACGGCAAGCTAGAACAGCGACAGTGATGCGGTTAGCACAGGTTGAGTTGGATTTATTCATAATATTCCAATCATGATACTCAGCTCTAATGAGAATTTGACAGCCGGGCAAGAACTAGACAATTCTCCTTTTCTGGCTGTCTGTTGCGGAGGAAAGAAAGGCTTGCCGCTAAACACCGCATGCGCCAGGCAAGACATGAGGCTCATGATGGCAGCTGGAGGATTCGAGCAACACGATCGTCAGTGGGCAAGGACTGCATGTTCGTGTAGCTTTCAAAAAAAGCCATTGACCAGCACTCAAGCTAGTATTATTCCTCAATGTCTAAGTTACGCACTATAAACATGCCTTTATCAATTAATAGTAAATTTGCTATGTATAAATGTATGAATATCTAAACCTCCAACCCGTGGATTCCATATGCACATATGCTTCTAAGCGCAAAGATAGAAAGAGGAGAAGGGTATTGATAAGAAAATTCGTCAAGTCATGAGCCAGGCTTTACCTGACCTAGAATATAGAAAGACGAGAGAAAGAAAGAGAGAAGAGAAAAGAAAAAGAAGCGGGAAAGGCAGAAAAGAGCGACCGGATGGCAAGTTAAGAGAAAGAAACGGAAAAGAAACTAGAGAAAAAGAGAAAAAAATAGAACCACACGATTATGGATTGTTCCTGGTGGCGTTCCTCTTCTTAGCATTTTCTAGCGCTTTGCGTAGCCGCTGTTGGTGCCCATGGTCTTCGTCTGGTATTCTGGGTGTCATACTGGCAGTGGGAGGACGAGAGCCTGGCAGTAAAACATCGACAGGGTGGCTGCCAGGAACAGAAGTAGAATGGTTCGGTTCTTCTATCACTGGATCTTTGCCTAAACTCCGAAGGAGGTCGTTGATCTTGGAAATGATCTCTGCTGGTCCATTCCGGACGCTCTCCAGCTTGGAGTCAAGCTCACTCTGGATCTTAGCATCCTCCTTCTTTTTCTCGTTGTCAAGTCGACGGAAGACCTTGACATCCGAGTTCGAATAACGTGCTTCAGCGACAGAGACACTGTAATCGGCATCATTGAGGGTAGAATCGGCGATGCCGAAATTGTGAAGGATGGATTCAGAGTCCATCCGCAACGATCCCACCAAGGTCGAGATAGACCTCAGGATTTGGTCGATTTCGGAATCCGATAGACCAGAAGAGCGAATTACTGCAGGACTAATCTTCTTCAATTTTGTGGAAACCTCATCGAGGAGGCTTTGGTTCTCGCCCAAACCGTGCATGACGGCACTGTCAAAAGAGTCCATGAGCCTATTGGCCCTTTCATCCCGGTCTTTAGTTGCTTCCAAAATGTTTCGCTTCTCCATTCGATCGAAGTCTGCATCAAGTCGCTTTAGGCCTAGAGTGTCACCCATGAAGACGAGCGGTCGGCGCTCCGTCTTCTTCCGCCGACGCTCACGATCTAAAGCGATCCCGAGGCGCTTCTGGTAACGCATTTCGAGCATTCGGTAGATTTCGTTCACGGTCTTCATTGTAAACGATAAATTATATTTGTCTGCCGCTGAATCTTTGATCCTGCTGTTTTCATGATCGAGTTGGCCAAGTGCAGAGTCGTAATGATCTCGGAGTGCGGATATCTCTTCCCTGAGCCTTCGGTCGAGAGGGTTGAAAGCGTTAACATTGAAATCGTCAAGTTCCCGTCGCTCTTCGTCCAGTTGCACACGGGCTTCTGTCTGTCGATATTGGTCTTCTAGAACGTTGATATCGGCATAACCGATCTCCTTTTCATTAAACAGGTCATCTATTCTCCTTTCAGACTCCTCTTGACGTCTCATCCGCTCTTTATCAAGAGCCTCTCGCCTAACCCTGTTTTTGGCTTCCCACCCATTCAAGGCGCTTTGGATATAAGTGAAATCATCAGAATATTTTTCCAAGTCCTTCCTAGTTGTGGCATGCCAGGAGCTCTCTGAATGTTTTGACAGAGGCGTGGAGATGATAGACCGTAGTTCGGTGAGAGAATCTGCTCTACCTTGTCGCAGAGACATAGGCAACGGGGGTGGAGAAGAGGTCTTTCGACGTGGCCTTTTCCTATAGGCAACACTCTTCTCTCTGATAAGTCCGATGAACGTTTCATCATGTTCAGCCTGGGCTGGGGCAGGGGTAGCGGTTCCTGATCTGCCTTTAGTCGTTGGTGCTGGGCCATTTGACATTACACGCCCACTCTCCGCAGATGCTTGTCGTAAGGCAGAATAAGCTTGGTATGCAGGCTGATCAAATTTAAGACTGTCAGAACCCCGCTGAGGGCCTTCGGTGTACCTAAACGGCGTGTATATCGCCTGGGGAGGGTTTGTTGACAAAGGCCTGAAAATTTCTTCATAATTCTCACTTATTGAGGGAGGGACTGATGTGGAGCGTGAGGATTGAGTTTGTGAATCAGCCACCGGTGGATTGCCAGTTCTTGCATGCTTCAAAGCATTGGCAAGGCCCGTAGGGTTTGAGGCTGATCTCTGAAGACCGTGAGAAACAGGCGTATGAAGTCTGGGAAGTAGTGGGCGCCCACCGGGGCTATACTCCCCATCTTCGTAGCCTTCCCGGACATTGGAGGATATACCCTGAGTGTTCTCCGATTCCACAGGTATCAATCCCGATTCGATAGGAGACGCAGTTTCCTCGGATTTCTCCGTTGACTGCTGTGAGATCGGCTCTATTTGCGGGGTAGTTTGATCGTCACTCTTGAGTTCATTCTCAATACTGTACAAGATTTCACGTAGTTTTGTCTCTTTGGCCATGAAGGCCGTGAATATCTTGAATCGCTCCTCGTCAGAATCGGCCACCGTTTCTTTTCGCAGCATAGCTGTGTAGCGCGCTAGTGAAGATTTGAACCACGGGTCCATATCCCCATAGGGATCCAGACCCTTTGGCTGCGGAACAACAGGCTCTGCTTTAACGGAATCCTCTGCAGTGTGGTTTGGCTCTTCCTCATTCGAAGCAGAATGCATCTCCCTTGGAGGCTCTATATTCTCTGAATTGTGCTTTGGAATCTCAATTTCAAGAGGACTAGGCTTGCGTCTTGGTGGATCTCTCGAATTAGACCGAGATTCTTGAGGAGTGTGGGCAGCTGAAGATTTAGTTTCCGGTGATATGGGCCGTGTCCAAGCCTCGATCACACCGTCAATGCTTTCAGAAGGGTCAGTGGCAGACATTGTGCTGTAACTGGACTCAGCGGTGTCTACTCTGGCCGGGCGAGGCGGTTCGTGTATCTCCTGAGTCACGCTGGGGCTAACCGGTGAACTCGCCGATCGTTTTTGCGGGCCTTGTGAATAGTCATTTTGCGTAGTATGCATCAAAGGTGAGATACTCTGCGGCGGTGTAGAAGTTGCAATTTGATTGTTCAATGCTGGGCTGGATTCGGCTGTTGAATGGTTTGGGGGCAGCTCAAACACAGAGCCTGGTGGTGCCGGAGTGTCCTTTTTAGGCTGGAATACTTCCTCATCGTCAATATGCCCTGGACTAGGGCCCAAGTGCTCCCAATCAGACGGAGTACCAATGCCTAGGGCCGAAGCAGACGCATGGAAGTGAGGGCTCTTGGGTGGTACAGGTGGTGGAGCTACAGCCGGCATCAGACCCTGATTTGTTGGTGGGGACTGAGGCTGGGGCCGCTCGACTAGAGGTGACTGCTGCCATGTTTGATTGTTCTGCTCCGGCGAGGGATCCAGGTAAGGAGGAACTTGAGGTGGGTGTGGCGGTGCTGGTGGTGCTGGCAGCAGCGGCGATGATATAAGGTTAACATTGTGCTGAGGCGTATACGGAGGAGGACTTGTCGTCCATTGTGGATAACTCCCCAAAGGTTGACACCCAGTGTTTGGAGTAGCGGGCAAAGGCTTATTATTATTGGGGTTTGGTGAGCCCGCCGCAGGGGTTTGTAGACGAGCATGAGGATTATCTGCCGCGCTTGAAGGCCGAGGCTATACAAAAGCAATCAGTAAGAAAATTTCAATCTCCTTGATCGTATGAAAACACGTCGACTCACAGGCAGTGGGGGAGGAGCTTGATGCACTTGGTTGAATCGCACTCCCCACGAGCTTCTGTCCAAACTAGATACTGGCGATACAGCCCCGTTTATAATGCTTCCAGTCGCGCCTGGCATAGGCCCATAGATACTCGGATTGTAGGAAGGGGGAGGGGGAGAGATAGGCGGGGAAGCTGGAGCGAGCGGCTGTCGGTTTGGATTCGGGGATAGACGCCATTCTGGCTGCGGAGGACCTATATTCTGATTTCCGGAATAGCTGGGATTAGACTGCGACCCGTACATATCTGGCAATCCTTCGTCAGCGACTATGAACGATCGTCGCCGGGAGGGAAGAGGTGGGAGGTCATTTCACTCAGACAGCAGAGGAAGAAAGAGAAGAAAAAGGGTCGGCTGACCGTCAGTCCGTCGAGCAGCCCCAAAATGACACGAGACAACTTTAGCAACGGCACATGTGGCCCCCAAGGCTTGCTGGAGATATCGAAATCTTTGACGAGAAAATTCAAGAGGCAAATTATAGCATTCCTGTTTGTGTCAAGCAAGCTGTTTTCTCTTGTTGTTTTTCTGGCGCATCTCCGAGATACGACCCATTATCTCCGCCAGCCAAATGCCCCACTTCCACGAACACCTCTCTCTCTCCATCAATCTGATATAGGAGTCATCATTAATTATGCCCAACAAATTATTATTATACTGCTCAGATGATCATGTTCATCTCCTGTGACGGGTAATGGATGGAACTGCAATGGCCAGAATCAGAATGAGGTGCATCCATAGTTCGTCACATGATGCTCGAACCGACTTGATCCAACCACAGCCAACTCGACATTGACATAATTGACATCCGATTAAAGTCTATGATAATGATTTGCTGCTGCCATGAACTGATGGGACCAATAGGAAATGGGGGAATGAAATGGGAATTGGAATTGCTGTGAGTGTCTCTATTAGAACGAACTTGCCCTACCCCCTACTCATATATCACGCCTTATAGGATTTCACTTTTCCCGCCTTCTATCTTCGAATTGATACATGTTTGATTCATAAAATCATACACTGGATAGTCGAGACTGGTTAATTACCCCGTTAAACTGGATCCACGTCACGCCAGCCATACAGCTGTGGTGTCTGGCTACGCATATTGCTTACAGCAGCATTTGCTTCCTCGCCCTAGCCTTCTCCATACACCATCTCTACTGACTGTTATAATATAGGCGATTAAAAAATTTGCCTCGAGACTCCGACGGCCCTAGACCGATAGGCATCTGTCCCATTCTCCCGCTACTCCTTGGAGTGCTAGAATGATATAGCTGTGCAAAGCCCGTTCTCATTGTCCTACTCGACCAAAATAAAGCTGCAAAGCTAAACTGTTCCTATTTTTACCCTCATAACCACGGATATAATCATGTCCGTTTTTTTATTTATTTATTACATATTCTTGTGATAAATGTGGTTGAAAAAGAGGTGAGAGACAAAGAGTGTTTTCTTTGTCTTAAAGTGATCGCCATATCCTTCTTTCCGCTCAATGATCTCATATAAACTCTATTTCCGGATCATGTTCTGCTTTAACAGCAATGGTTAAAGGTATGTTTCATAATATTAGCATGCCTTTCTTTATCGGACGAATTTTCTTTGTTGAAGTGCAACATCTCAAAGACCCACCATTGGTTTCTGAAAGAAAGGAAGAAATAAAGAAAGCCCCGGTCTGGTTTTTGATCCTATGCTTTCTCAGGTAAAGGTCTACTTTCCTCCCATCATGCCTGTCTTTGTTTCTGTAGTTAGTATCGACCCAAGGATTATTGAAGTATGAGCGATAATTTCCCAAGTTGATACTGGCTTCTGTACTTTACAACTTTGAGGCCATCGAAAATTACTTCAACTACTTCCACATTACAAAAATTTTTTTATTTTTCTTCCCTTTTTACTGTGTATATGCGCTTTACACACTACCCATAGCAATGCCCCCCCAAAAAGAATATACGGACGAGGAGATTACTTATAAGCTTCGCCCTCCAATAAATGCCATCAGGATTCCTGAATTCCCAGAAAGGCCTGATCTATTTGATGAAGTTGAATGGGTCCCATTTATCGGCGTTGAAGATGCAAAGCTTGCACATCGTCTCTGGCACCTTCCGGATTCCATCATCGGGCAAGCATTAACTGGGAAAACGAACCCATACCCACGACCACCGGATGAAGATCGAAACAGACATGCGCTGGCATCAAACATCTACGAGAGCTTGATGATCGACCATATACTGCCAACCAACGAATCTGAGTGGGAAGCCAACTGGCAAAATGAGGGCCTGAAGCAAGCTCAATGGTCGCGCCAGGATATCTTTGGCACTGATGGTGACCAAGACTATGCAGAAGACCAGCAGGTTTTGATCGAAGGACATGATGTGTTGACAGCTGCATACTGGAAAGTCGACAAATTGCGAAATGAGCTCAGGAGTCGCGGCCTTGATGATTCCGGGAGATCAGCAGAGCTTCGCAGGCGTCTTAATGACGATGAACGGCGACAAAAGCAAAGACACTGCTTCCTCCCGCGAAGCAATCTCTCGCACTGGGGCATTGACCGAAGCAACTCAAAATATGCGATTCAACTCACCGAAAGCAACCATCTCAAGCCCCTTGATATGTACACCTGGGCCATCTCACTCAGTCCATATAATCCTACATACTGGGTGAGCCGAGCCTATTGTCACTACCAGCAAGCATACTTTGACCTTGCCATCGGGGACGCTTATCGTGCGCAGCTGCTGTGTGAGATACTTGCTGATGCCCGGGCCCGAAACCGCCAGCCCGGACTCTATCCTCGAATCTGGCATGCGATTGAGCAGCATCTCCTGGTAGATCCCCGAGATCAGGGAACAGGCGAACTCAATCCAACAGTCCAAAAGTTGCGCGAACCCAACGGGATCAACCATTTTATCCCAACCCTTCGAAAGGCACTACAGAGTATCATAAGCCTCAGTCTTTTAGGGCTTCAGTGTTGGGATGATTACAAATCTAGTGACAACTATCTCAGACAAAGGCTCATCATGGCATTCAATGACACGCAGATTTTCGACCAGCGAAGAACCTTGTTCGGGAAGTTGATGGAGCAACACAAAGAATCAAGAAAACAATGCTACCGCTATCCGTATGAGAGGAAGGCTGGATATGTCAGAGGAGATAGGAAATATCCGTATGACGCAGGCGACAAGAACCGGCACGAAGCCTCGTTTTTGGACAATTTGAATAACAACCTTTTCGAGAACAACGAAAGTCTTCCATGGAAGAGGTGCACGATTCGCAGCATTGAAGATGAAAAAACGCTAAGCGTATTTGCAACGCGTGATATCGAAAAAGGGGAGATGATTTTTGCAGAAGAACCATCGATCAGGGGGCATCTTATTCCCAACAGTCTACCAAAAAATTGGCAGAATTTGATGATCGACAAGAAGACCAAAAAAAAGCAATTATACAGACGTCCGCCGGCAGACTCTGAAAGCGGGCTGAGGTGCGAAAATTGCCACAGGATTGTGAGAAATGCAGAATACAGTGACCAGGATATCGAGGAAATCAAACGCGGGAATCATCCGGAAGCTTGCAGGTGTATCCTCGAAGGTGGAAAGAGGGTGCATCTGAAGTTTTGCCTGGGCATTGAACCCCAGGGTGACACATGCTCCCAAATTGCTCGAAAATTGTATCATCATCGAGCCTGTGGAAAGAGTTGGACATGGTTACACAACGCAATGCGACAGGGGATATACTCATACGATGATATGTATCACTTTTCGCACTCCAACGAAGAACACGGGACAGTGTTGAGCCTCCTTCTGCGAGAGGTATTCGATATCACACTCATGAGACGCGAGAGAAGCGATGATCCCAACATCATGGCTCACGAGATCGACGAACTTCTCGTGCTGGAAGATTTTGAAGACTGGCATGAGAATTGGTTCCCGTTCACTTTCGCTGCAAATATCCAGGTGCCGTTCGATATTTTACTACAGCTGGGTGTCGACATCTTCCGAGACCTCACCTTCGACACTTGGGTCATTCAGACCGTCTTGAGAAAGCTGCTAGTCAACGTTATTCCGTGGGATTTACAGTGGCGAAGCTCTTTCGGGCCGTCCAGGAATCATTGGAAGAGGCTTCCCAGACCAGAATGGCAGAACACACCGAGTAATGAGAAACGCATAAAAAGATATGACCCAATGTTCTGTGACATGTACCTTTTCCCAGGTTTCAGCTTGTTCAACCATGCCTGTCGTGATTCACACAATGCCACATGGGGCTACGACCAAACCATTCCCAACCGTGTGCTTATATGGGCGACGGAGCGCATTCCCGAGGGCACTGAAATACGTATCCCATACCGATACAAAAAGCCAAAGAAGAGGACTGCGCGCCGGTTACTCGGCAAGGAATGTACCTGCAAGCGGTGCACTGCAAAACCCCAACAACTCACTACTAATTCGGGCCATGATGACGACTCCGGTTCAGATTCTCCCGTGGAAACCGAGGGCGAAGATGAACATGACTTTGGACAGACGGCACGCAAGACCGCACCCCCTCGTCCTCACCCGCATGCCCACGATACACGACTGGGCGCAAGCTCGGGGGGAAACGCAGAGAACGAAAACCCGGAAGAAGAACCAGCCGGAGAAGAAACAGCGCAAGAAGAAACAGCGCAAGAAGAAACAGCGCAAGAAGAAACAGCGCAAGAAGAAACAGCGCAAGAAGAAACAGCGCAAGAAGAAACAG